TCCCGCCATTCATCACCCTTGATGCCCAAGGTTGCAGAGGTGGAACGTACCAACAACACACAACGCCAATATTCAGCTGAAATGCAATGTTTTAGAATTTTTCTGCTTTTCTCTCCTGTCTATGTGGCCTGATTCCTGCTCAGATACAGTACTACAGTCGTTTAGACGTAGGAGGAAGAAAAATTTGAGAAGTGAGCATTGCTTGTGATTTCCAGCCAGAAACAAATCAGGAATAGGTGAACAGACGGATAGGCGGACAAACGGACTTCGCAACCCTGTTCGGGAAGAAACAGGGTCCATTTTTTTTGGGCGTCCTGGGAGTCATTGATGAGGGAGGAAAAAGAGGTTGACATTTTTTTTTTTTTTTTTTTTTGCGTTTCGACTCAGATACGAACCGAAAAACACAATGCTGTTGACAGCAATAACAAATCGACAATGTCATCATCAGCAGGGCACTGTTCAAAGATGAAAGTAAAAAACAAACAAAAGAGTATGACATCCTTGTGTCAAAGTAAATGTTGAGAAGCGTCGTGTAGGAAGAAACGAAGGGTTCGCGTTATGTTGGCGTTACCTGTGCTCCTGCGACAACAAAATAAAAGAGGCAGATATGACATCGAGAGCAACAAGCGGAAGAGTGAGAGTCGAGTGAGAGATGAGACGGTTTGTCGTTGTTGTTGATCACTTGTTTTTTGATCAATTATGGATCGGTGCTTGGTTCCTGGATCCAAAGGCTGATCACCCTGATCACTGGACAGAACGATTCGAAGATTACGTGAGATGTGAAAAGGTCTCAATCTCATTTGCTGTCAGTTGTCTCAGACATACTCTCCCACACTCACACCACCATCCAGTTGAGGCCTGATCTGTGTGTGTGATCAAAACAGCGCCTGTCGAGTGGAATCGGTCATTCTCTCTTTGTTCAGGGCGTCAATGAGCGTTCACACCTCTCTTTTCATCTTTCCTGGGTACAAAGAGAGTTTTTTGTCGGATACGAAAAATCTACAAAACGGCGACATAAACAAAGGAGGGAAGGAGAGGGCGGAAGGGAAGGAGAGGAGAGAGAACCGGCAAAAAAAGAAGGGTTTGAGTAACTCTATCTGTGTCGACTACCCCGTTGGAGAAAACAAAAAAAGAGGGACAGAATAACGAATTCCGCATCTGCTGAGTGAGCGTATCTAAACAACGTTCGCCCGTCATTCATGCTCGTCAACAACCTTCTTCATCTCTCTCCTTCATACTCTTACTCACACGGACTGACATATGGGTTCTTTATGAGGGTTATGGTATGCAATTTTTGTTATTCTTGGACAACGACAGGGCAGCTAAAGCAACTGTGACCATTTTCAACAATGAGGGTCGAAAACATAAAGTACACAAAAAGAAAAAAAAAACAAACTCCGGAAGAGCTGTGCGACAGAAACTGAGAATGAAAATGAAAAAAACAGTGAGCAGCGAAAGGTGGGGAGAGAAGGGTAACAGAGAGGTAGGGAGAGGGAAGGGATGTCAACAAAAGGATAACCGGATATGTTTGGCTGAATATGTTTTAAAGTAGATAGAAATAAGGTATTGAACTGCCAAGGAAAAAAAACTCAAAGGAAAAGAAAAGGGAGATGGTGCCACGAAGTGGACAATCACCCTCGTTAGTGTCCTTTTTGTCTTTTTTGTCACTTGCTCTCGCATTCTCTCTCGTCCTGCCCCTCTCCTAGTATCGAGTCAAAAAGGTGGACGATGGAGAGGGTTTAGATCAGAGTGGATTGGGTTGGATTGGGTTGGGAGAAGTGGCAGGGTCAGGGTCGAAAAAGATCACAATCATGAAGACAAGAGGAGCAGGATCTTCGCCCAGGAGGATCATCGTGAGAACATATACACGCCCATTCTATCTTTTCCGAGTATCTCACAATTCTCACAATGAGTGTATGTGGGTGGGTACACTTGTCTTCATAACGCCAAAAAACATGACAGCCTTCTAACACGGCCAATTGAAAAAAAAAAGGTGGGATCAGACCTCTACTTTCCCTTCATTTTTTTTTGGCCTTCTGGCACCGCCTATTCACTTGTCATGTGTAAATGAGGGTAACGAATTGAATTTCATCCAACTGAGACGGTAGCCTTTTGCTGTGGGAGTGGCTCCTTCATCCCCTGGTCGGTCGTAGAGGCAAGAAGAAATTAAAGTTATCGCTACCTGGCGAATTTTGTGAACCCTTGCAGAAGTTAACTTAACATTGAAAATTCAGGAACCGTTCACATTTTTTTTGTCCCTGCTTTCTTGCAAATGCTGTTTGACTTTGTTTTTGTTGTTGGTCATTCTTTATTTTGGTTTGCCGCTTTTTCTTGCCCGAACGTTCAATATCGTTGACTCTTGATGCCGAATGTCGTTCACACGATTATCTCCCATAAAAGTAGAGTGAGTTTTATCAACGTTCATGAAAGATCGCCTGGTTGTTATTATCATACCTCACTTTCTATATCTCACTTTCTATATCTCACTTTCTATATCTCTCTCTCTATTTTCTGTGGCTGTTGCTTTTTTTTGTCTGTGATCTTTGTTTATTTTACCTGCCGCTGCAACATTTTGTTCATCGAATTCTTTTTCCCACTTTTTTTTTTCCCTTTATTTTGTTATCTGAGCGCGACCACACGTAGGCGACGCAACCTATCACAAAATCGATGACAAAGAAACATGTACCGGCAAACGAGGGGTCTTTTCGAATTGTTGTTGCCCAAGAAAGGCGTCGCAATAAAGTGGTTTGCTTTTTTTTTTGTTGCTGTTGTTGTTGTTGTTGTTTTCGACTGTCGGCGTGCAGTATCTGAGGCGGGAAAAAAAAATTGTTAATTTCCCCTTGCCTTTTTTATGCACTATTTGCGTGGCAGGGCAAAAAATGAAGGGCGAAGACTATTGGAATAGGGCAGGGTTAATGAGTGTGGAGGGGTCCAGAGAATGGAGGGGGGGTTTTGGGCGATGAGTAAAGTAGGAGGAGGAAGAGGGATGGTAATTGTTGTCAATGCCGATTTAAGATCGCGTTTTCTTAATCTCATCCATCATTCTATTTTTCACACGCTTTTTCATGCATTTCGAATTTTGCAATTTTAACTTGTCAGGCATAAAAGAGGAAAGGGTAAACAAACAAAAAGTGGTGGGTGCGTTGTGCTCGGATTGCGCTATTACACTTCTCTTGTCGGGAGATCTTAATTTGAGATTCGAATGAGAGAATGATAGAGAAAGCAAGGTTGGGGAGGTTGAGGAAGAGGTTGATGAAAATGATTTTAATAAAAAATAGGTACCTCGTTTCCAGAAGGAGGAGTGGATTATCGTAATGAGAGCATGAGTACAGAAAAAACAGAAGGGTTGGTGGATGGAGGGATGGGAACGAGGAGGGACAGACGGGGAGGAGTTAAATGCGATGAAGATCATATTCATGCCAAGAGCGACAATGCATGGGAGCCGGCCGTTTCTTGCACTGATTGATATTTTTTATTGGATGTGTTATTGTTAATACTGTTTGGCAACCAACCCAGGGTAAGACTGAGTGAGTGAGTGGGTGTTTGCATTGTTGTTGTTTTTTGTTGTTTTTTTTTTTTTTGCCTCCGCTTTGCCAAACTGCCCATCCGTCCGTCGCTGCCTTGTTTGCATGCAACCACAAGAATAAAAACATAGACAATCCAACCCAAAAAAATTGTCATGCATAACTACAGCCCATTTTTCTTGGTTAGGCCTTTATTCAAAAAAGCAAAAAAAAAATAAAGCTCACTAACCTTTCACAAAGTGGCTGGCCCGACCAACTCTCTCACTTCCAATTGGACCTCGACGAAATAAAGTACATTGGCTATTCATTGTTAATTGTTTTCTATTTTCTTCTTGAGAATGTTTTCCGCGGAACAATTGGATATACTTCGATTGGTACGTCGACCTCCAGGGGAAGGGGGAGAGGAGAAGGAGGAGGAGGAGCGAGAAATTTCTTGACGCGAGAACAAGAAAATTGATCAGAAAACACCCATTTTGACAGGAGATGAAGAAAAGGACTGAAAGAAGGATGAAAACATACGAAAAGGAAAGGTGAGGAGTCGGAGGGGGAAAAAAAAAAGGCAAACATGGATGTGGCACTGTATGTGTGTGCGTGTGATCAAAAGAAGAGAGTACATGTACATGCAGAACACAAACGCAAATACAAACACAGAAAATGATTTAACGTGTGCGCAAAGGCGGTGCAAAAGTGTCCACCTTCTGCTTGTCGCATGTATCACGTTATGGCCATTAGTCTCCTGCTTTTTGGTACCTTTGTAGCTGTAGTTGTTGTGGACCCAACTTTTCCTTGAAAAAAAAGCTGTTGATGGCATGAGCTCTTGTTGAACTTTCTCTCCAAGCCGAATTACGAAAACTCAATAGTTTGTCGCCGTTGTGCGTGATCAACACATCAAACAAAAGGCTAGAAACGAGGGGGGATGGCCAAAGGCCTGAAATCAAGGGTAAGAAACCCCAGGAAGAATGACGGAGAATTAGCAGCGAGTTGCTGGACAGAACGGAAGGGAGGGGATAGAGTGAGAGGAGAGAGAGATAGTGTTTTTTTTTGCTCACAGTTGTTTTTTAGACCTCTGTTTCGCAGCCTCCAATCGACGACCAATCCTCTCATTCAGCTGCACTTGCTCTTCTCTTTCGTTTGTACGACGTTGGCAACGTGAATAACTCTCAATGTCAAAAAAGAGGGAGGTCATTGAGGACATGCACAAAAACAGGTTTGCCAAAACGAATAGTTCGGATGGAGCCAATCATTTGCCACTAATTACAGTGTGCAAGATTGCAATTACTGTACTTCCTACACATTTTCGCCAGTTTGATGGTAAAGCCTTGATCAACCCCATCGCCAATAGTCCTTGAGAACGAACCTAAGGTTTCCAGTCAAAAACGTTTGAACATCGATTAAGCAACCAAAGCGAACCAAGTCGAGTCTTCTGGGGATTTGCTATTATGGCTGGACGCTGTGCATTATGATAATGTTGAATGCCTATGAAGATAAAGAGCTGTGGTTGGGGGTAGACTGTGTGTCCATGGCGGCGTCGGCATCGACTGCTGGTTTATCTGTCGGTGAAGCAGATCCACTATTCACAGGCTCGGCCTTGTCCTCCTGACCTTCTGCGGCTCCCGTCGTTGATGCTGCTTTTGGTGCTGGTGCTGCAGGTGGAGGTGTAGACGGTGTTGATGTAGCTGCAGAAGCGGGGTCAGTCTTGGCGGCAGCAACGTCTCCAGCGGGGCTCGTCTCCTTCATGTCCACATCCTCCTGTGCCCCATTCTCGCCTTGAGAAGGCTTCACCTCACCGCCAGCCTCTGCCTGCTCCTGTGTGCCGGCCTGGTTGTCTACCTCTGCCTGTTCCTGTGTGCCAGCCTGGCTGCCTTCCTCGGCGTTCTCCTCTGCTGGCGGTTCGGGAACCTTGCCTCCATTCTCGCGGACCATATCCTCAAAGGCCTTATCTTCCTTGATAGCATTCGCTAATCCATCAAAGTCGAGCTTGAGGTTATCGTAGAGGTGAATGTACTGCTGCACGCCGAGTCGGAAAGCCCTCCACATCCTTCCTTGGTCCTTCTCCTTCGCCTCCTCTTCCTTCTGAGCCAAGACTTCCTTATCCTTGTTCTGAAGTTTTCTTATCATGTCCTCCCGTTTTCTCAAACGCCCCACATCGTACAAGTACGAGTCCACATCTCGAGGGGGTTTATAGCTTCCGAATCCAGGCTCTTCCCATTCTCGGTCTGCAACCTCACGCCACAGCTCTGTCAAGGACGCGCAACCGAGTCTCTGCTTCAATGGTGCCATCTTTTCCGACAGACGCTTGCGCTTCTGGCCCGTTTGCTCAACTTTCTCGGCTGTCCATGAAGGCTTCTCAAATGGTTGACAGCTCTCAGCCTTCCATTGCACCTATGTTCACAAATAGTCACATAATATGTTAGTGGCTTCTCCACCTAGTGTAAAATGATATTTTCGCATTGCCATACCACACAAGTACTGTAAATAACTTACCCAGTTCTCATCATCCTTGAGTACTTCTTCGACCGTGCTCACGAAAGAAGAGTCGCCAGCCTCAAGTCCAGCCGCCTTCAGGTGCTTGAGGATTATGGGGCGGGTGGCCTCTGTCCATTCCTGGTCCTTGGCGTCCAAGATCCATTGCGACAAGAATGGCCGGTTAGGCGTCGTAATCTTGGCCTGTGCTTCTTTGGTGGCCAAGCTGTGGCTCTGCAAGTACTGGATCATAATCAAGAACTGGACAAGAATGTGTTTCCTGAAATACGGGTCCACAATCTATGCGGGCCGAAAGTAAGTATGTTTAGTATCCATTCCATTGTGTAAATGCACGCATGCGTACTGCTGTTACTGTTAATGGTATAGTTGGTTACCTCGAGTTGCAACAGCTTGGGGCTGGTAAGGAACTTTGGGAAATACGTGCTTGGCGGGCTCGTCTTGTCCTTGTTCGAGCTGTGTTTCTTCTTCTCCACGCTTTGGCTGGCTGCTGACTCGGTGGCTGGTTCTGACGTGAGCGCATCTGTAGCTGCGCTAGCCGCTTCCGCCCTTTGGCCACGAGATTTCTGCTCCTCTTCCTCAATTGACGCGAACTTGGCGAGAGTTTTGTCGATGCCTTCCCGCAGCTTGGTCATGTTGTCTGTTGAGTTGATGAGCAAGTTCGGGTTGTTGAAGAATGACTGGAGGCCCCAGAAAACAGTGTAGAATTGCGTCTGTGTTCTGGCAGTTTCATCCGGCTTATCCTCCTCCATCTGTTCCTTTGCGGGTGATCCTGCTTCTATAAAATAGAGAGTAGAAGTAAGGACAAATAGATTCTAAGTCATAGGCTCAAGACGATGGCGTGACTAAAATATAACATGCGATGAATCACAATACATACCTTGATCGACATCCATAGCTTCACCGGCGGGAACTCGAGAGTCATCACCCTTCTGAGACTGAGGAGTGGAAGCCAGCTCTGGAACAATCACGATATCGTCACTCTCGACAAGGGTAACGTTCTCTGTGTTGAATTCTCCCTTGAGGTTGACTCCTGATCGCTCAGTGATGGGAAACACGCTTGAGAGCAGCATCAGGATACGCCCACACAAAACCGTGTTCTTTGCCTTTGAAAGTCGTCGGAGGAGCTCGTTGCAGATTCGAAGAAACGACAATCCCTTTCCTTTGGTGTTGGCGATACCCTATTAATTTAAGGAAATTCTGCACGTTAACTTTTGTAACAAATGATCATCAGGTACCATTTACGACCCACCATGAAAAAATACCAACAACAGTAAACAGAACGCCACTTACAGAGGTGAACATATCCACACGCGATTCCAGATAATAATAAACTTGCTCGCCACACTCGACCGTCTGCATATCCAAGACTTCCTCCAGGAGATGGATGGGGGTCAACGGCTCGACGAGTTCGAGTTCCGAGCAGCGCAAAAGAAGGTCGAGGCATCGGAAGAGGGCATCCTTGAGTCGTTCAATGTCTGATCCCAGTTCGTTCTAGTGGTTGTGGGTGCCCATCGACAGGACGTTGAATAAGCGCGCGCGCGGAAAAGGTGCAGGAGTGTTTGGTGGAGTTCGTTAGCGGCCAATTTTCGTCGAATATCGATCCAGGGCAAATTTAATGAGGACGATGCGATGCATGTTGGTGATGGAGCCTGCCGCGACGACGACACCGAAGACGAATAGAAGGTGGAAGATGGCCTGTCCTTTTGTGGTTCAGAGAGTTATACCTGGATCGAAAAGAGCTTCATCTTGAAGGCACCCTCCAAGAGAGAATGCCGGTCGAGCACTCTGTATTTGCCGAGTTCGGGCACGAGGATAGACTTGACAGCAGCGTCCACGGCCGTGGTTCGGTTCCTGAACGCCTTGTCGTCGTGAATGTCGATTGTTATGCTCGTGTAGTCTTTTGTTGCAGTCAGGATGCGGCTGATAGCGTCTGCTGTGTTCAGCAGCGGCCCGAAGGGGGGCAAGCGAAGCGCTGAACTTGGCATGAGGTATGTGTCTGTCGTGTATATATTTGGGGGTTGATTTGAGTGTGGCGTTCGGTCTTGCGCCGTGAAGATGGATCCGATTCTTGTTGATTAGGGTTGTTGTTCGAGTGGCGGCGGTGGTGGCAGCTGATTAGTATACAAGTCGTGAGGGTGGCGATGGTTGTAGGCAAGGGATTGTATTGTTCCTGTTCTTGGATGCGTGTGTGTGTATGTGCGAGTGTGGAAGAGAAGAGTGAAGAAACACATCTCTGGGGTGGATTTTGGGTGGCGTCGAACCCACATGACTGCTTTCGACTCCACCAGGTTCGAACAAAAGAAAGAGCTAGTTGTCATGCATCATTCACCCATTCAAAACAGGACCAACACACGCGACAAGACCTTCCCCGCACTATCAAAGGCGACGCTTCAATAGACACCTCGGATAGGTATAGGCTATTCTACACCATAACCATGAGCAAGGGCAAGGAATTCATCGTCAGCTGGGACGACCTCGACGACGACGACCTCTTCGACGAAGACCCTATCGAACCCAGTCAGGGGCAGTCTGCTCCAGCGAAGGATGACGCGACTCCTACAGCAGCAGCTGTAGCCCCTGCGCGCATCTTTCGGAAACCCGAGTCCGCCAATTCGACTCCCACGAATGAGCCCTACGTTAGCAAGCAGGACCTACGGAACGAGAACAAACAATTGAGCACTAGTAGCAGCAACATCAACACCCCTGGGCGATTCCGCTCTGTCTCAGGAACGAGTGAAGGCTCCGACCATCATACCGATAGCTCCTGGAAGGGCGAAAGCGATTGGAGGAGCAATCGAATGAGAACATCAAAGCCGATACAGCCTGTTAAAGAGGACTTGAGGGATGCCATCAGAACTATGACACGTCAGATGAAGGATCTCGAATCTCCAGGAATTCGCGCAACAAAGTCGATCAGAACACCTCAATCTCGTCCATTGGAATCCGGTATCACTTTGGTGGCGATTCGTACCAGTTCGGACCCCAAGCCGTCATCATCCTCGGGCCGACCATCCGCTTCGGACGTGATTGCAGCACCACCAAAACGGGACAGTTATCGACCGAGGAGTCGCTCCGGGAGTCGCTCAAGAGGCAAGGAGTCCAGGAGTCGCAAAAAGTCCAGGAGTCGGTCAAGGGGGCGGTCGTGGAGTCGGTCAAGAAGGCGGTCGTGGAGTCGATCCAGAGGCAGAGCAAGAAGTCGGTCCAGGGATCGATCATGGGACAGAGAAACGTCGTCGCGACATAGAAGTAGATCAAGAGGAAGGAGTAGGAGTAGAGGCAGGCGGAGGAGCTGGGAACGGAGTAGGAGCAGAGATGGGTATAAAATCATAGGGAGAAGCAGAGACGATGACAAAGATAAGGGCAAGGACAGGGATAGGGACAAGGACAAGGAGAGGAACAGGGATAGGGATAAGGATAAGGATAAGGTCATGGACAGAGGTAGAGGCAGGGATAGGGACGTAGACAAATGGAGGACCTCGAGTCGGAGTAGGAGTACAGATAAGAGCAAGCCCAGGGGCAGGAGTCGAAGCCGGAGCGCTCTACCGACCAAAGCGGAGGAAAAGTCTAGCAGCAGGACAAACAGCGTGTCGAGAGAAGCCATTTCAACGATCATATCAACATCACCGAGTTCGCATATAGCTGCCCAAACATCAAACATCACCACAATGCCCACCACCACATCAACCACTTCGTCTTCTCTCTCGGCGTCGCTTTCCGCTCGTCGCTCTCCGGCCGACCAACTCATTGCCCCTTCCACTTCGTTACCAAACACTGTGCGCAACAACTCTACAACACTAGCACAAACGACGACTCTTAGCAACATGGAAGCATCAATAGACTCCTTGGACTTAACTCGACCAACTTTACGGAATACCACTACCACTACCACTACGTCTTCCACCTCTTCACCTGTCACTGAACCACTTCAAACCACCGACCCCGACCTCGCGACCGACCTCCAGGGCTTCACAACATCGACCAACATCAAGGTGGAGCCAGAGGACCCTCCTACTCTGGCACAAGCAGCAAAAGCATCATCGCCAGAGGTGGCTGTGAAACAAGAGCCTCTTAGCTCTGAGGACGCCACCAAATTCCTGCCTCAGGCATCTCAGCCAACAATACCAAGCGCACCAGGACTAGTCAACCCCATGGGAGCCGAAGTAGGGGCTCAGGATCCTCACTACATTGTCATACGTGTCAGCGACGAAGGTGACTTCAATGATGCTCGGAGAAGCGTAAGTCTCTTAGACTGGCCCCTTTCCAGCTTTGTGTTGCACCAGCAGTGATATGTCCCATATGTCCCCCCATTAAGCTTGCTGTTCCTCTCTATCATTTTCTTTGTTTAGAACATTTGGAACACCAACCCAATGTACAACAAAGCTCTGCGGGAACTCTACAGCGTAGGTCATTCATGCATGTTCCGGGGTTAGACTATGCGAAAAGGTTATGTCAAGCCTTGTTGTTAATTAATATACTCCGCATGTCTTTCTTTATATTAGCCGACTTCACAAGTGTTTCTGATCTTCACTGTGTTTATGAGCAGTGAGTTCTGCGGGATCGCCAAGATGGCATCGGAAATGATGTGGGTGGGTGAACGAACCATCTTTGACAAGTCAAACCTGAGGCAAAAGTTCAAGCTCCAATGGGTCGCCTGGTATGTTAATTTAGCTATTCTTGAACGTGAAGTACTACTACTTTTGCCGGAATGCGTGTCTAACCTTTTCTTGCTGTTGTTGCTTTTGCTATCATGTTGATAGTTCGCGCGTCTCGTATGACAGCGTCAAGGAGTTTACACATGAGCCAATCTACAAGATCATTCGCAAGAATGGATGTGAGCTTCCTCAGGATATTGGAGGCGGCATTCACAAACTGCTTGTTGAAAACCAACCCGAGGAAGAACCGTAAGTCTCGACTATAGTTCTTTCTCGAGTCATATTGGAGAAAGTCTAACTGTGTGATATCTAACCGCTTATCGTTCCAAATTTATTTGTTTTAGGCAACCAACTCTGGCCTTGCAAGAGGATGACAGCAGTGCGCTCGATATTACTGCTACGAGTTTCAGTCAGGATATGCTCATGGGTGAAGGCGCCAATGCTCAAGAAAGTCCGACACTGCATCTCAACTCACTGTTTATGGACACTTCTGACATGGATGTCGATCTGCCAGAACCTACGACGAATGACTTCCAGGACAAGGACAAGGACGAAGACCAAGACAAAGACGAAGGTGATGTCGACTCTGACGAGGAAAGGTAAAAATAGCGCTGTCATCTTACGAGTCGTCTGACGGTAATCGCGAGCTCATGCATGAATCGAAGTTTGAGAAGCTAACACGTTTGAGTTTTGTTATTTTTGCATTATGTAGTTCGTCCATGGATCTGGACTCTAATCCAAATACAGCCGCCGATTTCATAGAGTCCTCATCTCCAAAGGCCACCCTTCTCCACAGCCCGCATACTCGCAAGAGATCAATCTCTGCCGATGGGAACGACGACCTGTCTATAGAGCGTGCTCTTGCCGATGAAGAACAGAGACAATTGATCAGAGACCGCTCAATGGAACCAACTATCGAGCGCACCGATCGGAAAGCGGACGACGAAGAAAAGGAAGGGGAGAATAAGGACATGGAAAAGGGAGAGGCTATTTCCCGTCGGGATGTTTCTCCAATACGTGCAAAGTCACCCAGAAAACTCGATTCACCTCCACCTTCAATTCCTTCAAGGCGCTGGTCGCCTTCGAGACGTCGATCGCCTCCACCGCCTCAAATGCGATCCTCTCGAAGGAGATCACCACCGCCACCAACATCATCATCCCGGTACTGGCCCCCACCACCACCATCGCTTCGAAGGAATCGATCCCCTCCACCGCCCCGTCGAAGACCGCCACGTCGCGGATCTCCACCTCCACCACCATCACATTACTCTCAGTCACCTCCATACGAACGATCGGGATTACCAGCGTTTACTTCTTCCAGCTACGGCTTCAGGTCTCCGCCACCGTTCCCGCAACGATCCAAGGATCCTCGAGATCGATCCGCGTCGACATATGTGTTTCATTCAGGAAGTGGACCCAATTATCAGCGCGATCGGTTCAGTAATGCCCCTACGGACCCGCGTCTCTTGGTTAGCCGTAATGCTAGCAGTAGTGTCGTCCCGCAGAAGCGACCCTATGATGAACAGAGCGGATCGATGGAGGATGATAAGGGTACTATACTGACAGACGCAGTGGACCTTCCGGCTTCGGTCTTCCCTCTTGAGGACGACGCCGATGATGGTATGGGCGGTCATTTTATTTCACCAACGCAGCCAATCAATCCCTCGGCCACAGGAGCATCATCGTCATCGTCGTCATCTGCGGCGCCGGGAGGCCCTTCTTCATCCACCTCTACGACTCCTTCTACGGATCCCCCTATCCAGATCACGAGCATCACGCTGATCCCTTCAGGGATGTCCAAGAGTCGACGCAAGAAGATGCGAAAAGAGGCACTTGCTAAACCTCTAGACTTTTAGAGCTTTTTTTACGACCAGACATTGTAATACAAACGCCAATTTTTTCACATAAAATTAAATGTGCTTGGGGGGTTTTTTTTTGTGCTTGTAATTAATGAAATGTGCGAGAATGAAAGGTCTATGTGTGATGGTCAGTTTTTTTTTTTTTTTGTAACGACTGAACGCGACTACCACTGAGAGTTGTTGGCCATCAATTGGACGACTTCGGGGATTTTGGTCTTGTGGATGAGCATCATGCGGCGGGCGGGGGCAATTCCATAGTCCTCAAACGTGTTCTTGGACTCTGCAACCGTTGGTGGCGTCGTCAACTTGAAGTCCTGTGTAAACTCGGCAAACTGCTGCAGCATTTCTTCCTCTGGGTGGAAAAAGAATGTCGTTGGCTCCGCCTATTTTCAAAAAACATCGCAAGAAAAAATATATGTGGTGGGTGAGTATGATGGCCGAGTTTGTCAAGAGCGAAAGATCGTTGGAGGATGAAGAGCATGACTTACGGTCTTGGTCTTCTTCTTGGTGGGCTTGGGAGCCTCGTCGTCCAGATCGATCTTGGGAGCGACTTCATGGTATGTAGGCGCCATCAACAAATAGTACTCAAAGTTGAACGGCAATCCCTAAAGTAATTTACCGCAGTACGAGTTCAGGATGTTAGTCACTCTATAGCGACAAAGCCTCACTCACAACCCCACCTTTCCAGTATACAACCCAGTGCCTTCGTTTTCATCTTTCTGCCTTACCTCGTCAACAGCCCACTTGACTTCCTCAAGCAACATCCTCCACATAGGAGGTGCGGTCTCAACTGGCATATTAATAAACCTCTCGCTCAAAATCAACCCAACCTCCTTCTTGGACCCGGCCGCCAAAAGCTCCTTCAATTTGTTATGCAGTCCCTCATTTTGCTTCGATTTCGTAAACGCATAATCCCGGATCTGAGTCATCGCTTGGCTTGGCTTCTGCGTTGCTGGTGCTCCTGTTCCTTCTGATGTAGCGGGAGTAGGGTGGATATGATGAAGGTGTTGGTTCATGTTGAGGACGGTGAGGAGGGAGTAAGGGTCGGACTCGACGCCGTTGACTTTGATGGTCGTGCCGACGTTGGACTGGGCGACGATGAGGTCGGAGAGTTCTGAGAGGGCAAAGAGGATGGCGTCGCTGGCAAAGTATTGGTTGAGGAGGTTCTTAATTGCGTGGAAGTCTATCTCCTTTGGGTCAAAGAACTCGAAATCGACGTTGATGATATCCTAGACCAAGGAATGGAACAAAAAAAACCTCCGGGTTAGGATACAATAGACGCTGGTTTTGTGATGTTGTTGGTTGCCTGTGCATTGGTGTATCTCCTCGTCCGTCCGTTCAGCTTGAAATGTAAGCTGCCATTCCCCAATGGCTGCCTTGCTCAATAGTTTTCCTGGCGCCGGTGTATATCTGTCCTAAAAAAAAAGAAAGCAAGGCATGTGAACGTTCAAGAAGGTTATGAGTGTTACCTCGCCATCAGAACCGGAATCATCCTCGTCTTCCTCGTGGCTGGCCATTTCGACATCCTCGGGATCGCGTTTCTCAGTTGCCTTTCTCTTGCTCATGGTGATGGTTGTCGTTTTTTGTTGTAAAAGTAAGGAATGGTAAAGGTGAAAGTAAGACAAAGAAAAAAAAAAAAAAAAAAAGAAACGCTAGGTCGAAAAGAAGTCACGATAAACATCTTGTCAGCTCAGGAACAAAAAAAACAACAACAACGCGCTTTACAACATCTTTCACACTTTCCACGGCCCTCCTTGACCTTCCTTGACCTTCCCCCACCCTGGCACACGACACCCACTTCTCACCTCCCCTCCTCATCTACTCTCTTTTCCCACCCTATCTGCCTCTTGGTCCTCCTCAAGTCTACTGGTGTTATGAAGCAGTAGTATAGGTGATAACAAGTGCCGCTGTTGTGATTGTTACTGTTGTTCGAGGTTCTTTTCTGTTGTTTTGACCACAAACTGACAGCTCCTCTTTTTATTTTCTTTTGTTTTAGTCTTGGATACTCGATTGTGGAGGCACCATGGATGCAGGGGTCGACCAGTTCCAGCAAGAACGCGTTTGGCGGTACTGGAAATGGAATGGTTGAGTCGGGATCGTCTTTTCCGAATATCGGGATGCATGCTGATGATGGTCTTTTTTGGGGGGGGGGGGGGAGTGTGAGTCTAGTGACCATCGCCACTATTTTGAGTCGGCTGCAACGAATTTCTTTTTACGTCCGCAAAGTGTCCCAGAGAAGATTGCGACGATTTCCTCGAGTCGCTTCCGAACAGAAACAAAAATACTGCCGGGACTGCCATATGCACTTCGATCGCGATGGTGTTGGCGCGGAAAACATCGCAAAGATCTGTCAGGCACAGCTACAGCACCAACGTCGCAACCCCTCCCCCCCCCCAAAAAAAGGTCCTTGCCAACGCCGCAGGAGCTCAAGCTCAGCTCCTCCTCCTACCTCTCCTGTAGGTGCGTCTTCCTCCACTAGTGACAAGAGCAATGCCATCCAACGCAGAGGGCCTCTAGCCGATGAATCACTCCTCCAACAAGCTCAGAAGATATCTCGAAGGTGCACGTCGCTCAGTAATCGGGACTGGCGCTCCATCAAAATCTAGGGGGTCCCTTAGCTTTGGTATTCTGGTGCTCACATGTGACTTTTTCATGCACCAGGACTGTTTATGTATGACATTTATTAATACTAGAAGGTCAATTAGATCTGGAGGTCGTCCAGCGACTCGTCGATCTGCTTGAGTTTAAGGAAGACGTCGCAGCCGTACCCTTGCAACGAGACCAAGTGCATATCCCCGCCAAAATACTGCGCATAAATCCTCGTCAATGGCAATCTAGAAAATACAATAAAGAAGACAGGAAGAACCATTGTTAATTCAGAGCAACAGACCCAAAAAGTGCAATCGAAATAATTGGTGGAGAGGTTTCCTACCCAAAACCAAGACCAGCAATAGGCCCTCCCAAACCGGTCTGCATGGCTAGCCGGCTGACTCCCTTGAAGATGCTGTCAACGCCGTAGGGTGAGTCGTTCTCCGGTGAAACGTCCGACGAGGAATCGTTCTCGTTCTTGACCGTCGTGAACGAGTAGTCAAAAATCGCATCAAGGTCCTCCCGCGAGATTCCTCCACCATGGTCCCGGATCCGAATCGTCACTTCATGTTCTCCTTGAGCGATCGTGACTTCCACAGGCGGATGGCCAAATTCGTTCGGTCGCCTGGCCTCATCCTGGTCGTCATCTTGGTTCACAATCACCACACTGTTTCCTGACTCATGGTTCGTAGGGGGGTGGTGTTTGTCTGGTCCGGTTCCGTGAGGGTTCAGAGCCGATCGTCCCATCCTTTGCGAATGCTCCACAGTCGCACGAACTGAGTTCTTGAGCAACTCGCAAAGAATATACTCCAAATGAACAGGGACATATGTGAACGTGGTGTCAGTCTGTCCATTGATCACAACCTCAGGTCTCGATCCATAGTTGACATCGCAAAGTTCCTGAACAAACGAGGCACACGTCCTGATCAAGTCCGCTGGGCGAAGCTGTGTATGGACCACGCCAACAATATCGTGTGGGATCTCCACGCTAGACATCTCACGCTCGTGTCTCTGCTCCCTCAAGGAGATTGCCTGCTCGGCGATCAAACGAATTCCAATACGCGCCCGAATCATGTCGTCCAAGAACCGTTTGATGTCCTCCTTGGTCATGTACTTTTTGCACTCCAAAAATCCTATGAGATGAAACCATTATGATTATGTTAATCAGATTTATCAAGACGAACGTTGAAGTATTGCATAACACACATAAGCAAGCATGCGTAGGTCACTAACCTTGGGAGAGCATGGGAACGACATCAGCGTGGGACTCAACAAGTCCTTTCAAAAGCGACGCAAATCGATCCAGATCGTCCTTGTCTCGAATCTCCTCGGGGCTTGCTGTAATTGACTGGAAAGAGTCGTAGTACAGTTTGTAGACCTGTTTGATGTAAGGGTTGGTGCCGACAATGAACGGTAGCTTTTGAGTCGCTTTGATCAGTCTTGCCAGCCGAACAGGCAACTCCTTGCGCGCATACCGTGCCACATCCAGGTTGATTGCGAGATCTCCGGCGGCGGTGTCCTGCTGTAGTTGATCGTGGCTCGGGGATCCTGACCGTCCAAGACCCAAGAGAGTTTTCAATGTCACCGTCTGGATTTCTTGGTTGGCATACTATTGGTTGTTTGATTAACGCAAAAAAAGAAGTTGGAGAGTAAGTAAGCGACGAAACATCGTCCTCTGGAGTTGTTTGATCCACATGGAACAGGAAAAAAAATAGTGTTTGGGCCTACACGACATACCTGAGTCACCTTATCGTCATAAAACGAGACGACATCCTCGGTCTCCTTTTGCTCAGAGCTGGTGGAGAGTCCTCGCTTGGATCCTGCAGATCTTAGGGCCGTATTTGTTGCCACTGAGGACGATATACTGTTGTTCCACGAGGGTTTCGCTGCGATAAGGGGAGTAGCGATGTTCCGACCTGTGAGTCTTTGTCCCATGGTCGGAGCTTGGAACGATAGACTGCGATTTGAGTTTTGTGCATAGCTGTTGGTGTTGCTAAGGTGATGGTTGGTGTTGTTGGTGCGGTTGGACAAGAAGGAGGAGGTGATACGACGAGACGTGAGACTGATAGGACCGTTATTGATGCTATTCTGTATCGGAGAAGCGGTGGCGGTAGCGAGTGATCGTGAGGCTGTGACACCATGAGGATGGCGCCAGAGTGGGAAGGATGAGCAGCATCGTGCCTTTGGGGCGATGGCCAGTCGTGAAGCCATTGTGTTGATGATGCTGTCAGAGAGGGATGGAAGGAGTAGAGAGATGAAGGTTGCTGGAAAAGTGGTCTCGGAGAATGAGTAGTACAGTGGTGATCAAAAAAAAGAGTAAGTGTGAATTGTCGGTGGGTCGTGGGAAACCTGCAGCAAGGAAAAAGAGAGCGAGAGTACGAGAGTAGAGAGAGTGAGAAACAGTCTAGGGCGTACAAAAGGAACAATGGAAGCAAATGGTGGATAATGAAAGAACTGCAGAAAAAAAGGCGTGGGAAGAGAGGGCGGGGGAAGAGAGGGCGGGGGAATGAAAGGACGAGGAGGACGAAAAAAAGAAGAGAAAGGAAAAGAGAAAGGAGAAGAAAAAGGAAAAGGAAAAGGAAAGGAGAAAGGAGAAGAAAAAGGAAAAGAAAAAGAAGAGGAAAGGTAAAAGCAACCTTTCTTTGCTTAACGAAACGGCCAAAAAGTGGTCACTCAATCCACACGGGAAATAGGAAAAAAGAATTCCGGGGTACTTACGATCCAGGCCTAATGCATCTTTTTTTTTTATATCTCCGTCTAACATGCACACCATCGTTCCAATCCATCCTCCCCCTCCCTGCTTCTTCTGCCAATTGTCTGTACTCTTTTCTATTCATATACGATTTCCATTGCTTTGTTTATTGCAATTGTCCTTTGCCAACGTTGTCCGTTCGAGCAGCAACATACCCTAGATTTTTTTTTGCTCCTTCTACGACGACCACTATTTATTCTTTGATCAAATATCCTAAGTGAGACAGATAAAGTGATCAGTCAATATTCGTCAGGGTGAATGAGGGATGGGGACATTATCTATAGTGTCCCATTCTCTCTAATGTCTCTTCTCTCCTCTCTCCTGTCTCTCCCTCTTTCTCTGCTCACCGGGCAAAGGCCTGCGAGATTGTGGTACACATGCAGGAATAGAAATAGAAAAGTTCTTTTTGTTTTATTATTGCGAACAGAGAAATTAAGAAAGGTAGTATGTGTGGAATATCGCGCCTTCTATTTTTTTTTGATGGGTGCGGGGGAATGGGGTTGTTTTTTTTACATGGTAGGAAGGCGAGGGAAAGGCTGGGGGGCCGTGGCAATGGAAAGGCTAGATAGAAAAGGAGGGGGTAGTGAGCAAATAAAAGATTATGAACCAGAGCTTATGAATCGCTGACAGATCGGCGGAAACTCAATGCTCCAAGGATGCTGTTGCGCTGCGATGAATTCCGCTTCACCTTGGCCGAATCTCCTTCAGCTGCCACCATAAACTTGCGCGTTCCATAGGCTGACGACACTGGTGAACTGGGGACAACACCCGCATTCGCCGCCTTCTCACTTGGCCATCCCTTGCGCACCATCGCTGCAGGACGAGCCGAGGACATCGATTCGCGGCCGGACTGGTTCGATGCAAGGGTATCACTGCTGCCACGACGGACCGCCATACGGTTACCGCTGCTCTCCAACGAGTCGCCCGATCCACGACGGCTCTCATAGTGAGGAGGAAGAGTCATCGTCTTGTCCATCACAGGCGTACCCAAGGGCGAGGGCGATCCGCTTCGCGAGTTCATCAGGTTCAACATCGAGACATCGTTGATCGACTTGCGGAAGCTGCGCCCACGGTTCATGCGCTCGGGGTTGGCAGCGGCAAAGGCGGCATTCATCTCCAGCTCCTTGACCTTCTCCTGCAGAGTGTGGCGCTCAACCTGACCCTCCAACCAGAGCTTCTTGGTCTCCTCAAACTGCTGGCGCATCACGTTCAGCTCCTTCTCAAACGAATCGCGCTCGTGGCGAACAGCGTCTATCTCCATCACCATGGTCATCTTGGTCGACTGGAGGATCATCTGCTGCTCCTGGAGCATCACAACAGCCTCCTTGGAATCCATGAGAATGTGCTCCATGTTGAGCGTCTTGGTCTTTTGTTGCTCAACCTCGTTCATCGCCTCCATGACCGATACCTTGGCGTGGACAAGCTCGCTCGTAACATGGGCCAGCTCCCGCTCGGCTTGGGCAAGGCGGTTGTGAACATCGTCATGGCCGACGTTCAAGGATGAAACAGACGAGGCCTTTGTCTCATCAGTGTCCATCTCATCTTCCGAGTGTCTCGACCAGCTGTTGCTCGAGCGCATCTTCCCGTCCTCGTGGGTAATGGTGCGGGGCGAGGACATCATCGATGTGTCGCTCATGACCGAGGGGGAAATGGCGCTCATCATCGAGGCCCGGTTCTGCTGACGCTCCATATCGGCAACCTTCTTGCGCAACGCACCAATCTCCTCCAAGTGTACGGTCTTCTCCATCTTGGCGGTAACAAGTCCCTCGGTGACTTCGACGTGATCCCTTTGGAGTATCGAGAGTGCCTTGGCCAAGTCCTGAATCTGCTCTAGCAACATGGCGTCCGAACCGTAGGTAGTTGTTCGGGTCACGATCACTGGCTCTGGCTCTGGCTCCACAACCTCGTCCTCACTGCTCTCCTCACTGCTGGTGAGGCTGCTGCCGCCGCCGACTCCCAGGAGCAAGCTGGCCGATGATCCAAAAGAGGCCGCGATCGAAAGACGAGCGCTAGCGCGGTTGGTCTTGGACTTTGTCGCCTTGGTCACCTTGGTCTTGGTCTTGGTCTCGGCAGTCTTGGTCGAATGGCCAGAGCCGAAGCGATCCTTGAAACGCTTGCTGGTGACCTCGCCGGCACGCTTCTGCTGATCCTCCAACTCGGCCAAGTAGGTCATGGCAAGGGCGTCCAGTCTCTCCTTGGAAATATCGGTCGAAAGGCTCATAGCATCCCGAATCACCTCGCCGGCATTATCCTCGTAAATGTCGTACAGCTTTGTCGTCAAAAGTTCCAGCAAGTCCTCGAATTCCTGCAGCTGCATCAGCTTTTCTTCGTTCTTCTTGAGGAAGGCAACGGCGACACGCATGATGGTCTCAGGGGCTCCTTCAGTAAAGACCACGTCGTACACACGGAGAACCAAGGGCAAGGGATAGGTATAGGCAAAGAGGGAGAGGAACCATTGGGAGGCGTACATGGCGGCGTTGATGGAGTGGAAGGAAAGATGGGCGTGCAACATGGGGAGGTGCTCCGAAAGCAACGCGGAGAATTGGTATAAGCGAAGCTGAAGCCCCTCCATGTTCAGCGTGAACATGGTCCTCATGTCGTATGTCTCCATCAGACGGACAAACACACAGAATGCCTCCTTTTCTTCCATCTAATAAGAATCATTTGGTGGCAATAACGAACTTCAATTAATTAAATGGCCAATGGATATCGACTCGGAATTGCAATTTCTGACATGCATCGAGGAAAATACTTACGTTCATAAGCAATGGTCCAACCAAGAAGCCGAGACCCTGGCAGTATCCGACGTGGGGGTCATAGAGAGAGTAGGCCTTGAGGATGTTGCGAAGGCTTTCCTGTCCCTTGCCTCCCTCCACCTTGAACATGTCGACCTGAGGGAATGTCCGGGCGAGATCCCGTTGAATGATACGCTCATAGGGTGAGTGCTCGAGCAGGAGCTTAGTGTACATGGTTTCGAGATATGTCGACGAGGCCTGGGACATGGACTGCCAGATCAAACCACGCAGCTTTGAGGGGAGACCCTGGCGAACACGGGCTGCCAACAGATGTGGGAGCTTGCTGGCGACTGCATTGTAATCCTGAACGAGCATTCCCCAGAACTCCCAGTCGATCTCATCGTCACCAGCCTCAGACTCCAGGGCCTTTGAGGGCGAAGATGACATGGGTGCGACAGTCTCTGAGTTGGGTGCGTTGAGTGCTGAGGAGTCGGAGATAAGTCGGTGAAGAGTGTTGAGGTTTCCTTTGAGGACGTTCGACTCGATACATACTGATTTGGGGTCGGTGTCCAAAAGGCCGTTCTGTCTCTCCAGTCTGGCCAACAAGAACGATGTCGAGTCCTATGGGAGTTAACATATCAACGTTGAGTTATAAAGCCCTTTCCTTCGTTGAAGTGCTACATCTCGAATTGGAGTGAACATAAATCACAAAAGACATGGAACCAAACGAACCTGTGGAGGGAGGCTGTTATTCTGTTCTTCCAACTTGTGCAGAAGTTCAGAATCAACATTACTTTCGGTGCGGACGCCTTTGATTCTTGCAAAGTGGTTCTTGGGCTGGGGGAGCAGGAAGCCAAGGGTGGTACTCCGGCTTAGCCTGGCCCTATCAGCAGCGGCAGAGGATGAGGCAGAGAGGTAGGTTGAGGAAGAGAAGCCGAGGCCGACCTTACTGGTGAGGCTGGTCTCCTCAGTCGAGGCGTTGTCGAGGATATCGTCAAGCATTCTCTTGAAGGCTGCTACGTGATCTTCTTCTTCGGGCTGTGTGGAGAGTGCTGGTTTTGAGGGGTCTAGAGCGCGATAGAAAGCACAAGATAGTAAAAAATAGAGCGGGAAATATAGAACAGGGAGAGGTCAGTCGGGAAGTGGATAATTCAAATGGGTCCCGGTGTGTGTCTTGTATGCAGCTCCCCCTCCCTTCCTTCCTGGTGTGCTTGCTTCTATTAATCTCTAATGTATCGGCGTCGCACGGTGTGTTTCCACTGTCAATGTTGGTAAATGACAATGGATAAATAGGTGGGTGTAGCACGGAGAGAAATGGCTGGGGTTCCTGATATTGGATGCATGCTGCAAGGTATTGTTTGCTAAGGTAAAATGAGGACCCACGAAGACATAGGCCGCCATTGACTGACTCTCTCTTCCCATGTTCCTCTCCTCCTTATTTCTTGATCCTGTCACACATTTATTATTCGCACACGCGCGTGCCGGAAGGAGACAGACGCGTTGAACTGTGTCCTGTACTGCAATGAGAAAAACCACTCCAGAGAGGATTGATAGCGGATGACCCTCAGGCACTCCTTTTAGTTCAGTGAAAAAGAACCCTGTTCATAGAAGTGCTAGTGAAACAGCTCATCACCGGACTGTACTCATCTCCCTCTTTCTGTCTTTTTTTTTACAAGTTGCCAGGGTATTTCCCTTGTCGTTGTGTGGAGTGGGTGGGTGTGTGTGTGTTTCTCTGTGGTTATCAACCCACTTTTCTCTCATTCACTTCCTTTTCTGATCTGATGTACCGGGTGGAGTCAAGTAACACAACAGATACCCTGAGGAAGTGGTGACACTCCTCACTCAGGTACAAAAAGCTGTAAACAAACAAACCCCCAAACCGAACTGAACTGAACTATATAAAGAATGGTGGTGGTGTTGATTTTGAGTCGTGAGTGTAGGAGAACAGAGAGAATGTTGCACACGAGTCCCGATAATACAACATTGTCCCCGGAATGAATGCTGGTGGTGGGAGGGATGTCTTATGTCACTTTGTCTTTCGAATGCCTCCTCAAAGTGTGGATATGACCTTCGCAACCCAATTGAGAAAAGGGAAAGAGTGACAACTTACAGAGAAAAGGAGCAGAGGGGGATTTGGTGGAAGGGGCATTGATGGAGACCCGCTTTGTGGGCGGGGGGCTGTCTGGGACAGACTGTGTGGGTGTAGGGGGGGCCACGGGCGACTCTGGCAGTGCAACTTCGGCCATGATGGATGGTATATAGAAAGAGAAAGACGGAAGGGAAGCGAGGCCAAAGTAAGGAAGGGAGGAAGAGGAGATATAAAAAATGAGTGTGCTATCGGAGATTTATGAAGGAGAGAGAGAGAAGGTGAATAAATAACAGGCGGGGAGATATGAAAGAGGAAGGAAGGTGATCAGAGGCGAGAGATGATGATGAAAGGAAGGAGAGGAAGTAGAGGAGGGAAAGGAATGAGGGTATGTGTGTGTGTGTGTGTGTGTGTGTATATGTTGGGGGGGAGGGGGGGGGATAAAAGTAAGGGAGGAGGCGTGAAGGAGAAGAGGAGAAGAAGCGAGAAGGAGAGAAAGAAAGAGAGAGAGAGTGAGGAGAAAACAAAGCGAGAAATAGAAGGAGATGGATGGGATGGGATGGGTGGTGTCCACAAGCTTCAAAAGCAAGAAGAGAGCACCAGGGCAGAAGAAGAAAGTAACAGGGTAGGGAACATGAGACAGAGGATAGGAGAAAAAGAGAAAAAGAGAAAAAGAAAAGTGCTCACAACACAACACAACAAAAACACCCGCTCCTCTTTGCGCAAATCCACTCTGAATGATGACCATAAGCAACATACACACTCACTCATCCACCTAGTCTTTCTTCTTCCTATACTATTACTACTGCCCCCAATTGCTAACGACAGACACTATCATCTCGATAGGAAGAATAAAAGGAAGGATGGGGATCGATTTGTTCATAAAACGAGCCTCAATGAGTCGAGGAGGTTTAAGAGGAAGATTGTAAGCAAGTGAGAACAGGAACATCGCCCCTCCAATGGTCAGCATATCATTAACATCCTGTCAGTTAGATTACTGTCTTTTCGGTATGTGTATCTGTTGAATGTTTGCTGCTCAAAGTACTGTCCACTTCTTCCTCTTCTGACCCATTCATACATGCTCACCTTTAACTCGTCCGACTATTTTTTATTATTTTTTTGGCTCTATCATCGATCTCGACCATTCATCTCACTCTCTCTCTCTCTCTCTCTCTTCGGTGCTCATTTCTCTTTCTCTCATTTTTCGTACTGTGTCTGCCTGCCCTCTTTCTCGCACCCATCCTCGCTCATCGCTCTCCTCCTCTCGTCATCCCTTAGTTCACGTTCTCGTCCTTTTTTTGTCCTCCTTGCATATCTCCCCTGGTGCAGGAAAAAAAAACGAAGGAAGGGGGGATCCTTCTTAGTTTTCACCACATCAATAAGCAAGGGAACAAAAACAAAAGAGTGACGTCCAAACCGTTCGCAACGAACCATACAAAAAAACCAAACGGCGCCAAACGTTCAGTAATGAACAAGAGAAGACACACAACATACCAATGATAAGAACGCCATAACCATGCATATGTTCATCCATCTAAGGAGAACCATTCGGAATGCATATTCTTCTTTCCTCCGTCCCCGTCCCCTTCTTTCCTCTCTCTCTCTCTCTCTCCATGTCTGTGTCTCTATTGGAGTTCCCAGAGAGACATGAGATGGGTGCATGAGTCCCACGCACTAGTCGTTTTTATATATATATATTTTTTTTTCGTTCTCCTTCCGGGATTAATGCAGAAATGCAAACAAAACAAATAGCACATACATAACTCATAGTTTTCCCTCTCCCTTTCTCTCTTGCATGTCGATGTCTCTCTCTCTCTCTCTCGTTTTTTTTTTCTTTTTCGCTCGTTCGCCGTTCTTGAGGTCCTCTCCCTCTGTCTCCTTGGCACCCCTCTCCTTCTTTCTCGTCGTCTTCTGTCTCCCACTATTCATCGTCCCCTTCCGCACCCTCATGTTGATCAGAGACAACGAGAGGGAGGGAAGAGATAGGGCAGCATTGTTCACAAAGGAGAAGGAGAAACAAGGAGGTTCAAAAGAAAGGAAAAGCGTGCATCAGGGCAGAACACACAACACGACACAAAGAGAGGGAAGAAACAAAAAAAAAACAAGGGACACCAACAACAAAACACGCACATAGATAAGTGATCGTCAGCGCTCAATTGAAAGAACTCTGTTTTAGTATTTCAATACTTTAAACAGGGTGGGCGTACATACGAAGATGTACCAGCTAACCCAGCTCGGGAATGCATTCTGACCAAAAACAACAAGATGGGCGAGCCGAGAGTGTGAGAAAAGAGCGAGAGAGCGAGAGAGAGAGAGAGTATGTGACGAAGAGGATAGGATGAGATAGGATGTGAAAGGGGAATTTGAACTAGAATTAGCTATTGGACACTGTCCAGGTTCTCCCTACTGCCTGATGCCTACTCTCTCGCTTTCTCTATGTCCCCTCTCTGCCCTCTATTTTTTTTTTTGACCTCCTACAGTATGTACTGTACTCCTGCGCGGTGACACAGAGAATCGGGACACAGGGAAGACGAAGAGGGAACCAGCACACAAACAACGTGGCATGAACAATGCGCATTTGTACTCATCAAAGAGGCAAAAGGGAATGGGATGGGCTCGATTTAAAAGACGAGAGCAAAAATATGACAGGTGAACAAAAAAAAAAAAAAAAAAAGAGAGAGCGCGGGTGAGCGTACGAGAGTGCGAGAGCATCTACAAAAACGCAGGGGACCCCTCATCCCAACCCCATCCGTCAGGGCGCTGTCTGATGCCGTCACCTCTTCTTGGGGGCCTTACATTTATCCCCTATTTCTGAGGTCTTCATCAGGCAGCCTCCAACCCTTATTCATAATCGCCGCCATTTTCTTCTGTTTCATGTTTGCCAGTCATCCACAACATCAACTTTTTGTCTCAAAACGAGTGCCCCAATCCTCGATTCCACACACTCGCCAACCCCCCTGTGTCAGTGTGTGTGTGTGTGCCTTATTTCTTCTTTATCCTCACACCCCCTTTCCTGTCATCCCCCTCAGTTTTTTTCTCCTTCTTCCATGCTACTCTTTTTGTCCTCTCGCCATTGCTCCATCCTTTGTTCCCGCATTTTATCCTAATGTCGCGTCTAGTGTTCATTCCTTGCCATAAACTTTCCTGATCCAGTCTCCAATGGCTAATCACAATTTGACCGATATGAAACCTTGCGAATAGGTCAATGTCTAGTGCACTTACCCCTGAGTGTTGGAGGCTGTGCGCGCGCGTCGTCGTGTTCGTGTTCAATACTTCAATACACAAAAATGTAGGGGAATGAGATATGAGGTGGAGGGAGAAAGGGTGACGTGTTGTAAGGAAACAGGCGGGAAAAGAGAAAAAAAAAGGGGGCGTTGCTTTCGCGCGGTCTTGGTGCAGGTTTAAATGGGAGGATAAGTCGGTGGCGTGAAATGGGGAATACGCGAGGCTTATTAAAAGTGGAGAGGGTAGGAAGTGGCGAGAGAGGTATAGGGAGAAGAGTATATCGTTGAAGGAAGGAGAGGGGTATTCGGGGAAATGTGATGACAGAGTATGTAAGAAGGAGGTGAAAGGTGATGAAGGAGTGAAGGAGTAAGCGAGAGAGGAGGAAAATCTAAAGAAAAGAGATAAAGAAGGGGGGGGATATGTTGGACTTGTATTGTAAGCGAGTCGTGAGGGCTCCCTACAAGGGTCTTTGTGATGTATTTCAAGGAGAAAAAGGGCAATGGTAAGAAGGCGCGAGAGGAGAGGAGAGGACAGAAGAAAAGGAAATGCAGATTGTACGAGTAATAAGGAAATGAAAGGGACCCTTGAGCGCGCGCGGGATTGAGAAAGGGAGCTAGGCAATTCACTGCAATCCTTGTACTGTCTTGATGGCTCATTCTTCTTTTCTGGTCACCCGTTCTCGCTTCTTCGCCTCTTCTTCGCCTCTTTAGTTCCCTGTCATTATCACCCCGACCCTGACTCTTACCCCCTCAGTCGCCCTCTCAGGTTGGATGGCCACTCTCAATTCATTTCTCTCTCGCACGCGTCTGTGCGTGCTCCGGATCGATCGGAATTCAGGTCACTTCTTGGATTGACTGCATCCACTCAGGCCCTTGAAGGGTGCTACGGCAAGCTCCTTCTTGGAACATCACAAGAAAACATTTCCTTGATGCTCTGGTTCCATCATGATCCGACATCAGCATAACAACAGCAAACAACACATAGACACTGACCTCTGCTTTCCTAGGAAAAAGTTCGACAACTCTCTTTCTCATATGTATTAGCCTTCAAGGCGCTACGAACAATAATCTATGGCGCGTCTGTCCGTAAACATAAAGACGTGGCGAGGAAGGAACAATGGAATCTACAGCAACATAGACTGGGAGTATTTCAAGGCGATAAAATGATGTAGAAAAGTCATCCACAGCTGTTCAAACCTTTTGTGCGAATATTCCATATTCCACGCAACATACAAACGGTCCAGTACGATGTCCATCATGTTCATAATATGGAGTACAGCGATGACGACCCCTCATGACCAGCTTTTTGGTCCACGTTCCCTGTGCCAAGTCGTGCGCGTAGAGAAATGTACACGTGCTACAAAGTTCACGACAATAGTCCTACATCGTGTGCTGTTGCTATAATACTCGCGCAAGTCTCATTAGCAAAAGTATCAACTCGATCCTATAGTAGTAATCCATTGTCGGAAGAGAGAAAAAAGGAGGCTCAAACCCGACCGACGCGAGAATGACCCATATTGTTTTTATTGTGCAATCAACCGTGACCATAGAGCCCGTTGTGCTGCTGCTGCTCCAACAACTGGTTGGCCTCCATCTCGCGTCGAGTCCGCTCCGCTCGCTTGAGCTCAAAGACCTGGTCCATCGCCTCCTTGAAGCAGTGGACGTTGTAGTCGATTAACCCTTGCTTCTCAAAAGTCTCTGCCCTCAGCAAACAGATCAATGCAAGGTACTTGTTGACTTCCCGAAGGTAGAGCACAGTGCCGTTGCCCATCTTGATGACAGAAAAGGCCTCGTGATTTCCTCCTGACTGCGCAGGCTGGTTGTTCAGGGATCCTGCCCGACTGCTGTTCGAGACAACTGCTTGAGAATGACCATGTCCTCCGCCGTTCGAGTCTTCATAGTCATCATGGCCATCCTGTTGATGAGTCCAATCATCTGATTGGTCCTGCTGGTCGTCGAGGTATCCTTGGCTCTTGGCTCCAATCGCTGCCCGTCCATAGATGGAAGAAATGTCGATAATCACGTCAATCATGTCACTGCAAATCTCGTACGACTGAGAGTCCACTGGGGAAGAGTCTGTGGCAATGTAGATTTTCGAGATCACATCAAACAAGAACGCCTTTTCAATGCCCGAGTTCTATGTCGATATAGAAGGCGAAAGGTACAATGAATATTAATAAACTTTTCCAGCATGAATCATAGTTGCGGTCGTTTGCCGCTTTGAAATGACGATGGGTCTTTGTAGGGTAAAGAAGCAAAGATCCGGGACATACCGCGCAAAGAATGTTGAGCAAGTTCTCAAGTGTGGGCAGCTGTGGGATGAGCTTTTGGATAACTTTGGAAAATGCCTCAAAGATGGAGTGGTCGTAGATGGAAGTCAGGTAGAACGCCAGTTGCACATTCTCTAGTCCTGCATCCGCAAGCTCGTCCGTTGTAGTCTGTTGGATGTCTCTTTGGGTATCTAAGAAAAACAAAACACGGGCAGCATGCCATAGAAAATTAGTACTCGAGAAAGCACGTAATCATATCGTCCTTTGCGACCATCGACTCCTGTAGAATTAGCGTACCAATTTTGTAGTCTTCGGACAGTCCATCGACCTTGTGGATAAAAACTTCAAATGTAATGTTGGGGTTCACGCGGTAAGCAGCGACGACGGTAGAATGAAGCCTTGCCAATGCCTCCATGTAATCGTCCTAATGTCAATATTGGCAAAAAATAAACACGAGGTTAACAATGACCTCCCGTGTCCTTCCCGTTGCGATGCTGATTTGATCAAAAAAAAAGGTATGTCCATGCTCTATATCCATGCTGTAACAGCCAAAAGTACCTGAGAATCAATGACAAACACCAGGGCTCCAACTTCTCCAAAGATGGCCGTTGTGTCGAAGGTTGGGTCGAAAAAGTCCATCTGTCCAGGAAAATCCCAAACCTGAAAGTCTATGAATGAACTATCAAATGCCATTTGGAGTGTTGTCGTCATGAGTACAGGTTAGCGTGGGTCTAAAAATGGTTACCCCGATAAAAAACCTTGTGTATCTGTATGCAAAAGGGCATGTTGCATGAATTGCGTGAGAAAGCAACGTACTGGATGTTGTCCTTGTTGATCTTGGAAGTACTCTCAAGGAACAGCGTTTCCGTGGGCGTCATCTTGTGGAAAACCACGCGCTGGATGCTGGACTTTCCGCTTCTATTGTATCAATCCGGTCAATGAAGCATAACATAATTGTTTAGCTCTTTTGCTTATCCTGGGTACCGTTATCCACGAGTTGTTGAGGGGGTAGAGTCAAAAGTAAAAACGAGTATGTGTCGTACCGCCTGAGGCCCATCAGCATGAGTCTTGGACGCGACTCGCGATCCTCATCTGCCAAATCATCTCCATAACTATTGTGCAGGTTGAATTAGGATTGCAAAGACTGGTTAGCTTCACACTACGTCCAAAGTCGGGCTTCTTGTCAAGCGAACGAATAAAAGATGCAATAAAATACTTACATAGGGTCGTTGTCACCGTAATCAGAGTACTGGACAGATGTAATAACAGGGGCAAGAAGAAACGATTGGGGTGGTCAGTTGGAAGTCATTGACTGTGCGGAGAGAGTCAAGCTGGTGGAACAAGTTGGGTCGAATGCCGGCATGATGTCAGCAGGTCCCGAGTAAAGTAAGGCGAGTGTCGTTGATGGTATAGGCGTTGGTGTGAGCAAATTCATGAAAACCAGGCGGGAATATGTCCCTTACCGACATGGTTCTTGCTGCTTGTTGCTGCTGTTTTTGGCGCTGTTGTTGTTGCGGAGTGGTGCGTCGAAGGAGGGTTCAAGTGACCAAGCAGTGAGGGCAGGAGTGAGTAAGAGCGACCGTGTGAGGGCGGGAGGGTGAGCGATGAAAATAAGTCGAATGGACCGAGGAAGTGAGTGTGGTGTGGGTATGAGTGTGGGTGTGTGAGCAAACGACAGTTCAGTTCTCACTCAACCGTCCAATGGGGCAGTCCAGTCAAGGAGACAAGCCACCTGCACATCCTCTCCCTAGTCGCGTTTGATAGGACAAGAATTTATTACGTTTTTTTTATGGCTCCACCGAATAACTCCTCTCTCTAGGACGACTTGCTGTGCTTGACATTGACGACAACATGCGGCACCAGACCCCACTTCCACTCCATCATCGGGCTCTGTCCAAGGTTCTCGGCGCGGTTATAGCACACCAACAGCGTCACCAAATACGATCCCACCGACGCGCCCAAGTGCCAGAACGCATGCAGTTGAGGGTTGCCCAGTCCAAAGGGCAGGTTTTGCATCGCATCGCACAACCGGTAGTCAATGTTCCAGAACACATACGCCGTCAGCGCAATCGTTCCCGTCGTTTTCCACATGTGGCGAATTTTCACATCCTGGATATCGGCGTAGATCTTGACAATATGCGACATCACGACAAGGACCATGAACGCAAACGACGACTGGAAGACAACGAACGCAAGCATCAGGTCGTGTGGGCCAGCACCGACAAGGACCACTGTCGTCAAGAGGCCATAGAGGGCAATGCTGACAGGAAACCAGACTCCGTACCGGCGATAGGACCGGTTCTCGATGCAGCAATAGGCCAATGCCAGGATGGAGTAGACCATGGGCACCTCATCCAACATCTGTAGGGGGAAGAGTAATGTCCCGTGGAAGGCAATTGAGCCTAGACCGACAATGGCGATCGATCCAAAGGTCAGGAGGAACCGCTTCTCGAAGGACGCATGAAGGTAGACGCCGACAATTCCGACTAGGATCATGGCGATCGACGAAAGCGAGTTGAAGAACTCGGCGACATAGTAGCTGATGTCGTAATTGTTCTCACACCAATCTATCATTATCATAGTAACAAGGATGATGTTGAAACATGGTAAGCAAAGAGCACGTCTATTATGGAATAAGGAAAAAAGGGGGGAGTGGAGAAGGTAGAAAAGGAAAAGAAGGGGGAAAGAAAAGGACGAACGAGATAGGATGAAGAGAAGAACAGGGAACAGATAAGGACACCAAAACGCCAAGCCAAGCATGGCCTGCCCCAGAACTACCCCAGGACAAGACGAGACGGGATGAAAGATGGGCCGACAATGCTGCAAGCAATTGATGGGTCCTTTGGTTCAAAGAGAACAATCCTCTGCTCTGCATCTCTCTCCCATTTGTTGAATCTTCCTTTCCTTCTCGACAGAGTGGACGAGGTCGAGAACGGCATTTTCTGCGTCAACGGTCGTTCACCCAAGTCTCTTTCCCCTTGTCCTGTTTCCTCTTTTTCTCCTTTGACCCTTTTTCGTCTTTCAATCGTCCTTTTGTTTTCCCGAGGGTCTAATCGCAAAACAATGTCCCGAATCGAGTCCATCCATGCACCACTTCCACACCTCGACCCATTGACAAATTGGGGGGTGATCATCAGCCCTTTCTTTTTTTTTCCTTCTCCTTTCCTGTCTTCCGCAGTGCTTCTTGAAATTCATAAAGAGCCGCGCATATGATTGAGCCAATTCGTCCCATTCATAGGTGCCTGGATGACGATGGTATTGCTGCTTTGTTGTCTGTTTCCTGTTGTTCTTGTTCCATCGACTGCGCTTGGCGTGCTCTCTCTTATTCCTGGCTGTTTTTTTAATAAAATGTGATTTTCATATTCCCGCATGCTGCTGTTGAGGTCGTCATCTCCAACTTTTAAAAAGCAAAAAGGCTGATTTGTTGTACATATCGTCGGCACTTACCCACTAAGGCGTTCAAAAAAAAAAAAAAAAAAAAAAAGGTCGTCAGTATCGTAAAATCAAGCAATTGAGATTGCCTTTCTATTCTTTCTCTGCTCGTCCTATCCCCTTGTATCAAACAAAAAGCAAAAAAAAAAAAAAAAAAAAAAAAAAAAGAGGGGCGCAAGATTGTTTTACCTGAAGATGTTGGAGGTCCCCAGTATCCGGTTGGAGGGAATGAGGTGGCCAGTGTTGTGTTTGAATAGGGAGGTATGGGGGTATTCATTGTTTCCATTGCTGTCGTTCCTATTGTTGTCGACTTTGGCTTTGTTCTTGTTTTTTGTTGTCGATTCGAGGGTACGGCTGTATGGTGACACTAAGGAATCGTCGTTGGTGAGAGGGTGGAAGGTTGCACTGGATTGGGGTTCGGGCGTGGATTTGGGCGTAGTTATTTTTTTCTCGAAGGAGACTAAACGGCTTAAAAAATGAGTGAGGTGGGTATGAAGAAGACGTGTGGATTTTTTAGTGGAGGAATGGTGGCGATGTAATGTGTATGGTATTAAACAAGTATTAGGGAAGGAGGGTAGTTAGAGGATGAATGAATGAAAGTATGAAGGAAAGAAAAAGAGAATGCATAACGGACAGCCATGCTGACTTTATATATACGCGGAAGAGCGAGGTGACCCGTCCACAACCACTGATCCGTGCAAAAAAGGGAGACAGAAAAGAAAAAAAAAAAAAAAAGAGGCGCAATCACACGCATACATACTTCCTCCAGGTCTTGTGGATTGGTTAAGTTGTGTGTCAGCATATATCTGCGGCTTGACCTTGCTCGTCTGTTTAGCATGGGAGATCACTCGCTGCGGACTGACACCGAGGGAGAGCGAGAGGGTGTATGTTGCGTGCGAATGAGGAAGTAGCAGTTAAGAGCTGTTGTCTCTTATTCTATCGAATCACCTCCTCTACTCTCCTCTCCTATTCCGGCACACACTCATTCATACAATCAGGATCTATATGCTCACCCACCTCGTTCGTGCTATTTTTCCCCCGGGGCATGGAACAACAAAAATAACCGAGATTGGGCAAATTGTCCTTCGGACCCTTGGATCCGATGGATGTTTACCTTCAAATTGGCGCATTATTTGGGTACTTCTGCCATGTATCATGCGCACAAGGGAAAAAAACAGATGCAGCTGCTCAATGCATTATTGTTGTCGTCATAAATGGCTGACTGACCAGGAAGGGATCAGAGAGGACCAGAAAACCCCAAATAAATGTACGACGTCAAGGGACTTTGATTAGCCGTCCAAACTCCACGCAATGGTGTCACAATATAACTCGTGCTACCTCTTGGCCCCTTCCGTCATGGGTACCTGATTTCTGAGCATCATTGCTCAAACTTGTCGTCATCCTCATTACCATTGCGCATTCGAGGAGGGTAACAGTAGTGAAATACTTAAAGTTCCCCTTGTAACCAATGGGACAGCAAATGATGATGAGAAATACGAAATGAAAGACGCTTGATCCCAGCACTTTTCTACGTCGTTATTATTGCAAGATCTGGATCCCGACTTGAGACGATCGCTCCTCTTACATTGACTTTTTCACCACCTCCCAGAATGACTGCCTGTGCTTACCATGTCACCTTCGATCACAGCAAAGAGTTGAAACTCCTGAAGCCCCTTGGTCGTCGTCAATGACTTCACCGTACCCATTAAAAAAAGCTCACTTGAAATTTATCTAAAAGGTTCAAGGAAAATACCGTTCGCCCTAGCTCGCTTCTTCGATCTACCATTATTAGCAGCAAAAGCAAAGGTCAATCGCGATCCTTAATGCGATCTATTAGCGCTGCAATAGCGCAACCATGGTTCGATACCCATTTATCCAGAAACCCGGTATTGAAATGTGCAATAGGAGACGTCAGGTTATCTTCAATTGACAATGGCGATCCTGGTTGGCTGTCGTTCGTAGATAAAGGTTGCCTCCTTGATGGCGTGCGTTGATACTCTTTCTTCCCAAGCGAACCTCTTTTTGACACCGTGCCTTTTTTTGGTGCGCACGAGCCTCCCAGGGGTGGGAGTGTAAAGAAAGGAGAAAGTGTGACATAGTGACTGCTTCTCCAATCCAAGGGCGCCTGCTTGGGCGAACCGCTTGGGCTCATGTGTGTGTATGCGTATGTGTGAATGTGCCACCCTTTCTTTCTTCTTTTCTTCTTCCTCCTCTTTGCCTTTTTAACATCATTCATCCCTCTCCTCCTCCTCCTCCTCCTCCTCAAGCAGCATCCACTATCTACCATCCTCATCTGAGAACTCCCACAAAACAATCTCCTTCTAACTCTCTGTCACAAAAAAATACAGCTACTATGGGTCAAGTTAACTCCACTGAGGCTCACTCAAGCAGCCGGCCCACCATCGTCGACCCCATCCCGGCGCCTACTCCTCAGTCTTCCTCATTATCGTCAATCCCCTCGGTCGAAGACATGCGTAATCTGACCAGCCGAATCCTCGCCTCGACCAACGATGCCCTCAAGAACCTGCGTGAGAATATTCCTGCAATCGAATTGCCCGCATCCCTGTCTTCTTCAACTTCGACCTCGGCCGGATCTGACGCTGCTCACGAGGCTGGTATGGCTGCAGCGGCAACGACGGATGGTCTAGGTCTGGCCTCGGGCACCAACCCGGTCATGGTCATGACCTCTTCGAACGACCAACCCCCCATCCTCGTCTATCGGTCCTTTGGCGCCAGCGACAGGGACAACAGCGCCTCGGTCAAAGAGTTGATCAAGCTCCACTACTATCTCTCGGTCGAGTGGGTCAAGGAAAACCCGATGCAGGCTGCAATGGGTGCGGTGGCTTTGGGAGCTGCCCTGGTCGCGGGATCCATGGCAGTCAACGGTATCCAAGCCCATCGTCAGAAGCAACGACAACTCCGCGTGTTGAGGGGAAAGGGCGATGCCAAGCGCGAGGTCATTGTTGTGACGAGTGTGTCAACTCTTGAAGGCGCTTCGTTGGCTCTTTCGTTGGACCAGGAAGGGTTTGTAATCTTTGTGGGTGTGCCTAACCAGACTCGGGCCGATGAGGTTGAGCAGTGGGGTCGGGCAGACATCCGCCCAGTTATTGTTGATGAGGCCAAGGTAATTTTCGCTTTCTCTTCTTGTTATTGTGAACACAAAAACTCAAACAACGCACGCGCCTATGCTCCCCTCAGGCGATGCGGTGTTCCAGCCCAACGAAGACATATGCAAACATACACAAAACCCATGAGATATGCATTACGAAATCCCTAAATTGCTTACATTGTTACTCAACACTCTTGATTCGTTCTTTCTCTTCTCCCTGAATATAAGGCCAACCCGTTCGAGGAACTCGTGAGGGCCGTCTCTAGCTTCCTGGACCAGAACAACAGCGGCCTCCTCGGCATCAGCCCGCTCTCGTCATCATCCTCAGTCATCTACCAGGAAGAGCTCTCCTCCTCCACCGCCAACATCCGCCTCGTCAACCCCGAGCACTCTCTCAAGTCTGTCAGCGAAGCGGAATCCAAGCGTCGCCATCACGGCAAGACCGACACCCCACTTTTCCGCCTTGCGGCTGTGATTATCAACCAGCACTCTAGCCCTACTGGTTCTATCGAGAAGGTTGATATGGATCTCTGGCGCCAGGCTGTCAATACCAACATCACTGGAGCCGTCATTGCTGCCCAAACGTTCATGCCTCTGGTAAGAGATGAAGATAATGCTTACGTTCGTCATGTCACACAGACCCCCCCCCCCCAATTCCTCACCCCATGCTTTTCTATTTATCTTTTGCACGACCCTCTTTGTTAGATGAGACGCACATTGGCACTGGCAAAGCCAAGACGTTCACCCCGCCTCATCTTTGTCTCCTCCGCGATTACAGGCAGCATCGGATTTCCATTCCAGTCTGCCATTTGTGCCAGCCACCATGCTGTTGAATCCATTGCAGACTCATTGAGACGCGAAGTCAAGTCCCAGGGCATCGATGTTGTCTGTCTCCGCCCCGGAATCGCCGACCGCTCCTTCCGTAAAGAATGGGGCAAGAAATCCAGCAAGGTAACCACTCTCCTCCGTCCTCAACATCTCATCGCCCAATATTTTTTTCCTCCTTCTTCAACACTTTGTTGCCCACCCCTCCTGAACTACATCCCTTTCTCTTATACGATTCATATGGATAGGCAAGCGTGGGAGGTTTGGGATTACTCAACACCATGGACCCGACAAAGATCCTCAGGACAACCTTCAAGTCCGAGTCGACCACCGCAGCTCTCTGCGACGCGACTTATGATGCTATCACTAAAAACAAACCCGCGGCATGTGTTCGTGTCGGCAGTGGCAGTCTCTCGTACTCGTTTGTCGGTTGGGTGGTCCCCCGGTCGATTGTCGATTGGTCTCTCCAGGGTAAGCCCGTCAAGATCTACGCCTCCTCCACCGTCAAGGTCTCAAATTCCACCACCAATGTCCGCGAGGAGTAAAAACCAGCCAACGTTCATCCGAGCATGTCGAAGGGCGATGAAAGTGCAATTAGCAATTGTTACCAAAGAAATAAATGGCAGACAATGTGTGTGTGTGTTTTTTTTTTTTTTTTTTGTTTAGTCTTTTACGGGTATACACAGAATTAAGCGTCCTTGATGGTTAAGTCAGAAAGAACCTCATCGACCTTGCCCACCTCCTCATCGCCTTCCTCCGTTGCCCCAAGGTCAAGTCCCTTCTTGTTCAGGACAGCAGCGCTAACAATATCATGGAAGCTGAGGGTGCTCGAAGGGCGGGTGTTCTTGCCACTGGTCACAACAACCTGCTCAGAATCGCGTACATCCTCACCAGAACCAAACGACGATCCCGAAGAGGTCTGCATCTTGCGAATAAGTCCAACAGCACGGACGGCCTTCTTGAACGCAGAGCGGGCGTTGAAGTTCTTGCGGACACCGGGCAACAGGTTGACGCTGTCGGCGGGCGAGAGGGGGGTGACCATGTCCTGTTCGAGCATAGCACGGAACCAGGGGTGGTTCAAAGCCTGGGTAGCTGTGGGTCTCTTTTCGGCGGGGCGCACCAAGAGAGAATCAATGAACGCCTTGGCGAGTCCAGAAATGTCCTTCCAGTATTCCTCCTCATATTCGTACTCTCCCGAAATGATGCACTCAAACAACGACGCCTGGTCTAAAGAGGATAGGACAGGTGATTCACACGGAACATTGTTAGGACATTTGTCACTTGGTACCGCATGAGACATTCACCATCGGAGTCCAACAATGCACCAAGGTACATAACAAGCAAAATAAACACGAATGGTTTGTTTACCCTCTCCCCAGAAGGGCGTGTATCCACAGAGAAGTGTGTAGGCAATGACACCAACACTCCAGATATCGACAGGCTTGCCATGTCCAATCTGCTCCAAAACCTCGGGGGCAACATATCCGGGGGTTCCGCAGGCAGTCATAAGGACATCGTTTCCGCTGGTAAGGACCTTGCTCAGACCAAAGTCAGTGATCATGAGACGAGCATTATCGGTCTTGTCCATGAAGAGCAAGTTCTCGGGCTTGAGATCGCGGTGGACAATATCCATCTCGTGCAAGTACTCGACACCCAGCAGCATCTCGCGGACCAGACGAGCAGCATCTCCCTCGGTATAACTTCCCTTCTTGAGGAGCTGGTCGAAGAGCTCTCCACCCTCGGCCAAATCGGTGACCAGGTAGACTGCATCCTCGGTCTCGAACAATTCCAGCAGAGAGACGCAGTTGGGGTGTCTGACCTTGGACAAGATTGAGATCTCTGTGTTGAGCATGGTGCCTTTTCCCTGAAGCGACTTTTTGAGGATGATCTTGAGCGCATAGGATTTGCCTGATAAAGACGAAGAACAAAGGGGAATGATAGGTTGATTGAGTTGAGCAATGCAAGAATAAAAAAAAACAAGGGTAAAGGTGAAGAGACGCATAATAAAGGTTCACACGACGAACCATTCGCACGTGTCTCATCCTGCGACACAGCTACAGTCATCTCCTCTTTCCTTTCTCTGCTTTGCTGTGCCCCATCATGTCTCTATCCTCGAAAAAAAAAGTGTCCGGTTTTGCTTACCAGTCGATTTGAGCTTAATCTCCTTGACGGTGGCAAAGGTACCAACACCGAGGACGTGATCCGTAACCTCATAAAGCTCCAGCATGTCAGGGTGCATCCTGGGTCCACGCTCCCGCTCCCGCCTCCTCTCTGCAGCAGCGGTAGCCTTCTCTGCTGCAACTCTCTCGGCAATAGCCTTCTCGGCCGCCGCAGCCTCGTTCTCATGACCGTGGTTCTTAATCTTGTCGATAAGTTTCATCATTTTCGGTTGTATGTATATATGTGTCGTTCGATTGTCCTTTGGTTGCTGGTTGAGGGTGGGATTTTGTTGTCTCCTGGAGAAGGTTGAAAGAGTGCTTTCTAATTGATAAAGGTCGAAGAGAGGAAGAGGAAGAGATGGTTTAGCAGCGGAATCTAGTGAAATTAAAGAGCTTGAGAAAGGTTTTTTTTCCTTCGTAGCCAAGCGGAGAGGACAGCAAGAAAGAGAGAGCAGGAAGTGGGCCGAGGTGTGGTTGCGAGTGTCGAGTAGTCGAGTCCAGGTCCTGCCAATGGCGATAACGGCAAGAAAAGGCGCCTTCTTCCTCTTCGGAGGAGTCAAGTCTTGGAAAGTACCTTGAGTGATGAGAGACCGAGGGGATGAGTGTGTACAGGTGAGGGGCAATGAGACGGAAAGTAAAAAGGGAAAAGGAAGGGGTGGGTGAATGTGAAAAAAGAAAGAGAAAGAGAAGAAAGAAGAGAAAAGGAAGAGAAGGAAGAAATAAGAAAAGGGTGAAGAGAGAGGAACGGGACCATGAAAAAAAGAAAACAAACGCCGAGAAAGAGTGAGTCGTCCTTGTTTTCGTTACACTCTTGCAGACACACACACTACATTACAGGTCCGACAAAAAAGCTCTCACCATGTCACACAACTTCACCACTTCACCTGCTTCCTTCACACTCGCTCCCTTTGTCGTATTCCCTTTCCTTTTTCCTTTTCCCTTCCTCTGTCCATCTGTTCCCTTTCCTTGTTCCTTTTCATCTCGTTGCTTTTCTACGCCTTCATAAAACACCACTACCTCCGCGGAGGAAACATAAGAAAAAACAGCCAAAGTGGAATGAGTACATACCTCCCCCATGTAGGTCGCCATCACTTTCTTTATTTTTTATATTGCTCTCGTTACTTCCCTCTCTTACTCTCCCTTTGTCACCTTGCGTTTGTCTACTCTGCTCTCAGCACCGCCCTCTCAAACCTCCATGCATCCCGCCCCCCTCTTTTTTTTTCATGCGTCCCGTTTGAGTGGGCTGAGTGGGTTGAAAATATACTGGGATCCTTGGTTCATTTCTTCTTCTTTGGGGCGTCCTTTGACATACAAAAGTCCAATAGCTACCCCCTGACATACCAGCGATTGAGCTATTCTTGTCTTCTTGTCATTCCTCTCCTTATCCGGGGCTACTGTGGCTGGAACGAACATCCAGTTGAACAAGCAACTTGTGCACCAAAGAGTAGAGACAATCAAGGTCATCTTTATTTTTATGAAGAAAAGCCTTGTTCTTGCCTCCCTCTCCTCATGGCTGTAATTGCCCAAAACAAGACGTTTTATAAAGAGCATGGCAACTGCATGACACACACACAAAGGTATTTTTGGATAATGTTCAGGCACCGCTGAGCTGCCCGCGACACAGCCTCCTTCAGGTGTTCCCACCAAAAAAAAGCTATATTTGAGACATCCACCAAATATTGCAACAAAAAGGTTGTTTCGACGGCGCCCCGCACCCCGCAGCCGCAACTTAGATCGAACAGCCTCCAATGATGCAAGGTCACATGGTCCTCTTACTCTTTCTCTCTGCAACACATCTATCGTTATTTTTTGTATTTTATTTTATCTTCATCAAGTCCTTACTTAGTATCGATAAGGACCCTCCCAGTAAAGGACTCGGTTCATCCCCTCAAAGTTGAGCCAGGTAGTCTTGATGTCCGGATGGAGTGTCTCCAACCAAGTGACAAAGTCGGAATACGAAGTCACTGGTCGAGTCGATGGATCTCCGTCTTCCTCATCTTGCTCCCCTGCAACGCCCTCGTTGATGCTACTACTACTGCTGCTGACAATGTCGTCCGTTTCGAGGTCCTTGGGCAGTCGGCGATGTGGGTTGTCACGACCAAAGACACAACAGGGGATGATGGCGAAGGGTTTCCCGGCCTTGAGTGCCGCCCTCACAATAGGTTCTGTGGCCTGATCTGGATGGAGTCCAATGATGATCGATGCAGTGCTGACTGTATCCTTGTGGGTTTCCAAGAACTGATTGTCCAACATGGCTTGTATCCGTGAGGGTTCTGTCGCCTGGAGGGGTTTTGTTTTCACTGTAGGGATAAAGTCGGCCAGTCCATCAAGAGGCTTGTCGGCGTCCGGCTCCTGCTCCTCGGTGGCGTCCACGGTTGTTGGAGTTGATGCTGAAGACTCGCCTTCTTCCTGTACCGCCGATGCCTCCGAGCCGCCGTTGCCATCAATTTCGTTGCTGTTCGCCTTGAACTTTTCCAGCCACTTGCGCTGCCATTTCCGCATCCCCTTGCCTGGACGAGGCTCAACTACAGTAGACCGAATCCCTTGCCGAGTCTGCGGCTCCCACGACAGGTCTCCTCTTCCTCCTGCAATATCAAGCACTCCAGAGCCTGCGTTCAAGCACTGGTGTGTGAACGTGTCGATCAGCCACTTTGCAAAGTAGAGTGCTCGTTCCCGATGTTGGTTCTTGGTTGTTTTTTGGTGCGGGTCCGAGGCATGATGTGAGATTTGTCTCTTCGCTTGGATTCGCTATCGTAGCATGAAATAAAATGTCATTGTCGATCAGCACTACGCTCCCAAATAAATAAAGCTCTCTGGCATCCTCTGCAGGCAGAAACAAAAAGAAGCCATACTCACCTCGTTGACCCATCGCTTGCGTTCAGCTTTGAGTTTCACCGGATCAGTCTCATGCCAAAACTCACACACCTCTTTGCTGCACTTTCCCGAGTTGAGCCAGAACTTGCAATGCGGTTGCGAATCGTCTCCTCTCTGTTGCTGCTGCGATGCTGAAGAATCTTCCGACATCTCGCTGCTCTTCCTTTTCTTCCCTGATGCCTTACCTCCTCCTCCTCCTCCTCCTCCTCCTCCTCCTCCTCCTCCTCCTCCAGCTGCATTCTGCCCAGTAGTAACCCCGTTCGAGATCTCTGCCGATCCCGGGTTAGGCTCAAATCCATCCTTGCCACGCCAGAGTTCCAGGATATCAAAGTCAAGACAGTGCAACAAAGCCGACCATCGATTAGTCATCGACGTCGTTGATTTCTTTTTTTCGGAAATCTCAATGTCTCCAAAGACCTTGACCACGGCGCCGAGTTGTACCCTCCGCCACAGATCGTCCAGCTCTTTAAGAGAATGTGTCGGGAACCGAGCAATAACTTCCATACGCCTCTGATACTGTGTGGTCTGTGGCTGTCCGTCTCCTGTTGGATCGTCGATAGGAGCCTCAACGTACTCCCAGTCACTCTCCGTGGTACCCTCCGCTGCAGTCGCCTCAGATCCGCCCGCAACTTCTTGCTCAGCCGTGATGTCCTCGGAAAGCCTACTCTTGTGCCGACGACGGACCAAAGAGACGTCTAAAAAGAACAGCCGTCGGGAGAGTTTTCGCTTGTGGATAATGCGACCCTCCAAGTAATATTTCCGCTGCGGTTCAAAGCCCTTCTTGGCCTCGCCTTGCTTTGACGTGTCGGCTGTTGTTGTCGAGCTGGGTGTGGTTGGTCCTGCAGCTATAGAGCGTGCCTTGTCGGCGTCATTCAAGTCGCTGTCGCCATAGACTTTGAGGCCCTGACAGGCAGAAGATCCCAGGCGGATCAGCCTGTCAAGAAACTGTGCATCGACTTGAACTGGATTGGACATTGTCAAAGGAATGTGAATCGCCTTCGAAATCAAAGAAGGAGAAAAGAATAAATACACAAGTCTGAGTCACGTGCGCATAGTTTATTCACTGCGAAAAGATCAGATCGCGTTCAGGCACCACATCAAGGTTCTCGGGGTCGTTGCGCCTCTGGAGCTCCATGGCATTATCGGCAGCCACAACCTGGTGGACGTGCTTCTTTTGCTGGTCGGAATCTTCAACCTCTTTGGAAGCCATCGTCTGGACCAACCCGACTTGCTCCTCGACATGCTGCTTCGCATCCGTCAGTTGTGCTAGGATCTCCTTGATCCGCCGGTTGTATATCTCGCGGTTTTGAGCGGCCTGACGTTCCATCAAGGTATTCTCCTGCTCAAGTCGGTCGGCCTCTGTTGTGTTCTGGTTTATCTCCAACATCATCGCTTGAAGCTGCTCTTCCTGGCTCTCGGTGAACGTCTGACGATTGGCTGACTCCGTCCTTGCAGACTATAAATTCAATGACAGGATATGTAAGGCGGGGTGTTAGTAAAGAAACCCGCATGTTTTCAGTACCAAGATCACAAAAATAACGAGAAAAGAATTGTACTGTACCTCTTTATCTTCTTGATGCTTTTTAGACAAAAGGCCAAATTGGTACTCCTTGATGCGAATCTCAGCGTTCTTGTCCGCAATTTGGTCCTCCAAGTGGTCCAGGTCCTCCTTCAGAGCCATAAGCTCATTCTCCGTCTCATTGACATTTGTCGTAAACTGATTCCTGAGGGCGCCGACAGTTCGCTCAGCCTTGTTCTTGGTTTCAATCGAGTACAAACTTCCGGTACCAGAGATGGCATTGTCCAGATCCAGTCGCAGCTCAAAGTCCTGACCCCCCGCATGCTTACCGGATCTGGGAACGATTCCAATCTTCACTGCAAGCACATTGTACTCGGTGATCAAACGCTCTGCCTCGCTCTCGCCTTCCTGGAATCGTTTGTCGAGTGTCCGCTGCTCCTCCTCGAAATCGCTGACCTTCTGCTTTAGACTGTCCTCCTTCCGCCGCAACCTGTTGCGTTCCTCGATCTTGGTCTCCAAACCGGCACGAGTTGTGGTCTGTGTCCGAACAATCTCCTGGACCTCCCGCTTTGCCCGCTCAACATCCGACAGCTTGTGCTCCTTGTTGATAATGTTTTTCCTGGTCTCTTCATTCGCCATTCGTACTTCCTCGATCCTTGGCACTCCATGCTCAATGGCCTTCTTGAACTGCTCCAAGTCCTTCTTCAAAGTCTTCTGTTCCCCCTCCAGTGCAATCAGCGGTGACTAAAAATGTACAATAAACAAAGCAATAAAACACGCGTTAGCTTCAATGCCTAGGAACACTCCAAACACATGAGTTGTCGGGTTTTCGCCCAATTTCTTATCGATTAGTGTGACATACCACTTCTGCCCGAGCGGCCTCCAGTTCCTGTCGACGAGTATCGTTCATCACGTCAAGACTCCGCACCTCATCCTCTGCATACTCCTTGCGACGTTGAAAACTCTTGGCCATGCTCTCCTCGATATCCGGATCGTGCAAGTTGCCTGTCAACATCCAGACCCGGTACGTCTTTGTCAAATAGTGGTATAATGCTCGCTCTGGTGACACCTGTGTCATGTCCATTTTCGGGTCAATATCTCTGTCCCTGTTATGCGCGTTGCTCATCTGCTGTGCCTCCATCATCTCATTGTATTTGTCGATGATCTAAAATGTATCAATAATAGAGGATGGTGAGTCTAGGTTCATGTCGCCCTAGTCGTTCATGATTGATACAAAACAAAAAAAAAATGGCAAATAATCCTGTACCGTAATAACGTCCACCATCCAGCCGAGCATTGCCAGCATGTTGGGCCAAGAGTGCTGTGTTCCAACGGTATACAACGACGTCTTTGAAATGGAATCTGCCGCAGGGTATCTATATTAACATACGGCAAAAGTGAGAAGTTTTGTCCTGAACACATTCACGTCTCCTGCACGTCTCGAGCAAAACTCTGTCACACTTTTTCTTCTGTCCACCTTTACCTCATCGTCTTCAGCAATATAGGCACCTCTTCCTCAAACTTTTTCTGAAACTCGTATCTTGGCTCCAGTTTGAGGTATAGGAACTTGAAGATATCCTGGAAATCCTTGTTTGTCGGCTGGGTTAAGTTCTTGTTTGTGATGACATGAGGGTATCCGGTTTGCGTCAAGAAGTTCACGATGTGGAGAACCAAGTTCCTTTGAAATCCTTTGTCCTTGACTGGCCGCGGGTCCCGAATGTTGATGTTGTTCAAGAGCGAGAACCCCATTCCTGGGCCAGGTCCGTTCATGGACTGTCTTGGCGCGAAGCTGCTGACTCGACTAGTAAAAAAGTACAAAAGGACCATATAATATATGAGTCTAGCAGTGCAAAGCAAAGTGTCTTGGTGAGTCTTCACACTGTTTCCTGGCCACTGCCACATACCGGTTTCCGGACGTAGGTGGTCCCATGACACTGCTTCCAAGAGCTCCATAGTCGTCTCCAGTCAAAGGCCCCATAGGAGAAGGTCGTTGTGACATCATGACGGACGAGTTTAGAATACTGTTGCGATGGCCTCCGTTGATGGACTGTCGAAATCCAGACGAGACACTCCAGCGACTGTTGCCACTCCCAGCTCCTGCCGGGTTGTTGTACGAAGATGCGGATGGGGGTGGCTGCATGGCATTTGGGTAGCTTGTCATCCTTCTTGATGTGGGTATGCTTGAACTGTTGTTGTTGTAGGGTGTCTGCGGTTCCTGGTGATTCATGGTTTAAAGAAAAGCAAAGTAGATGGAGTACGCGAATTTCTTTATTTTCGTTGAACAGTAGTAAAAAATTGCGTGACTGTCTTCGCGTCTCTTCAACGCGTTCCCTTTCATACGGTTCCGTTGGAATCTTCCGACGACGACAACAAGCTGTCAAAAAGATTAACAAAGGGCTTCCTCGTTAGCCTCAGGAAAACAACACTTTTATAGAAAGAACAACGGGATCAATTTTTAAGGAGCCGGCACTAACCTGAACTGCTTGAGCAAGACGCATTGACCGCCGTTCTCCAGGTCAATATTGTATTGATACAAATAGCCATCCGATGTCGCCACCATGATCTGTGGAGTCGTCCTAGGAACCGAGTTGGAAACAACGAAACTACCAAGTTAGTCATTAAGTTCTGATGTTTTGAAACAGATACTCCGAACAATAACCTTCCAAACTTACGAGCTCAATGCAATGACACTCTGGAGGCCTGACGTTGGCAGCTTGATGTAAGCAAAGTCGCGAGATGGCTCAAAAATCTCCGTTATGGCTCCTGGAAGGTATGAGCCAACACTTCCTGCGAGATTCTTTCCGATGTTGAATGACTGCCGGCGAATAATAGAACTATTATGTAACAATAAAATATCATGAATGTTAGCGTTTGTAGAATACCTTTCGTCTCGTCAATGAGACAATGACTAGAGCATTGACATGTCCATACCTCATTCCCGAGCCCTTTTCGGCTGAACCGTCAATCGAGCCTCCATTTGATCTGTGACCATCGCCGGGACGATTTGATCCTCCGAGTCTGAAAATATGGACAGTATCGGTGTCGCTTGACACCGAGAGCAATGTGCTGGCGAGGTTGAAGGAGAGCGAGTAGATCCTGGCTGACTGAGATCCTCGTCTGAATTGAAACAATCGCTGCGCATTGGGTATCGACCAGATGCGGATAACAGTACCCTAACGTCATTGGAACAGCAACAGCATTCAAGTTAGATGGTCAAATCTCATATAACTTGAATCCAGCATAGCCCATTATACGTCCTAATCTCACATCACGAGAAGTACCTTGTCACTCGCAGTTGCAAGCATCGTTCCTTCAGAGTTGATAGAAATGTTGGAGACAGAGGTCTTGTGAGCTTGGACAATGTTGACCACTTGCAATGTTAGAGCATCAAAGATCAGTACGTCTCCTGAAGGACCATGCGAGTCATCCCGTCCGCCGGGTGAGGTGGGCGATGGTGTAGGTGATGGATAGGCGAGATAGCAGTTCTCGCTCGAAGGCGACAATGCACAGATAGCTATTGAAGAAAGTACCAGAACATTGGTCAGCATGATTTTCTCACTTCCTGGATGTTTGAAAAAAATGTATATGGTCGCATGACCTAACAGAAAGTTATCCTGTGACATACCATGAGGATTAGGACTTGTCTCAATGGTGTGAAGGAGCTTCATATTGCTGATGTCGTAGACGTAGATCTGATCTTCGAGCACCACGATGAGTCGCTTCCGATTGAGTTTGACAGAGAGGATGGTTGTTGGAAAAGTGAGCTCGCAAATGGTTGATTGACGCTAATAATGGCATAATGCAACGTGGCATAAAAAATAAAAGATGAGATGAGATATTGTACTGAACTTGATACTTCGCGTGTGTCTACGCAACGTTCATTGGAAAAAAGAGGCTTCTTACCTTTGTGTTGATGATTTGAAGTCTTCTGGGCGAGGATGCTGGCTGGTCTCCAGCCCCGACAATCGCGACCAAAGACGTGCAGAACAACATCTCGACGATCCCGATAGAGCTGTCCGCTGATGCAATGGTACAAATATGCCAAAGAAATATATTGTGTGAGTAGTGTGTCCTGCGGTAAAGAGTCAAACACTCACAGTTCTGCGCAATATCACGTTGCTTGTGTCCATGCTGAACATACTCTTGGAGTAGCATTTGCCGAAAGGGTCGCAGTTGTAAATGTTGAATCCGCGTTTTGTTCCGACAGAGATGCAGCTAGTTGAATGAAGTCAAGAGTAGAAGTGGGTGTGAGTGTGAGAATGAGTGAGAATAGGAAGGATGAATGAGTGAATAGTTGGGTCTGAGTTGCCGCAGAAGGAAGGCCATTTGCAAGGGTTGATAACAAGATGTTGTTTGTTCTTGAGGTTATGTGTCTGTGTCTGTGAGGAGAGAGTGTGGAGAGGTAGGTACCTGAAGTCCTGGTTGAAGTTGATGAATAAGAGGTCCCCGCCTCGTGCGCTGAGGTTCATGGCAGGCAGTAGTGTTTGTCTTGTTGTTGTTGTTGGTAAGCTGGGTGCAGGTGTTGTTGGTTGCTGGTGTGGGTGGGTGTTGTGGGTGCAGTGGTTGGGTGGAGTGGTGGCAAAGAGAAAGGAAGAGAGATAAAAGTGAAAGAGAGGAGAAGGGTGCGTGTGACCAAGGAGAGCTTCTCATGCCAGGCTCAACGCAGTCACAGGAACATTGACTGGCACGAATTCACGAGTATCAAAGAAGGGCAAGAAACCAGCTGCACCCCTTGCTTGTCTTCCACCTCTGCCGTGACCCGCACGCATTGGGCCATCTGTTCAAAGAAAGAACGTTGCATTGAAGTTAGTGCCGGGCGAAGGAACCTTTGGCGTTTCGTTGTTACCGCTTTTCTTGTATGCAGCGAGTACTGCGTTCACTCAGCCTTCCACAGTTCCACAGTCAACAGACCTGCATGCACCAGAACTGTGCAAGAGTGACCGTGTGAAGGATTTTGTGGTCTGTTGGGGTAAAGACGAACAAGGATCGATGGATTTGTTGCCTTTGTGGCCCTTGCTTTTTTTTATTTTTTTATTCGCCTTTTTTGTTCTTTTCCCCCTCTTTCTTCTTCCTCTTCTCCAGTTCCCTTGGTCCCCCACAGCCTTCCTCTCCTCTCTCCTCCTCCCTTCTACCCCACCTTTACTCCGACTCCACGTCCCGCCCTTCCCTCATCCCTCCCTCATCTCATCCCACTCCACAGCTCATCTCCACTCAAACACACAATGGCCACTCAAATGTACTCCATCGAGGTTGTCGGCAGCCAGGAGATCCCCGGTGAAGGAAAACCTCGCCGCAGCATCCTCTGCCCCGACAAGCTTGTCCAGAGCTATCCATCCAGCAAGGGCAACACCGATATCACTACCCTCTACGAGAACTTTCTGGAGGGTGTCCAGCGTTCAGGTACGAGACACGAGACATGGTTCCTCCTTCCCCTTCCCCTGAGCTGAAACAACTCCCTTTTCGTCCACCCTAGGCGCAGCATTCATCTCGTGTTTTTTCTTTTCTGCATAATAGAGGGAGGCGACTTTCTCGGATACCGTCCCATTGTCGACGATGTCCCCCAGCCATACGAATGGCTTACTTACTCGCGTGTCCAGGAGAGGGTGACCCACTTTGGGGCTGGACTCACCCACCTCGGCCTGGCAACTCAGCAGAACTTTGGTATCTTTTCCATCAACCGACCTGAATGGGTAAACTAATACTGCATAAACTGACAAATGACCGCCTTGCCCGCTCTGTGTTGTATGCTTTATTCGACAGCGGTTGTCGTAAACAATGACTGAACGACAACCCTTGTCCTCCCTCGAATAGACGATGAGTGAGTTAGCCGGCTATATGTACAACTTTACTTCCGTCCCTCTGTACGACACCCTGGGTGTGTCTGCTATTGAGTTTATCGTCAACCAGACAGAGATGGAGACCGTGATAGCATCTGCCGACAAGGCCTGGATCCTGCTCAACATCAAGGATACCCTGCCCACCGTCAAGAACATTATTGTGATGGGCTCGCTGGAGGAACCTCTGGTCTTAGAGGGCAAGAGATTGGACGTCAACATTGTTGCCTGGACCGAAATTGAGCGCAATGGACTCGACAAGCCTGTGTCTGTCAACCCTCCCTCCCCTGACGATGGTAATAACCTTGTCTGATATGATACCATCGTATTCGTCACCGGCACTTCTTATTACTATCGGTAAACTAACCTGCTCGTCCTTTTGTTCTACTTCCTCGTTAACATAGTCGCTACCATCTGCTACACCAGTGGAACAACGGGAACGCCAAAGTAAGCATGAACGTCGTTATCTTTAGAGTTCGCTTTGGGTTGCATTTATTTTTTCTTTGGGGTCCGGTCGCATCCAACAAACAAACACAAACAAAAACAACAATGCGCTTTCGGCTCCTACACCGGCTCTCTTTTGCTAACCACCTCTATGCTATTTTCATATCCAGGGGTGCCATTTTGACCCACAAGAACTTCATTGCGGGTATCAGCTCGTTCCACATGATGGCTAAACATCAAAAGTTTTTTATCCCCTCCGGAGATGACACTCATATCTCGTACTTGCCATTGGCGCACGTTTTTGAGCGTCTCTGCCAGGCCGTTATGATCTCGGGGTCAGCCCGCATTGGATACTATCAGGGAGACACTCTCAAGCTTTTGGATGACGTTGCAATCTTGCAGCCCACCATCTTTGTCTCGGTCCCTCGTCTCTTTAACAGGATTTATGACAAGGTCTTGGCTGGTGTCAAGGCCAAGGGCGGACTTGCCGCCTACCTGTTCAACCGTGCCTACGCTGCCAAGAGGGACAACTTGAGACGTGGTATTCTGGAGCACGCCCTCTGGGACCGCTTGGTCTTTGGTACCATCCGCGCTCGTCTCGGAGGAAAGGTTAAGCACATTGTCTCCGGCTCGGCTCCCATTTCGCCTGATGTCATTGATTTCCTCCGCATCTGCTTCAGTGCAGACGTGTATGAGGGATATGGCCAGACTGAGCAAGCCGCTGGATTGAGCATGAGCTACCGTGGCGACTTGACTCCAGGACAAGTCGGACCCCCACAGCTGTGTGTCGAGGTCAAGCTGAGGGACATTCCTTCCATGAACTATACCAGCAAGGACCTGCCCTTCCCTCGCGGAGAGATTATGCTTCGCGGACACTCTGTCTTCAAGGGCTACTACAAGTCACCCAAACAGACAGAAGAGACTTTGGACTCCGAAGGCTGGGCTAGGTAACTTGCAGCTCCTGAATGCTTATTGAATATACAACTGGACGACATTCTTCAAGGAAGCATTCATTTCTAACCCACACTTACTCTATTCCTGTACTTAGCACTGGAGATGTTGGGCAATGGGACGAGCGTGGACGCTTGGTCGTGATTGACCGTGTCAAGAACATCTTCAAGCTTGCTCAAGGTGAATACATTGCTCCTGAGAAGATTGAGTCCGTTTTGGCCAAGCACTACTTGGTCGCTCAGTTGTTTGTCTACGGCCACTCGCTCAAGGCAACCCTGGTTGGAATTGTTGTTCCTGACTTCGAGACCTTGCGCCTGTGGGCCAATTCCAACGGTTTGGCTGGCAAATCGGACCAAGAGCTTTGTGACTCTCCTGAGGTACAAAAGACTCTCTTGAAGGAGCTGTCGACCTTTGGACGAGAGTCTGACTTGAAGGGCTTTGAGATCTTGAAGAATATCACTGTGGTCTCAGAGCAGTTCACGATCGAAAATGACCTCTTGGTAAGCAATCCATCAATGCAGGCATATTTTACGTTGAATGCAGGCATATTATACGTTGTTACTATTTGATCCATTGACTTACCTGTGTTTCTTGCTACAACTTTAGACCCCTACCTTCAAGTTGAAGAGACACACCGCCAAGGAAAAGTACAACGCAGAAATCGATCGCATGTACTCTGAGACCGAGTGAGTGCGATGAGGACCAGCAACGCGCCAACGGCTGGCTCAGCCTTACGCATCATAGTTCACCATATAGTTTTCACCATAGTTCATAGTCCACTCACAAAAAAATATATACGTATCCATTTCACAACGAGTTTTATTACAATGTGTATTACTCCTCGTCCTCGTTACCGGCAGCTCCAGAATCTCCCCCACCACCACCGCCACCCAAATCCTGTCCATTCATTAACATCTGCCTCAACACCTCCGGAGGATACTCTGCACCGCGCACCTTGACGTTATAACAGGCCAACTCAATCTTTTGAAGAGACTGTTTCAAAACACCCATCTTCTTAGAAATGGGCGACATTTTGGTGAGTGACAGTCCGTCGAATCCACTCTTGATATCGCGGAGGAACTGGAGGATGTGTTGGACGCGTTGTTCAGGTGAGAGGATTGATGCATCCTCGCCCTGGAGGGTCGGCATCAGCGACTGACCGAGGGTGTTGATGGCGAGACGCATCAATTCTCCTGTCAGATCGGCAATCCCTAGCAGGTAATCCTCGTCTGTAACCTCGAGTCTAAGCTGTACTGTTGGAGAAAATGTTGCCACCGCTACTGGTACTAGGGGTGTTTGGTCTGTTTCGATGATCATAGGCGAAGTTGGAGCCGTTGAAGGTGATCCATCAACAGCCGATGTGCTCGCTGATGGTTGTGATGCTGGTCCACCTGCCGAGGTAGGGTTTGCTGGTCTCTTGGGGGCTTCTTCCCTGTCTTTGTTGTATGGTCTTTTCCTGCTGTCCTTGTTGAACTTTCCTCGCTGTCCTCCACCGCCTCCTCCTGATCTACCCTCGCCGCCGAACGGAGATTGACCAATGGCGATAATGAGATCTGGGTTGGCCATCTGTTCTGCCGTCGTCGTAAAGGCCAGATCCGCCTCGAGTGCACTCTTGGGCATAAGCTTTCCGTGAACCAAGTAATATTCCAGTGTCATAGCCTCGATCTATTGATGAATGGGATTGCAGGAATGAATGGGTTGCCCTTGTCAAATAAAAAAGCCTCTACTACTAATGACATTCAAAAAAAGTAGAACGTAAGTTAACATGACTTACGTATTCCTGAAAAGCACCAGAGATGCTCCTCTGGTAACGATAATAATTGGATCCTTGAAGATCAATGGTCGCTCGGTGGAAGAGTTTCAAGACAGTCGCATGTTTCTCTTTGAACTCGACTAGGGCTTCGGATGTGGCCGAGAATTGAGGGAGGTAGTCTTTGGGTTCTGCACGGTGGAGCGCAAAGATCATCTTTTTGCTGAAGTTGTTGATATCTCTACAAGTATTTAGAGGAAAGGATGATTTGCCAAGGTGATGTTAATACTCGTTCAAGGCGGGGTAGTCGCCGCAGGGAGTCCTTTGAGAACAAAAAAAATCCGCTGCAACTCACCTGGACACTTTAATGATGCGCTCTCGGCGGTCATGCTAATGGTCAAAGAGAGAGAACAATTACCGTCAGCGCAATTTTCCTTGAACACAATTTTTTCCTTGCACAGTTTCCTTTGTAAGGTACTTTTATGCGTCCGTTCACGTACGTGCTCTTCGAGGATGTCGCGAAAGTATCCAAAATCCTGGACAATCGACTTGCCGAGGTTGGACCGAATCATATCTCCCTTGGACGCGTGTTGCTGAGTAGCCAAGGGCGATTCCGCATGCTCGGCCATTGAGGCTGGTGGTGTTTCCATGTCTACGTCCTCCATTGGCAAGGTTGGTGTATGTTGATGTTGGTCGCGTTTTTGTGAGTGAACAAGAAAAGAGAATTCGCAACTGGGGATGTTGCATTTTTTATTTGCAGGCTACAAGGTGACTGCTCAGGGTTGTGGTTGAACAAACTTCAAAGAGTCTAAAAAAAACGCCACCACTCTTTGCTTCATTCCTCCGTCAAGTCGGACTCGCCTGCCAACACCACCATGTCAACACAGGATTCACTCAGGATCATCGACAAGCGACAAACTATCGTACGCATCAACTTCTCCTATACTATACTATAGAGGCTCATGCACGACATCAACTCCACATCATCCATGACAACACTCGTGCCGTCTAACATACGGTACTACTTATTGCCTAACTTTGATAACAATAGTCAGGGACAGAGTACCTGTTAAACTCTGGAGAATGGATAGCGTCGTCAACGTCCCGCATCATCAACCCAGAGCTGGTCGAACTCTACGAATATCTTCACAATTCGGGATTCCGGAAAGGTGCCAATGTCTTCAACCCACGTCTACGACCAAGATTAGTTCTACCCAAGGGAACTCGCAAAAGAACACAGTCTTCCTCCGGAACATTGACTGCACCATCGCCCACAATATCTTTGGCAGAGGGCTCTCAGGAAATCAGTGCGGTAGCAACACCGGTTTATACCGAGTCTCCCAGCCAGTATGCAAATCAAATTGCCCACTTGTCGATTGACCAGGAGGAGGAGGAGGAGGACGACGAAAATCGCGACAGCATTTCAACACCACCTCCAAGCAAAAAGCCTCGAATTGCAGTGTTGCGGAGAGAGGAGTCAATGGGGCTGAGCCAGCTTTCGATTGAGTCAATGTCGAATGATGGGGACTCTTCAGAACAGCTGGAGATTCAAGGTTCAGGACCTGCATCTCCAATCACATCGACCCCTTCGTCGCCCAAGGACCTTGATCAAAAGTCACCAGAAGAAGATATAAGCAGTCGGTCAACGCCCACCTCAGAACCAACGCGATCTAAAAAAGCTATGGCGGTCGTGGAATTCAACAAGAAAACAGAAAATTTGATTACCATCTATTTCAAGTCTGGACTCGGTAAGAGAACCGGCCGCCTTAAACGAGGAATTGTTTTGGCAGGCACATCCACTTGATATTAATCGTTGTGTTTTTTCATCATTCAGATGCTACCGGTGTCGAGATGTTTGATATGGTTCTGGGTCCGTTACGGCGTCCAAGCAAGTAAGCCGAAACACTGATGAAAGCTGTCTCTTTGTATGCACGTTTGTCGTGTATGCGCTTTCTAACCTTAGAGCTTCGAATGTGTCGTCTTTCTAGGGACTTTATTGCCGGATTCTTTTATGCGGTTATTCTCTCGCCACTAATTGACCCTACGACTATCGAGGCTGCCATCCACTTGATGGATCGTGTTCTCACTCTGCATGGACCAGAGGCATTTCAGGCCATCTGGGATGTTCAAAAGCGACGCCGTGAGTTTGCTGACGGATCCAGTTCCTTCTCAAAAGCGTCGTCGCCTTCCGACCAGGATGACTTCAAGAGCACCATGAGCTCACGTTCATCGTCAACAAACAAGAAGCCGCTTACGCTGAAAGATTTGTCGTCGAATGCACTTGCTGGGCGGCTCCCAAGCTGGAGCGATATCTGGGATGTGATCAAGGCCGAGTTTGGACTGGATACCAAGGAAGAGTCAAAGCAACACAACTCTTTGCAGGAGCACCAGATCCGGCTACGCCTCCAAGGCAGCGAGGCCGCAGTGGATATAGAGCAACCCTCCGATGACCCGGACGTTGAGAATCTAGAGGGTCAAGGAGAGAGTAGCAAGGTCACAGAGGAACAGGAAATTCGCGAGGAAGTTGGACGAGCAATTGTCAGTTTTCTCCTTCGTGTCCTAGAACAAGATGCTGTACTCAACAACAGTAAGTGCCACAGTACTTGGCGTTAATCCTTGGTGGTGGTAATTTGCTCCGCTGATAATTGGATACTCGATGAAACTAACATATACTTTTTTTTTGTAGTGTCACCGACATCGTTCTTTTGTCGCGATGCACTTGCTGTCAGTCGATACAGCTCCAGTCATGCTGTTAGACGGACCTTGGATCTTGCCTTTCAGATTGTTGGACTCGCTACATCCTCGCGGTACTTTAAGCTTCATGCCCGACTCAACCCTACAACTCTCTCGCCGATAAAACCTCTGGTGAAACCCGCCCGAGCAACATCTCCATGGCCAGTTAACGGGCGCTGCACGCTGGACTCAGCAGGGTTGGAGATTCTTCAACTTGGACAGCAGATCATCTTGCTGTTGGTCAGGTTCACCCAGGCTGGAGAGCTGCTTCCTGGGAAAGGTCTGGAGGAGTTGGCGCGTGAGGTGATTTCTCGGATGAGCAAAGTCAACAAGGATCGGAAACTCCCCACGTCTTCTGGAGGTCGGACTGCCTCGTTCGTGTCGCCGTTCTTGTTGGAGAGGTATGCCCTTGACCAAACGGAGGTTTTTTTGAAGACGTTGATCCACGGACCTTGTCTGCTAGAAGCTGGTACTGGATCAGGAGCGAGCGTCAAGTTGAGACGGGATGCGTTACTAAATCAGCAGCAGGCCAACAGCGGTGCCAATAGTGCAACAGCAACAGACCCGGTCATCCTCGAACACGATGACAGCACGGGCGTTTTCAAGAGCCAGATCGGTACTTGTATGGGATCCAGCGTCTTTGTCATGATCCTTGTTGACTTTTGGTTCCGAACCAACACCACCGCCAGCAACCCAGGCAACATGCTCAACTTTAAAGTCGTCGTGGAAAAGTATACCATGCCTGGCCAGCTCCGCCCATCTACGTCTGCATCTACCTCCACGGCGTCTACTCCTAAACCTAACAAGGCCGTTAGGGGAGGAAGAAGAAGAACCCGCGGAAGCAGGACCACTGCTGATGCTACTTCCCCTGCTGCAGATGACACGAACCAGGACCTGTCAGACGATGACCAGCCCAGCTTTGCACAGTGGAACGCCAAGGATCTGGAGGAGATCGAATGGACGGTGATGATGACTGAGGTCTTGGTCTGGGCATGGATCGAGGCTCGTGGGGTCCGCCGAAAGGATATCCAGGACACGGGATTGGAACAGGTCCTGTTCCCTGAGGAGGTGGGCTCGTCCAGTCTAGATACATACCCGGAATCGGGATGGCTTCTCATGTCAGAGGTCTTGGATGAGGTTGGGGGTACGCTCAAAACTCGGTGGGAGCAGTTGGAAAGTGTCATTGAGGCTGCCATCCTGGTGGAGGACCTTGGTCTTCGTTAGAGACGCGCTCCAAGAATTCTCATAACGTATTGTAATTTGATTGCCAACCACATTGACATGACTGAAGCAATGTTTTTTTTTAATAAAAGATACAAGGATGGACGGAGAGAAAAAAAAGGTGGGTTTGAGGAGCCCAAGGTCTGAATATCTGCAAAAGATAAGACGAAAGATGGGGGGGGGGGGTCTCCATTTGTGTCTGTTGATATTTTTTTTCCGCCAGCTCCGTCTGATCCATGACGACGACAATGATGATGTCTGTCGGACGGTGTTGTAGTTAATGTATATGGCTAATTTACATGCTGGGCTCGAAATGGCGATGAGGATCCATGTTCTCGCCATGGATGCAAGTCTCGATGGTCTTGAACCACTCATCCTCCTGGATGCCCTCGATCGTGATCCGGGTCACCGGGTTAGGGTCCAGGATCTTCTTCATCAGACTCCTGGCGCCCATGGGCAGCTTCTCGAAGGGCTCGTAGCTGTTGGTGGCGTTGGTGCTCAAGAAGTGTTGGTAGTTGGGATCCTGAGCCGTGGCGGCACGGAAAGGGATTCCTTGGTAGACCATACAATAGTACACAATTCCACAGGCCCAGATGTCGACTCTGCGGGCATCGTATTCCTTGGTTATGAACTCTTCCGGAGCAATGTAAGGCTCGGATCCGCAGAGGCCCTTGGAGAGATGAGAGTTCTGTTCCCAGCACATCCTGAAGACGTCCGAGACGCCGAAATCCGTGATCTTGAGATGACCGTCGCCATCGAGGAGGAGGTTTTCGGGCTTGATGTCTCTGTGGGCGACACCCATCGAGTGCAGATAGGCGACGCCGTGGATCAGTTGTTTAAAGCAGCAGTCGATCTCGACCCGTGACATGTGTCCCTGCTTAATTGTGTTGTAAAGATCGCCACCACAGCAGTACTCCTATTTGAATGACAAGGGAGGAAAGAACGTTAGCACAAAATATGCAAGCCGACGGTTGAGAAATAATAATAAACACTAACGTCGTACGAGAACAAAGGTACCAGACTAAATGTAATCTCTCATTTCTTACCATGACTTCACACCAGTGGTGCTGCTCGTCCTGGACCAGGTCAACGGTCTCGACAATGTTCTCGTGGTGGAGGGTGGACGAGATACAGAACTCGCTCGTCAGCTTCTTGACATACTCCTTCTCGGTCTCGTCCCTTCTGCGCTTACGGAACTCCTTGACTGCAAAAAGACGCTCGGTACCATCGTCATTCTCGGACAACTTGTGGGCGAGACGGACAACGGCGGTGGCTCCTTGACCAATGCTGCCCTTGTCGCACAATCCATACTTCTTCAGAAGCGTACAGTCAGGCGACTTCTTGGGCTCGCTCCTCTCGCTACCAAAGGACGAGGCACGACCCAAAAAGTTGAAGATGTTCTTCTTCTCCAGGGGGCTAGGAGAAGCAGTCGTCAACAGGTAAGGGTCCTCTTCCAGGGGCGAGCCGTGGTTGCTCCCACCGGCAGACGAATGAAGCGGGGAAGAAGGGGGGCTGGCCGAGCTAGATTTGGGCTCGTGATGGAAGATCTTGTGCATCAGGGTCTGCTTCTTGTTGGTCACAGCGACAGGTGGGGGTTTTGGGTAGAGAGTCTTCTTGAGGGCCGCAGCGGATTCGTTGCCGAGGCCAGAGAGATGACCAGTCGAGGAGGTTGAGGAATCGACGGTAGGGACCTGTCGTAAGGTGTTCCAATGCTCTTCGTTATGAAGGTATTGTTGCTGCTTGGCATCGGAGTTTTGGCTGCCTTGCTTCAGGGGCGACTTTTCGGGGCGTCTTCGGACGTTGACCTCCATGGCTGGAGCCCAGTAATCGGTCGAGAAGGTCACCATTATTGAAAAGAGGAGAGTGTGGGTGGTGGAGATGAAGAGGAGTGGGAGGGAAGGAAAGGGATCAGGTAGAGTACAGGAGGGCTAATATAACAAGGTAGGTGTGTGTTTGAATACAGGCAGAGACGAAAAGGAAACAGAAAGAATAAAAGATATAATGGTACAGGCGAACAGTGGAGTGGAGTAAGGTGTTGTAGAAGAAGGTACAAAAGAGAAGATCCGGTCAACGGGAGGTTCTTGGGTAGTGTAGAGTTGCTTTTGTCTTCGTTGTAAAGAGTGAGGGTGTTTGGTTTGTTCTTGGCTGTTGGAACAAAGAGACAGAAAAGCGGATCTGGAGAGTGGATGAAAGGGGGGCGTTGTGTTATTGAATGCGACCCCACATGCTACGACGATGTGAAAGATATGGCGAAAGAGTCAAGGTGGAAGCGGGAGGGTGGAGGAGGATGGGTAAAGAAGAGGGAGAGGATGAAGAGTGAAGAGTGAAGAATGAAGAGTGAAGAAAGAGAAGAAAAGAAAAAGGAGAAGAAGGAGGGAATAAAAAGAATCTGTTGTCTCGGTGGAATTTTTTTTCTTTCACTTCCAGCCTGTCCGCTCTTCATTCGACTGCAGCCATAATTAGTTCTGCAGCAATGATAAAAAAGAAGGGCCAGGGATCGACTCAGACTCCCGTGGATTGTTATCACATATTTCTCTCTCCTTGTCTTACGTTCTGTGTCTGCTGGCACAGCACATACCCACTCATCATTCATTATTGATCTTATCATGTATCCACGATCATCATCAACCATCCACACCCTTGGACACAATTCACAACTCTTCTTCTCGTCTGTCAGTCAACTCGCTCACTTTCAAGATATCTATCTTTCAACTCCTCCAACTCCCGTCCACTCTCACGCTCACTCACTCTCGGTCCACACACAGACACGCACCACCCAATTCGTTATCTCCTCCAGTCATCACTGACAAAAGCAAGCACAAATAAAGGAAAAGTGAGGCATTTTTCGACAACTCTATTTTTTTTTTTTTTGTGTTCCTTCTTCTATCGCACAGAGCACCGCCTGCCCCCCTCCCCTGTCCACAGTCCACACACCTTTCCTTCCGTTTGTGTCCATTATAATTGAGGACATCTCTCTCCTTTTCACTTTTCTTCCCGCTTGATCGAGCCACCTATGACCCGTTCTCCCACGTTCGTATTCTCAAAAGCCTGGCTCGGCCTTTTTGCTTTTTTTTTTTTTTTTGGTTGTTGTTTGTTGTTGCATTGTTGTTGTGTTTTTGTCGCTAACTGTGGATCGATGGTACGAAATGCACAAGGAAAACGCCGTACCGCGGGGCTATTTTCAACCACGATCATTCGCATCACACACAAAGAAAAAAATATGACAGCCCGCCAACGCCAATGAGATGATATCCGACATCTAATAGTTCCACACGTACAAACTGTGTCAGGTCCCCCCCTTGACTCAAGGAGCAATGCACTTTGCCCAAAAACGCCAATTCCCCTCCGCCCTCCCTCCGCCCAGATCTTTTTTTTTAGCATAGGACCCTGTGGATGGTATCAATTGTTTCTTTTCTCTCTGTTCTTTTTTTTCTGTGGCACATCATCAATCAAACCACAAAATAGCGCAACGCAGGCAGAGCGGTCATGCAGCTCACAAAAAAAAAAAAAAAAAAAAAAGAGAAAGAACAAAATTACATTTGTTCATGGTGGAAACGAGGTCCGTTAGAGCCATAGAGAGTTAGTGCTATTACTTGGATATTACTTTGCGTGATGAAAATGAGATGAGAACTATGGCGAGATAACAATCAACACAACCTTTCTGATCTAGCGAATTCGTAGATGTATCTCAATTTCACGGACTCGTGGCTGTGAAGGAAAGAAAAAAGTCAACGCCTGAATGAAAGAAAATGCAGTGCTGAACTTTCAACCATTGTTAGACTACCTATAGCCCACTTCTAAAAACAGTTGTCTGCTCTTTCGCTTCTAAACCTTTAAGATAATAAAAAAAAAGCTCAGTCAGGCTGCGTGCATGTAAAAAAAGAGTGTAGGGAGCATCTCACCATAAACATTTGAAGAGCAACGATGTTGTGCTGACAAAAAGGAAAAAAAAAGAACAGTTTGGGCGGAGCAAAAGAAGAGGTCTCGCCGAGACTCGAACTCGGATTGCAAGATTCAGAGTCTTGATTGCTAACCAATTACAACACGAAACCTTTGAATCAATTTGATTTGCACACTATTTTCTCTGTTCTCTTTAATCCAAACAATAACATCTATGTCACGTGTAGATATACGTCACGTGTATATCTATCACGTGGCATTATCACGTGGTGTGATAAATCTACGCGATATGAATGCGTTTGGAACAGCTGTAAACATCAAATCGATTCAAAGGTTTCGTGTTGTAATTGGTTAGCAATCAAGACTCTGAATCTTGCAATCCGAGTTCGAGTCTCGGCGAGACCTCTTCTTTTGCTCCGCCCAAACTGTTCTTTTTTTTTCCTTTTGTCTGGTACTCGAACAGGTGAGGATATTCTGACTGTAATGTCATATTATTCTCAATCCGAACTCGGTGAAGTCGTGCAGTCATCCCACCTCCTTTTTTGTTGAAGGGGCGATCAAGGATCGGGGCAACGATTGACAGCGGAGGTAACCTGTTACATATTACATAACCCTGGAAAAGCGGCGAAGCACCAAGGATGTATCACCTTTGGAAAGGCAAGATAAGAAGATTAATTACATGTAAAACACCAATGGAAACAAATGACGATATGCCTTTTTTTTTTTTATTATTCATCGGGGTATTATCTTTCCCCTCATTTGTGCATTTGTGACAAATGAAAAAAAAAAAAAAGATGAAACGGCCTTACTATTCTGCCTATGATTTAGATAGCAGCAAAGACAGTCTTGTAGATGGCAGCACGGGCAGCAACAGTCTCGGCACCACCGTTGATGCAACCCTTCTCCCAGGCAATGAAGCTAGCTTGAGAGCCTGAAAGACCCTTGGCGACCTGGGCACAACCTGGGCCGGAGACAGCCCACCATGCACCGGGCTCAAAGTCGGCCTTCTTCTTGATCAAGACATCAACGATGGTGTTGTCGTTAACGTTCTTGGGGAATCCGGGCCAGAATTTTTGGACAGACTTGTTGGCGTTGACAAAGGTTCTCAATGAGACGGCGGGCATAATCGAGCGAGCTGGTTGGGAAGGAAAAATGCAATAGGATTATTGGTTTGGTGAGCATATTTTAGATAATGAGCGATCGCTCACTGATAACAGTCGCAGGGCGAAATGGGAGGTACAAAGGGGTGACTTACTTCCTTGGCTGTGGATGTTCAAGTTGTGGTTATACTGGAGGTATCCGCCCTCAAAGGCCATGTTGGCGATGTAGGCAGCCTTCTGGCCCTTGGTCTTGAGTCCGTACCTTTTTGATGGGAAGGAGAAAAAAAGAGTACAAAACAACAATTGTCAGAGAGTTGAAGGGGGATGCAAAGGAAAATGCTCGTTTTTCTTTGCTACCGTTCTTCTGGTAGCTCTTCTTACTTCTTGATGGCGGCGTTGATGTAAGGGAGGGCATCCTTGCAGGTGATAACATCTCCAGCAGTCTTCTTGGGGCAATGACCAGCAAATGCCTTTGTCAGCTGTGCAAGGGTAATATCACCCTTGGGGGCGGCAGGCTTGGGCTTGGGAGCAGCGGGAGCAGCATCGGCAGCCAAGATGAATGAGATGACCATGGTGATCAGGACCACCAGGGTCGAGAAAGAAAGGCGGTTAAGCATTATTGATGGTTGGGTTGGATGAGTGGACTGGGTATAAGGTATAATGGGAGGAGAGTAGACGGGAATAGAAGCTGAAAAGGTGGGGATGGGAAGGGGGACGAAAAGAGACAAGGAACAAAACAAAAGTGGCAACTAAGGGGAGCCTTTTATATGAGGGACGGGTGTGCCGTTGGACTCCCTGTGCCACAAAAGGAGAGGGGTTTTGAGCTCATGTTGCTCTTTTTCCCATCCCAGTAGACGAATTCAATTTGGTGCAGCGATAAATTGCCAATAAAACCTTGACACAAAAGAAAAAAGGAGGCAAGGATAGGATAGAAAAACTATTGCCGTTAGTAAAATACACTGGTAAAGGATTGTGGTCGAAGGGCTGCTTTGTAAGGGGAAGAGAGACGAATCTATATAATATGTGCATGAACAATGAAAGCAAGGCATTCGACTTTGAAAAGACTCTTATTGCGTTGTTCACCAGGGAAGGAAAGAAAACCTTGCTTATTTGTTTATGTTGCAATGAGAGGAATCGTCGTTGTAGTGTCAGTCTGCTCATTTCAAAGCCTGCTTGTTCGACAGACTTGTAAGGTGATGGATGGTACATAATGCCAAAGTACAGACGAGGGATGTGGTTGGTTTTAAGAATGCAAAAGAAAAGAGAAAAAAGGCAGGGGAAGGAGGACAGGAGCAGGTACAGGTACGGTACATTCGCATCATAACAAGGCAGGGGGCTGACAGCGAATATGAGATAGTGGATCTCGATTGTGTCAGTCGGAGACTAGCAGTAAATTGGATGGATGGCTAGAATAGACAGAGAGGTTATTATTCTATGGAAGGAAGTAACCCTCACCTTGACCTTGACCAAGATGGAGGCGCAGAAGAAGTTGCTGGTACTGATCATACCTTTCAAGTCAAAAAAAAAAGAAAAAAAAGAACGATCAGTTTCAATTCTTATTCGTTTCGGTGATGGGTCGGTCGGTCACTCTACCTCCAGCGAGAGTGTGTGTGTCTGGTCCAAGTCCATCACCCTGTCGGATGGACGCGAGACCATCTCAATCTATTATTGCAGAGATGCGATCTCTGATGCTGCATGTTCATGTACTATCCAGCATCAAGAAGAAAAAAAATATATTAATGTTTGGCGCCAATGTGGAGTCCTAACAAATCAAGGCCCACTCTTTTTTCGCTTTCAATTGCAATCAAAATGTTTTGCCAAGTCAATTGAATGCCCGACCTTTTTTTTCCTGGCCACCGTTGCGAGTTGCTAGGGGTCCCTTACTTGTTTGTTGCCACCAAATATCGTTAACGCGTCGAACCCTAGTAAATGGCGTTATCCATAACAGCGTCTGTGATCCACAGAAGGGAAACAAAATAGGCTTTCTAACCACCATTTCTTACGCTGCTCCCACATCCAAACTACATTGCGTCCACGCGACCCTTTTTGGTCAAAAAGGGGATGGTGAGAAGGTCATACGATTTTGTATCCATGACCCTGAAAAAGCAAACCCACAGAGCAACATCAACAACAAAAACGAAAGAAAAGATGCAGTGATGGGCGAGCGGGGACTGAGCTCATTCCACGCCATCTGCTCTCGATATTAGCCCTCTCCATCCCTGTTCCGCCTTCACTTCTACATATGCGCAGGGTTTGTTATTCATGTCTGGTCCTTATTTGTATTGACCCTGAGACTTTGTGTCCCATAGTCATGAGCGACCGTTCCCTCGATCGTTTGGCTGCATTCGCTTTCAAAAAACCAGCATCAACAAAGGATCAACAAGTATCAACAACCGACAGACGAGCCCATCATCAAAAAAAGGAAAAATAGAAAAGCAGGCAGGCGAGGTCTAGTCCGGACGCACAGGCATCGCTATTGGCGCAAAGAGAGAGAGAGAGAGAGAGAGAGAGAGGTGGTGGTGGTGTTGTTGTCAATCATGATTACCCTCATTTCCATTAGAGTCGAGTTGACATGATATAACCCTTACATCTTCCCCTTTTCCCTTTTGACAAAACCTTTTTCCTTCTCTGCTTCACCCCCTTTCGTCCTCTTGCGTCGTCTTCTTGTATCCCTTCCATTACTCCGTTACTCATTTACTCGTCCCTCTCTTCCTCCTCCTCTTTCCTCCTTCCTCCTTCCTCCCCCTCCCACTTGCGCCCACTTCCACTTTTATCTTTGTCATTGCCTTCCTTTTTGGCAAGTTCTTTTGTCCGTCAGCACACCTGTTTCCCTTTTTTTACTCTTTCCTTCGGATTTTTCTTCACTTTCGGACATTCGTTTGTTTCCCTCCTTCTTTTTTCTTACTCTGCCTCCCGTTACTGTTTCTTTGCACAGAGAGCAGGCAAAAAGAACAAGAAAAGAAGACAAAAGAGGCGAAACCATTATGCTCCTGTGTAGTATGGTCAACCTATATCACCATTCGGCTAATAATCACTCAACCCCACCACCATCAACAGCAGCAGTAGCAGCAGCAGCAGCATCGTCCTTCATCCATTATCCCCACCATTCATCTCCTTGCTGCTTTGGCCGTTTTCTTTTTGTTGAGTTCTTCTCCTCTTCTCCTCTTCTCCTCTTCTCCATTTTCATATAATAACTGTATCTGTGGCTGCCCTCTTCTCTTCTCTTTCTTACTCTTCCAGTTGGTCATTGTGGATATTCCACTAATCACGCAACCGTCTCTCCTCACCATCCTCGATCCTTTTAACCACAGAAATAGGCACTCTTTCTGTTCTGCCCTTACTTCTTCTCACCGTTCGTTCTTCCTTTATCCATTATCCCTCCCGTTCATTTCGTGTTCACATTTCATTCTTCTTTTCATCTGTTCTTTTCCGTGTGCATACCATACCTCGGAAATCCATTTCCGCCCAAACAAACAAAGCTCATAATCTTGGTTTCATACCCCAACTCTCCATCCATTCGCCACCCCGCATTAAACATCCCACACGACCAAAAAAAGCCAGCCAACAGCGTTCAACAGCTTTATCAACAATCATGTCACAACAGCAAAAGCAACAAAGGTCTTCTTTACCTAAATCGTGCAGTCTCCCTGCGCAACTCTCGACCTTTTCATCATCATCGGGTCCTCTATTTCTGACGGGGGCTGCGCCTTTGTCGATCAGTCGAGCGCGCACCACGACGGTGACAAGTATCGAGTTTGGTGTAGGCTCGATCTCGGACTTTGGCCTCTTCGGCAAGGGCAAGGGCGTTGGCCTTTCTGTGACCGGGGTTCAGCTCTCTCGTCGACTTTTCGCCAAGGACGGCAGTGGGAGTCTCTTTGAGGGCGCGTTTACTTTTGAGGATCATTCTGGGAATGGCGATAATGACGGTGCAGCAGGTGCAGTGCCAAGAGATCAACCACGCAGCAGACGTGTTAGCAGCACTGCCAGCGTCTGCAACGACATTAATGTCCGAACTGATCCAAAGTCGACCGACCGACAGCAACAGCAACAGCAACGGCAGCAACAACAACAACAACAGCAGCAACAACAACAATCGCCACCATCCTCGACCTCTTCCTGCTCGTCCTCGTCCTCTTCGTCCATCTCCGGCGAGCCAGCTCCAGTTTCATCGTCTTCGTCTACTTCATTATCATCATCGACACCCTCTAAGGAAGAACAACATTGTGGTGTTGACAAAGACCAAGGACATTGCTCGAGCCCTCCTCCGCTGTCGTCGTCTCCTTCCCCTTCTCCTGTTTCCTCTCCTGCCCCCCCTGTGTCCCCTATTCTCTCATCCAACACTCGTCACCCCTGTGACAACAACAACACCAACCAGAAGGTTCGACAGCAAGACCACATTGCACCCCTTGGAAGTATAAAAGAAGGCCGACCATTGTCCAGCTGCTCTCCCTCTTCATCTTCAACCCCCTCGCACAGTCCCCATTCCCGCCACTTGAGCGCCAGTGCTGTTGTGACCCCGCACAAATATCTTCATCATCATCATCATCGACCCCCTCCAATTACTCCGGCCACCCTTGCACCACAAAAGCCTTACTCTTCCTTGAATAGCTCGCCTACCATTCCCTCCCCCTCTCCACGCGCGCCTCCCTCTCCCATCGTCATTTACCGGTCGAGATCCATCACCTTTGCCACCTCCTCCTCACCCTCATCCGCCGCACTCAACATCTCCCCTGCAGAGTGCCACTCTCTCTCGCCCTCAACAGCCAGCCCCGCCGACGCAGCCTACTTTGCGCCTCGGACACTTTCCTTCAGACGCAAGGCCTCCTCCTTCTTCCTTTCACTGTCTTCGCCCTCCCTGCCCTCGCTCTACCAGTCCGGCAGCCAATCTTCAGCCTCGACCGACCCGGCTCACTTCCAACAAGCTCAAGCTCAAGCCAAGGCTCAAGCTCAACTACAAGGCCATCAGCATCAAAAACAACAAGCTCAATACCGGTCGCCGGACTACTTGACTGCGTATTTTGCAGAGACACACCACGGGGCCAAGTCGTCGTCGTCGTGTCATCAAAAGGCGCGTTCGTCCTCGCTCTCTGTCATTGGCGCTGCCGGTCCGGGACTACTCCGCACTCAGCAGCAGCAACAGCAGTCTCTCTTTGCTAGACAAGGACAAGACAGGTCTCGCTCACACTCCCAAAACGTTGACTTTTCTTCGTCGTCTTCCTCCGCTTCATTTTTTTCTTCTCCATCTTCTCACACTCATTCTTCCCCATACTCTCCATCATCGGCTTGCCTTTCTGCGCCATTGTCGTCGAATGTAAAAAGAACGACTGCACCTTCTTTTCTTCTCCAAGTACTGGATACACCTGCACCTTTGTCGTCATCGGCATTATTATCAACCCCACCCCATCCCATCTCCGCCACGTCCGTTCTTTCTTCCTCCCCACCTTCCCTTTATTCTGTCTCTCCACCAACCCGCCCCTCTTCCTCTCTTTCCTCTACTTCCTCTACTTCTACCACTTCTATTTCTTCCTCCTCACCCAAACACCACCGCAACTCCAACAGACACCACCATCACCACCACCACCACCAGCACGTCTTCTCCACCTCCCCTTCTCCCCTCGGAAAATACTCCTCCTCTCCAGGTTCAATCAACCACTCCATCGGCACGCGCCTTCACCACCACCACACAAAACACATCGCTGTCATCGCAACTACTACCCTCAACAACACCCACGTCACCTCTTCCCACAGCTCCGCCTCTGCCGGTACACGCTATCGTTCTCGCCACAGCACCGCTGCACCTTCCCTATACAGACCCATCATGATTCCTCGAAAAGCAAAACAGGCCGTCCTCTCGCTCGTCACCACTGAGCAGCCAAAATACGGCCCCTCACGGTCAACACAGTCCACAGTCCACGGAGGCGACTGGGGCGAGACCGCCGTTCCAGCGGCAGGTGGTCAGTGCCAACAACAAGGCGTCGAACCCAACTCTGCTAGCTCTGGGCAGGACCCTTGGATGATGGTCACTGGATCGGGGTTGAGTTATGCCAACATCAATAGTGCTGGGCTCAGCTCGGCCTCAGGATTGCCTAGTAGTGTTGGCACACCTTTGACCGTGAGAGAGGATCAACTCAACAGGATGCCAGCCCTTCAGCTTCTGGACCGCAATGCTGATACGGATCCAGTGCTTGACATTGAAACTGCTCATCAGGTATGTTTATCCCGCTCATTGTTTTTTTGTCCTGTTGTAGCTGATGCATCCTACAAACTGACGGATTGAGTAGCAGCTAACCTGGTCTGGTTGTTTGTATTTTTTACCTTTTATTGTTCTAGATCCGCCTGCAACTACCCCGGAAACTACGAAATGCTACAAAGTGGAATCTTGTGTATTCATCTGACCAGCATGGGATCAGCATGACGACCCTCTTCCACCGCTGCAAAGGCAAAGGACCCATGGTTCTCGCACTCAAGGACACCACTGATGCTGTAAGTCCCAAGCATGAATCTCTTGGTGTTGATCTCAAGTACACAGTGTGATATACGAGGGGGGACACAAGGAAAGTCATGCGTAAAATTATCTAATGACTTTTTTGTCCACTTGGACATTTTTTTACGATAGGTCTTCGGAGCGTTTGTGACCGAAGAGCTCAAGCCCAACCTGACATACTATGGAACCGGCGAATGGTATGTGCCAAGAAGTGTGTACCCAGATACACAATCGGCCTGTCCTTGTCTGTGTTACCATAGCAGCTTGACGATCTATCCAACCATCTAATAATTCGGTTTTTTTCACGTCTAGTTTTCTATGGAACGTAACCACCATGGCGACCAGTCCACAGCCTCCTTCTTCGCCATCATTTCCGCCATACCCGATGCCTTCTCCATCGCCTTTCCAGCTCTCAAGCAATGTCTCCACACCTGTGGGGCGATCACCCTCGCCATCACCGCTCTCAACGAGCTCTACAACAAGCCAAGCAACAGGAAACAGTAACGACAGCAATAGCAGCGGAGGCGATCGGCGATATGATTTGCTTTTGGCCATGAACGATCGCATCGGTCGTTCACCATCTCCGCTTTCTGGATCACCCCACCAACAACATCTTGCCGGGTCACCTTCCAACTCTCCGGTAATTCACCCCAGCGACGCGACTTTGACAAGCAACAGCAGCCCAGCAAAGCCTCCAACCAGCGGCGGTCGCAAGAAGAAGCAAAAAATAGTGCAGTTCTGGAAGTGGACGGGGAAGAACGATTACATGGTCCTCTCTGAGCCTGGGTTCATTGGATTGGGCGGAGGCGATGGCAAGTTTGGACTATGGCTTCATTCTGATCTAGAGCGGGGCCATTCTGCGCGCTGTGCGACGTTCGATAACGAGCCTCTGGCAGCAGCGTGTAGGCACCCGATCCGACAATTGGCGGATGGTACCGTTGGTTCTCTGGCACCTCCTGTTAGGGTAGCGAGGGGGGATACACTAGGCGGCAACAACAGTCGAAGCAGTAGCCCGAAAGAAGACAAGGAAGAGTTTTATTGCCAGACCGTCGAGATCTGGTCAATGGCTCTGTAGTGTACCCATATATTGTTTTACGTCCATCATCATAATTAAAAAGAAAAAGCATTAATCGACAAAATTTTCAGAGACGTTTTTATTTTGAATGTGTTTTGTTGTGCGTTTTTTCAAGAGCTGGCAAAGAGGGGACCGAAAACTGCAGGATCGAGTTCTCGCAGAATCGTCAAGTCCTTCTCGAGTCCGCTTGGAAGAGAGTCGTCCGTGATCTTGGGTTGACAGATCTCAATGCAGAGGCGCATGGATCTGACGAGACTTTCGTCAAGGCGCATCTGTTCCTGCTCCAATTGCGACTTTATCGGTTCATCCTTGGATGACGACGACGACGACGAAGACGAAGACGATGTTGAGTCGAGTGAGAATATCCGTGAGTTTGCCCAGCATTTGCAAATAGTCGCCAGGAGCTGTCCACGATTCCTTGGGATTCTACTCGTAATGAAGTATGAAACCACAGTGTTACAACTGTTAACAACCAGACCTTGAAAGAGTCCCCCCAAAACGAAAAATGAAGACACGCTTAGTTAACAAAGTATTTTTACCTAGCGCGAGAGACATCCATGATCTGGTAAAGAGCCTCAGAAGCCCTCCAAGCCAGCGTCAAGCTCTCAAGTCTGACATCTGGAGGGGAAGAAGGGAAAGGGTACTCGAGGATGCGACAGAGGTACGGGATCAGTGTTGGGAGGTACTTGATCGTCAGGGAGCCCATTCCAAAGATTCCTTGGAATCTACTTCGAAGTGAAGGGTCCGAAGAATCCTGGAGGAGGAACTCAAGTGGGACGACGGGGCGTACGAGTCGTGCAACCCATTCTAGAATGACGGTTCGGTATTCCTTGGACGGGCTGGCGCGTTTGAAGCTTCCCAGGAGTCCGTGGATGAACAGGTTCTCGACCGTGAGTGCTGTTCCTGAAGATTGTTGGCCAAGTTGGATGTGGTGTGAGTCGTCTGTGGTCGATGTTGGTTTATCACCTGGCTCAGTATTGACGAGAATCAAGGTCAAGTAGGCTCCAAAAGCGGCATTCAAGACCTCCAAAGAATACTCTGAATCACCAGAGTCCTCTGCTCCGGGGGCGGGTGAGAACATGGCCTGAATAGGCGCCAAAAGCGGCGTGAGCGTCCGTTCCAGAACTTGATCCAACCCTGTCCTCTCAAAGATCTTGATCCATATCCTTGACTCTGCCGCAGGTCTTGGCCTACCCGCTCCCTGCTGATCAATCGCGTTGTTACTGTTGTTGTCGGTGCTATGGTAACGGAGTAGAAATCGACTCAGCAGATTCAATCCTCTGACTCGGTACCGGAAACTAACAGTCTCGGTCAAAGCCAAGATAGGCCCCACGAGCACCATAAACACTTCCAGAATACGACCCCGATCCTGAATGGGTTGTTGAGCACACCACTCCGCTATCGGCACGGCTTCCAGAAAATCCACGTCCCACCTCTTGGGCAGCGTAGGGTCGTTATCTTCCTCAGATCTGTTATCCATCCTCGTCCAGAATTCGTTCTCGTCGTTCGGTGTGTCTCCTACGGGAGCAATCTTGAATCGGGTGCTCTTACCCTGTTGTTCCATCTGGTGTTGTTGTTGGCGAGTAATATCCTTGTCTGTGTCTTCTCCTCCGATAGTAGTGATGGTACCATCATCCTTACTACTGCCACTACTACCACTACTAGCTCTCTCCGCCATCGCGATTGCCTTCTGCTGCTGCTGGTAGTCCTGCAGTCTCAATTTCTCCTGATGTATCTCAATCGTCGCCTGTGCCCTCTGCGCAACCTTGTGCGCCTGGACATTGGCGAAGCAAGGCCGGATTTCCTTTTCGAGGATTTGAATGACATGATCCGAGAAACTGCCTGGAATCATGATCGCGTTGCTGCCGTTGCGGTCCTGGCGGTGGTCATGCGAGTTGTCGTCATCCTTCGGTCCTGACGGTACAGACCAGTAGGTGTATTTGATAATCATGGTGAGATTTTGTTCCGCTTGGGCCATTGTCGCGTGAAAGAGAGAAGGGTAGCGGAAGTTCCAGACGTCTTTGGGGTTTGTGAACGCTGCGCATGCCATGATCACTCTGTGCAGGGTATATGTGTTGTCAACCTAAACGATTTCATTTGTCGTTAGTACACCCAGATCTTAACTTTATAGAGCTACAACATTCACGACAGTGTTGAGAGAAGAGGAGGGAGGACGCATACCGATTGGATCCGCAAGATTTGGCCCAGACACTCCAGTAGCAAAGGCACTGATTCTGCAAACAAGGCTGCGATCCTAACGTTGTCCGGTGAGTCTAAAATACGGAAATACTAAGTCAATTTTCGAGTTGGCTAATAGATTTTGAACAAGTAGTTCGACTTGCGTGGGTTCAAAAATAACATCTCGAAATTTACCTTCAAGGTGGCTACGGCTCGCAAAAACCCTGGGTATCCGCAGCTTTTCGCATACCCACAGCGCCAATCCCCAGTCTGCCTGAGGAGCTGTCACTTCTGTAGAAGCAAGGTCTGCATTTGTCGTGTTGTTCAGTGTGAATAATCGCAATACTGTGGTCGCAAACTGAACAAACGGCGTCATCTAGAAAGTAAACGTAAATAATTAGCAATGACACGTCGATTTTTCTGAATAGAGGCTACCATTTTCTTCGAACAGGGCATTATAGTCGTAGTCTGGGTACCTGTGTTGACTGTGCGAACGGTGTGGTTGTCATGGATCCGAGTGACCGAACCATCTGGGTGTCGGAGAAAGACTTTACTAGGAGCTCAATGAACCTATCACAACAAGGTCGGTCAGTTAAAGTGTTTTATAACTTTTCCGCGAAGGGCCGAGTATCTGTCCCGTTCATAGATCGTCACCTTGTTGCCTGGGGAGATTCTTGATGAGAGCTACAGCCATTCATTGCCATGGTGAGGAGAGCGTCCACACGTTTATCGTTCCAGCTCTGGCAAGATGGTTCCAACTCGTTGTTTCTTTGTGAGATCCTGACAAGTGCGAGTATTCCAGTGGCAAGAGCCAGTCTCTCGCTTGCCAGCTTGACCATCTCCTGACCCCTGGTCATGATCTATGAATATAGCAATAGTATCGTCAGCGTCCTTTCTGCTGCCGGTGCACGAGTAGTTTGATCCGCATAGGAATAAGGTAAATTGCACTGCCGTTATCCACCTACTTGATCCTGGAGCTCTCCTTTACTGATCAATGTCCGCAAGGGTTCCGCCTTTTCAAACGCAACATTAAGCTGCTCCTGAAAGGCCTCCCTGACAAGCGGCCAGTCGTCACTCAACCCGCGTGCTATTGCGATCCAAGCGTCCAGCTGATCCTGATCGACTTTTGTCTCCACATCCTTAGCTTCTTCTTCAACTCCTGCAGCCTAGTTAGGAAAAAAGGCAAGAAATGCGTCAATGTTTTGTTCAATCCCAGGGTGGCATATCAATCGAGAATGACCTTTCCATTCAAGCAAGAAGGCACGAAAAAAAAGAAGCTGTACCTTCGCTGCGACAAGGGTTACGAGCCCGATTGAGCTTTTGGCGCGAACTTCTGGGCGATCTTGCCTGCTCTGCGATAACAGAGCCTCTAACTGAGCTGTGCAGTAAAAAACAATAAGAAGTGAGGTGCGATGATTAGATGCAAGAATGGAGTGAATCCGCTCTTTTCATTCATCATGCGAGCTCTGAACCATGTTCCTGAGATGCTTGTTCCGCTTGCCTTCAGGCTCCATGGTTCATTCAATTCAAGGTCGTGTTGCAAAGTGAAAGTACAAAGAGATCTTTCTCGTCCGCCCAACGTTTCATAACTTGTCACCGTGACCGTTCATCGAACAATTGGGAACAAAAATTCGTGGCGGTGTTCTCACCCTGGACTGCGGCTCCACCCTGGAGGCACTCAAAAAAAACAAGAGACGAGGAAACCATTACCTTTTCTCTCACTCAATCACTCATTCGCTCATTCACATAACCTTCAATGACCAGCACTACCAGCGATACCGGCAGTAGCACCTACAGCGTCCCCTCCAAAGACCAAAAACAGGAATGGGCAAAGTAACCAACCGCGCATCCTCAATCTCCGTCCACTCTCGTTTTTCAACCTGGCTCCACTCCCTTTTTCTGACCTCGTACTTACACTTCCTTCCCTTCTTTCACCCCAATTGACCCTTCCCAACATAGACAACAATCAATCCTCAAGTCAAATCTTGTGGTTGTAGATGACCATCCAGATTGGTCTTTGACGCTCAAGGACGACAACACCCATCGCCTTGAATCCACAAAAGGGCTGCAATATGTTGGTGGCGTCGATCTCAGTTTCATTGTTGGCAACAACGAAGATGCCATTGCGTCGCTTATCGTTCTCTCATACCCCGATTTCAAGGTACTTTGGAAGGGATCACACACACACGAGCAATTAAGACGTGACGATGACAGACGCTCGATTAACAGGTTGACACTCCAATTGGAAACTAGGTTGTGTATGAGAATCACGCTAAAGTCAAGTTGACGCTTCCCTACATTGCAGGCTTCCTGGCTTTCCGAGAAGTTGAACCTCTCCTGGACTTGATCTCGACACTCCGATCCACTCATCCCGAATTCGAGCCACAAGTGATCCTAGTCGACGGCTGTGGCATCCTCCACCCACGCGGGTTCGGTCTCGCCAGTCACCTGGGTCTTCTCTCCAACATCCCCACAGTCGGATGCTCCAAGAACTACCTTGTCATCGACAATGACGGCCCTCTGTTGGGATCAAACCCTACAGCGTTGAAGAAGGACTTCAAAAAGTTTGTCACGACCCATCCAGAAACCCATGGCCTCATGCCCTTAACGGGGACGGTGACGGGGAAAACCTACGGAGCAGCATTGGCGGCAGCGACGGGAAAAGCGGCCGAGGGTGCACAAAACCCGATTTTTGTGTCGATTGGGCATAAGGTCTCGTTGGAGACTGCTGTGGCGCTGGTGAGGGCTTGTTCTCGGTTCCGGGTGCCTGAGCCCATTCGACAGGCGGATTTGAAGAGCAGGAATGAGATTCGGAAATGGTGCCAGCAGCAGGAGAAGGACGCCGCTCTGGCTCTTGCAACTGTCGGGGCTACTATTACAACAGCAACAGCTGTAGCCAATTGACCGTTTTGCAGTTCATTTTACTTCAGGCACAAAAGTAAACTTGAAAAGGAAAAAAAAAAAAAGCATATAAAAATTGCCTGAAATGCTATTTTGTTGTTTCGGATGGATGTCTGGTCTGGGCACGAGCATCTCTTGGCTAAGCACACGGGAAGGCAGGAAGGAGCTGGGAGGTCAGGGAGGGAGAAAAGAAGGACCGCGCGCCCAAAGAGGACCTCGAATATTTTATCGTTTCCGATCCCTGTCTCTTTTACTCTTTTCTCCTCTTTTACATCCTCTTACTCTCTCCAAACAACCATTTCATTCAAGCCATGATCGGAAAACTCGCCCACTACGCCGCCGACGCCATCCTCGTCTCTGCCGTCATCGCCGGCATCAAGCGTAGCACCGTACGAGACTATTTTCCTTTCTTCCGCTTCATTTCATTCCTCTCTCACTCCACCTCTTTGACACGCGCTGGATGGGACACTCCAGAGGAAAAAGATGATGACCCTTCAAGTGTCAAAGTGTTGATAGCTGCCTGTCGTTAACCTTTCCTTTTTCTTTCCTATCGCTCTTCTTTGTTCTCTATTTCTATTGAACCCCATTCCGGCTTCATTTTTTATCGACACTTCTTTCAGGGTTTGAGGTACGCACTTATCACTTATCACACCACTTGTCCAAGTTATCACAAAAAGTCGCGTGTCATGATCTGTGTCAACCCATGAACACCACTCCATACCATCACATAAACTAACCATGTTTTACTTGGCCAACCACGAAACAATAATAGCGTTGCTACTGAGAAGATCGAGAGCGGCGATGTCCGCTCCTACGTCGAGAAGTACCTGTCTGTCGGCGAGGTTGTCATCGACCAGACCGCCGCCTTCATGGCCACCTCTTCCTACTTTGAGCGCAAGCGGTAAATACAGCCCCACACAGCCAGCACCTACTTTCTGGAACCCCCACTTTGAAGGATAATCCATTTTGGGCGCATGATACGGGAAATAACGGATACTCTCTTGGAGCAACAGCCACACAACATATCAGCATTGACTTTACGGTAGTCAAGGAGGCATTTTCATATTAAACGAGGCATTCTTAATCTACCATCCAATCGGCGTTTTTTTTTGTTCTGTTTCTATGTCTCGAAAGGGGGGGGGGGTTTCATGTTTTCCTTAGTTGATTACCCATCGCGATCGTTCTGTCGTTTCTATTCCTTTGCCCTTATTATTTCTCCCATATCAAGTTATTTAAGATGACTCCTTACAATTGCTCCTCCGTTCAGGTGCCGCCCAAGGTGTTCAATTTGCTCCGCAGTGGATATGGAACGCGTGTAAGAGTAACATTCGCAATCATTTCTTTTCATTATTTATTGATATTTTTTTTTTCGAGAGAGGTCTGAGATAATAGAGTATGAAGAGCAAAAAAAAAAAGATAGATCAAAGAAAAAAGAGGAAAAAAAAAAAGAAACCAAGCCAGACACAAACCACAAACCCAGTTTTCTTTGCCAACCCACCAAATAATCAGTTGCGACAATTGGTCTCGACGACAATATCAAAGCCGGCGTTGGGGGCGACGGACGACTGACCAGGCTTGTAGCTGGGGATCTTGTAAGGGTGACCCTGCCAGTCCCAGGCTGTGACCCATTCGGGCTCGTAGGACTTTTGGGTCGAGTTGTGGACGTGGACGCGGACTATTGTCGGCTTGCCGTCGTCAGAAACTTTGACGTTCAAGGTTGGGATCGCGGCCGAGATGTCGAGAGTAGTGGTTGTAGTCGCTCCACTGGCGGCAGGAGGAGGAGGAGGAGGAGGGGGAGGAGGGGCAGCAGCAGCAGGGGTAGGGGCCGGTGTGGGGGGTTGATGTTGGTTGTTGTTGTCGGTGGGCTTGGGCGCAATGACGGTAGCAGGGGCGGTGACGGTAGGTACTTGGACTTGAGGAGGGGTCACGGTTGGAATGGTGACACTTGGAGGAGCAGGGGCGGCAGGAGGAGTAGGTGCAGCAGAGGGAGCAGGAGGCTTGGGTGTGTCCAAAGCACCGGACGAACTACCACGCAAGAAGCGCGCCGCGCTGGCCGCAAGGCCGGACTGACGCGCAATCCCCGCATCCCACATCATCACACCTCCAAAGTTTGAGTACGACTTGACCGAGGCCAAGATGTTGTTCAATCGAGCGGCATCAATCACACCAGTCCCCGCAGCTCCCGGACCACCAGGGACACCGAGCAAGATGCGGACATTCTTGTTAAGCGAGACAGTTGTGGCCCAGTTGTTCCAAGTCGCAAAGTTGAAGCTGGAGCCTGAACCAAAACTGTTGACGCCACAGTAGTTGTTGTAGAACTGGACCCAGACCAAGTCGAACCAGGAGTGTTCCAATGCGTCCTTGGTCGCCATATCAGGGTAAGGGCACTGCGGGGCCGCGGTAATGTAGTAGCGACGAGCACCACCGGAGGCCGCAAACTTGGTCCTCAACGAATCCACAAAGGCAACATACCCTGCATTCTGACCCGACTCCAAATCCAAATCAACACCATCCAAAATCGCATCCCCAAATGGTCTCGTACCTGAGGAACCCCCCAAAAACAGATCCCAGATCTGATCTGCAAACGTACGCCCCGCCGCGGCATCCGGTAAGGAATAAGCACCCGAGGCACCACCTATAGAAATAACAATGGCCTTTCCGCTGGCTTGACATGCTTTGATATCTTGACCGATCTTGGGGCAGTTGAGGATGGTGGTACCGGGGAAGGTTTGTTCGCAGTGGTTGGCGAGGTTGAGGATGGGACGACCGTTTTGGATCTGGGAGATGAAGGCCAAGGCAAAGACGTTGACGGTTCCGTCCTGGCAGTAGTCGATCAAGTCGCCTTCCTTTCCACCCGCGTACGACACCGAGCTATTGTAATAAGATAATGACAAAGAAAGAAGAGGGTTGAGTGAAGGAAAGTTTCCATGGATATGTCGCTTTGGGCAGACGGCGAAGCACAAAAATAAAATAAAGCAATGCACAGGGTTTATTTGAACGCGAAAAAAGATATAAATTGGGACTTACTTTTGACCCCAGTAGTTGACGACGTTGATGCGGCTGAGGGGATCGAAGGCACAGACCGACTGGCCAAGAAGAGCAGCGACCGAGGCCACGTAGAGTGCGCTGCGAAGGAGCTTCATTGGGGAGGGTAATGGGCGAGGTAATAAATAGGCGAGTAAATATGAGTGGGGAAGCTGAGGAGAAGAGGATGATGATGATGATAATGATAATGGAGGATGAAGGAGAAGAGGAGCCGCTTTTTTATACCCGGAGGTACCAATCTCGACGTCGACGGCTACAGCAGCGTTTGTATTGCCGAGTAGGTCTCGACAGCTAAGGCTGAAGAGAGAGGAAATCACCCTCCCAAGGGTTCATTTTCGTTAGAGAGTAAAGTGGCCAAGTTCCCTACATGGGCAAAGCCAACCAGTCAAATTGCTAGCAAGGGCTACCGAGGAAAAACTACGACCGAACGACTAGCCAAGGCCTCTCTCTCTCTCTCTCTCTCTCTCTTTGAGAACAGAAACCATACTAGCGTTGTCGAGCTGTAACTGCCATCACCCAGGCGATTCCTTCGGTCCTAGGCGCGCGATGAAAGCAAGTTCAAGGGGGGAGTGGGTTCATTTATTTTCGTTTTGTTGTCTGGGTCGGAATCGTGTCCATGACACTTCATAACCCTCTCCTTCCTCCCTTTGTTTCGAGGGTTCCACGGATCACGCTAAAATTTCAGCAACGGATCTAAGATTAATGGATCAAGAACCGCGTCTCATCCCTTGCATACCATCCTCCACCCCCTTGGATCCGTGGACTCTCATTCATTTGCCATTGTCTCAAAAAACTCACATGCTTGTTCTTGGCAATTTCCCCTGTGTACTCTCCTCTTGCATGCCTTGTGGGATAATAAAAAAAAAGTGTACTCGGTAATTACCAAGGGTAACCGGTTACTCACGATCCACCTTCCCTCCTCTACGTCCACATATTGTTCTCGATCTTAGATCGGGGTACGTGAACGAAAAAAAAAACAAAAAAAAAAACAGGCATGTCGAGAAACGAAATCTACGCGCCATTGCATCATTACATTGTGCCGTGACTATTGTATATCGCAGTCCGGCTACTACTAAACTGCGTCACAAAGCGCGACCCACACCTCTTCCATCAACCACACACCTCTTCAGTCATGTCACAAGCAACATCAGACTTTCATCGCAAGCGTCAGCGGTCTCCAAGAAGCAATCGCGCACGCGACATCGATCAACTTCACCCTGCTGTGGAAGAGCTTATCGCGTAGGCGGACACCAATAATGAAGACACAGATGAGAGGGACTCTGACAGCAACAACGACGATGAGACAAAGGACGAGGAGGTTGAAGATGACGTTGGTAACAGGAGAGAGACTGCAAGGGAGGGAACGAGCGACGGGACAGTTCGTCGTACACCGCAGCCTTGAGCAACTACATTCAACGGTTTCAAGGACCCTGCTCATGAGCTTTTGCTACTAAAGGCTTTGGATGCGGTCGGGCCGTTCGGTATCCAACACGGACAAACACGAGCTGCTTGGTCGAGAGTTGTTCAGTATCTGAAGGATTATGATGACAAGGAACGAGCCGAAGGTCGCCCAACAGTGTTCGACGACGTCAATCCCCGTGTATGTCAAGCCAGATGGAAAAACTTGTCGAGCGAATATGCTGAGCACGAGGCCGCTATGCTGAGCACGAGGCCGCTATGCTGAGCACGAGGCCGCTATGCTGAGCACGAGGCCGCTATGCTGAGCACGAGGCCGCTATGCTGAGCACGAGGCCGCTATGCTGAGCACGAGGCCGCTATGCTGAGCACGAGGCCGCTATGCTGAGCACGAGGCCGCTATGCTGAGAGCTACTGGAGTCAATCCACAGATAACCGACCGACTGAAGTACATGCAGCCCGTGTACGAGTTTGAACAGGCCTGCAGGAAGACAGCCGATGATAACAAGGACAAAAGACATCGCAAGAAGGCGCGGACAGAGAGTAACCGAGTGGAAGGTCTTCTTTTGTTGGAAAGGTCTCGAACAGGCCCTGTTCGAGTAGTACCAGACCTGCTTCAGCCCATACAAGGCTCTATGTCAGGGACGGAGTCTGAGTCCAGTGTCTCCGTTATCTCCAATCATACCCCAAGGACTCCCGGGATGAGAAAACGGGCCATGACAACACTGTTGACACGGCAGCTTCAGGAAGCGAGCGCATTTTTAACGACCCAGGCCGAAAACCAGTGTAGGCAACTGGACATGATGATCGAGGATCGGGAGGAACGAAGGACGATGGAGGAAGAGCGAAGGAAGGTGGAGGAAGAGCGAAGGAAGATCGAGGAGGAGCGGAGGAAGACGGAGGAGGACACTAGGCGGGAACAGGCCGCAGTACAGGAGAGACAGCAGAAGGCGCTCATGGACTTGATGGCATTGCAACCGGAGAGCATGGAGCGAATCGCCACTCAACAATCACAAACCACGAAGGAGCAGGCGGCAAGCACGGAGCGCCTTATCCTCGCAATTATGGCGGGATTCAATAAAAAAGATTGATTTATTCCAACACTTGTTCCATGATAGCTGGATGGATGTACTCTCGCAGTGTAGGAGGATCAATACCAAACTGCTCATTTATCTTAACACCATAGTAACAAGTGTGAATATTGGTTAACAAAATAGCAAAGCGATAATGGGAGTCAATACAAGTGGACAATAAGCGGTGACTCTTAGGAAAGTCAATGCCTGAGAAATATCTAGTTACCTCCCCGAATGCCCACTCTATAACGATGCGAAGACCCGACATCGTCTGATTGAACGTCTTTGCCTCCGGGGTGAGGTTCGCGCCTGTGTAGCCAACGATCATGTGCGGGTCGGGCATATAAGCGGAATCCCCGTAAAGAGCAAGGGGCCGGCCAGTTGTATCAAAAGCGTGCTGCTCCAAGATGTCCATGATGCCAGATTGCTGATATATAGTGATGTCGTGAGTGGTGCCGGTGTATGCCTTGCTGAGATGCAGAATGATGCCGTCTGGACCAACGACGCTCTGATACTTCAGAGCATGTACATGCTTGTGTCCGTTGTACATTGACGCTTGACTGACTGTTGGTCGATTGATCCTGCGTACGGTGCCATCGATGAATCCGAATACCGCGTTGCACTCATGGTTGCTCTGCTCATAGCACAGATCAGCATACTTTTCAAGCTTGGATGGTGTCAATCGGTGATGATCCCAGATTAACAGCTGGTCCCAACGTAGCATGATCCACTTGACAAGATGATTGATGAGACGGGAAATGGCGCCAGTACTCCTGCGGAATATGGCCTCCATCCTGTTAAGCCGGGCCGGGTAGGACAAACGGTATACGGCCATGCAAAATACCGTAAGCGAATCAACGTTGTCCCTGTCGCGGCTTTTGATCCTTGGGGGAACCTGTAGGACCTCAAGGATCTCCTCCAGTTGGGCACAAGTGAACTGAAATTCTTGTACGCAGTACTCGTCGGAATATTGGCGTACGTCAAATGAGGCATCAAGCAGAAACGGGCGGTGTAGAACTGGATTCTCGTCCTCGTCGTCCTGGTCGAACTCGTTGTCGTCAAGGCCGTAGAGCATAGCGAGTTGTGCCGCGATTACCGGCACGAGAAGGACGGCCATCTTGAACGAATGAAGAGCGATGGTCTGTAGCAGCATTCAAGGAAGACATGGCATAAAGCAAATGCGAGCCACCCTTCTTCCTGCAAAAAGCTCTATAAATTAAACTTTTTTTTTAAAGGATTGGTTGACCTTTTTCCTTCTGCCACACACACAATTAACTCATTGCCAAACCTTTTTAATCCTCTTCAAACATTGTACACAGTCTCTAAAATCCCATGGACACGACAACTCTGGTAATGTCTTATTTTTCTTTCATGTCTATAACAGCTATGTCAGCTACCTGGACTGGAGGCGCCACTGACATGTTTGTCTTGTTTTGTTATTACAGACCGAATTACTCTACATTTCGCACGACCAAGAATGGCTGGCATGGGCACCTGCTCTAATGGGTGACACGTCGCATCAGTATCAACTGTATGAAGCGTTTCACGCTCTCAAGGACACGGAGTTCACCGGAGATGTGGCCGACGTGAAGGCTAGACTTCTGGATAAACTGTTGGCTATTGAGACTCTATCTGATAGAAACGCGACGAGCGCACAACTTCAACAAACATCACCTCTGACAGCCTTCCCCCACTATGTAGCGGAAACCTTGCTGAACGCTGGAATCCGGATGCAGGGTGGTCGGAATCAAAGCGGGATTCTTCACGGTTTTGCGCTAAACATCAAGGGTCCAAATGAGCATCACTCACACCAAGATGTCGACCCTGACCCTCCGCCGTCCACCGTGTTGTCTTTGCGTCTTGACCACCGTGGCCCTCTTTTGTTTGAGTTCCTGGCGAGGCATTTCAACTGTATCATCTACGAGTTCACCTCGGTTGGAACAGTGGATCGATTCGCCCCTGGAGACGACAACACGCCCTGCTTCTCGATGGGGTTTTTGAGGGCGTGTGATGGCATTGGAACGCCCGTGGAGTACTTTGTCCTAGGCCCTGCTCGTCATGCAGAGCCCCGTCCTTCCTCTACGCCTTCTCCTCCTGTGCCTTTTTACGATCCCCAACACCCACACCCCGCCATCCTTCGTCATGAGAAACGCGCGAGGAAAGGAGCCAAACGGGATCGGGAGCTGACAGAGTTTGACGATAGTGCGGCGATTAAGCTGTATGCCTCTGCTTGGTAAGTTATTGCTCTTTTATCCAAAAGAAAGTAACGCCACTCAATGGAAACGCCATGGATAAAGACTGCAGACCTCTAATCAATTTTTTTCTTTCAATCTGTTTATAGTCGTCACCGGCTGGACAACTTTATTCTTGCTGAGGCCGACAAAATTCGGAAAATGTCGCCCAAGTCCAATCCCAAGAACAGAAACGCCATTATGCAGGATCTCAAAGCACGTCTGATGACAAAACCTCAAACCCCCGACGGAGTCTTCACGGAGTACATGGAGTTGATGCAAAAGGAGCTCAACAACACCAAAATCACCCGCAGGATGGCTGAAGGCAAACTCGGAAAAGGACCGGTGATGATTTGGCGACGGGTAGTGAGCGATGACATGGAGGTCCGGTGGAAGGAGACAGTCGATGGAGTAGTTCAAGGGTCCGACTATCAACCCAAGGGCAAGAAGTCCATGGGATCTGCTGCAAGGAACAACGTCACAAGCAGTGAGCACAAGGCCATGACGCCCCTGGTTGGATCGTCATCAACAACAACTCCAAGGCCTTCAGGGGATATGGTGGACAAGGCAAGTGTGGATATGGACAAGGACATGGATGTCGACGATGGAGGAGAGAGCAACGTCGTGGATCTTGGCAGCAAGTCCGATCCTGATGAGGATGACGCAGGCCCTAGTAATGGGTACCAGTCGTTCACCATGACGCTTCTACAGTCTCTGAGGCCCGATTTACACGAACAGCACGACGAGATTGTAGAGATACTGGAAGCAAAGCAGGATATTGCATCTGATTTCGCATCAGACGTTACCCTTCTCGGAAGGAAGGTGGTCTTGGAGGTACTAGCTTTGTTGTGGTGCTTTGAATGCATACATGCATGCATGCATTTCCAGCTGGCAACGATACACAAGGAAGGAAGAGATCGTTTTTACTAATATGTGGTTGTTGTTTTCATATCGTAATTAGGCCGGATTGCAGTTCAAGGGTAGAACTGATGAAGGCTTTCTTTTGAGCCAGATATTCCCGGCTGGCTTTCAGTCTCGTCTGCCCAATGTCGATCTCGATACTGTACGGGTGCCCGTAGCAGCCCTGGATCCGGAGCTCGAGAGATTGATCGAGACCAAGGACGATACACCTCGAGGCAAGGATGTCCGCAGTATTTTATCTTCAGTAGCGCTGTCGTTTTTGTCTGTAAGGCACCTTGGCGTCCACGCAGACGAGGACAACACCTCAGGAAACAGAAGCACCTCCTCACCAGTCGACCACGCCTTTTGGCAGGACCTCTCTGACAGCATACGCGCCTCGTCACCATCAGCACCTTCACCAAATATCGATACAAACAGCCACCCTCTTACCAACTTTTCAAAGACCACCAGGGCTATGCTTAACGACATCTCGTCTAATTTTACCAACATCTGGGATGGTCCGTTATTCGACAAAATATTTCACACATTCTGCAACATTATTTTACGACTACATCTCACGCCGACAAAGGAAGAGGAGTGTAGAAAACGCGGGGCTCGGCAAAAGCAGGAGCGGGACGCCAAGAAGGAGGAGTCGACCATGAAGACCTCCAAGAGTCGAAAGTGCTGGTGGAAACGTCTGCGAAGCCTACAGTCAGATTTGGCCCATTGTCTCCGTCAACCGGGATCAGACAAGAAGGCAGTCAGACTGAACACCATCACCAATGCGTTGCGAGGACTGGCGGGGTCAGAGCCTGAGATTCTTCAACTTCAGTTGCCAGGCCTGGAGGAACAGTTGGAGGCTATGGGAAGGACTTCTGCTACGACACCAGTGGGCGATTCTCTGATTGACGCGCTATGCAGCAGAGTTGAAGCAGAAGATCAACATTGCAACTTTCTACTGCAAGAAGAGCAGGGTGCCGTTGAAGGTGAGTTTTTGAAGGATATGTTTAATGCTCTGTTTTCATCAATTCTATTTACTATAGCAACAACTAACAATTGTTCTTGTTTCACGTCTACGATTTTTTTAGATCGGGCAAGAGATGAGTTGAAACATGCCTCAAAACCAGTGGATGAGCGGGTGCTACGGATGGGTAAGTGCTTTATATGACAAGTAAATTAAATGAATTTAGGTGAAAGGATAAGGCGTGTTAATACATTCGCTTATTATTTATTTGATTGCTTAGCCATGGAAACACCCCCCAACAGGATGAAAGCGCTCCTAGCCGTCTTTAAGATGCTTCTGCAGTCACCGTCGATCCATCGCAAGGTCCTCTCATCCTATGTTCGACGATGCTGTAAGGGGGTGGACCCGACAGACGAGGAGTGTGCTACTATCGCGAATCTAGTGGAACTCCTCCGGCCATACATACCAAAGAGACGATTGCCGGAGTCTGCGTCGCGCTCCCAGGAAGAAGAGTTGCCTCAGGGATACACATTCAAAGCCCTGCCACACGTCGTTACCATGGCTCCCTTCATCATCCTCGCCGACGCCACACTCCACATTTCCGGTTATTCATCCCTCACTCGCCGCTTCACTCCCGACGTGTCACCATCAACAAACTACTCACTACCCTTAACCGGTACCTCACTATTCGAGACACTCTTCAGTTCACAACCACTACAATTCGATGCCAACGACAATAGCAACAACACTATATCCACCTTTCCGACAAAGCAGCAGAAGCCGAGGTTATTCTTTTCCGTCTTCAATCGATTGGCCATCGAATCCGCGTGCTACGAGAGAAAACTACAGTTTGCCTACCGGTAAGATAACTCGATTTTATTGTAATAATGATGTTCGATGAAATGAAGCATGAAGTAACTATTTTATCTAACCCTTTTCTGTTCAAATGCGTATTTTTAAACGTAGGATTGTGTTTGTTGACAGATGGCGCATCAGAGTTATGGGACACCCGCTACCTCATCAGGACGGCCTACGACAAGGCTACCCAGTCACCAGCAGCTTCGACATAAACAGGAAAAACAAGACGCCGTCTCCGTCCACAATTGATTGGAAGTCCGAGGTCCACCGTATGAACGCTGATGACGCATTGGCTCAGGCGGAACTAGATCAAGGCCTTCGGGAACTGGAATTGGCTGAGAAGAAGGTGAATGGTCTGCGCCTCAACTTGGAACTCTTGGAAGAGGACAAAAAAGACGCTGCGAGGCGTCGGAGGAAATTGGGTCGATTGCGTCGTCGGGGTGATACATCGGACGAGACCTTGCAGAGTTTGAGCGTGGCTCGGGCGGAATTCTCAACTCGTTTGGACAAGTACCAGGCTCACATCAAACCTGTGCAGGACGCCCAACGTCAGGTCAAGGAACTACGACAGCGAGTCTACTACTGGACAAAACTGCAGTACTACACAACGCCGGAAAAGCCCGACCGCACAACGGACAGCACATCCAGCAGTTCTGGAGTTCATTCGCAGCCAACATGGACAAGGCCCGTGTGTGAAAATCACACTGAGCGCATTGATTTGTCGGAGCTGGTTTCTCGCGGTAGACATCACGTTACCTTTGGAGCAACAGACCCAGGAATGGCCAAGATGCTGCAGACGGTGGGAATTTCGGTCAGGGATATGTCGCGCCGCTTAAACATCTACAATATGCTACAAGGTAACACGGTATTATGTTGGTGATCAATTGTGTCTCCAGAACGATATGAAGCTGCCTATTATTATTTAGGATACTAAATGGTTTTTTTCTGCTCAAAAACAAATAGACCTTGCCGACACACAGGACACGGAAAGGGCTTTACTCCTCCAACACGAGCTGGCGCAGGAGCTGCAGGAGCCAGTAGCCGTTCCCCCTGTGATTACTACTACAGCACCTCAAATCAATCATCTCGCACAGTCAACACAGAGTGCCAAAAAGCGACAACGCCGCATAACCCAGGATATAACTGCCGCATACAACACTCTCAGCAACAATTCAGTGCAGCATATCTACACACCCCAGGACCTGAATAACGCCCATGCAGCCAAGTCGGCAACACGGTCCATTCTGCGCGACTTTGAACGAACTAAGGCGAATTCCAAGGACAGGAGAACCACAGAACTGCTGACCAAGAAGGCGTATGCTGCTTTGGCAGCCAAAGAGCGCCGTTTCATTCAGTCATGTGGTAAGAACAAGGCTTTTTATAGCACTGCAATTTTCTTATGCTGCCTTTCGACGATTTCACTTTACTTAGATACTGCGCCAGGGTCAACGACGGTGAACGCGAATAGGCAGGACTCGTCGACCACCACTACTCCTCCCTTGTTGGTTGATCTGACAACGGCACCTGCATCGAGCCAAGTTCCTATACTTTTGCCAACGGAATCTGGATCGCCGAATGTTACACTATCGACAACATCATCAACCAACCAGCCCTCCCCACCGCTTGAAATCGACGATGGCTTTTGCGAATGTGGCATGTATCACATTTCGAACCATACCTATGGATCGTACCGTCATGGGTCGCATTGTCCTCGTCGCTATCCCAAGGCTCTGCCGGTGATATTTTATGGAGGAGCCGGTACTGGCGTCGGCTCTACCATCAAGGGCTTTTCAAGGAGAGGAGGAGGAAAGACACGTGAGCAACACAGACGCTACTGTGTCGTGGGCATAACCAACGAGAATTTGACGTCTAAACTCTGCTGTGTCTGCCTGGAGCCTGTACGCCTTGCCTCTGCCCGAAGGATCGTCGGAGGACAGATCCGCACAGTTCGAATCAATGGAAGCGTTATCTGCCAGAACGCCGTGTGCCCACTTGTTTATCAACAAAAGGCGTCATCCAACCGGGATAGAAACGCAGCCACCTGTATCGGACTCTCGGGACTTTCAACATTGCTCTCTACAGACAATCAGCCGCTGCCTCCTTTTCGGCTGCGAACCCGACCTTCTCGACCATCAACCCTGCATGCAGCACACACCAACCCCAACAGCACCAGTGCAACTGGAATCAACAATCAATCCGGCAATGTGGCTATGATCCGCACCCTGTTGGATCTCTATGTACATAGAGAATAGTGAGTAAGTTTTCCATCGATCATCCAATTATTGATATCCTTTCGGCATTGATTGCATTTGTGGAGGTTAAAACTGTTGACTAACTCAATTTTCACCTGCCTAATCTATTTTGATTGCGAAAGATGTCTATCGTGGGTTTATTTTTTATCTCATAACAGGGATGCTGACAATAACGACGAGTGGGTGAACGAGATTGAGTGAGAATGCAGATGAACGAGAATGAAGATGATGAAGAGAAAAGGGTTGAAAGAAGAGTGAGTTAAAAGAAACTAAAGACAGGGGAGGGATGATGAGAAAAAGGGAATCCAACGAAATTAAAAAGAAAAAAAAAGGAAAACCAAAAAATACAAGGGTCAACGTTAACAGAACAAAAGAAGACTACTTCTTGCGATCGAGGACCTTCTCGGTCAATTGGATGAGGGCTGTCTTGGCCTGGGAATCAGGTAATTGGCTCAGGGCAGAGATGGCCTTTTGGCAATGGCTCTGGGCAAGCTTGCGGGTCTGAGCGAGTCCCTGACTCTTGAGGACGAGACCCCAGGCCAATTCGACATCTCCTTCTTGATCAAAGTTGCGCTTGATCAGCTTGCCCAGCTCAGGGTACTCTTCCCAGGCAAACAACACAGGCGCGGTCGCCAGGCCCAACTTCAAGTCTGCTCCGGCCGGCTTTCCAAATTCGTCCGAGCTGACCGTAAAGTCAAGCATATCGTCGACCAACTACGCACGGGAAGTAAACGGGTTACACAAGAAAAAAAATAAGTTTGTTAGAATCCAGGTCGAGTTAATTATTATTGCGCACTGCAAACCACATGCGTCACGGCCACGGATGACAACACACAAAATCTTTCAAAGAGTTCGTACCTGGAAGGCCAAGCCAATGTTCTTTCCGTACGTATAGGCAATGTCGCAGACCTCATCCGTGGCTCCTCCGAGGACGGCCGACGACCGACAACTCTTGGAAATCAAACTGGCAGTCTTCATATAGGTCTTCTCCATGTAGTACTCGAATGTCGTCATCGATCCGTTGCGGTTCCGTCCGTTCTCGACCTGTCCATTGCGGAGCTGCATGAACTCGCCCTCGACCAAGTTGGCAATGACGGTCGAGATCAGCTCTGTGACCTCGTGGTTCCGGAGTCTTGCCAGAGCAATAGACGCACGCGCCAAAAGGAAATCGCCTCCGAGGACTGCCATCTTGTTACCAAAGCTCTCGTTGGCAGAGAGCAGGTTGCGGCGCTTATCTGCCATATCGATAACGTCGTCGTGGAGGAGCGAGGCTGTGTGGATCATCTCGACAATCTCTCCGAGTCGGCGTTGTGATGGGAGGATGAGTGTCTGATCTGGTGCATAAATTCTGGGTGTGTAGATGGGGTTGACTGCTCCCGCTGTTGCTGTTGTGCTGTTCGTGGAAGTCGAGGGGTCCGATCTGTTGTTGTTGAGTGTAGGGATGTAAAAGTTGCTGTGTTCCGAGATAGGCATGTCGATCTCTTCATAAGAGTCCTTGACACTGACAGCAACCTTCTTGGGCGCAAGAGAGGTGGCCTGAGCGATCAAAAGAATGATCAATGGGCGGATATGCTTGCCATCGGCCTGGAAGTAGTACTTGCTCACGGTGTCCAACATAGGGTGACCAGTACCAAGAAGATTCCGGATGTTGTTCTTCAGGTCCTTCAAGTCATCTCCGACCAGCTGCTGTGTGTCGACAACGGGTCCGCCCTTCTTTTCCACAACGAGGGTCTCGGCCTCCTTCAATGCCTCGTTCCAGGTTGTCGCCTTTCCAAAGTTCGTTGCGGGTGTTGAGTATGATCCGGGCGAGAAGGTCGACTTTACGGCATTGGCGACCCGTGAGAACACGGTAGGAGAAGAATCGGATTCTTTGGTTGCTGTGGCGTGGGCAGAGTACATGCGTGTTGCCATGATGGGGTAGGAGTGCTTTGCCGAGAAGGGTCTTGAGAGCCCTGAGGCGTAGCGACCTGCGATCAGGTGGGGCTTTGAGCGAGCAATTGACGCCATGATAGTTGAAATCAGACTTTTTCAAAAATATACACGCGAAAAAAAACGAAAGAGTCAATTGATATGGAATGGTACTCTGTTTAAATTATATAGCCCTGTCTGTGTGCATGATGCATGAAGGAGACTGTGTTGTGGTTGACAGGGTCCAGTCCAGTCCGGCAAGTGGTGTTTTAGTCTTACCAAGGATAGTTGAAGAAGTGTGAAGGACAAGAGCAGGTGTTAAGGCGTTCCTGAAGGTGGCGAAGGGCAGAGAGAGAGAGAGGATCGACTTGCAGTACTTGTCTGATTCGAAGTGAGGAAGGAGGAGTTTCACAGTCGGGTGTCCCGGAGAAGGAGGCGTGAATGAGGGGTGATGCGGAGCCGGAAAGAGGAAGGAGAGGAATACGGTGTGTGTAGAAAAGAAGCAGTAAGAAAAAGTAGAAAATAGTAGTTTGTCAGGACGGAAGGGCAAAAGCGCCGCACGTCGCCTTTGTTTTCGATCAATCGCACTTATCCGTGACCGCCCAACAATTTCAACCCTGTATGCATTCTGGTGGGTGCACGTGACCTGGTTGATATCTGGTCTTTGGGTCGTTCGTTCAACTCCTCCCAGTTCCTCATCTCATCAACAACCGAACCATGGCCGTCCAGCAAGCACCCAACCATTTCGGCAGACTCGTCTGTCTTGTCGCCTTCTTCCTCTTCTTCCACTCTGGATACTCAACCTTTGAGCGTAAGGAGACATGCATCCGCACTAGGGCGCTCATCATCATCAACGTCTCTTCCATGCAGGAACGCGAGTTATTACCATAGGAGGATAACCAAAGACAAGCGGAAGAGTTAACCTTTAGATGATCTTACCTTGTTCAATTGTATTTAGATCTCTCATACTTGAAGGCAGTCGATGGACGCGAGAGCGGCCTTCCTCTTGATGTAAGGCGAAGCAACTGGACATGTATCTCAGGATTATAGGGTGATTGGAACATGGATACACTATATTCGATAATGGTTGACCCTAGTAGTTAACACCGTGTGGCCTTTTATTTATTTGTCTGGATAGATCACGATCGAACTGTTGGCATCTGTTGCGCTCTTTGGACTCGGAATCGTGTTAGTTGCCGACGACTTCAAGGAGATCCTCATGGAGACCGAGATGGCCAAGCAGTAAGGAATCTTTCAAACAAAATGTTGTAACTGGTGGAATAGCTGAGGCCAGAACGATTTGTTGTAAACCAGTCGATTGACCATTTTCATCCTCCCTGCTTCATTATCTGTTAATAGGTCTATTGAATCTCTTGATGCCCGGCCATCGTTCTACTCGTTCAACCACCGTGGCAGAGCTGTCTTCAAAAATGTCATCTTGAAGGACGAGATGTAAGGCGGGGACGACACAATAGACCAGAACAAAATTATAAATCGGATTGAAGTATACCTGTACGCACATGGAGTCGAGGCTTGGTGGGACACGTTAAAAAACCCAGCAGGGTTTAGAAGTTGCTCAGGATCATGAACATGAAGGCGATGGTTTCAGGGCACTGCAGAAAACCTGCTGGAGAATGTACTATTTTATTTGGGCGCACGGTCGGTGGATATTTTACAGTCGAGAATATGGTACAAATTATATATGCAAGAAATGTGGCGGAATTAAAGAGGTGTAGAAGGGTGAGAGGGTGAAAGAAAGGGAGGGTAAAGAGAGGAAGAGTAGTACTAGGCAAAAGTGAGAGGTCTTGACTGGTGAGACTTCAATACAGCAGATGAAGGCACCGTGACGGGACTGGGGTTCTGACTCTCTGCCAACATCTGCTCCAAATCAAGGTGGAACAGATCGTAGGGATGACTCTTGGCATCCTTGGAGGACGACCAGAGCGAGGGATCGACACGGGAGCCATCTGAAGGTGAGCGATGGAGATCAAAGAGGAACGAATCACTGAGACGCCTTGATGGTCGTGAGGAGGGTATGTGGATGATAGGGGGCCTGGGGATACTGTACACTTGGCGCAAGGCGGGGGGTCCGCTGTTGACGTGATGGATGATCGAGAAGATAAAGTAGGCGAATATGGTTGGGGTGCCGGGATCCAGGTTGAAGACGATGCAGAAGAAGACGTTCCAGACAATGTTCTGGTGGATCAATGGCCGTGTGACTCCGTAGATGACATAGATGAAGACGTAGAACAGCAGCATCACCGTGCCAGCATTGCGGATGCTTATGAGCTACGCGGATAGATTGAAGGGAAAAAACAGAATAGATTAGGTCCCCGTCTTGAGATGTTTTCGGTGAACAAATATATACGAGCTAATGGCAATTGAAAAGTGGTTTCTTACCCTATGGCGAACTTTGCTGAGACTGGTATCCCAAACATCCCCATCCTCCTTCTCGCTCTCTGGGAGAGGGCTCAGCGTGAATGTCTGTCCTCCTGTGCCATCAGGACCTGCTTGGGTGACATCGACATGGACCAGGGTCAACTCCGAGGGGACCGTATATTCTGCAATGGCGTTGGTTAACTGGTTGAGGGTGAAAAAGAAGATGGCGGTGGCAATGAGGATGACGCCGCCGAGGGTGATAAAGTGGACAGCGATGGCGATGTTGGTGCTGGTATACTCGCTGCGACTGAGAAATGTTCCTGAGCTGATCACACTTGGGAGGTCGAGCAGGAAGGGTCCAAAGAGGAGGAAAAAAAAGACGCAGTTGATGATTCTGGGCCGTGGTACTCGGATCTTGAGGTTGTCTCCAGGAACAGACTATTATATGAAGGATGGATTGATGAGTTTGTTAGATAATATGCCTTTTTTACTATGTTTGTTTTGCCTTCGATGACAAAGGACACACAAGGTTGAACACTCCTTATTCCGGTCGATAACGACCATCGAATGTCCTTACCAACTTTGGTGTCGCATACCAGACGCCTATCACGAAGCATGCCCAGCATGGGAAACTACAGCACACCGCGATTTCAGACTGCAAAATAAAAAGCGTGAGTAAAAACAAAACATTGATCGACTTTCTATTTGGATTGCTCACAATCTAGCAACTTACAATTAGCTCCTGGACAGTGGTTGAGTTTGGAAAAGCATCGATGATGACGAAAAATATGGACATGGATCGAACTATTATTAATATGTGAGAAAAAACAGGACCCGTGTGGTTAGCGCCGTTTTGTTGTGTTTGTCGTCAGAGATGATGATGATTGACTGGGCTGCGCAGGTTTCTTCCCCATGGAGCGTATCATCTATATCCATCGAAGACAGCGAGTGGGGGGGGGGGTTTTCACACATGTGAGCATGGGATCAATAATAGAACATCATCGTTGATGGCTCATATGATATATGAAAAGAGATCATCGCGTCTAAGAGAAGGGACTATGAAGATCAGGACACCATGCCCTAACCGGATGTGTGACTGAACTAATGTGACCTCAGTGATATTGTTTGTTGGTCTGATATGTCCTGCTCAGGAAAAGCCTTCTTGTCTCCCATCCAAAAGACGTCGAATAGTATTCCTCTTCCTGTTCTTCTTTGATGTGCAGCCGAATGTCGAGGAGAGGGAAGTTCAACGGTCACCTTGCCTGCCTACTTGCTTCCTTGCGTCATGTCATGTCGTTGCAGCAGTGTGAGAGAACACAACAAAAAAGGAGGGGAGGGGCCATTTGTGTGATACAAAATGGCGCACAAATAGGTCTAGAGAAGGAAGAAGCGGGAAGAAGAAGAAAGATGATCGGTTGTCGACTCAGGGTGTGTTGTGCTATAAAGCCGACGACAGTCATGCAAGGGTGGAATGTTGGGAACAAACGTGGTCCGGATAGAGCCTGTCTATCTGTTCCCTCTCTGACTCCCACTTTTTTTTTCTTTCTTATTTTTCTTACATCTTGCTGCCTGCCAATGGCGTTAGGCACCTCAACATTTTCTTCTTTTTCTTCTAAACTCCAGCCTGGCCCCCCCTCCCCCCGTCCGTTCGTCTCTGCATAACGACGGTTCCTTCTCCACCCACCCACCACTCAGCCAAAAGCCCAACTGACTGGCCACATTTGAACAATTACAAACCCTGCTCCCCTCCTTTTTTTGTCATTAGTATTGTAAATGTCCAAAAGAGAGTTATGGCCAGTCAGCGGCGACAAAGGACAAGTCCGGATAAAAAACATGAGAGAGATAAAAAAATAATTGCAACTCACCAAGTAATCCCGCAATTGAAAGGGCGCAGAAAGACTCTATTGGTTTGGGTCGAATGCCTCCGTCCGGATGGCGAAAATCAATGATGGGTCCTGGAGGTGTGAGGTGATATCGTTGGCGTGCCCAGAGGATCCCATAGCCGACGAGGGCCAAGACCAAATAGCAGCAAACGCAGAGGATCAGTACCGCCCTGACGGCTTGCTTCTCGTGCTCGGTCTTACAGGAGGTGATACCCACTCTCCAGTCACAGTCGACTAGCCAAGTGACGTCCATGGAAAAGTTGCTGCGTGTCGAAGTATCTTTGCCGTCTTGAGAAAAATAGTGTAGCGGAGTAGACAGGGAGGAGACAAGAAAAAAAAAAAAAAAGTGGAGCGAAGCGCAGAAGAAGAAAAAAAGTTCAAGAGCGCGATAAGAAGAAAAAGTGCGAAGAGGAGGTTGTCGAAGGTAGGGGTGGCGTGTTTGTGTGTGTGTGTGTATGCGCGTGTGGACGTTGGGGTGGACGGAAGGGGAGAGGAGTGGAGAGTTGGAGTAGTTCCGATGGGGAAGAGAAAATAAGAGAAAATGGAGTGAAACAAAGAAACAAAGAGAAGAAGAGGTTGAGGTCTTTTTTTTCCTCTTGTGTCAATGCTCACTTATTTTGTTTGTGGTTGTTCTCTGTCCTCGACGCTGTCGTACCGATGCACCTTGTTGAAAGGCAGATCAGCAAAGTGTGTGAAAAGATAGGGACTAAAAGCAGAATGATGCTATTTCACAGAGCAATTCGAGAGACTTAAAACTAAAACGAAAAGAAAAAAAGGCGCGATGGTGGATGTATCCCACAGATATCCCAGATTGGTAAACAAGCTGCAGATCCAGGTGGGTAACAAGGAAGAGATGAGGCGCGGGTGGCAGGTGGAGGAAGAGAGGGCTGTTGGAGATGGACTGAAGAAGGAGTGTGAAGGGTGTGCGAGGTGATTATGAAGGGTGGAGTATCAGCCTTGTCAGAGGAGTCGTGCGGGGGATGAGGGGTAAAGAGAGTTGAGGGAAGTGAGGGTCGAGGAGAGTGCGGCAGTGAAAAGAAGGGGTAGGAGAAAGTGGAAGGATGTAAGAAAAGGAGCTCTTCAGCTTAGGGAGGGGTGAGGCAGGGAAGGGAAAGGAAGGCGGAAGGAAGAGGTGAAGAGGAGGAAAGAGGAAGAAGAAACAAAAGAAACGGCGGCGGAAAAAGGGCGGTTAAAAAAAGAGGGAACAAAGTTGGAGATCAATTTATTTAAACATGGCAATTGAATAATCATCATCCCTCTGTAATTGAATGTGATCAATGAGTATTCAGGAACAATCTGTGTTTTGATCACCCCTCATCTGCGCTTTGCTCTGGGTCCTCAGCTTGCTGCGACTTCCACCTTCCCGCTCGACTGCTTTTTCGCCATTCCTCTCCTTTTTCTTTTTCTCATCACGGTCTTTCCTCCCCAACAAAACTACAGACACCATCATCAACGACAGTACCTACAATCTTCATCTCCTTCCTTCATCGCCCTCTCATCAACAAAGCTCTGGAAAGAAGAACACACAAAAAAAAAAAAAAAGTTCATCATCTGATCTTTCCTTTGGTTTCACTTTACGCAAAGAGCCTCAAGTCCCATCCACCAACCTGGGCGTTTCCCTTTCCTTCTCTGCACGCCCACCCTTTCCCCCTCCCTCTGGCACATTAGTCTGCAGGGGACAGAAACAACCATTGGCCTCCACCCGACCTGCTCCTGGCTCTCAAAATAACTTGCGTAACAAAAAGAATCATAATAATCAAAACACAACCACCTCAACAGCATGCCAAGGCGACAATTCAAGCGTCTCGAGGACCAGCCTGATGACATCGACACTGGCGTCGACCAAATCGAAATGACAGAATCAAACGGTCATCGGCATCACCATAGCCATGCTGAGGCTTCGCCCATTTCGGAGCGAGCTAGCTCATCCTCCTCCAGGGTGGCATTCGAGGGTCAACCCCGCCGGTCGATGCATCAGGTCGATATGGATCTGGAGTGGCCCATGATTGACATTCCTCAGGAGCTCCGCGAGATGCAGGTTGATCAGGACGACTCTCACACCTGGTCGAATTCACAGGCGAACGCTATCAGGGTATTTGTGGCTGGTTTTCTTGGAGCGCGAAGAGGCGAAGAGGATCCTAGAAATAGGGAAAATCAAAAGAAAAAAATGTTTGGGGCATGTGCCTGCAAGGGGAGGGTGACACGTTGACAATAATTAACTTGTACTTTTCTTTTGTCCATATGCTCACGTTTTTCCGGAAACAGAATTCCTTCAAACGAAAGCTCTTCTTGCTCCTCGAGGATCCATCGTCCAGCCACGCTGCCTTCGCCCTCAATGTCTGGGTCTCATTTGCCATCGTTCTTAGTGCAGTGATCACAACAATCGAAACCATCCCTTCCTTCCGATCCACCGACTCGACTATCTGGTACTCAATTGCAGGGGTTCGCCTCTTTGAACTATTGGACGAACTCAATTATGGATTATCGCACACGGAAATCGTGTCGATCTGCTGCTAACTCAGTATCAATGGACCAAATGCCAATTCAACATACACTTAGGTTCGACTTCGAAACTGTCATGGTCGCCTTCTTCACCATCGAGTTTGGAGCTCGTATCGTCTGTCATTCGGATTCTGTCAAGCAACTCAAGAGGTTTCTTCTCTGTAAGTACTTCTCGGACAGGAAAGATCGGCGGAGAAAGAATCTAAATCACATATTGCAGGAGCACCAATTGGCTCATTGTTAAAAGTCCGATGGCAGCATTCTGTGAACTAACTCAGTTTGCCCATGTATCTCTTACTAGCTCCTCTTGCTATCATCGATATGCTTTCAATTCTGCCCTACTACATCGAGCTGGCACTTACCCGCGACACAGTAAGAGTGCACTGTTTTACTTCTTCCTGTCTTGATACCCTGGACCAATTTCCTGTAGGCGTACTAAAACTGCTTCCTTCTGTTTGACTATACGTGCCTAGACGGTATTCTTCCGTTTTACGATATTGAGGTTGTTTCGACTGCTGAGAGTTTTCCGCACATTCAAATACTCTTCGACAATTATCATGACCATCGAAGTCATGATCGTGGCTATCAAGAGGAGTATGGATGCTCTTAGTGCCCTGTTCTTCTTCCTCATCACCGGCACAATGCTCTTCTCGACCCTGCTCTACTTTGCCGAGAGAGGTAAGACGCCCTTTGATTTACTTAAAGTTGTACGGACTTGTTATAGACTATTTTTGGCGAGTGAAAAGACGAGACATGCTAATATCCATGTTCTATTGGACAACTTGAATAGGTGAATGGGACGATGCGCGCCAAGTGTTTATTGACGCCAACAACAACCCCAGTACATTCGACAGTATTCCTTCAGCATTCTGGTTTGTCATGGTCACGATCACAACTACGGGATATGGAGACATGGTGCCAACAACGTTCATCGGCAAGCTGATCTCATTCCCAGCCATGATGTGCGGAGTCCTCTTGATTACCCTGCCCTCGATCATCATTGGAAGGAACTTTACTCTCGTTTGGGAGGCGATGCAGCGTTACAAACGACTTGCTGCCGCCAATGTCCGCGAGACTAGCACTACCCCCACCGATGGTAAGAATTATAAGAAGATTCTGTCTAGGCTATCAATTGCTGCTGCTGATTACGTTGAACTGGCTACTCACACTCATATGTTCTCTTCTTATGTTTTCCTAGATGGTCGCCAAAGTTTTGAAAGTAGACATTCATACGACTCTCAGACTGTGCGGCCAGGATATTCGACTCTGACGGGCAATGGTTTGATCCCAGGACAGCAGGAGATGCTCGACCGTATCCAGACGATGACGCAAGTGTTGAAGCAGAACCAGCAGACCATGGATGCACTCCAGAAGATCCTAGAGAGCCACCACCTAGTACCTAAAAAATCCCCTTTCGAGGACTCTGCCGTCCTCTGAGCCAGCATAGGCTACTTAATAAACTATTCTATTCTCTCAGATCAGACACGCTGCAGATCACTCTCGCGACGGTTTTTCGGGCGAAATGTTTGAGCACACGTACGGATCACGTTCACACCTAACAGTATTGAAATTGAAATGTATCTTAGTTGAAGTGGCTTAGTGCGGTTGTTTACAAAAAAAAAAGAAAGAAAAAAAAAAAAAGTCATGTTGACGAAGTAACAGAGGGAAACAACACAGACAAAGCCCTTTCTGTCCTCCTAGCCCACTCTACAACCCTTTTGCATCCCGGCCCACCCTTCGCATCCTCCCCTCAGGGTTCAACCAACTTCAACTTCACACCAACTCTCTCATCATGTCCACCGGCTTCGCATTGGACGGCTTGGAGGTTCGTCTTCTCTTTCATCTCTTTTTCAACAACTCACCTTCAACAAAGAGTCAAAAGAAAAAAGAAACCAAACTCACACGACTATTATACTTTTCTCTCTTCCAACCTTGCTTGACCTTGGGGACACGTCCGATATTTCATCAATTGGCAAACCCATAGGAGAGAATCAAGGCTCACGGCAGCTCCTTCGATTCTTTGCTGAAGACCATCCCCGCACAATACTACATCACAAAGGAGCTCTCCGAGGAGGAACAGGTACTGATACAGGGGGGGCCAAACATCTGGATCAAATATCTACATTGTTCAGCAAAGACTTGGATCAAAACCGAAGACTTGAGCTCTAACACCCCTTCCCCCAATTCATTCTTCCGTCGTTGCAGAACTCAAAATACCAACATAACAAGAAGAGGAGCGCGCCAAAGCAGGAGATCAAGGAGCGCACAAAGAAGGCCAAGAAGGCCAAGGTACGCAGACAGATCAATCAATCGGACATACTTGTTTGTTTATCCTACTCCGTTACTGTCAAGTGATAGACCCGATCTGTGTCAGGTTTAATGACAATGTTGCTGATAGAACCTTCTCATTATTGTGCTCTTGTGGTCTCCTTCATGTCATCTAATGTTCAGCTCGATCCTGAGAACAACAAGTCTGTCATGGATATCCAGTCAGCAATGGCAGCCGGCGGCAAGGACAGCGAGGATGAGGACGGGGAGGACGAGGAAGATGACGAGGAGGACGCACAGATGCAGGACTCGGACGACGACAACCTTGTCGAAGACGACAGCGAAGCACCAGTGATCGCCAAATCATCCACACATAACTTTGAGGGTCTGTTGGCTCAGGTCCAGACCGCCTCACAGACACCCGCACAGGCTCCCAAGTCCATCACGGAATTGCGCGCCAAATTGGAGGAGCGTCTGGCCAAGCTTCGTGGCCGCCGTGGAGCCACTGCCGAGGCCAATGCTACCGCCAAGCCCACATCTCGACAGGCTATTCTGGAGGCTCGCTTGAAGAGGAAAAAGGACAAAAAGGCATCACAAAAGTTGGCCAAGGAGAAGAGAGCCAATGGTGGATCAGAGGGTCTTATTGTTAAGGAGTTGCCAGACTCTTCAGCCGGTGGCCGGCCCTCTGCTTCGTCCATCAACGATAAAGGAGAGGTTCGCTTCAGCAAGTTTGAGTTTGATGGTCTTCAGAAGAAGAAGAGAGGTCCTACAGATGCCCAGGGCCAGCTCAAGATGGTAAAGCTCTTTGCCTCTCGTTGTCTATCGAAGGTGGGGCATGTGCGCATGATTGTACTTGTATTAACCAGTGTTCCTATGGCAATGCTATTTTACGCTAATCTACCTATTAGGTCGAGGCACATAAAGAAAAGTTGGCAGCATTACAGGTTGCTGATCCTGAGAAGGCTAGCGCTTTGAAGGAGAAGGACACTTGGCGCAAGGCCTTGCAGCTGGCACAGGGAGAGAAGGTCAAGGACGATGTCAAGTTGCTGAAGAAGACAATCAAGCGCGAGGAGACATTCAAGAAGAAGAGTTCCAAGGAGTGGGGTGAGCGTAAATCAACCGTCTCCAAGGGCAAGGATCAGAAGCAGAAGAGGCGCGAGGAGAACCTCAAGGCCCGTATCGATGCTGCTAAGAACAAGGGCAAGAAGGAGAAGACTGGCGACAAGGCTAAAGGAGGCAAGGGAGGAGCTTCTAAAGGTGGCAAGAAGGGCGGTAAACCCAAGGCAGTAAGTTGATTTTGTCTGTTTGTTTCTGCAAGTTGACTACTCTTGTTCTCTGACTGCATCGTTTCTTTGCAACATGGATCTAACATTGTCCTTTTACTTTCACTCTTATCTTTTCTTTTTTTTTTTTCAGCGCGCCGGATTTGAGGGAAACAACGGCAAAAAATCATCTAAACCTTCCAAGAAATAAACAGCATTGCATATTCATATTCACATATAAACAAACACTCTAGAACGTAATGGTATGATTGATGACTTTGTTGATGTTGTTGTATGGATATGCAAAATTTCTATGAATGAGGGTGATGTTGTAAAGGAGTTTACATGCGGAATCCTTTCTATCAATGTTTGTAGGTTGCCAACAAGATGGTGTTAGAAACATGATGGGTTATGGCAACAACTTAAAAAGCATAAGGAGACCTTGCGACTTACTGATGTGATGAGTCCAAGGACAGACTTGGCGCCAAACTCGGCGATCTGCAAGACCTCGTTGGTGGCCTTGCCCACGGTGGCAGCATCCTCAAAGCGACGGTCCAAGAACTTTTGTGTGGCCTGATAGCTGGGAGTCTTGTCCGTTGTCATGAAGAGCTCTGTGGTGGTATAGACTCCTGCGAGGGAGGCGCGCTTTGTGTACCAGTTCATGTCTGCGCTCTTATCGCCTGCGAGGTGCCAGATCTCGTCGACAATCCTGGCGAGATGGTTCAGAGACATGGTGACATTTGAGGGCTGGCCCATGATGGCCAATGCCTCTTGCCAGCGGTCGACATAGGGTGCGATCATTCCAAGTCTTGTCAGTGTTCCCAGCTTGATTATTTCCTGTGTGCCCAACCTATAAGTCAGTACAGAGGATGGCGATGATGCTATAAGTGCCAGGTTCATGATATCATCATAGATGGGGTTTCCTTGCTCTCAAGCGATTCATATATCGCCATGAATGCAATAGTGTCGTACCCTTCCATTCTGCCCTCCAATTCCAGAGGAAGGCGTTCGAGACAGTCTTGCAGAAAGTAGTCGATCAGATCAGCTCCGCCTTTGGGGAACATGCCATGGATGATGGTAGGGTATCCCATTGACTCTGCAGCCTTGGCGATTGAGACAGTTGTCCATCCATGTTCGGGCACAAAGGTCAAAGCCTTCTTCAGAATAGCTTCGGGTGTTGTCTTGGCATGCGAGGCCGAGATTGGTTGTTGTTGTTGTTGAGCATCCTGTGGGCTTTGGCTATCATGGCATTTGAAAGTTTGATCAATTATTTAGAAACTAAAAGTCAGTCTTTGAAACAGGGAGACCAATTGGTTCTCTGCTCTCACACAGGTAAGTGTTCAAGCCCACTGAGGCAGGTTGTGTTGAGCTGGCGGGTCGATTCGTCTAAATAGGTACCTAGGCTGTGTCGAGTCCTCAGAGCGCCAAGAGGCCGAGGCTGTGAAGGTACGGGCTGTCGTTACTGCCCTGGTCAGAGTAGCAGGAGCTAGGCGCGCGGTCGCGGGACGCGAGAGAAGCGAGAAGGCTTGGCGCGCGAAGAGTGTCCTTTGAATGGCAGACATTTATGTCGAGTGAGGGTTGGTGTTGCAAAGTGTGAGAATGAGAGAGTCCTGTTCCCTTTGTTTGTGGGTTGTCGAGATCCTGTGTTTCCGTTCCTTGGTTCGCCGGGTTATGAAAAGGAGACGATCCGAGTTTTGGTCGTCCATGGCTTTAAATCGATCAGCCGAATAGACATGTTTTCCGGTGACGTTTCTTTTTTCAATGCGCGCTGGTGGGTGGTGCCACTGTCATGCCCTACTTACCGGCCTTTAATTCACCCTACAAGTCAGTCGCTCTCATCCTTTTTCTTCTTTCTTGTTCTGCATCCCTCTCTCCGTCTCTCTCTTCTTCATCCCCAACACTTTCACCCTTTCTCCTTTTTATACATTCACACCCCCCTCTTTCCCAACTCAAGTCATGTGGTCCTCCCGTAGGTTATCCTTACTCTTTCCTTGGCCATAATTACGCCCATCACTCTCGTTCCATCTGTGCTCATTCTTTCATAAAAGAACAAGAGTCCATCCCACTTTTTCAGACTATTTTATGCTATGAGAGCTCATTCTACACTTACGCAAAAAAATCAGGGAGCGTGCATCTCAAAAAGAAAGACTGCGCCGATGACCAACAACGTGCGCAAAAGGCTGGCCTCGTTTTTGGCCATAAAGACACGGATAGAGAAGGTATTGACTGACACTCTTTCGTCTCCTTCCATTCTTATTCGTGCAAAACACACAGTTACTTCCTCTGTCTCCAACCTGGCTGGTTACGGCGCTCAGCCTGGCTCCCCTAAGCCCGGTGACATCCCCAACGCCGGCGAGGGTGTTAAGTCAGCTGCCTCCCTTTGCAAGGATGGAAAGTACTACTCCGAGTTGACCACCAAGGACCTCGAGTGGACCATTGCCGCCACCGCCTCGACCGAGACCCAGACTTTCTATTGTATCACCGATGAGGGTAACTTTGGTCACGTCCAATTGATCCACTCCAACCTCGGGTATGTTAATTTAAAAGGAAATGAACGAATCGAATGCGTTGTAAACGGCCAACGTATATTATTGCCAATACGACCATCCAGCTAACTCACTCTGAATGTGTTGTGTTAACTAGAATTTGGGGCGCTCCTGCTTCGGTCCAGATGACTGCCCGTTTCCGTGGCAACGGCATCAGCAAGTTCTTCTCGGTCAACTTGACCAACTTTGCGCTCTCAGCAGACAAGCTGTCTGCCTCGACCAACCTTATGTCTATCACCATGTCACCCGACGGCCAAAAGTTCACCATCCAGGTCACCAACCCCCCAGATTTGATTGTCTCGTTGACTTTTGAGCGCACCACCAAGGGCTACAAGATTGGTGAGGGCAAGAGCTTCTTTGGCGATGGCTTTGTTTCCCACAAGTTCTGGCCTTCCTGCAAGGTCTCTGGAATGATGATCGTCGAGGGCAAGGCTCAAGATATGGCTGGCGAGGGTACTTTTGTTCACGCTATCCAAGGAATGCGCCCTCACTTGGTCGCCTCCAAGTGGAGCTATGTCGATTTCAGAGGAAGCGACACCGAGACCAACAACAAGGCCAAGCTGTCGCTGATCCAGTTCACCACACCTGAGTACTACGGAAGCACCACTGTCACGCAGGGATCACTTGTCTTTGATGGACAGCTTGTTGGTGTTGCTGTCGACAACAAGACTGAAGCTGTGACGAGCGAATATGACGAGGAGACTGGCTACAACCCCCCTACCGAGGTTAACTATGTCTGGGAGGGCAAGGCAATCGAGGGCGGCAAAACCTTCAAGGCTGTTCTTAACGTCAAGCCCAAGGGATTGTGCCAAAAGGTCGATCTCCTTGCTGAGATCCCCTGGGCGCTCCGCAAGATTGTGTCAACGTTTGTTGCCAAGCCCATTATCTACCAGTGGTACGACGAGGCCACTGCTGTGATCACCGTTGGGGACGTCGAGCACAAGCTGGCAGGACACGTCTACCACGAGGCCACCTTCGTCATGTAATTTTCAGCTTACTCTACATCAGCTTACACATTCTGCTCTACTAGTTCTACAACACCCACCTAATAAATCTTGAGAGCAGCCTTAACAGTCACAATCCTTCCTTCTTGCAGTTGAGATTCGAATCCATCGCCACTTCTTTTTCTCTCGTAAACCAAACAACGACGTTCGCCATTCCACCATGACCGCAGCAGACAACAACTACCCGGAGAGCATATCAAGGATATGTGGCGAGCTCCAGAACTTGTCGACACAGATGCTCGAGCTGCGCAGGACAGAGCCAAGATTCCCAACTCCAGCTGAAGCAGCGCCATCAGAGGCACGCGACGACACTGCGATGGATGTCGATCAGGTTAAGGTATTCTTTCGCAGCAAGCTCGCATATGCCACAGCTTAAGAAGAAGAAGAACAACCTACACGCACACGCACGCCATCATTTTTATTATCCAATATTATAGACTGGGAAGAAGGCTAAACGGTACTTCAACCTTCGTGTATTCTTTTGTTACCACAATCAACCAAAAAATAGAAGCCAGTTTTTGATTTCGACCCTACACTCCAGAAGAAACTGCACGAAGGCGTTGTAGAAGGACACCGCAACCTGGCTCTCCTCAAGAGCCTGAACCGACAGATCCACCAACAAGGGCGCAACCTCAGGAACGAGTTGACAGAGCAGAAATTGAGCGTTGGCAAAGTTGATCTGGGCTTTCAGAACATCAAATATCAGCGCAAATATCTCATGAACGAGATCGCACGCTGTCACGACATGGAGTAAGCAAGGCACAATATTTGGAAAACCCTCTTTGTTGTGAATTGTGTGTAAGGCGAGTAGACAGAAGTATTGACCTTGTTTGTGTCCCTTTTATCACCCATAGGACGTTTTACCAGGATGTGCCATTGGTGACAATGGACGAGTTTAGGCAAGTGGCACCAGAGAGCCTCACAAACACGACGAGCGACCATCAACTCATGCTGAATCGACTCCAGTTTGAACTTGAGGAGCGGAAGCGATATGATGCAGAGAAGAGGCGACTCTTGGCGGTCAAAGTCCAGCTGACAAAAGCTAACAAGGCTCGCAAGGCCCAACTTAACAGGGTCGAGACGCAACTGGAGGCTTATATCCAATCCAGTCAGTCTCTTCAGGATCTCTTCCAGGAACCCGTCGAGCCTATTCGCTCGCATCACGATATCCTTAACGTCGACGGAGCAGGATCGGCTTCTAACAACGGCGAGGCTAACGGTGTAAACAAAACAGGAGGGGCACTGGGAATAACTGGCGGTGTGGCGTCTCCCATGGTGAGCTCGCCAGCTCACTCTCAGCAGGAGGTGGTCGCAGCCGATGTCGGGTTAGTGGCGCCATTGCGTGTCGGAACAACAGAGTTATTGAAGAGGAACGATATCGCCCAACTGTTGCCTCAGCCGCTTTATGTGCTCTTCCGTCAGGCTTGTGCATTCTCTGCTACCTTCGGAGATGAGGTTCGTGCCGAGATTCAGGGAGATATTGCGGCGGCTCAAGTGGAGGCAGGAGTTCATGCGGCGGCAAAACAGGCTGCCTCGTTACCCAAGAACAACAACCAGAATGACATGGCTCGCGCAGGAGATGTTGCAGGGGCTTTCAATGCTGATTCGCCAATGTTGCAGAAGGATGGTCAGGCAGAGGATGAAGATGTGCGCGAGAAGGAGCGAAGAGGATCCGAGTCTGAAACCCAAAACCAATACGAGAAGTTCCCCTTGGAAGTTATCATCAAGATCAAGAAGGACGGTACGTGGGTTTATTTTCGGTTCTGAGCATCTTTTCTGTATTCACAAGCGTTATTTATTAACTGTCGTTTTGTGTGATGATTAGCATTGGTTTCTTCGCATACGATTGCACACCTTCGGTTCACATACCTCATGCGTCTTGGGATTGTGGTAGTCGCGGTGGACTCTGCTCCTGGTATTTTGAAACTGGACCCTTCACTTCTTTTGCAAGAATTATTCCCCAAAGACTATGGCGAGATCTGTCCCAACCCCGAGGCAGCCTTCTTGGGCCTGACGGCCTTTGATACTCTGGTCTCTGGCGATGGGAGCGTTGGCGAGCAAGGATCCGATCTGCAGATGGATGTCAAAAAGTCAGGAGGATATGCCTACCGCTGGGCACAGGAGCTTTGCGGTCTCGAGTTTCTGGGACCTCTTTCACAAGGATGGGGACCTGTTTCGGGCACGGAGCTGGAGAATTTAGCGGTGGATGATATGGCGTCATTCTCTCAGGCTGTGCTTTCTGGACATGGAAATAGGAGAGCGTTCTTAAGCCAGGTGATTCGCATGATTCGGAACCGTCGTAGGGCGTGGAAGTCGCTTGAGAGACAGCTGGAGGACCTGGATAGGGGTGTGATCCCCAGCCTGAAGGGTAGAGCTCTGGAGTTTGCTCTGGGTATGGCTCAACCCGTAGGTAATGCTCGTCACAAGGTCACGATCTCTAAATGGCAGACGACGGATGATACTTCCTCGAAGGGATCGACCATGTACAAGGTGCAGTTGGTCATGCCAGACCCACTGATATCCTCCACCAGGAGCACTGTCACGGCCAAGGTGATTGTTGTTGAGGCTACTGTCGAGATTGCACTTTCTTATGTCGAGCGTGTGCCAAAGTGGGAGTTGAAGCCTGGTCCTGGGTTCCCGAGCACTATGAGGACGACGAGCAGCAATATTGGTGGTGCCAACGGCGGTGGCGAGGATAACGAGTCAGGAGCTATGTTGGTCGATGATGGAGGGGTCGCCTCTAATACTGCCTCTCCAGCTCTCCCCAAAGGAAGCCAGGAAGATGAGATCAAGGACCGATCACCGTTCCTGGATTCATTGATGGTAAATTTCAATTAATCGCACCTCTTCTTCAGGCGACAGTGTGTGCTCGTTTTGCATGTGTCAAATTAGCAACATGATGTACTAACATATCAATCGATTCTCCGCTTTACTTGGATATAGTACACTGTGAACAACGAGCTTCCAGCGGCATTGTACGGAGCAGAGCCTGGCGAGAGGAACATGTTGCTCTCTGTGCAGTTGACGCGAATTGTTACCGACTTGTCGACTGTTCTCGAGACCGTCTCCTACTAAGCACAAGGGTAGTGTGCTCTAAACCGCACTCAAATAAAAACGCATTTTAAACATGTTGCAAATGGTGCTTTTGGTTATTTCTGATACAGAAGAAGGTCTACAGAACGGTATGGAATGAAATATGATGGGAAGAGAAGGGGGAAGGGAAGGTTGGAAAAGAAAGAAAGCGACAGAGGTAGGTGATTTACCAGAGGGCAATTTTCTCGTTCCACTGGCCAGTCTCACGAGTCTCCCAGTAACCACCCTTATACCTCCAAGTCTGTCCCTCCGGGTCCTCAGTCTGAGGATCATCGGCCTTCTCAAACCAACGGGCCTCCCACAGCTCCCCACGAGACTCCATCGCCTTTCTCAGCTCACGCTGCTTCTGCTCCACCCTCAATTTTTCCTGATCGGCTTGCTCAACAAGTCCACGCTCAAACAGACTCTGATCGGGCCTGAACCTCGTATCGGTCTTGGGAAGTTTAACCTCCAACCCCTTGTACATCTCATTCAACTGAGTCGTAAACTCTGTGAACCCATAATACTTTTCATGATTCGCCGGTGGAGCATTACACTTCCAAAGCCTCTCCAACTTGTTTGGCGCCACCTCCTCCATCAACGATTCCGACCATCGCCCCTGCAGGGTTCGCTTCTTTGCCCCATTTGCTGTCATGACGTGTCCGGAGAGCTCATGTTTGGTGCCGGCAAAGAAGGAGGATTCCTTGAAGGTCAGGACACAGGTTTCGCGGGTCGTGTGGTTGATGATTTTCATGTCTCCTGTATGTTCGAGATATTTGGTTCCGGCCATGAGGTTTCGCATCCAGGTGGTTGGTTTTGAGATTGTGTAGTGGTCGTTGGTTTTGGGGAAGTTGATATGGATCGTTCCGTTGGGCATCAGTTCCTGTTGGGAGAGAAGAGGAGGAGGAGGAAAAGAAAGGGGGGGGGGGGGGGGGTAATGAAGAAAGTAAAGGAGAAATGGCAATTAGATATTTGTTATTGTGAAAACTGATAGACATGATGGAGAGAGAGAGAATTGGAAGGAATGAAGAAAAAACTTACCATTGACTTGCCCCAGAACTTGGTCTTGGCACGAGAGTCCATGGAAAAGGTCCAGCTGTTAACAGATTCAGCATGGCACTATCATAGGAAACGAAAAAAAAAGAGGATAGGAAAATAAGGAATATAGGTCAGTCATCGACGAAACGTTCGTTAACGCGGACAACAAAGCCATGCAAAGAAAACTTGTGAACGAGGTGACTTACGGCCATGACGGGAGGGTAGTGACTGACTTTCTCAGAGATGAACTTGAAGCCCTTCTCGGGACAGACATATTCAAAGGTCTCTCCGTGAAGAGGGTTGAAGGGCTTGCGGGCCGCGCGCCACTGGGAGGTCGAGTACCCACTGACAGCAAAGGCCGCAACATAGACCAACCGATCCAAGCTATCCGCAAGTCCCACAGCTTTGTCCAGCAATTCGCTGTACTCCAGTTCCTCGCACAAACGCTGCAAGACGTTGATGGGCTCGTTCAGCGAAACAGGCATGGCGACTGTCGACAGATCCTTGCCAACGTTCTTGCGGAGAATAGAAAGGAGTGAGATGTCTTCGCCCGAGACTGGCGCAGGGAGTGCTGTACGACGGACGATGGGTGTATCATCGACTTCTTCTTTGCTGTTGTCGTCCTGTTTTGGTGGTGCCTCTGCTACTTGTGTCTCCTTAACGGGTTCCTCTGAAGATTCGTCGTCATCGTCGCTCGAGCCATCGTCTTGATCATCTGCCTGGTCATCGAATCCAGCACCCTCGAGATCCGAAAGATCGGCTGAAGATAAGTCAGCGGTCAGGATGGCATCGTCAGCATCGTAAAAGATATCAGAACCAGTAATAGAGGATGTGAAGGAGTGGGTGCGGTCAGAGTTCATGGAGGTACGGGTATGGGCAATGTAAGCTTCTTCGACAGTGGTGTGCCTGGACAGGGTCGATTTGTCACCACGGGAGGAGGTGAAAGTGTCGGTCTCTGACAACATTTGGCGGAATTGCTTCTCGTTCTTCTCCCACTTTTCCATCTCAGATCTCATCAACTCGAACGCCTTCTCCTTGTCCGACTTGAGCTTGTTGAATGACGCCTGGAGACGGGTATGGATGCTCTCGATAGACGCGTTGGACGAGGCAACACTGTTGTCGCTCGTGGCTATTAGGGCATGAATGAAGGTATGATATGTTAGCTAGCTGGTATGGTCCTGCTTTCACTTATCGATTCAACTACTACAGGAGATTTCAGGTAAACTTACTCCGCTGGAGAGAGGGGATGAACTTGTTGATCTTGAACTTATTGTTGGGGGGGCTGTTGTTATCGACAGAAGACTGACGCTCACGCTGAGTAGGGCTGCGCTGGGAGTGGCTGCTCGAGACAGGGCTACTGCTCTCAGACTGAACACGGATCGAATCAAGTTGATCCTTGATCTCCAAGAAACCGGCATCCATGGTCGACATGAGCTCCTTGAGCTGGTCAAGGTCGTTGTTGTTGCCGCTGCTGGTGCCGACCCAGCTGTTGCGGAGGTAGGCCCGCTTTTGGGACGAATCGCGTTGGGTCATGCGGTGGACGGTATCCTGGGCAGCACGTTGTTCCGCATTCTTAAACGTCTTGATGGCCTTGGTCCAGTCGTTGTAGTCCTCAACGGTCAAGGCTTTGAGATGGTAGAGCATAGTGCCGGAATCGATGTGGATCATGTTGGACGCCTGGCTGACGGTGACGGTCGACAGAACCAGGTGGACTTTACCACGGCATGGGGTGTCGGGCGTCTTGTAGTATGAGAGGATACCATTGTCGATCTTGAACCAACGTTTGGCCCATCCTATTTATCAACATATGAATTCATCGTTAGTGAGCAGACCGTGAGATAACGTCGGTCATATATCGATTACAAGTAAACGAGTGATTCTCACCTTGCATGCGCTTGCGCTTCTTCTTGAGAAGCCAGCCAGACATCTCGGAGGGCTGGGGAGCAACCTTGGGGCCACGCTCCTCGAGGGCGACAAAGAAGGTGAGGCGCTTGGAGGTGTGGATCGAGAAGGAGTTGTCTATTCATTTGTTCATTGTCAGCCGAAAATATCGTTTTAGTGAGCCGTTTTTCTTTTCCTTTGTTCCCTTCTTTTTTCGTGGGTAACAATCGCCGATATGAAGACATTGCAATGAACGAATCGACCTGAAACAGCTCTTTCACTGTCTCGCACTCATTCTTGTATGCATTTTCTCTCTCCATCTCACTCACTCTCTTATGCACTCTCATCCTTACTCCTATGCAATTGACCTTCCTTCTCTTTCCGGTACTCACTTCTCTCTCTTTCCTTCCGTTCTTTGTTCAATTATTTCGATCAGTCACTACTTACCAAAGACGACCACATAGCTACCAGCTTCCTTGACGGTGTACTCTCCACGGATAGTGCCCGAGCTCGAGTCATAGTGCTGAATGGGGAGGATTTCGATCAGGTCGGGATCCTTGAACTTTGCAACTGTCTTCTTTCTTCTGGCCGAAGGCTGAGAGTTCGAAGGCAACGAAGACTGACTAGGGTTCTGCTGGTTGGTACCTAGTCCATCCGCAAGTCCCTGACCAAGATGATCCTCGTCGTCACTAAGAGAATCGACTGAAGCCCTGCTCGAGGCATAGTTGCTGATATGGCTCGACCTTGTGGGCGAGGTCGAGAGAGCCGAATCCTTAAAGTATTGCTGAGAGTTGTTGCTGTTGTTGTTTCCACTGCTGCTGCTGCTGCTAGGTCCCTGGGGGTGACGAGTAGAGTGAATGGACTCTGGTCGGTTGATGGAAGGAGGAGCGACGGAGGTGATGGAAGGAGCGAGGGTGTTTGACTTGAGCTGAGCGGGTACGGAAGAGGATTTGCGGAAGAAGAGGCCAAAGGAGATGTTTTTCTTCTTTGTCGAAAACCACCAGACGAGGGTTTTGTCGGACTGGTCGACGTGGACGTAGTGCTGGAAGACGTCCCTTGGGGGGACCTCAATCTCTTGCATTGCGGCTGGGAGAAAGGGAGGAAAGGAAGGGTGATGGGAACCCTTTGGTGTTGGGAGGCTGAGAGTAGGAGAGTAAAAATAAGGAAGAGAGCAGGAAGAAGGAAAGAAAGAAGAGATGAAAGCAAGAAGAACTATGGAAAGGAGATGGGGAAGAAGGAATGAGTTCTTTGAAAGAGAAAAGAGAAAAGAGAGAGGGAAGAAGAAGAAAGAAGAAAGAGAAAATAGATATAAAAAGTGACTAAAGAGAGTGCTTTGTCCAGACCAAAAGGAAGGCGAGAGGGATGGGAACGTGCCATTGACTGGATGTACTGGGAGTGTGATGACGATAAACCTTCTTGGTCGTACTTGTGCCCATTCAATTCGCAGTGTGTCAGAATTCAGGCACACACAAACGTGAAGGACTGATTAAAATAGAAAGCGAGTGTTCATTCTAATGATTGAGTGATGACAGGGCCAGGTGAGCCCTCTTCTTTCTTCGTGTTTGTTTGTTTATGTTGTTCATGTCAATGTCTACTTTGGCAACTCATGTCTGCCACACTCTCTCACCACCATCACCACTACCACCGCAGGTACCATCACCACCACACCATGCTGCTGTCAGCACTCTCACTTTCTTTTTTTTATCGGCCACGCGCAACATACCTTACATCATTGTAGCCATGGTTGTCTTTCCTTCTAAACACCCAACAATCCGTTACAAAAGATATTCTTCCTTTCAGGGGAAGGACGATAAGACAAGGCAAAAAAAAGGGACCCTGCCTTGCCTTATATTCTACTTGAAACTGTGGCGGTGATCAGGATCAAAAACTGATCGGTATCAGACTATTCATCATTCAGAGGGAAGCACGCGGCTAGTAACAGAGGGGCGCCTTGTTCTCTCTCTATTGGCCCTGGGCTCCAGCCGATAGGTAGACTAGGTGTTTGTATGAATAAAATGGCATGAAGTAAGCCGTGATGGGTCTCCACATGGGATACCAACTGAATGAAATTATGAAATGAACTTTATTCCCAGCCGAAGGACAAGGGAGGCCGAAGCGACGGATGGTTACCTTGCCAGCCAGGATGGATAATTAATACTCGCCATGTGTTTGCTGAGAATGTACGCTGTCTATTTGTTTACCATTTAGGCTGATCAATGGCTTCGAGACAAAAGGCATTGTGGAACAATCACTATCAGAGACAAGCCATTTTTGTTCAGAGAGACACGCGTTCTCTCCCCACGGGTCACTGTTGTTTTCTGTGTAAACGATCCGCCGCCATCTCCGTCATCCTCTTTCCATTGCCACAAACAACACTCACCCTACCTACCTTCCGTCATGACAAGAACAATCGCTTCTGCAAAACTCGACATCGCACCTTCAAGCATCTATTACATCCCTGACTTCATCACCCCTGCCGAGGAACAGACTCTCATCGACAAGGTACCTTTAGCACTCACACATTCATTCTACAGAAAAAATAATTAAACCAGCAGAAAGGACTCACCAACAACGGAATATACTTGTAGGTCCTTACGGCACCCAAGCCCAAATGGGTTCACCTCAAGAACAGAAGGTGAGTCGGATATTAGTCATGTTCGCCCCAGTTGGGGTCTCCTATGAACAAATAGAAAGTGAGCGTGAGCCTGGGGCGGCTCTTCGCGCGCGTTATTATGCTTTAAGTGAACGTTTCCTTTAGTTTCTGTCGCCATTCGATTCACGAAGAAGAAAAAAAAATTGAGATAGCTCGCTGCCCCTACTTTGCCCCGCCCACGCAAACTCACGCATAATGCACACATGTTCGTCTTCTTCCATATGATAGACTACAGAACTGGGGTATGGACCGCTTTGGGAGCAACAATATTTGTTATCCATTGGGCGGTGAATTGGAGAAAAATGCAAGGAATAGCATGAACTCAAGGAACAAAAGGAGAAAATGAAAGAGCAAACCAAACCAACAACACCAACAGCTTGAGAGCACACATTAATCCCATGAGGAATATGCCTCTGTTCGCCTTTCGCTAATTCATTCCTCAGCGAACACGCACGTACATGTACCACACGCATGTGCGTGCGTAGCAGCGTTTGAACTATGATCTGTTTGGAGAAGGTGGGGGCTTTCATATGCTTAACCGTTGCATTACATTTTTTGATGTATATTTTCTTGTTTACTTCAGGGGGGATTGTGAGCGAACGAGGAATGATTGGGGAACCACTGCCAGTCTGGCTCAGCTACCTGTTCCCCAGATTTCGCGAGGCTGGGGTCTTTGAAGGCATGGATGCAACCCATCAGGACCCAAACCATTGTCTCGTGAACGAGTACCTCGCCGGTCAAGGCATCATGGTAAAATATCGTGTTTGGATGCCATTGCCCGCGTCTTGTTTCTCTTTCCCTCTATGACATTGGCCACTGAAGTTAACAAGAGTTACATTTGCAATGTATGGTCGATTCTTTCTAGCCTCACAAAGACGGTCCCGCCTATCTCCCAACAGTGTCTACTGTAACGCTTTCATCTCATTGCGTCCTCGAGTTCTACAAATACCCCGAGGACAAGGAACAGGAGGAACGTGATTCTACCACGGAGGAGGCCCGAACACAGGAGCCCGAGTTTTCGTTGTTGGTTCAACCGCGGTCTTTGCTCGTGCTCAAGGAGGACGTCTACAAGAAGTACATGCATGGCATCCGGGAGATCACCGAGGACGACCTGCGCACGGGCAACATCTTGAACCTGCCTGAAGCCATGCCACAGGGTATTGAGGAGACGCCAGTGCTGGAGCGAGGAACCAGAATATCACTCACATTCAGGATTGTGCAAAAGACCCTCTCAGCCAAAAAGTTGTTCCTCCGACGATAGTCGCCAGAGAGATATTCTGGAGCAGGAGCTGCCTGGTCGTCATGCGGGTCCAACGCCAGTCCCTCAGTCATTCCAAAGCTTCTTAAGGGTCATCCTCCCCTCTCCATCGAAATAAAAAGAATCGCAGTGCAAAAATTTTCACACCATCTCTCCCTCTTCCACTTTGTAAGTTAACTGTTCCTCTGATCTGAATCCCTTGCCTCGAACAAGGACGACATTCCTTTTTCTTCACCATTAGTTGTAGTCGTAGCAGTGCGCAATATGATGAATTCTGTTTGGTCCGTGTTTATGAGGTGGAAGTAAGACCCCGCCATATGAAGACACCCATTTTTTTTTCTAAACTATCTGATCACCCACATACCTACCCTACCCTACCTTCATTCATCTCGGCAACGAATGAATCCTGATCACAGTAAACTAACTTTTATCTTGGTTCTTTTCCTGTGAAGTATCTAGCCCAGTGGTATTTCCAACACTTTCTCAACCATCAATTGGACAGGATACACACAAGGTAAACATCAACAACAACAATATTGCATATCAAGCACCCAGTGTTACCTTTGCATTGGCAATATGATGAATTCTGTTTGGTCCGTGTTTATGAGGTGGAAGTAAGACCCCGCCATATGAAGACACCCTTTTTTTTTCTAAACTATCTGATCCCAATTACAAGCAAAGCAAAGCTATCCGGGAAAAAGACAACAGAGATGAAAGCAATTGATGTTCTAACGCGATTACTCTTTTTCTTGCTGTCTGCTGGATAGGTAAACAAGGGTTCAAGCGCGTATTTAGTTTCATGGGCTGTAGCAATGGGAATGGCTATCAATCAAATAAAATATTCTTCACAAAAAATACCAAGCGAAAGCCTTTATGTTTTGTCTTCATGCTTGCTCTACATACTTGCAAGTTGCAACAGCAACAGCGATTGTTCAACCGTCTGTTCATAATGCCCTTGTCCCTTCGCAAAAAAAATATTCGATGATGTACGAAAACAATAACAACAAAGATCGCATTTGGAGCAGTCACTTTGAGGTCAAAACCTTTCGTGTTTTGTAGCTCACAAAAGCAACCTTCAAGAATGAGTGCTTCCAAGTTGCATTCATTCTGCTTCTCGTCCTTCACCCCTTCATTCTCACCCTCTCCCCTGACTCGCCTTTCCTCTCATACATCCTTCGTAACTCACCTACGACAACAGCGACCCGCAGCCTCACGATACTTCCTAGCCACAGCAGCAATAATACGCACAAAAATGTCGTCGACCCAGGATAACGATATCACCATGGCCACTCCCGAGGCCACAGCCACAGTCAACGTCGAGACAACCACTCTTGCTGCTACTAGCACACTTACAGTTGTCAGCGATACTACTACTCCCGCCACTGCTACTACCGCCGATACAACCGCAGAGGCTGACTCAACAACAGCTGAGAGCGTCGCCAAGAGGATGCGCCCCAAGATCGAGAAGGAGGACACGTCGTCGTACATGGGCCAGAAGCGCAGCAAGGTCCGCGGCAACATCCGTGGAGCTGACAAGTACAAGGGAAAGAGAGAAGGAGGTTGGGCTGCAGGAACTCGTAACGCTGAAGATGCTGCAAAGGCGGCTGCATTGGCCACTAGTGGCGAGGCATCCGCAGAGCAGACCTCGACCACCGCCGACGATGGTGAGGATAAGGAGGCGCGTATTCCCAAGCGCAAGGTCGCACTCATGATGGGATACTGCGGTACTGGATACCAGGGAATGCAGGTGTAAGTGACCCGCTCAACCTCAGTTTCTCTGTGCGCCGTGTGAATTTCGCTTAAACATGGTGGTTGAGATTTATTTGCCTTTCCATTATCATATAATTAGGAACCCTGGCGCCAAGACAATTGAGGGAGATCTTTTCAAGGCCATGGTTGAGGCTGGAGCAGTTTCAAAGGACAATGCCGACGATATCAAGAAGGTGCGCATGGATAACCATCATTTGACAGTGTCAGAGCTCGAAAATTGCAAAGTGGACATAACGACTGTGGAGTATATGTTAACATTCGCTCGTCTTTTGCATATCTAGGTCAGCATGATGCGATCCGCCAGGACAGACAAGGGCGTTCACGCTGCAGGAAACGTGGTGTCGCTCAAGATGATTGTGGATATGGACGACGTGATTGGCAAGATTAATGCTTGCTTGCCTGACCAAATCCGCCTCTTTGGATACGTCCGCACCCTAAATTCTTTCAATGCCAAGGTTCTCTGCGACTCTCGCGTTTACGAATACCTTTTGCCCACCTACGTCTTCCTCCCTCGCCCACCAATTGCCGAACCTACCGCATCCTCATTGGAGGGTGCCTCGACTACGATCAGGACTGACTTGCCTGGAGGAAGTATGGCCTGGGATGAGAACGTTCACATTTCGACACCCGAGGAGATGGCAGCCAAGAGGAACTACCGTATTGACGAAGCTACTCTCGCCAAGGTCCGCGAGGGATTTGCAGCCTATGTTGGCACCAAGAACTTTCACAACTTTACGGTCGGCAAAAACTTTAAGGAAAAGACTTGCCAGCGCTTCATGATGTCGTTCACTGTAAGACATCATATCTTTTGTTGCATTCAGATCTACTGCATGGCAGCATGGTCAACTGAATGTGGAGAATTGTGAGCAAAAGCAAAAGAGATTAATTTGCGTTGTTTCTTTTTCATTTTATCGATGTAGGTGAGCGATCCCAAGATGATCCAGGGAACAGAATGGCTCAGCTTGAAGGTTCATGGCCAGTCGTTCATGCTCCACCAGATCCGTAAGATGGTCAGCTTGATTGTTATGCTTGTGCGAACAGACACGCCATTGAAGCTGATCCCAGAGACATTCAAGGCCAACAAGATCAACATCCCCAAGGCCCCTAGTCTGGGACTTTTGCTCGAGAGGGTAACCACATATATGATATTGTTTAATGTGCTATCGTGATATGACAAACTAGGCGAACAGGCCATTAGAGCAGGATCACTAACCCTCGAACATATTACTGTACAAACATTAGCCTGTGTTTGATACATACAACCGCAAGGTTAAAGACTCTCACTCACCCCTGGACTTTACGCCATACAACGAGACGATGGAGGTTTTCAAGGAAAAGTACATTTACGAGGGAATCATCAAGGAGGAGCTCGAGTTCAACCGGTTTGACGAATTTTTGCAGATCCTGGATGGCCATGCGCACAAGTACAACCTCCGCTATCTGAACAGCGAAGGTATTATTCCCGAGGAGGCCATCATCAAGAGGGGAGATACTCTTGAGGCCGAGTCAGATGCCGAGTCAGATGCGTCGTCGTAAAATCGCTTGTTGATGCGGTTTGCATAGAAATAACTGCAGGAGTTACAATACAGATTCATTCATTCATATCATAGTTATGAACCACTACCTGTCCCTGTGATTGTGTTTTGTGTTTGTGTGTTTTGCGCCTTGTGCGACTTGAGGTGGCTCATCCACGCCCCCCTGTGTGGTTGTATGGCGTCTGGGAACAAGGAGAGGTGCATGAAAAGAGCGGAAGAAACTTTTTTTCTTGCAATTTGACCAAGTTGAACACAAGATGTCAAGAAGGGAAGAGAGAATGAGAAAGAGATAGATGGATCTCCTTGAACGAATAACAAAACAGCGACTAAAAACCTTTTTGCTTGTTCTCTTGTCCATACCAACGACAATGACAAGAAGAAGAGACATAGGGTATCTCCAACAGTCTCAATTGACAATTGCGAGTTGTGGGTATCGTTGTTCACTTGTGGGTGTTAACATCAACACCAAGGATAGGTGCAGTTTAGTTGACAAGCAACAAGCAATACAACAATGTTCCGCACCAATGAAATTCGAACTAGGGGCTCCCCCTCCGGTCGACACTGCCTTTTTTTTTTTCTTTTATGTTTCTCGCACTATTTTTTTTTCTTTTTTGAAGAGAGAGAGAGAGAGAGAGAGAGAGAGAGAGAGAGGAGAGGAGAGAGAGAGACGATCCACCTGGACGGAATCGCTTTTTTTGTTTTCCTTTCTTGTTCTTCCTCTTCTTCTTCTACTTCTTCTTCAGCATCATCCCATCCATCTCCCTTGCCTTGCCTTTGCTGTTCTTGGTTGCCTCCTCATTCCTTCATCATACTCGCCCTCTCTCTCTATCCCACTCTGCCACCTCCAGGCATCCCCTCTCCCGCCCCGTCCATCTTTCATCCCTTCCTTCCTTCCTTCTCTCCTTCTTTCGACTCCACCCATCTCTGCGGTAAGACATCTTCACACCCACCCTTCTACCTCTCTGTTCATCCTAAAACAACCAACTCAACCCGGCTTACTCACACGCACTCACACAGCGAGTGCGATGAACATAGGCCAACGTCAGTAGTGCCTTTGCATACCCAACCCTTTTTTGCCTTTTGTTCTTTTGTTTCTTTTCCTTCAAAGTTCACACGAAGAAAACGACAAAGAAGGGCAAGTGTGGCCACCCTTGGGCAGACCACAGAGGCAACTACAGCGATAATAACACCAACAATTACAGCAAGACACATAGAAACCGCAACACCTGCTTGCTATTGTTCTTCTACCATGCACACACACACACTTCGTTGCTTATTTGTTTGTTTGTTTGTTGCGCCTTATGTTCCTAACCTATACTTCTTTCTTCTTGCCCCTATTCCCTCTCTTATTTTCTTTCCCTCTCTTTCTTTCCTCTTATTTTTTTTTTTACCTTTTTTCTTCCCTTTCTTCTATCCACCTCTCCTCCCGCATCTATTTCGCTTTGGTCGTCCATCCCATTTCCATTCCTTCCATCGCTCCCTCTTACAAACCACTCTCGGACATCAGTGTGAATGGCGAGACGCCCCGTTTCCGAATCCTTCACGATGCTGTCTGAGCAAGGCCAACAACAGTCGTTCGATCCCGTGTCCGACTACAGCCCCACCATGCTCCACCAGCAACAGCACTTTGCAACGGGCCACCAACAGCAGCACCAACACCAAAAGCAACAGCAACCTCAACAGCAGTTCCATCGCTCCGCTCGACCTGCATCTGAAATCCTGCCTCAGAATCACCATCACCCTTTTCTTGGCAACAACTTCCAGTCCCCCGAAGGTATATTGCACACGCACTCATGGAACAACGACAAAAACGACAGTAGCAAGCGCGCTTAGGAGTCAAAGTTGTCCTGTTTTCATCGTTCACTTGCCTGTTTTTTTTTGTTTTGGCGCACAACAGCAGTTTCGTTGTTACTGATCGGGGTACCCCTCTCCTCTTGCTCGTACTCCAATTATTGGCGTCTCCTCAATATCAATTGCTGTATTATCTTAAATTAGCGGAGGCGATCGACAAGTGGTTCGAGGACTTGTCCCACTACGAACAAACCCTCGAGGACATGGCTGTCGTCTCACTCGACACCGTCTTCAAGGAGGAACTCTCAACCATCGAGTCTTGGTTCAGGAACAGGCTGGAGGCAGAGAGGACAGCTGCGCTGTACTCACTCCTTCAGCACTCTTCGCAGGTCCAGATCCGTTTTTTCATCACCGTCCTCCAACAGATGGCCAAGAAGGACCCCGTAGGCGCACTCCTCTCTCCTACGCACACTGAGAAAGGCAAGTGTACATATCTGCAGGACTCCATGATCCTCAATGTTATGTTCTCGTGTCCACAAGGATGCTCTCCCCTTTTTCACTCCAAATAACTAATCGTCAGATGGGCGGGTGTTTATTTTTGCATATGTACTATTATAGATCCAGTGCAGAATCAACTGCATGGTGCCATGGCCAAAGCTGAGATGGAAGTGAGTCAGCGACTCTTGAACGTCCTCCCTATCCAGCCTCCCGCCCCTCTGGACCGCCCTACAGCCCATCGTCGACTCTACGATCGCCACTCTGTCACCATTGGCGAAAGCGAGGAATACAACAGGATGTTTAGACAAAACGGAAAGAGGAACAGCATTGACTTCTTGGGTCGCACCGCCAATAGCAGCAGTGCAGCTGCAAACAACGCCAGCAACAACCCCGCCAGCAGCAGCACTGGAAACCCTAATGGCCATGCCAATGGTGTGATCGGAAGCGCCGCATTGTCTGAATCCATTTCTGCTCGCGTGAACCAATTCAGGCCTGCGCAGGGTTCGCTCAATCGTATAAGCGCACCCAACGCTTTTGGTGGTCGACCCAAATCGGTCCATGAGGGTGACACATCATCCATGTTTACGTCCAACTGGAATTTTGCATCCCTTGGAGCCAACCCATTGCCCCCTTCCACCAGTGGCGCTAGCAGTGGCAGCACCTCGAGCGCGGCCACCGCCTCTTCCTCTGCAGGATCACCTGGAAACATTGGCGACCGCACCTCGTTTGGACGTCCAAAGTCGGTGGGAGGTGCAGAATGGATGTTGAGCCGTCCTCAGAGCGCTGCGGATGGTCTGGATAAGTCCTGGACTCCCCTTATCATGTCACCTACCATGGGAGGATTCCACAACGGCACCAACGGGACTGGACATTCGTTGAACGCCGGTGGATTCTCGAACTCGGGCTTGGCTGTTGAACGGCCAAAGTCTGTGACCGAGGCTGACCTTGCCAAGCTCAACATCTCGCAGTGGGTTCACAACAGCAACATCAACAATGGGGCTAACAGCAACGCCGGATCGCGGGCCTCGGCTCTTGAGGAGCTGAAAGCCAACAACCGACGCCGTACGTTGCTTCGCCCAAGTGCTATCATTTCGAACGTCCCAGTGACCGTAATGGAGGGTGACGAGAAGCTGTTGAGCGCGAGCGCCAACACCTCGTCGATCAACATTGTGTCGACCATGTTTAACGAGGCTCCCGGAGCAGGATCAGGATCCAGCTCCATGACTGATTTGAAGGCGGCAGGAACGACCACATCTTCAGCAACTCAAGGCGGCAGCTCCATGTTTTCTTACTCTGGATCTCAGCCGAACTTGAACACTTTCTCCCAGCAACAACAGCAGGCTGTTCATCAGTTAAACAATCTTTCCCTCGACTCGGCGCACTCGGCACGTAACACTCAGCACCAACAAGCGCAGCAGCATCACCATCATCAACAGCAGCAACAGCCTAGATCGAGAGCGACGTCACCTTTCAGCTCGCCTCTTCCCTCGCCTGTCAAGTCAGGATTCCGTTCTCGACCGGTTTCGGGTTCGACGTCTCCTCGCCTGGCTGGCCAGCACTCGTCCTGGATGGCTGGTGGAAGCAACTGTAACAGCAGCAACAGCCAAAACAACCTGGTGTCGGACGGCAATGCTATGATACCCACAGACTACAACCAGAAGAGACATTTGTCACCCCCATCCGTGCAGCGTGTTCATCCCTCGTCATCGTTGTCGCTTGACGACGATTATTTGAGCGATACGAGCGATATCTCGAGCATTGGCATGAATGGCCATCACGGTCGTGGCGGGTCCGCCTCCAAGGAGAAGAAGCAACCTGAGGGTGTCGATTTTGAGCTCTTGCAAGGTAATTTTTCAGTACTGACTGTGTCTTGTTTCAAGGCTAACCTGCCATATGCGATTAAAGACGTAAGAGCGTAAGATTTGTGTGTGCTAACTTCTCATGGGACTTGTAACTTTTAACACAGATACCCCTGCATGGCTGAGATCATTACGGCTCCACAAGTACAACAACATCTTTGAGGGGATGCAGTGGCGTGACATTGTCAACCTGTCGGACGGAGACCTGATCAACAAGGGGGTCGCGGCTCTGGGAGCTCGGCGTAAGATGTTGAAGGTCTTTGAGCAAGTCCGTAAGGAAATGCTCCTTCAGGTATGTCGAGATATCTTACTTGATGTTCTTAATTTGATATGGCGATGTGTGACGTTCAATTGGCAACGTTCAAATGTATTTATTAACGACGACATATCTCTTTTCATTTGTAGGGCATGGTTATTTAATTTTCAAGACGACGACGAAGACGAGGAAGGTCGAGAGTGAGCGTAGAGAGCGACTTATGTGGACTGGAGCCATCGGAATAAGTACTGAGATCACGGTCGTTATTCGCTGTCCGAAAGGTCTGGAGGATGACGGTGACAAGAATAACAAGGGCGAATACGAGAAGGAAAGAGAGAGACGGTCGAGATGGATCAGAGGTCCCTGCCCCAGAAAAAAAGCGTTGGAGGCAGGGACCATGTACATACCATACAAAGGCTGGTATTATTTTGAATCTTAAAATAAACCTACGAGTGGACGACGGTGGTTATTGCAATTGCTTCGTGAACAGACCCCAGTCTCTGGGAACCTAATGAGCAATGATACTTGATTGATGACGACGGGTGACTGATGACCTTAATAGATTTGAGGGACGCAGGCTGTGACGAAATTGGCGCCAACAACAGTATGAAAAGAACAGTCCCCCGTTATCAAATGCGCTAATACTGTGCTCCTTGATTCCTGACGTTCCATGGTTTCGTCTTCTTCTTCTGCAACCCACTTCCACTTCCCCTTCTTTTTTTCACCTCTGTTCATTAACAATCAACACTTACACGCAGCGCAACACAACTCTCTACTCTACTCAATTCAATTCAACACATTTCGTTCAACCATGTTCAGTCAATTCGCCAAAGAAGGTCGCCAGAACCAGTTGTACGACGAGGGTGCTCGTCTCGTAAGTCTCTTCTTCTTCCTTCCTTCCTTCTCGCACCTGTGCATTCATTCATTTATTCCCCCATTTTTGAGAGAATGCACCAAAACCAGGAAGAAACCCCCCCAACTCATTCGTCGCTCTTTCCGTTTGGTCCATATAGGTTGCAGGATGTGTCCCCATTGACAAGCGTGGACGTCGTGTGCTGCTGGTGGCCAGTTCCAAGAACGAGGGCGAGTGGGTCTTGCCCAAAGGCGGTTGGGAGAACGACGAAACTCAGGAGGAAGCTGCTTTACGCGAGACGTGGGAAGAAGGTAAGGCTTTCTTTTTTTATCCCCTTCTGTATTGATCCTTGCAGGAACAGCAAACAACAACAGTAGTGATTTATCGCATGGATGGGCAGGCGGAGGAAAAAGGGAGATCGAGGAGCATGAAAGGAATATTGTTGTTACAGGAGTTTCGGTCTTTTTTTTTTTTGGTTCATCAGTTTTGTTATCGTTGGAAACCACTAAAGAACAAAAATTGGTCGTGTGCGCATGAGGTATTATGCAACATACACGAGGCAGGGTTTTTTTTGGGCGCAACTAGAAAACCACGCAAACGCATGGTCAAGCCCTTCACCCTCCTCCTCCTCCCCCCTCAGTCTGTTCGTTTCGCCCGCTCGCTCAAATTATTTATTTATAACATTTTTCTCTCACTTTTCACCTATCCTCGGTCCTATTCACGATACCCGAAACACGATACATATTCCAAAAAAAATCAAACAGCCGGAGCAATTGGTAAAATTGTAGCACATCTGGGCGAATACGAACACAAGTACAACAAGAAGACAGGACACGCCGAGTCGATCTTTTTCTTTTTCGAGATGGAGGTTGAAAGGATGGAGGAGAAGTGGCCCGAGATGAAGAAGCGTGAGCGTCGCTGGGTAAGTTGAAGCTAGATGATCTCGTTTTGCAGTCTTGTGATTATTTTTTGGTGTTTACGCGTTTCGTCCTATGTTAAGGATATAAGGTATATGATGTGCTAATGGGGGCATTCTTGTTGGGTTTGGAAAAAAATAGTTCACGTATGAGGAGGCTAAGCAAATAGTGTCCAAGAAGGTGATGCGGAAGGCCTTGGAGCAGTGCTCATTGGCTGGGCGTTGAACGGAGAACCTACTCGACTCAGGAGAACCACCACCCTTCTTTTCTTTTTTCTTTTGTTAGCATACACACATACGACAATAAACCCTATTATTATCAATTGAACGAGAATGGAGCCATTTAGATTCGTAATTATATCGTAGGGTTTGGGTGAGATTCGTAAGGTTGTTTTTATTTGACAGGAGTTTGAAAGAATCTAGACAACGACATGTGCGGGAACACGCACAGCGCGCGCCCTTATTGGCAAGGATGGTATCAAAAGTCGTCGAAAAGTGTGGTGGTGGTGGCGGAGGGGGAAGAGACTTAGAGTTGGAGGAGGATGTTGGCAAAGTCACTGCCGACGGCAATGGGGATAGGGTCGAATCCGTTACCGATCGAAGTCCAGTCGACAATACGGTCAACACCATCGCCATTGACAATAATGACGGGAGCCCAATCAAAGTTGACGAGGACCTTTCCGTTGGCCTTGCCGTAGTTGACCATATCGGTGAAGGCAGTGACCTGGAGGGGCTGGAGCTTCTTGGGGATGTCGACCTCGAAGGAGACGGTGGCAGTGCCGGAGCCGGAGACGGAGAAGTTGACGTCGTTCTTGAAGTTCCAGAGGGCCATGTCGGTCGAGATGGCCGACATACCGGTGGCCTGGACCTTGTTTTGGTATCCGTCCAAGTTGGCGTTGACCAGCTGGTAGGGGTATCCGTAGTAAGGCGATTGGAAGGTGGCAGTGACGGTGGCAACCTTTGCGGAGGAGACACTGATGGACCAGTTCTTGAAGGGGATCTGGGACATGGACGAACCCTGGAAGAATACGGGGATGGTGATTCCAGAGCTGACTCCTGCCAGACCAGGGTTGAGGGCGGGGTTAGCAGAAGAGCCTGCGAAGCCGGCAAGGGACATGATCTGGTCGGCACTGGCAAGGGAGTCCGAGAACTGCTGGGCGGCGGTCAAGGACATGTCGAGGGTGGTGTAAGAGATGACCTGGTTATCACCAGGGACGAGCTTCAAGTTCTTGACTGTCGAGACACCGATATGGGCGCCGTTGTGGGAGGCATCAAAGGAGACGTCACCGAGGTTGACGGTGAGCTGGGAGGGGTTGTTGATGCTGATGATGGCGGTGAGGTAGATGTTTCCGTCAATCGAGGGGTTGACTTCGATGGCATAGATGTACTTGATGTTCTTGAGGTTGTCGAGGCCCTTGAAGGGGACGACGGCGTTGAATCCAATACCGGGGATGGTCAAGTGGCCAAAAATGCCGAGGTTGAGCTTGGCGTCGACGGAGCCCTTGAGGGTGACGGGATGGGAAGCCTTGGTCGAGAGGGCGCCAACAAAGCTGGAGAAGGCCGCTTTGGAGTCGGGGAAGACGTTGAGAGCCGAGGTGGTGAAGGCCGTGGTCATGACGGCACCCTTGACGCTGGCGGTGCTCCAGGGGGTATCGAAAGCTCCGAGCTGAACGCCGTTGTCCTGTTGTATCGTCGGAGTGGTATGTGGTATGTGTTGTGTTGGTGTGGTGTGGGGTAGAAAGTAAAATTTGCATTAGAGTTATTCCTTGTAGCGGGCACATTCTTGAAGCTATTGAGTGGGCGCACTTACGATGACGATGACATGCTGGCGGACGGAGTCGATGGGGAGGGTGATGCCGGGAATGGAGATCATGGTGGCAACGACGCTGTTGGACGCCATGGTGGGAGCCCAAGGGTTAGCGGTCGTAAAGTCCATGGTCATCTGGTTGATGGCAATCGAGCGAATCAAGCCCAAGTCAACCTAATGCGCCACATCCCATCCACAATAATAATTCAACGGTCAGTGTGAATTACGGTGAAACAAATTCAGGAACACGCACGCAGGTAACAGAAGCAAGGACGGTGGGTATGCAACATGTATTCTCACAAGCCTCAACGACGTTTTCATTCATTTACAAACATAAAGTAACATAAGAGGGAAGAACAAAAACACTTACAGCGATTGCAGCCTTGCAGCTTCCGGACCAGGATCCCGTAAAGATGAGGCTGTTGTCATTGGTGAGGTACAAGAATCGATAGGAATATCGTGGGGTTTGTCAACGGTATTTTCAAACGGTATCAGTAGTGAAGTTGCCATAAAAGAAAAAAACGAACGAATAAAGTAAGTGGAAGTAGAGCAAAAGAAAAAGACAATTGAATGTTAGAACACAAGAAAGAATATGAAGAAAGGAGGACTCCGCATAATGACGCCTCGTTTTTGCGAGTACAAAAGCTAACGTCTCTTCGGACAACGTACCCGACGAAGCACGCAGCAATACGGTCAGAATTGGCATCACGCTTCTCAATAACGGGAGCAGCGAGCACGGTCGAGGCAACAAGAGCGCTGAGGGCAGCAGCCTTCAAGGAAAACTTCATTGTAGGGGTTGGTGGTGGTGGTGGTGGGTGGGAGGAGGTGAAGGAGTTTGGAAGGGGGTAGGGGGTAGGGGGTGGAGGAGTTTTGAGAGATTTGAATCTAAGGAGCAAAACAACGGCAGACTCTCTTGCCTTTTATATCGGCCATCTTTGTTAATGCTTTTGTGTTTTGTTGCATTCTGGTTAGTGCATTTACACTTTGTAAGGATGTGGAGGAGGATGGGATGAAGAATGGAGGTGGAATAGGAGAAAGGGTCAAGAGGTCAGGTCAAGGTCAAAGGCCAGGGCCGGACAAGGGCCGGGACAAAGGGCCAGAGCCAAGCCTGGTGGCATCGATCGGATGTGCGCCGTTCGTTTCTCCCCTACAATGGTTGGAAGTGGATGTGGAAGTGGAGGAGGAAGGAAGGAAGGGAGGGGTCGACTCGCAGAGACGCGCGCTCTCGAAAGAAGAAAAGAGAGAAACAAAAACACAAACAGATACACAAAGCATGTAAACAAACCAAACAAACAGAACAGACATAAGTGAACATGCAGGTCGGAAGGAAGGTTAACACAGAGAAAGAAAATATAAAGAGAAAGAGACAAACAAAAGAGAGAGCGAGTAAGAGACAAACACAAACAGAGAGAAAGGATTGAGAAGGGATTGAGAATGACAGAGAAATAACAAAGACAGCAGAGAGTTGAGAAGAATGATGGGGAGGATGTGAGAAGGAAGAAGTGTGGTTGAGATGATGAACGAATGAGGCGCAACGCGCGGCCAAGTGAGAGGAGTAAACAGCTCTCAAGGGTATGGAGAAAGAAAGAAAAAAAGCCAAAGGTTGTACCCTCGGGATAGTTTGCATGTGGAGAGCAAACTTGTCGAAGGCAGTGTAGTAGAGAGGAGGAGCTTTGGAAGGAGAAACAGAGCATGCTAAATGGTGGAAGATGGCCTGATTACGCCCTCTGCATACAAAACACAAAACATAAATGGGAGGATTTTTCTTCAGCTTGTACCACAAACAACTCACTCTCTCCCTGCTTGGATGAATGTGTAGACTAAACTAAACTGTAAGCACGAATGGTGAGCATTATTGTATTTCAACCGTAAGGGATGACCAAAAGTCGACCCCCTGCCGCTGCTCGATACTGTTGTGCTTCCCGTTTCTTTGTCAGACATAGAAGTCCTCTCTTTGTCAGATAAAAAAGTGAGAGAGAAAAGTGTGTAAAAGTAGTAACGAACGCAGCAAGGAAGGCTGTCGACAGTGGTTGTGAAAGTTTTCGATTACTACTGAGTTGATTGGTTCTGTTTGCTTGAAGTTTTTGTGTATTTGTTTACGTCGTGTCGGCGAGCTGTTCCGCAGATTCGAATACTGAGCCATGGACCCCATTGCACACACAATTTCTCCTCTTGTTTGTTTTTTTTTTCATTCGAACGGGTTAAAAAGAAAGAAGGTAAGTGAACAAATAAAATAAAAAAGACCTCCTCGAATCCGAATACAAAGACATACATTGTCATTCCTAGTTTCAACTACATAACACATGCCAGATGCAGGAACCAAAAAAAGTGGGCAGACAAAAAAATAATATGAAAAAGCGCCAGGGGGGACAACGGAATGACAGGCATTAGGGGGTCGATAGTCAATTGCAGCGATAGTCATAATTCATCCAAGGTATTGTGTGTTGTTTGCAGTCCGATGTTTGTTTGTTGTTTGTTGTTTGTAATTGTTGGCGCAGAAGGGCCAAGGAAAAATAGGAAAGGGAGATGAAAGCAAAGGGAGAATAGAGTACCGGTAGAGGAGGAGGGAATCGAGACTACAAAATAATAATGCATGCATGTGCCGCAACCCTCCCTCCAGCAGCCGCCAGCTTACATTTCTCCACAACTCTCTTCTGTCATCAATGCACCCTCGCAAAACAAAAAACAAAAACAAACATAACAGACGATTAACTGTGGAGCGCAGAGATGGTGAGATGGAGAGAAGGAGGACAAGGGGATGAGGAAACCATAAATAATATTCATAAGCAGGTATGCTCAAGGCCCAAAATGCAGAAGGTGAAGAAAAGGACGATTCAGACAACTCCCGAGTAAATAAACATACGTTTCTCTTCTTTTTTTTTTCTCTTTCTTTCTTGGTATGGGCTTGTTTAACTAGCCTAGCCTTGCCTTGCCCGAGAGAACAGTGCGCCTCCTTCTAAAGTGATCGTAAGTTGGGAGGGCATTACAATATCCCTGGGAGAAAAGAACGGTACGACCAGGCCTATTCTTCCCTGGCATGTAGCAAGTACATCGCACAGTATGTACAGACTGCAAATTCAAAAAAAAAAATGGGCAGTTTAGACGCAGAAAAAACTGAGAGCGCGAAGAGGGAGGGGCAGGTAGAAAAACACCATCCCAGAGAATTGAGCTTACTCACCCATGTCTCTCTCCCTCGTGAGAGTGACGGCAGAGCAAGGGATCTGAGTTTGTCTGCTTTGTGGAGACAAACGGGTCCCCAAGCGTGGCGCATGTCCTATGATGCTCTTACCAAAGTAGCTATCTTGACGCGTTTTGTTCAGCGCCTAGTCATGAGCAACCTACACTTTAAAATGAACTGCACTCTCTTTCAACCCGGTTCCCTGCCGTTCACTGGCGGAGGTGTCTGCGATTTGTGGAGGGGTGGCGGTCGGTCAAACTGTGTTCTGGTTTAGGCCACATCGGATTCGAGTCCCGCGTGGGAAGTGTCCTGGATGTATGTGCCAACGGAGAGGTAAACTGAGAGCTCTGTCGATTCTGTACAATGCATATATATAAATCCAACGACGTTATAAAATTGCACAGTAACAAGTTAACAACACCAGAAAGGGAGAGAAGAGAAAAGATAAAAGAGGTAAGCATGTCGACGCCCAAGTGAACCATGCAGGCGGCGATACTTCTTAACAAATGGCTCACCGGGCATTATGTTTTCTTCTATACTCTGGGCTGTTGCCTGTGCTTCTCCACTTTCTCAACCGCTGGCAGTTGGACCTGGCGCTTGCTGTCGACAAGAACTCTTGGCGTCTACTTTTGAAAGTTTTGAATACACTCTCTGCTGCTTGTACTTCTACTTTGAACATGTAATACATACTCCATTTCATTCATGAAGGCATTAATAAAAAGGACGCCGGTATAAAAGGGACACCGTTTCTGCTGCCATTTATGCTCCCCAGATTCCCATCTCCAGACCCCCTCACCCACACCTAACCTTCCTCCCTTTCCACCTCGTTCCACCCTTTCGACCACCTCGCCATCTTCCACAATGAAGTTCTCCTTGAAGGCTGTTGCCTTTACCGCCCTTGTTGCCTCGACCGCTCTCGCCGCGCCCATTGTCGAGAAGCGTGATGCCAACTCTGACCGCATTGGCGCTTGTTTCGTCGGGTAGGTCTATACGCGCCTGCTGTGCCCCTGGGGGTTGGGTGGACTTCAGCTTTATAGATGAATGTTCCCTAATACCTATCACTTCCTCATTTTTTTTGTATCATTTCTTTTTCGACCATGAAGCCTCCTCTTGACTGGAAGCTGGCCCGGAAGCTGCAAGGCTGCCATCTCTGTAAGTACCTTTTATTTGATGCACGTCCATCCATCCATCCATCCATCCATTCATTAATGCATTATTTTTTTGTACCTGAATGTTTCACTGAAAATGAGTGCTTGAGACTAACTGCTGTTTTCTTGATATCATTAGGTTGATTTGGGTCTGATCCGCTCGATTGCCATCAACCAGATGTCGATGGACTTCACTACCGCCAACCCCTGGGCTCCCACTACGGCATCCAACGATGTCGTCGCCACCATGCTCTCTATCCCTGGCATCACCCTTCCAATTGACTCTGTTCGCCAGCACGTCATCATCATCGTAAGCATTCATACCCTTCCTTTTCTTTTCTTTTTAATACCCTTTTGTATTATTGTCATTGTCAGATGTCGCCGCCATGTCTAATGCAACACTATTCATCACTTCACAAACATCTTATAATAGGATAACGGCGTGCAACTCGGTTCCTTCGATACCCCCTGGAGCGCCGCCAGCGTCAAGGGAGGCACCATGAAAACTGCCTTCACGACCTCCACCCTCAACGTCTTCCCCGATGCCAAGAGCGCCTTCTCCAACTTTGTCGGTTCGCTCTCGACCAAGGCCACCCACCCCGTCACCCTCAAGGGTGCTGTCGATGCCAAATTGAACCTCGGTATCTTTGGCCACTTGACCATCCCCGGCATTGGATTCAAGGCCGTCGTCCCCATCAAGGGTTTGGACGGTTTGAAGAATCAGAAGTATGTCTTTGCCATCGACATCTCCCCTGGACTTGACGGCAACACCTACATGACCTCGATCCTCAACATCAACAACCCTTCCCAGCTGTCCTTGACCTTGGGCGATGTTAACTTTGATTCTACCCACAAAGGTGCCCACATCGGTATCTCGACCGTCAAGAACTTGAAGCTCGTCCCCGGTGACAACCAGGTCGTCTCCTACACCGTTTTGGACATGGAATTGGAAGCCGCCAGGACCTTCTCCCAGGCTCTGTACACGAGCGATGAAATTATGGGCATCGGTGGTTACGCCAACAGCTCCACCAACCCCGCCTTGAACGCTGGTTTGGCTGCCGTCAAGTCTGGTGTCACTATCCCCATGAACTTCCAGGGACTGCACTTGTCCCAGGCCCCCTACAAGAACTGGTCCCTCAAGATTTCGACCGCCAGAGTCGCCACCGTCACCGCCACCTTCCAGTCCCCTTACTACGGCATCCCCTACGAGTTTACCGCCTCCAACCCCTCCGGATATATTAACCAGGTCAAGGCTGGTGAAGGCATTTCTAATGACGCAGTCGAAAAACAAATCTGGAAGTTCAAGGACGGCCTCAAGTTCAAGGTCTCTGGCTCCGGCGCCACCACCGTCTCCTTCGAAGTCGATCTCCCCAAGACGGTTTCCCCCATCCAGGCCAAGGCTTTCACCGACATGTCGAACTACTCAAAGGCCAACGGCGGTGCCATCCCCATCTCCGTCGATTGGATGCCCATGATTATCATCAACGGCGATGGCACCGAGCGCGCGGTTGACTGGACTACTGTCGGAAACGCTTTGAACGATATCAAGCTCACCATTGGTGATGACTTTGCCAACATCTTTATCAAGTAATCCCAAAGTTTCATTCCTCCCTTTGATATCTTTTCATACCCCTCACTTACACGGGCTCGCTGTGCGCCGCTCCCAATGTCGGTCGTTTAGATCATCTGTCAAATAAAACAAACATATCCTGTCTTGGAAGTATCTCTCATTCACTCATCTTGCACTTTTGCGCAGGGAGGGCGAACACTTAAATTAACGTGAAAAAAGTTTCTTACTGATGGGAGGGTACAAAAAATGAATGTTTGGACTAAGCAAAACATCGCGTCTGCGATGAGGAACCTTTTTTTTTTTTTTTGTTGCTCTTCTCATGCTGCCGTTCCTCTCATTCATTTGAAACTCCTTTCGAGCGCGCTTGAGGTGGGCATAGATATAAAAACACCCTCGCGACAAAAATACAACTGTGCGCCTACGTGTCCCTGTATCGCAGACAAAACGACACTGTCGGAAAGTACAACCTCACACGTGTTCGTACATGGCATTTCGTTTACAGCCCAAGTTAATTAATAGAAAAAATCAAGCAATGAAGTGTATTGAGCTAGAATAGCGAAAGAAGCGGTCGGACAGAACAGGTCGACGCAATAGATACTTCTGGAATTGAAAGAAATGCCAGTTGAACGGGAATAGGCTGATTTACTGCGACTTTTTAGCCTTGGAGGGTCCGAGGTAACGCTTGCGCTGGGCAATCATGTGGGTGTACATGACAAAGAAGCCTGGATGAATAACACATGAGTGTGCATGTAAACAGGAGTGAACAGACAAAAGAAAGAAGGAATGTCCATTAGTAACGTTATTATCGACATATCGACACCCCAAGCATAAATTATCCAACAAAAAATAGAAAAAGACGTTACCAGGGGGGTAGATGCAGATCATGGCGACCAAGAAGTAGTAGTAGGCGGGGTGGATGGAGTGGGCAAAGGGGAGAGACTGGTAGATTTCAATGGCCTCGCTTCCGGCACCGACGGGGTAGAGGATGTAGAAGAAAGTGTAACTATCCAAAGATAAATAAATCAAGTGCAAAAAAATGTTGAGTATTGACGGTCCGATATTCAATTGGGTTTCGCAACCGAGAAGCGAGAATACCCTTTTTCGAACCACACGCATTTGCAATCACAAATTATTATTTTCATCTTTTATCGGGCATGGCGGTAACCCAACATACCGGCACCAGACCAAGGAGGAAGGTCCCATGTTGAGCAAGTTCAGGGCATAGTAGGCATAACGAATGCACTCGGTGATGCACCAGGCAATAGTCATGGTAGTGAAAGCCCAGTACGAACGAACCTAAACAATAAAAACACGGTGCTGATTAGTACACACTTCCTGCTGATCAAAACGACGTTCATTGTCTGATTTAAGCTCGCGCTGATAGCGTACCTCGGGGAGGGGGAACAAGGTGCAGATACCCCAGACGAGCAAGAGGCGAGAGGCAACCTGCATAGCGGTGGTGCCGACAGGGGACTTGACAAGGCCAAAGAGAGAGTGGAAAACCTCGAGGACGGCAGCAGTCTGGACCCAGACGAGCTGATCACCAACGACGGCATAGACCTTGGTGTAGTCACCTCCAGTGGCGAGAAGAGTCCTGACAGTCTGGACAAGAACCCAGGACCAACCGGCGAACGAGGCCCAGTTGTAGGCGATCAAGTAGGCGTTGACAACGGGGTTGACGGGCTTGGGGGCCTTCTTGCCGGAGCCTAGTTGATAGATAACAAGAAATGTTTGTTCCTTTTAGTCTTCTTTGTCCCTTTGGTCTGTTCTGTTTTGTTCTGGTTGTTTCTGGCTGATGACATGTCCATCCTGCGAGAGGGGATAAGTAGATCGTCCTTGCTGATGTCAATGAAGTCGAAAGCAGCGATGAGGACCTACTGGCGGCGGGAGTCTGGCTAGTCGTCTTGGGCATGGCGAAGAGTTAGTTGGTTGAGTGAGTGAGAGAACGAGAGGAATGGTGTTCTCCCCCAACCGTTTTGTATGAAGGGCTGTGCGTTGAAGGACCAGCGACCGAATCTCCTTCCAGGCGTGACATGAGGTTACCCCGCATCGCATGTGCGAATTCAATTTCAAGCGAGGCACCACACGAAGCACGAAAGGGCAACCGCTCTTTCTTACTCCTTTATTCCTTCCTTCTCTCCTTCTTCACCTCCCCTGCCATCAACCAAACGCGCCCATTCGACCCATACCGGCGACCTCACTAAATCACTCCAGTCGGCCATCCCCTCTCGACTACTCCCCCTTCTCTTTCTCCCCCTTTCCTCCTCTTCCTCTCCTCCTCTAACCGTTCCAAGTTTACCCTCCCTTTCAACACCCTCCCCACTCTTTATTTCAAGCTCAACCATGTACAGGATCAGCTCTCAGTTGTCCGAGAAGATCAAGCACTTTGCTACCTTCCCCCAAACGGGTGTCTCCTTGAGGCAGATGGTCATGTTTGGTAAAGGACAACTCCTATTCCTCATTCCCTCTCATAAAAAGGCACATACATATTCTTTTAAACCACCTGCCCTCACACGTGTCGCGTTCGTTATTGTCACTTTTGCTTTCAGGTCAGAATCCTACTCAAGGAACCCTCTTCAAGGCCAGTCAGTTCCTGTCTGAGGAATTACCCATCCGTCTTGCCCATCGAGTTAAGGAGCTTGAGGAGTTACCCCATAACCTCAGCGACATGCCCTCTATCATTCGCGTCAAGAATTGGTATGCCCAATCCTTCCAGGTACAGTCTAATCCCACGCCCTTTTTTATTGCATCAAGCCTCGATATTGCATTTTTGGTTTCAAACTCTCGGCTGACCATGCTCAACAAAAAAACAAACTTGTTCTTTATTGTCACCTTGGCCATTTCGGTGTAACAGGATCTGGTCGAGTTCCCAAGCAAGGAGATGACCCCTGCACTCAAGGATCTGGCCAAGAGCTTGAACAGACAGTCAGAGATGCAGGCCCTGCCCGAGAACTCACCCAACTTGGCCATGCCTAACGGCAACAACCAGAGTGGTCGCAAGGGCGTATCGTTATCCCACAGGTAAGGTAGAAGGCTGACATGTGTTTCTCTTTCTTGATCTCGCAAAAGTAAAAGGAGATGCGCGATCGAGCGACCTTGATGTTAATTGACTGAAAAGATATGAAGTAGTAGCTAACCATTTCTGTCTGGACCTATTTCCAACTGACGACCACAGATATCATAGTGCCATGGATGGGCAGGAGTGGCCAGTGGAGATGCACTCTTACAATGAGAGGTTCACGAAAATGATCGAAGCAGTGAAGCGCCGACACGATCCTGTTGTCACCACTGTTGGTAGGTTCATGAAAAAAAAAGAGCGATGATTCATCCGTGGGACAAAGCAAGCTCGACAAGGGAGAGAGCAGTCCCGCCTCCCCTTCGGTCTTTGATTTCGCAGGACGGGAATCTTTATTTGTGAACCCGGCTGGGTTGGATCGCCATTGACTGCACGGTGGATACTATTCCTCATCAATTGAACCTTTTGCGTTATTTAATAGCCCAAGGAATTCTAGAGTTCAAGCAGCAAAAGAGATCGCATACCGTCGACACGGATATCCAGGCATTCTTGGATCGATTCTACATGTCGCGCATCGGAATCCGCATGCTGATTGGTATATGTTCGCCTTTCAAATGAACCTCAGTTTGTACGATGGATGGATCTCAAGCGAAAATATTCACACGGGTCGGATGCTATTGGATATATTTTTCCTACTTCGATTTCCTAGGTCAACACATTGCACTGAACAAGGGACCGTCGCGGAAGGATTACGTCGGTATCATTTGCACAAAGACTAACTTGGCAGACATGGCTCAGGAGGCGATCGATAACGCCAAGTTTATTTGCGAGGATTACTACGGCTTGTTCCGTGGACCCGAGGTTCACCTTCACTGCAAGAAAGACCTCGAGTTCATGTACGTGCCCTCTCACCTGAGCCACATGTTGTTCGAGTTGCTCAAGAACTCACTCCGGGCCGTGGTGGAGCAATACGGAACAGAATGCGACGAATACCCCCCTATCAAGCTGATTGTCGCACAAGGAAAGGAGGTAAGCAAGAACCGCCACATCATCTATCTTTCATCTAGCGCTGCAATATGAACCTCAAGGAGGCAAGGATGGTGCAGGTTCTCATCTGTTCTGTGATATTTTCGTCTCGGATCATAGGATATTGCCATCAAGATTTCGGATGAGGGCGGTGGAATCCCCAGGAGTGGAGTGCCCTTGGTCTGGACCTATATGTATACTACAGCACCATCGCAGCACCTTGACCCAACGTTTGACAAGTCGGACTTTAAGGCGCCCATGGCTGGATTTGGATATGGCCTTCCCATAAGCAGGCTCTATGCAAGATACTTTGGAGGTGACTTGAAGCTGATCTCAATGGAGGGGTAAGTTCAAAGGATCCGCTATCGTCTTTCAGTTTGGAGCTTCATATCCAACAAAGTCAAATAGCTAACCCGATCTCTTGTTGTGTGTATCTTTTTTTCTCTCCAGTTACGGCACGGACGTGTACCTGCACTTGAACAGAATCTCCAACAGTGATGAACCTCTGCCCTAGATGTAAGCCTCAGGCGAATATGCCCTTGATGGGATAGAATAAATATCAATTGAACTGTACACTGTACGAGTGCATTCTGGGCTGGTTCAAGGCATGGGTCAACCGTTACAGACCCCTTAAATCAACGACGGGCAATGACGAAAGGACCTCAGACGAGAAAGGTGATTTTCTCGGAGGGACGAATCTTCTTTTTTGTTCTTCTCGTCATTCCAGTTCACACGCACCTTTTTCATTGTTGACTCAACAACCGACACTAACAACAACCAGCACCCAACAGCAACGCCTATAAACAACCATGGTCAAACTGGAAGAAGTCAGCCTCGATCACGTTGAAGAGGAAGAATACAGCGAGAGTGACTCGTCCTCAGTCTACTCGTCCGACGACGACGAGGACGACGTCGACAACATCGAGTCGATCCTCGACCGAATCTGGGCATTGCAGGACGTGATCCCCGCCAAGACCCGCAAGTCCATCGCGGACAAGTGCTCGTCCGTTTACGGCTTTGGCAAAGCCAGCACAAAGTTCCTTGGCAACACTGCTTGGGTTCTTACTACTAGCGCCTTGCTCTTGGTTTTGCCATTGATGATCGAGCTTGAGCATGAGCAAGGGTTGATCGAGTACGAGAAGATGCAGCAGCAGAGCACCCAGGTAAGAAAAAAAAACAATTACGAGACGCACTTCGGATCGAAGGCCTACCATTGTGTAGATAGCATGTCCGCTGTTGTCTTTCCTCTTCCTTTCTGACTTTTCCTACGTGTTTGTCGTTCACTTGGTATAGATGCTTTCGCAGCCTGCTGGCCAGCAGCAAAAGAAGCAGGCCTCCGGAATTGTGCCCCCAGGCTTCTAAGCCTGGAGACAGGAGAATCCGGCTTTCGCAGACTGGGAGAGAGAACAACATATCGACAGACGAGATCAGGATGATGCAGTCGTGTAAGGATCGTCCGCCGAAGGGCACTGGCAGGATTAGGAGCTTGAAAAGACCCCGATCTGGAATCGTTTGACTTTCCTTGTTACGTCTCGGGATATCTCTGTACACTGTCGACATTGCATCGTCACCAGGCGCTTGCTATTGCTCGTTTGTCACCAGTCGATTCTCTCTCACTCATTGCCACCTTGTACATTACCACTATCTTCCATTTCATAAAGAGATATTCTTATTCGATCTGCACTTCAGTAGTGCGGATGGCTTTTCTTGCTAAGCAGCCAACCCTAGGAAAGAAAGAGAAGGCCTAGGAATGTCTAGGTGGCCTTGTGTGTGTGCGTGCCCTCCTCTATCAAGTCCTTGTGTTGTGTTTTGTTGTGTTGTTTGTGTGGGTGAGTGGTGGATGACAGGCTCTGAGCTTCTTTTCCAATTCCACTTTCCTTGTGATCCAATTGGCGGGACAGGGCGGATGAGAGCAGCAGCGTGCCGTCTTCATCACTTATTCTCTTCATCGTCCTGTGCCTTCAACTCGCTGCAACTTTCTCCCCCTCCTTCTTTCCTTCTTCACCCCAACACTTCTTCTTTTCGCTTCGTCTACGTTCTTCATCCTTTCCTCATTCGTCTCACTCCAACTTCACATCAACAACCTACAACAATGTCTGCAACCGTCACCAAAGCAACTCTCAGCGAGACCAACGTCGAGACCATCACCACCGTCACAACAGTTGAAGAAACCGTCGCCAGCCTCGAAGTCGTCGCTGCCACCGCCACCGCCACCGCTACCCCTGTTGTCCTTGTCACCGAGCCAACCTTGCACCGCGAACTCCCCATCTTCAGCAACCCTCTCCTGGCCAACGCCACCCAGTCTAACTCTGTCCCCCTCAAGCCCAAAATTGTCCGCGTCAAGTCTGCTGGCAACAAGTCTCTTTCCGTTCTCAGGATCAGCGCCCCCAAGGTCGATGGCGAAGTTGTCGTGATGCGTCGTCTCGACACCGACCTTGTCAACGCCACTTCCATGTACAATGCCGCGTACCCCGCCATCTCGGAAAAGATGGATGCCAAGGAAAGCGTCTTTGTGGCCAAGAAGTATGATGGCCTTGTTGAAAAGTCTGGAGCCTTGGCTGGTGTCTGGTGAGTTACTTTCTTTTTTTGTGGGAAAACTGTGGAGTGTGGTTGCCCTGTGTGACAGAGCCATGTGGCCTAACATCAATCCTATGTCTCCACTTTTTTTTCATTGCGCGTTTTAGGATCACTATTCCCCAAGGTATGGTTACGCTCCTTGCTTGGTTGTTGTTTGAGCCACTTCATTTGATGAAGGGGATATCGTGCTCTTGGGTATCTGAAGAATAGATAGTTCGTGTTGCTAACAGTCGTGCTCTCGTTACAATTGTTCTGTTCATAGCCAAGGTATTGGCCAAGGAATACGGTATTGACCAGTTCATGCGTCCTCTTCTCGACGCCCCTAATCCCAAGAACACCAACAACATTACGACCGAGGGCGAGGAGGTTGTGGAGAAGAGCGTTATCACCGAGTTGACGATTGTTCAGACTTCGCAGAAGCGCGAGGCCGATGTTGACATTGAGGAGTTGCAGGATACGACCGACAAGCTGGATGAGCTCACTGTGGCCGATGTGAAGGTGATGAAGCGCAGGATTGAGGAGTTGGAGGACCAGGCCAACAGGGACAAGAAGAAGTTCCGTGGTTTGGCTGTTGTTGCTGCTGGTTTGGCCGCAGCCTCAGTCATCCCTCAGGTCCTTCCTTACTTTTCGTAAGGCATGTCGGTTTTTATTGACTCACTTCACGCACAGGAGTGTAGCTGGAGGCTAACTCAGTTCGTCGCTTGACTGGTGACTAACCATTGACACCACCGCCTGATCTCATGTGCCAGGCCTGTCGTTCTTGTCATGTTTGTTGCCTGACAAAGTGTCGTTGCCCTGGCGGCAGGTTTTTTTTTTTTGTTGAATCTCTCATTTTTTTTTCTTTCTTCCCGTTGATCTTCTCCCTGTCTTGTTCTTTCCATCTTCTGTTTTATCTCCTTCCCGCGCTCGTCTCTGCAGGTGACATGTTGACATTCACCTCCTTGCAGAAGCAGACAGTTGTTGTCTTGTTTGTATCCATACTATCACGCCCTTGGTGTTGTTGTTTTTCTTTCTTCCTTGCCCTGTTTCTCTTTATTACCCTCATTTTTATGTTCGCCATCAGTCTCCCTTGAATAATTAGTCAGATTTTCTTTCTGGCCCATCCCGACAACAGTAGTTGTTCCTTTCCTTGTCCTTTTTTTTTTATCTTCCTTTTCACAAACCAGCCTTTTCCTTCTACATGTTGTATCCATAGAACTCCCTTAACCTAATAAACGCAAAACATAACCGCATAAAAAGGTAACCGTGAAGATGGGACTGTTGACTGCGTAGAATGACACCGGAAGTGATGTGCCGTTGGCCGTTGCGTTTTCCAGCTATGCTGGCGTAATAATTGATATGGTCTCACGACAAAAATAGGTGCCTGAGCCATTTGCTTTTCTTTCTTTTCCTTGGCTTTTTCTTCCCTTCTCCCCTTCTCTCGTTCTTGTGTTCCCTTCGCTGTTTCTTTTCCCCTCTTTTCCACACCCTCATAGCTATACCCTGTTCTCATGTCACCCCCTCGCTCATTCCTGTTTCTCTCGGTGACAGTCCTGTCATTTTTTGCACTCCTCTTTTATAAAAGGGCCACCCTCTCTCATGAACAACCACCCAACAACATCAACCTCCCCTCCCAAAACACAGACATGAGTTCCTCCAACACCCACCCCGGCAGCTTCGTCGTTTGCTCCTACTTTGTCGCCTGGGCCATCTATGCCCGCAACCACAACGTCTTTGACCTCCCCGCCCAGAACCTTACTCATATCCTCTACGCCTTTGCCAACCTCGACAACGAAGGACGGGTCTTCCTTGGCGACGCCTGGGCCGACACCGACAAGGTATCTTTTTTTTGCCTTTCCACTATGCGCATATTCGTTAAGGATCTCTTTGTCTTTCTTGACGCTTTGGTTTTGTCAGCATAACATTACAATTTATTCACCCTTCATTCGCTCTCATTTATTTTTACTTTTGTAGCATTACGAGGACGACTCTTGGAACGAGACTGGAACTAACTTGTACGGCAATTTTAAGCGTCTCGGTCTCCTCAAGAAGGCCAATCGTCATTTGAAGGTGTCTCTTAGTATCGGTGGTTGGACCTGGTCGACCCATTTCGCAGAGGTTGCTGCTAACCCTGACAAGAGAGCCGTAAGCACCCATGGACCATGGATATGAAATGAGATTGAACTACGTCAAGACTGACAATTACAACGTCTAATGAGCGGCCCTTTTTATTTTGCTGCTGGTGTTTAGAAATTTGTCACGACTGCAATGGAGCTCATGGATAACTTGGGGCTTGATGGTCTGGACATTGACTGGGTAAGGATTTGTTGCGTTGAGAGTGACGATTCACGCCAAGAGAAGAAACAAAGTGAGCCTTAGTCAAACTAATGCGAATGCTTGCGTCCTGTCGATACGAGTAGGAGTACCCCAAGACTCCTGAGGATGCAGTCAACTATGTCTCGCTTCTTCGTGAGCTTCGCCAGGCCATGAACGAGTACGCAGCCGCAAAGGGAGACACTATCCCTTACCTCCTCACTGGTGCGATGCCCTGCGGCGAGTCTCAGTATTCTCTCCTGCGATTGAACGAGATGAACCAGTACATGGACTCGTTCTACTTGATGGCCTACGATCTTGCGGGCTCATGGTCAGGCGCCACAGGACATCAGAGCAACTTGCACGGAGGCGACAACAATGTTCATAACGCGGTCCAACATTACATCCAACAAGGCATCCCCTCGCACAAGGTCATTGTTGGCATGCCCATCTACGGTCGTGCCTTTCAGAACACCGACGGACTTGGACATTCCTTTGAAGGCATTGGACCAGGAACTTGGGAGCAAGGAGTTTATGACTACAAGACTTTGCCTCTCCCCGGAGCGGTGGAGTACTATGATGCTGAAGCGGTGTCGAGTTACTCGTACGACCCTGCCAAGCGTGAGCTTATTACGTATGATACTCCTATGGTCATTGACCGCAAGGCCGAGTACGTCGCGCAGCACCAGTTGGGCGGGGCCATGTTCTGGGAGTCGAGCGCGGATTTCCAGGGCGACGATGACCGGTCGTTGGTTGGGGCTGTGTCCAAGGGGTTGAGACGTCATGCGCCATTAGATACTAGCTTGAACCATCTGAGCTACCCTACCAGCATCTACGAGAACGTCCGCAATGGATTCGAGTAATGTCCTTGGGTTTATTGGTACTTGTAGTGCGGTTTGAATCAATTAAAAACCCATTTCTACTTTCTCTTTTGACATGCTTCGTTGTTGAATGTGATGATGAATGCGCCACTAATTTTTTTTTTTCAAAGTTATGATTCCATCACGGAGCTCGAGATTCTGAGTTTAAAGAATGGATGAAAAACATCCGAGATCTCGCCATCAACAGATTCAACCCCTTCGGTTACATTAGCAGGATTTCGTTTTCAGGGTGTGTTCAGATCCACTCTTCATCAACGTCTTGCCTCTTTGATCCACCGTAGATGCTCTCATAGAGGGCGTCGTCACGTGCCCACCAGCTCTTTTTCTTCAATTGACGAACGGCCTTTGTTGCTTGCGACGATCTGTCAATACTGAGTACTTGAAAGAACGGTTACAAACGGTTCCTCAATCATGAGAATCTACATGACTCCACTTTCGCCGAACAAAAGACGCGACTCCACATGTATGTTTTTCGAGCGAGACTATTTTAACCTTCGTTTTCAACTCAGACGAAGGTACCAGGTCAAATGTAAACTTCATTTGTCAGCTTTCTCGTTTGATGGGACTATTTTTTCTCCAGCCTCTGTCAAACGATATTGACGCTGTATCCAGGGCAACTGCCTGATTTATTTAGTGGCGTCCGAAGTCCAATAAATAGAAGTGGGCAATTGATTTTTTTTCCGAGTTTTTCTTTGACCCCACACATCTCTCTTTTCCTTGCCAGTTTTTGTCTCTCCATTCACCACACTCAACAAAACATAATGTCACTCACAGCTACTTTCCGCAAGGAGGCCGAGGACCTCGTCAAGGAGCAGATGGCCGCTTATGATCCTTCTCATGACTGGCTCCATGTCGATCGTGTCCGCAGACAAGGTAACGTTGGGGGACAGGGGAGTCTGTGCGGGAACATACAGCAAGCACTTTCACGCGGAGAATGTTTGCTGACAATGATGACTGATCTGATCTGATTTGATCAATTGTCTTCCTTGTCTCACTATATCTCCCCTTTCCCTTGTATCTTATCAGCATTGAAGATCGCAAAGGAAGAAAGCACCAACGGCAAGACAATCGACATCAAGCTCATAGAACTTGCAGCCCTGTTCCATGACATTGGCGATGCTAAATTCCACAAAGAGGGCCAACCCACCGGTCGCGAGATCGTGATGGCCTTCTTGGCCAAGCACGATTACGCAAAGGCAGATATTGTTGCCAAGATTGTTGAAAATGTTTCGTTCCGCAAGGAGTTGGCCGGGATCAAGAACGAGTGGGCCGAGTCCTGCATTGAGCTTCACATGTATGTTTGTTTCTTAGTTTTTGGTAGTTGGTTTGTTGATCAATATTATTTGTTGAGTGGTGGGTATTTATGCTGACGTTACTCCTCTTCCCTTGTGTTTTTATCGCGTTTTTAGTGTCCAAGACGCCGACAAGTTGGACGCCATTGGTGCCTTTGGTAAGCATATGGATGAACCTTTTTGTACTCTATTGAACTGTCGTGCTTCTTGTCGCTTCACAGTTATTTTTCACTCATCCATGAATTTTTATCCGCAACGTGACGAATAGGTATCATGAGATGCGCGGCATACAGTGGATACAAGAACCGGCCCCTGTACGATCCTGCCGAGAAGGCACAGCTGAACATGACCTATGAACAGTACCAGGCACAGACAAAGGCCAACACTGGCTGTGCTATTAGCCATTTCCATGAGAAATTGTTCCGACTTAAGGATATGATGAAGACTTCTTCTGCGGTTAGGATGGCTCAGAAGCGTCATGATGTTATGGTGGCCTTTGTTGAGCAGATTGAAGAGGAGTATTCCATGGACGAATAAATACTATCTTGTTTTTGTGTATTATGATTTGCGAAAAAGGGTGTTCAGGTATGGTACAATGAGAAATGTATGTCTATGATGGATGAGTGTTGCCTGTTCGTTAGCTGGCCGGATTGTTGATATTTACTGCAAGGAAAGGATGTATCCATGGACGGTACCACGAACTTCCTCGCTACCAGGATCCTCAAGGAACATGGGCGTCATTCTGTGCTCGACAACCTTCTCGACCTTGAACCCGAATCCGCCAAGGTCCCTCTCATCATCCGAAGACTCGTCTCCCTCTGGAGGGTCAATCACGGGAGCAGCGGCGATCTCAAAGAACTTGTTGTCGGCGTCGGCCAACCATGGACGATGATGCGTGAAGAAGACAAAGGCACGACCAGTACCGGGCTTCAATGTCTCCTTGCAGGTCTTGAGCATCGCTCGGTGTTGAGAGTGGTTGAAGAGAAGATCTGAGAGGATGATGGTATCGAACAGTTCCTTGGGTGCTGCTGCTGATGGTGTTGAGTTGGTGGTATCTGGGTTGGTGGTAGGGTTCAGGTGGGCGAGAAGGGGACGGGTGTTGCTTCCCCAGAGATATCCTTGAACGATGACCTTGCCCTCCTTTGTGAGCTCGGGGACAATGTTATCTGCGTTGTATTGGATGTTAGCGATCAGATCGTTGTCGGGATAGTCCGTGATCACAACCTATATAGTCCAACGTACGTGTTTTGCATAGAGATGAAGCCGTAGATAAGCAATTGGTTAGCTTCGTTTACACAGACGGGATAGCAATCATCGCTGACATGTGCAGAGCACGTCAATTCCCTCAGGCACTAAAAACAAAACTATATTTTTCAATTGGATTTACCTTGGTGGCACCATTGACGGCAGCTACGAAACCGGGGAGAGCGGCGCCAGCACCAATCTCAAGAACGTTCTTGCCAGTAGTATACTGGGGGTGGTCGTCCATCCAGTCGGCAAAGACCTTGGCGGCGTTCCAAAGGTGATGGGCCCAGAGAGGGTGGGATCCGACAAGACGCAACTTCATCTCATGGGGCTGCTTGTCCTTTGCTGCACGAGTAAAGATTTCGAAGGTTGGCTCGGGGGGTGGGGGGTTGAACCCTGCGGGTTCGGAGAACATGCCGCCCATCTCGCCCTCTGATGAATCTGAATCCGACATTGTTGGTGGTTGGTTTGGTTATAGTTGAAAGAGAGAGTCGAGACCCTTTGTCGTGCGGTCTTTGTGTAAGAGTGCTGGGAGAAATTATGCATTGGTACCTTGTTTGTTTATGCTTGAGCCCTGCCAAAGTGACTGCCTTTAACAATTATCAAATCATTTTTTTTTCGGCTCCACAGGTCCGCTCGCAGTCGAGGTGTCGATGCACAACTGCTGAGTGGTCTACTGTTACTGCGATACATCGTTATCTCCACCTTCTTTTTCTTCTTCCTCCTCTCTTTTTTCTTCTCATCACCGCACCCTCCATCACCAACTGACTCCCTTCTCTCTCCCTGAACACCCCTTTCCTCTTCTCACATACCTACTTTGACTATCATGTGGTCAGAAGGCTGAATAACACATTCCTTCTCTTGTTTACGTCCTTTTCTCTTCCCTCATCCTAATTGCCTCAACCCTCAAACTCGGCACACCTTGCTTTTCTCTTCTTTTTATTGCTTATATATTTCTTAGCTTAGCCTTTCTCTCTCTCTCTCTCTCTCTCTTCCTTCACCAGCACTCTTCTGCTCTTTGTTTCACTCTCATTCCTCTCCACTACCCCATTTTTTTAAAAAAAAGAAGCAATGGCTCAGTCGTACAGTCCATTCCCCGAAGGCAAGCTGTCTGATCTGGCAACCACTGCCCAGGAATCCAAGGTCGTGATCTCGGAAAAGAGCGAGCAGTCGCTCAAAGACCTTGCCTTTGGTTCGGTAAGGCCTCTCCTCTTGGACAAAGACAACGAGAACTACAGGCAGTTGTCTGTCAATCATTCGATTTCGCCCATTGGAGTCTTATGACTCTAACTGTATATCTCCGTCCTTCTTTCAATTGGCTTACCAATTTAGATCGCGGGTGTGGCAGGCAAGTTTGTCGAGTTCCCCTTTGACACCGTCAAGGTCCGCCTCCAGACTCAACCTCTGGACCACCCCATCTTCAAGGGTCCCTTCGATTGCTTCCGTCAGACAATCAGAAACGAGGGCTTCCTCGGCCTGTACAACGTAAGCAACAGGAGTTTGATCTTATCCCACTCCAATGCGATCAGACCATCTACGCTTTTTTCGCACCCCCCCTGTCCAATCAGTCATGTCAGTGCGATGCTCAGCCCAAAATTAAAATAACTCATCGAGATTATCTCGTTTTCCGTCCATCCATCAAATAGGGCTTGTCATCTCCTCTTGTCGGTGCTATGCTCGAGAATGCCGTGCTCTTTGTCGGATACAGACGTGCTCAGGACATGTTGAGGGAATTCATTGCCATCCCCGATGCACACCATGCTACCCCAGGAGCTGAACCCGCCCCCCTCAGCATCCCCATGCTCTGCCTTTCTGGAGGTATCTCGGGCGTGTTTGCATCGATGGTCTTGACCCCTGTGGAGTTGGTCAAGTGCAAGTTGCAGGTCCAGCAGATAGGACATTTGTATACCAAGGCCAGCAAGACCGGACCTACTCCCAAGGCTCTTCACAGTGGTCCTCTCAGTGTGATCAAGCACATTTATACCCAGAATGGTCTCCGGGGGTTCTACCTCGGACACTTTCCCACTTTTCTCCGCGAGACTGGCGGTGGTGCTGCATGGTTTGGATCCTACGAGGCTGTCTGCCGCATGCTAATCGCCCGTGCCCAAGCAGTCGCGCCTGCCGGTAAAACGGTCACACAATCCGATCTGGCGGCTCCTCAGCTGATGATGGCTGGAGCGCTTGCGGGAATGGCTTACAACTTCATCCTCTTTCCCGCGGACTGTATCAAGAGTCAAATGCAGACACAGGATGTCCTCCGCAGCCAACGCGGTAGTGCCCCTGCGCCCTCGCTAGGCTTCTTGGCAACAGGAAAAGATATCTTCCGTTCCGAAGGTATCCGTGGTCTGTACCGTGGATGCGGCATCACCGTTGCTCGGTCTGCCCCCTCTAGCGCCATTATCTTTATGACATACGTGAGTATTGGACCTTTTAGACCATTTTAGACCATTTTTTGGTAGGCACAATGACGAAGGAACCCACGCTTGTGTTGACACATGAACTAACCGATGGTTGTTATCTCTTGTCAACTTTTAGGAAATGCTCTCGCGTCGTTTCGCATAGTCATTCATTCACGCATTCATCTATTCAAAATAAACCTGCATCTCATACCATCTTATCTTCATCATTACCCCAGACTCTCGCGCCATCGTGTCAATTGATTTTATTCTCACGTACACGCTATCCTGTCGCGTTGTCAACGCCATTGAACCTAGCCCTCTTCCCCTGTTTTGTTAGTCTTCTTTTAGAATATCGGCCCCTGCAGGCACATCGAGAGAGCTGTTTTTGATGCGTTTTTATTCATTCTATGACTTTAACTCCAAAGCACTCTGCCATTCTTTCACCTTCATCAAAATTCTCTTCTCTTTCCTCTTCATCTAAGCAATCATCATAAAAGAGAATATGTCGCGTCAGTTTTCCTGGCCTTTTTTTTCTTCTTTTTTTTTCGTGTTCAACCGAAGATAGGAGAAGTCGCGTCGAAAGGTGGGGTTTTACCTGAGCATAGTCTTTATCGTGTTGATGATCGTATCCGAGCAAATGACAGATCCCGTGAGCGTAGAGGACGGGAAGACGATCTTCAATGGCGACATTGTGTTCCTGACACCATTTCTCGACATATTTCATCGAGATGAATAAATCCCCCAGGTTCTTGTCGTCCTCGGACAGTGGTTCTGGAAGCTTCCCCGGTTTTATTGCCTACGACACCATGTTCGTGTACCGAGGAGGGGGGGAAAAGAAGTAAAAAGAAACAATTGGTGTCAGGAAACGAATTTTGGAGTTTTTTGCTCGATTGTGCAAAGATAGGCGTCGCAAAAAGATTGGGCAAATGAATGGAAAGAAACAATGCTTCAGCGAGAGGAGGGGTGTGTGTGCATGTGTATGTGTATGTGTAGAAGGACTACCTCGGCGAAGCGGAAGGAAAGGATGTCTGTAGACTTGTTCTTGCCACGGTACTGGTTGTTGAGATTTTTGACGGTGCGATTCCCCGAGAATGAGACACCGACATCCCAGCCCTTATACCCTGCTGCTGTCAACATCATCTCCAGTTGTGCCTTGACCTCTGGTCGACAGATCTTGTGAACCTTTTGTACATTCTTTAGAAGAATCATTGTAAAGTGGAATGGATCGTGGAGGAGCAGGTGAATGCTCGGAGGAAAAAATGTGCGGAGGGATGAAAATGAGGTCCGGTTGTTTTGCTGACTTTTTATTTTTTATTTCGCAAAGTTCGCTGGTTTGGTTTTGTGGTTGTTTTCAGTGATGAGCAGGGTCCGTGCATTTTTTTGCTAACCATGGAATGGTATTACGTCCTAAAGTCAAGGACACGCGCGATCTTCTTGGTCTCTACCGAATGCATGTCGTACGCCTCTGTATCGTAGAGAAGTGTTAGTTCGCAGTGAAGTGGGCGGATAAGAAAAGCGAAGGGGGTGTGGATCAGTGAGTGGGGTAGGAAAAGTTGTACGGCAATTGCAAAAAGATGTCGTGAGGTATTTTCTTTGCAGTCAATTCCTGGCATCGTGGTTCATTTGTCCAAGATGGTGTCCATTATGTTCACGCACCGAAGGCTTCAGCTTTCCGCTTCAGCTTGGCATCCTCAGGCGTCTCACGGATGTGTTTTGGCAAGTTCTCCAGGGGCGTTGGTCTCGGCTTGTTGAAAAAGTAAGGATGCAACAATGCCTGTAGACGGGAGTGAAAAATAAAGCAATTAAATAAGCGATAATTTCTTTCGATTTCTTCAGTTACATGGAATCAGGCATCGACTGAAACTTACTTCGCGTGCGGAGATTCTTCGGTTGGGGTCGTAGATCAACATGCTCTCCAAGAGTTCCAGAGTGTCCGCCCCAGCAGCGGTAAACAATAACTTCAGTGGCGTCTTCGGATACTGCTTGAACTGCATGTAGTTTGGAAGCGATTGCACACCCTACAACGTCACATAATCAAGACAAACGGGTCAGAATCAAAAATCTTCAAAAGTCACTCTCTCTTTCAAGAGAACACAAATAATTTGATGCTTGTTCCTATCCATGTCATCCTTTAGTTTGATCCAAAAGTTATAGCCTACCGGCCAATCGCTCTCTGTGGGTGTTCCAAGGGCTCTGAACATTGTATCCAGTTGATCCATGTCCGCGTTTCCAGGGAGATAGGGGTTTCGAAGCAACAGCTCTGCAAAGATGCACCCAACCGCCCAAATATCAATGCCGTATCCGTATTCCTTGGCGCCAAACAACAACTCAGGAGCACGATACCACCTATTATGCAGAAAGACAAGTATTGGCGTCAGTATATCAGGCCATTCAGGCTTCGCATTGCAGCAAAGATGTGCACGCACGCCAATTTCAATGCCTGGCAATAAAAGGATCCCTTACCTAGTAACGACCTGTGCTGTCAACTGACGGCCGCGATCGCCAAAGTCTCGCGCCAAACCGAAATCAGCAATTTTGAGCTGTCCGTCCCGTCCCAACAACAAGTTGTTTGGCTTCATATCCTATTCGATATCAAGAGTTCGAAAGGAACATATGTCAGACGATGTTGTCCATTTAGGTCAAACAAACGATAGGCCAGTAGGTGCTGATGTCTTACTCTATGAAGAACCCAGTTACGGTGGCAATGATCCAGTCCACGCAGAGTCATCAACATCCAGTGCTTGACATCTCCAGGCATAAAGAGGATACTCTTGTCTTTGATGATCATCTCCAGGTCGGATTCCAGGTACTCCAGCACCAGATTCAAGTTTGTCTTGTGAAAGTACACCTCCATCAGCTAATTCCCCTCCAAAAAAGATGCAAAGCGTTCGTTAATGAAAGGTCTCGCGTACAGAACCGCACGCATAAAACACATTATCCAAGTAGAAATAGTTTCTCGAACTCAAACTCACCTCGATCAAGTTAGGATGTCGAAGCTCCTGGAGGGTCTTGACTTCACGGATGGCACTCATATCCAGACCATCCTTGAATTGTCCAATCTTGATCTTTTTGATAGCCACAGTTTTCTTGGTTGAGAGTTGTGTTCCTAGAAGACGAATAGAGGTCCACAAGCAAAGAAAGGATCAATTTTCCACTCTCTTTGTTTCCAGCAGCGTTCTTGGCCAAGACATTCACTTCGACAAGTAATGCGTGTCCCAAGAACCAAAATCGCAAAGCTGATTTGCGTCATGAATGTCGTAGTCGTACCAAGGTAAACGACAGCATAGGCTCCCTCTCCGACCTTCCTGTCCTTTTTGTAGTCCCTGTAGAGGTCTGTGTTGTGCTGCTCCGCGTGGGTGCGAAGCGATGTCATTGTTGGTGCTTTTCGTCGTTGATGGATGGGTCTTGTGAATGGAGAAGGGAAAGCACAAAGGAGAACAAGCTCAGAAGGCACAACGCTTGTTTAAACACTGTGTCTTTTCGGTGGCGCCAAAAGTCAAGCTTGCTTTCCCCGCACAGTCACATCGTCGTTTTGCTATAGCCCGTAAGTCACTCGATAGTCTGTTGGATCGAAGAAAAAGGCGGGACGAACTGACCATAAAAAAAAAGTTTTGTTCGACGACTTCCTTGCCCTTCCATTGACATTCTTGTTACTTTTACCTCTTCATTACCCTACCTCCCAACTCTTAATCAACACACTAATCACACCATGAGCAACGAAGGCGAGTGGACCACCGTCACCTCAAAGAACTCGACAACTCACAGAGCACAGCCTCCAAAGCCCGTTTCCTTTGCCTCCGTCACTGCTTCTGCAGCCTCGACTCCCAAGACCGACTTCTCGTCGCGTTCTGGTGGCAACGCTGGAGGCGCCTCTTCGACTGCAGGAAACAACAAATCCTACCACCATCACCACCACAACAAGAAGCAGTCTTCCAAAAGGGATGCCTCCGCCGCCGTCTCTGCTGCTGGAGGTCAGGACCAGTCGACCCACAAGGCCCAGGCGTCAAAAACCAGCCGTTCTCGATCCAGCTCTTTCTCAAGCGACTCTGACTCCTCCCAATCCGACTACCCCTCCGGATCCGGTCGCCCTCCATACCACGCCGTCATCATGATCCACTGCCCCTTCCAGTCCTGCGATCTGACCGACCCTCTTACCGACTCGACCTCCCTTGTCGCTCACTTGAAGGAGGCCCACAAGGTTGCCTTTAAGAACATCCACCATATGTTTATCCTCCTCGATCGGTACTTGACCCATTGGGCCGAGGAGATTGAGGCCAAGGGCCTTGAGAAGGTTGCCGTTAAGGCTGAGGAAGGCGACGAGTTCTTCACGATTGACCCTGCAGTCTCGGTGGCCGATCGCACCCTGCGCGACGAGATTCAGCGTGAGAAGTTGAACGAGATCCTGAAGGTCCAGGAGAAGGAGCGTAACGACGAAGCCAAACTCAAGAGAAAGTGTCTCTTCTGCAAGAACGTCTGCGATAACAGGTACCTTACGCGCTCCCGGTTTTCGATCTTACCCTGTTTTTAGTTCTGTGATTTACTACCTGCAGCTATTAACGATACTATATTATTTTGTTCTAGAACGATCTTGTTCAAGCATATGTTCGCCGAGCACAACTTCAACATTGGTTTGCCCGACAACCTCGTCAATGTCAACGAGTATCTGGACATGCTGGAAGCCAAGCTGACTGGGTAAGCACTCGGATCAGATTTAATATTCAATCTGTCAGCTTCGTTCGCCGCGGCCATTGCATCTTCATCAACAGATCCTGACTGTTCCTCTCATTTTAATTTGTGATTAGCCTCCAATGCTTGTACTGTGAGAAGACGTTCACATCACCGGCCGTCCTCAGGAAGCATATGCGCAAGAAGAAGCACTTCAAGATCAGTGCCCGCAACCGTCTCTACGACCAATTCTACGTCATCAACTATCTGGAGCCCGGCAAGAACTGGGAGAACTTTGAGCATGACCGGTACGATTCTGATGACGACCGTCGCGATGATTCTTGGGCGGATTGGGACGACGCGCTGGAAGAGGAGAAGACGAAATGTCTCTTTGAGAACGTGCACTTTTCGTCGGCACAGGCGACCCGCGAGCACATGAAGGAAGCCCATGGATTTGATTTGGAGGGCGAACGACATGCGCTGGGACTGGACTTTTATCAGACCATCTCGCTGATCAACTATATCCGCCGACAGACCATGTTGGGAGTCTGCTTCTCTTGTCAAAAGAAGAAGCCTGAACAGCAGCAGGACGGTGACGATGAGGAGGATTGGTTGGTCAAGCATTTGAAGGAAGATGGGTGTGGCGCCAAGGCGCCAAGCAAGGAGGCTGATTTCTGGAAGGACGCTCAGTACCTGTTGCCCATGCTCGAGAACGACCCGCTATTGATGATTTTCGGAGAGGAAGAGTCAGATGATGGTAAAGATAACGGCGAGGGCTCGGATAGGTCTTCAATGTCGGACGATGATGGCGACGATGAGGATGATGATGACGACGAGATTATAATTTAAGGAGTCCGTCGCGCTCCAGAGACGCGGCGGTTCTTTTTTTCCCCTCTACATAGTTAACATAGTTTCATTTATGAAGGACACATAGAGTCTGCAGCCCTTTTTTGTAATCGCTTTGTACAACTTGATCTTTGAATCGATGCTAAAAGGTGAATGCGGAGCAAATTTGTATTGAGCGCTGCTGTTGAACGAAATAATAGGGATAGATATTTATTCCTGCTTGGATCTGGAGTCCTGGCGCTTAGGAATCTTGGGCGATGAGGTCTTTGGCTTGAGGACTGGTGGTGGTGGTGGATCTGCCAATGACTGCAGCACAAATGCGGATGATGCCTATTAAAATCCACGAAAGATTCACGACCAAAGTATCATGTTAATATCCATCCTCTCACCAAACACCACTGAGCAAAGCAAAACAAAGCAAAACAAAGGCCCTAAATACCTGTGCAAGTCCATAGATGGCGACACCGATGATTGGAATACTGCATCCGACATAGAACACAACGCCGAATCCCAAAAGAACACTCTTGCGGTAATTGAACCACTTTCGCTTCTGGTAGTGGCTCATCCCGATCCTAATAAAGTACGGGTCAAGCAACTCACGGGTCAAGGCGCGGCATCCAAAGAAGCCCTTGAGCGCGAAAATCGACACACTTCTTGGCAAGAAGAACGAGCCCGCTCCAAAGACAATAGCTAAGGGTTTGGATCCGATGGACTGAATGGTTGACAGGAACGAGGCAACTGGGAATGCGAGGGGTCCAATGATGGGTAACCAGGAGAGGACCAAAAAGAGGAGAGCCCACTTGAGACGTTTCCAGGACCGACGGACATATCTCCACATCTCGCTCCAGTGATGAACCTTGTACGGGTATGCCAATAAAGCGGGGGCAAAGAGTCCTCGGTGGTCCATGACATAAATCGAGGGTGAGTTGGGGTCGACTGCAACGGGATTCCTGGCCTGTTCTGCTTTAGCGTGTTCGTGTTCCTGCATCAATAGGTGATCCGAGTAGATCAGTCCGTCAACAAAGATATCATCCAGAGGTTGCGGGTACATGTACCGAAGGAAGAGTAGTCCAAGCAGCGGGATCGAACTCATGAGCTCGTGTGCCTTGTTCGAGAAAATCTCCAAACCACGTTGCGATTCAGACGTGTCGGTGTCCATGGCCAGACTTAGGACGCGCATCAGACTACCAATGGCCGCGACAGGCAAGAAGAACAAGATCTGCGTTACCAGGTGCGCAACGAGTGTGAAAAGAAGCAACCGGAACAGGGTCTTGTAGAGCCGCCCATTCCTAAAGTCAGGGTTGGTAAGCGCAATAAAGCACCCCTGCAACGCCAACCTCACACCCTTGGTAAACTCCTTGGGCTGAATCGGCATCCGCAACTTGTATGTCGTCACCGGTTTGCTCCCACCTTGGCTTCCAGGCTGCGTCTGTTGATGTGGGAGAACACCCTGGATGTTTTGAACTTTGGACTTGCCGCTGGTGTGGAAGGCGCCGATGGTGTCTGGGAAGTCGCTTTGGTGCGCTAGTTCGGGCTCTTGTTCTTCTGGTTCCGGCTCGTCTTCATCGGCATCCAGGTCAGAGGCATCGCCAATGTCAGGTCTGACCCCGACACGGACGCGCGATGGCGGCGGGTACTGGAGAGGGTTGTAGTCGTCGGGGAGTGCGAGCTTAGTTGAGGATGCAGTGGATGCAGTTGATGAGGAGCGATGCGGGCTGTTGGTCAGAGGTGAGGTTGGTGAGGTTGGTGAGGGTGGGCCGGAGGGACGACGCCGGGAGTATGGCGGTGGTTCTGTCTGCATGGTTCCTCTTGGCTTTTTTTCTGCTGGTGGGGTTTTGTTGTGATGGGTTGGTGGGTCTTGGCGAGGATAGGCTATGGGTATTTATATTAAACGAGGTGATGACATCAACTTTATTTTGTGCTTACAGTATCGCGTGCCATGACAAACAAGCGGCCTGTGCCAATAACAAGAATGCCAAGCTGCACAACGGGCTCACTCAACTCACACTGCAAGAGAGGAGACCGCATCCATTCGCCAAGAATTGGATTAGGATTGACACTTTAGAGAGTAAAAGAGTGAGCATCGACCATAAACGACAGCCAGGCGGGGAACAGTTACAACTCTCCCAATGTCACTCGAATAATACATCGTTCTCGTCCTCCGACACTCCCTTCACCCACAATCGAGGCCGACGCCAATGATTACAACAAGAACATTTTATACTTATGTTCTATGGAGGGAATAACTAATGTACAAGGTTATGGACAGGGGGAGAGAGGTCTCAAATAACAGTTTCGTCGAGATCAAAAAAGGAATAATTGAAACACACACTATGAAGAACGAGAGCGGAGGAGAGGTTGCATCTCGTCAGCAACAGCGGATTGTGATGTTGATAATGAAGAAAAGGCAGTACCAACTCCAGCGTCGTCATCATCCTGCTCCACAACGGCCTCACTCGTCCTCTCACTCAACACTGCTCCGTTCACGCCGAAGAATCCTGCAAGCACAAGTCCTGCTCCGATCCAGTATCCCACGCCAAGAACGCGACCGTAGCCAATAATATCTCCCAGCAATGCCAATGGGATTGTCATTGACAATCCTAGCGTGACCACCAATGGAGATGTCATGAGCATACTCAACAGCCACAGGTAATCCGATCTATTGGAATACAAAAGGCACAGACATTTTTGTTAGTGAGCATTTGGACACATGTATGTTAACATCACGCGAGAATCATCAAACAACAAGAACTGTCAAGACTTACACAAATGTCCCGACAAAGGCATTGATGCCAATCATCCAAATGATCCTGGTGTCATGCGGCAACTCGAATGGCTCGGCCCCCGTCCAGTGCAGGATACCAAAGATTGGCCACAGCAGCAAGATGTTGAACAGACCAACAAATCCGAAAAAGAGTGAAAAGTTGACGCGACTCTCGTTCTGGATCTTGACCTTGAGGAGGACCGTGTAGCATCCATAGAATAACGCCGACAACAGCGCCAGAATGTCGCCAAACAACGGCGCCTTGGGCGCAGACGGCTCCATACTTGGACTGCCACGATCATACTCGCTCACAAGCGCGACTCCGAGAAGACTTCCAGAGACAGCAATCAGCTTGACGGGGCTGAAGGCTTCGATCTTCAGGAACGATCCAATTGCGAGTGTAAAGAATCCTGACATGGATGCGAGGATGGTTGAGCTAGCCACAGTTGTATAGGCCAGGGAGGCATTGGTGGCCCAGTTGGCGGCAAACCAGAGGATGCAGAAAGAGAGGCTGAGTTGTGCAATCTCCCAGTGTGTCAATGGCTTGTCGTTCTCTGCGATTGATGGTGTTCCTGTTGATCCTTGCTCCAGCAGTGAATCGATTCCTCCTGTTGGAACATCCGTTGCTGTTGTTGTAGTCTCGGTGAGTACGCTCTTGCTGATAGTTGGTTCGATCGATTTGGTGTGAAAGTAAAGATGAAAAAAATCAGAGATGTGGAAGTGTTAGTGTTTGTATGTCTGTGTCAATGCGAGAGTGAACGAATGGACCTGTTGTGCAACGCCATCTCGGTTTGAAAGTGCCACGTGCAGGCTCAGACCCGTATACATCTTGAATCCGCCCATGGAAGAAGAGAGAGCCCTCTTTCCAGAGGTAGAAAAAAAGGTACAGTATGATAAAACTTACCCATTGGATCTGGATGTCCCTGAACACACCCGACGGCAGTGTCTGTAGAGAGGGCCGAGGAGGTAGAGCGAGAAGCTTGCGGTGTTGACGTAGGTGACGAAAAACGGCTTGTTGTATTTTTGTCCAGCAAAGATGTTCTATTATCACGAAATGTCCAGGCGGGTCCGAAGATGTAAGGAAGCAAAGACGATAGGAGGAAGAGGGTGTGAGAAAGGAGAAGAAAAAAAAAAGGAAGTGAGCAAGACGACGGCAGGATGGCGTATGTGGGCTGGTTGGGATAGAGCGTTCGTTGTCATTGTGCCATCACAAGGAGCACAGGTGCAGCACACATGAACACAGGTAGGGTGACCCCAAATTGAAAATGATCCGCACAGACACCCAAGGGAAAGGCGAGGGAAAGAGAAAGAGGGGGTTGGGGGGCGAAATATTAAAGAACATCGAACGGAGCACTCACTTCACACATTACACTTCCTTGAATGGCAAAGAAAAGAGAAAAGGTGAAAAGTAACCCTAGTATCGCCCCTCTCTTTCAAGGCCCTGTCACTGTCTTTGCTTCCCCCCCCCTCTCTCTCTCTCCATTGTCCGTCCCTATCGTCCTCAGCTGTTTTTTGTCGTCTGTGTCCTGTTCACTCCTGACCTTTCTTACCCTTTGGTCCTCTGTCCTTCCCTCCCTACTCGCTTCTTCTTCTGCTCACTTGACATGGGCGTGATCCCACCGAATGTCCTTCCCCCTCCCCCCCTAATGCCGAATGTGCGAAATGGCAAAGAGGGGCGACTAAGGGGGTTAGTCTTGTCAGGTCGTGAAAAACGATGACTTACATTCATGAGGAAGCTGGACGAGACCCAGATGCAGACGACCGAGAGGAGAGCCAAGATTCCGATAGTGTACCGGGTCGCCCCTTGTGCGTCCCCAATTGATCCCATATTTGCTGTGCGACGTTAGGTTTTAGGGTGGTGGTGGGTCGCAGTAGTGTGTAGGGGCAGATTAAAGGAGTGCTGTTGGCTATGTTGTTGTTGTTGTTGTTTTGATGTTTTTCTTGAAACCTATTCAGGGTCAGACTGTGGCGAGCAGGAAGATGGAGTGAAGTGCCAGTGGCGGGCTTCTGGTGTGGTGGTAGGAGTAGGGTTTACAATGGTGAGGGGGGAGGGGATCGTCAAACAGGTATCTTTGTAGTAGGGAATTGAAAAGAATGACAAATTGAGGAAGAAGAAAGAGATAGTAGAGGGAAACCAGCTCGGTTTCCGCCAACACGAGTAGTGTGGAAAGGAGTGAACAGGTTGAGTGAGGGAAGGGAAGAAGTAGCGGGCGAAGGAGTAAGAAGAAGAAAAAGAAAAAGAAACAATCAAATCCGCAAGCTTGACCTTCGCTCAATAATTAAGAATTTTTTTCGAATCTTCACTGCAATCATTTTCTTGGAGTATCCGATCTGTCACGTGCGGAATGTAGAAACATCGTCTCCTCAGGCTGGCCATAGCGTAGAAACTTGGCATGGAAATAACTCAGGCTCGAAACCTATGCCTTCACAGTTCACACACACATGCTTGTCAACACACACACACTATTCCAAGTCCTTCTCAGCACATGTAGCCTCAAAATGGAATCTGTATTTTTTTTTGCAAACAAGAAACACCAGCCAACAATACGGTATCATCGACACTTGGCGAAAACTCTACAAGAATGCCGCCTCAGACACGCATCGACAGACACCAACAACAAGGTCAGGATGAACGTCATGGGCAGCATCTTCTCCACCGCTGTTGAAGCATTCCGGCTGCTCAATAAAACAACATTGTGTGGAAGGCTTGAATGGCAATGTTCAACATGGTAAATGGTAAATGTAACGACCTCGCACGAGTATTACTACTATTACACCACAAGTCTTCTTTGACCAAAGACGCATACGGATGCTAAATCACCTGCATGCACTGCAAGTATGCGCAGAGCAAATTCTCACGCGCAAGCGACAACAGCTTTGCCAAAGAACATACAGACCTGATGCTTGGGTGTTGCTCTCGAGGCTGGCGGCCTTGCACTTGGTCACCCCCCTTGTTGACCGTGGAGAGAAAGAGAAGGACAGCAATGGCAATTGATCCACAATGGGGCAGTCTCGATTGTGCGGACTCGTCGCCTCCCCAGTCAAACCATGCACACAACCATGCGACAATGTAGATGGTCGACGATATCTGCCGCTTGTCAACACAAAACAGAGTCAAGTTTAAGGAGAGAGAACAATAAAGAGTAGTATGGTTTATTTATAGGGGGTTCTTTAAACAGAGGCAGAGCCGTTCTTTGGCGTGCTGGCAGGCGTGGAGAGGGCAGGAATGACGGGCTTAATCGACTCCTTGGCCGCCTTGTGGCCCTTCTTCCAGATTGCCAGCCTGTTGTTGTAGCTCACCAGCTCCTTGCGGAGGGCCATAACCTGTCCGATAACAGTCGTAATATCTTCGGCGGTAAGTGTATCCCACCTTGGCGGGAACGCGACGCTGGTCTCATAGTACAGCTGGTTAAATCGACCACTTCGTTGCTGGAGGGTGTAAAGTGCATTGAGTCGAAAACAGTAAGCGGCAAGCTGGTGGTGGACTGCCTCGGGAACCTTGGCTCGCATAACGTCGATCATAGCTTTCGCAAACTTGGCGATTTTGAGCGTGTCGCCAAGAGCCTTGGTCGACCGTGAACCATCATCTTTCTTCGCAGACTCCAAGACACAGATCCTCCAGTCCCGTGGAAGTGCCCAAGATCATGCCGTCCGCCTTTCGGCCAACGGCTTGCCGCAGACATCGCTCCCGGTCGATATTCCTCCGAAGAGCGGATGACGTCGAGTTGTACTCTGCATGCTTGTACTGCAGCGCCTCCTCCGTGCTAAGGATGAGAGCCAGCGGTCCCCAAAGCATATTACGAAACCAACTTTCAGACTCTGCAGTGGGCAGTTGGTAGTTCCTTGTTCGGTAAACGAGATACAGGTGCTTCATCCAATGGTGGACAAAGCTCCTGAAATCGTCGTCCGGGTTGTTCTCCTGCGGATCAAGGGAGATGTCCGTCCAGCTCTTGTCCAGCAGCTTGCCAACCTCTTTGTGGTCCTAAGCAAACAGCGCCAGGTAGGCGCGCTCCGAGCCGTTAAGTTCCTGCAGAAGCCCTCCCGGCCGTGCCTCCAGGACCGCGCAAATCTCAGCGTTATCCGCCTCGTCTTCGAATGCCTCGAGCACTTCCTTCACATTTTCAATGACGAAGCTGTGGAGCTCCGACTCTGCCGACTGCTCGCTGGGAAGCTTCTGTGCCTACGCTGCCAGGACATCGTCGACGTACCGTGCCGGAGGACAGGACTCACGGCTTACCAGTAAACTTCTTGAAGTTCTCGGCAAAGTCCGCGAGCAGGCGGAGAATTGCACTGGAGGTGAGTTTGCAGTTGCTGCTCTTGCTACTCCTGCTGCTGGCTGTCCGCACACTGCTGCTCCGGTGAATGCTGCTTCCCGCGCTGATGGAACCCGTCGACACACATGAGGCCTCTTGAAGTTCTTGTGGCTGTTGGGGTGCCTGAGGTGCCATGGACTTTGTGGGCAACAACTGCGCAGGTGGCAGGCTCAGGTTCGGGATCTCAGCGGTACCGACTGCTGTTCCCGCAAATGCCTCCACCATGGCGGGAATATCCATCATTTAGCGTCAGATGGTTCAGGTTGTCCTAATTGTCGGGCGAAAAGTACTCCTTGAGGCGCCGCCACATACCAGTCAGCACAGCTGCCTCTGTCTCCGGATGAATTGAGTGAACATAGTTGACCATGTCCTTCTCCACCGGCACTGGCGCCAAGCGCATCGCGACCACGTAGTTAAGTGCCACGAAGTGGGCGAACGTTGGACGACCAAAACACCAGCAACAATGAGCTGCCGGAGCTCGTCCTCCTAGATGTCCATTGAAGGAAGTAAAGATTGATTGGAGCGAAAAGAGTGAGCAAAATAAGCTCGGAACTTTGCACACGGAAAGGCAAAACCGCGCCTATTCGCACCCCACCACGCACACGTACACGCATACGCACACATACGCATGGCAATGCAGACAATAGTCTTTCCTCGTCAACTTTGTTGCCTTCTTCAACGTCCTGAATCATCTTTACCTTGTTAATCTTCTCCAGACGGGGTGACTTGCACGATTTTGCCTATTAAACGCGGTCGAGAGAACGGAGCGCAAAGGTTAACGTTGTTAGTATCGCCTCGCTCAAGCTGGATAGCATGCACCAGCCAAAGAACCGAAAGGAAATGACCGAGGTTCAGCTGCCGGATGTCATTGCAGCGTCTTGCATACCTTCTCCTCCGACTTGCTCTGCCGCTTTGATGTACTGGAACTAGGGCGCCATAACTGGAACAATAGGAAACAAATGAGAAATAATTAACGGTTGGTGCAGGCGCACGTCCTTTTCGTTCCTGACTAGCCTAAACTCCGTTCGACACTTGAAGCACCCGGAGATTGCACATTGCACTGCTCAGCATCCAGTCATGGTCATGGCCAGCTTGGACATCGCCCACATGAGCATCAAGGCACGCTTTGCTATGGATTAGGCTACTATGGATGCCGCATCGGTGTAGTCAATTGTCCAGCTCTCTCTATTGTGTGTACTTACTTCAATGGGCGCGTGACTTTTTAAAGAGCTTATAGAGCGAGAAAGAGTTCAATCCCCATGCCATGGGGACCTTTTTGTTACATGATGTCATAGTGAGCCTCTGAGGACCAAGCCACTCGTCAACTCAACTGTCCCTCTTCTTCCGTAAGAGTGCACCTCCTTCCTGTTTTTTCTTTTGCTTTCTCTTTTTCTTTCTCTTTCCCTCCTCGTCCACATTCTCCACTCTCAACCAGCTCCACTCTCAACCAGCTCCACTCTCAACCAGCTCCACTCTCAACCAGCTCCACTCTCATCCAGCTCCCCTCTCAACCAGCTCCCCTCTCAACCTGTCCACATCGTCCTCGCCACCTTCACCTCTCTTTACTCTCAGCATCTTCAATCACCTTCGAATCCTTTGCTCACCTCCTCTATTATCGATATCGGACACACCCACGGCCCCGTAATCCCAACAAAGAATCAAGGTAAAAAATGGCTCAGTCTTGGGTGGCAGCAGGCATGACGTGTGTACGGGTGTTGAGAAGTGATGGCGAGCTGGGTCCACCTTGGGTACAGAAGGGCCAAAGACTATGCCGTGCGCTGGGCTGCTCTTCATATGACCTGACCGTCAGCCTCGGCTGGTGGTGGCGCTAGATTTGGGCGTTACTTGAACCACTCTGTAGGTACAGAAGGGCTATAGACCATGCGCGCTGGGCTGCTCTTCATATGACCTCCGCCATCGGCGGCGTTGCTGGTCCTTGTAGCGTTCTCCGTCAGACTCGTGGGTACTTGAGGGTGTCATTGCATGCTGAGTGCGAAGATGGTGCATCGGCCCTCACGACGACCTCTCTCATTTCTTGACATCCACTTCTCGCTGAGGATAAGCGGGGCTTCGTGTGCATTGGTGAAGGGTTCAACTCCGTGGGTACCGAGAGGCTATAGGACATGCCTGCGCTGGACTGCCCATCATAATGACCTCACCGCTACCTCGGGCAAGACGTGGGAGGCTGGGTAACGGTGGTGCTGCTTGGACCTGGATCTGGCGCTGTCAGATACTCTTAGGTATGTAAGGGTCATAGTACATGCCGTGCGCTGGACTGCCCATTCGTATGACCCTCACCGCAACCTTGCGGTTGGTGCAGCTATCTGGTGCCGTCGTTCGCGATGGCCATGGGTCTTTTGAGACTTTCCTCAGCTCGGCCGTTTTCACCGCTGGGTGACTGGGGCCACCACCCCCGCTTTGTGGAGGTGGTTTAATAGCACACAAGGAGTTGTACGGTTGTGTTTTGTTGTTGCTTGAGACTGAGCCATTCCTTTTTCTTTTTTCCAGTCTTTCTCTGCCCTTAATAGGTTTGTACTAGTTTTGTCAGGATTTTTCGAGCAAGACTATGCGATAGAATCGAGCAACAAACAAGGTAGGATTAGATGCATTCCGGCTGCTCAATAAAACAACATAGTGTGGGAGGCTTGAATGGCAATGTTTAACACGACAAATGTAACGAATTCGCGTCGCAGTTGTTACTTTATACCGAGGAGAGCGAGAAACATATGTATTAATATACGAGTAGATTGTCTTTTGCTGCCGGACGCCGTGACGCCAGACATCACATGTTGGCATGGTAGGGGTGTCGTGTACGCACATTACATATGTGAGATGTTTAGCAGTGGCTGCTTACTCGCATACTAAGAAGGCATATAAACTGAAAGGACATAAAAAAAATAAAGAAGACGCCTTTCTATCCGGCTCACTCATTGTTCCATGAAAACTCATGTATCAAACATACTCTCCTATTCACATCTTTTACGTTGACACAACAAGGGGTCTGAGTCCTAATAGAACTATGAGAGGTAGAGTAACAGAGCAACTAGGCCCTGAAGGTTAAGCGAAAGATAGGTGTGAGGGTGAAGAGTCAAATGAGTCTAGCGATGTACACACTTCGGTGACGTAATTATAGAGCCACATTGTCCTGTTTCTTTCCCTGTGCTCGGAAATTGTGCTGATCATCAAACCCTCTCCACTCACCACCCAACTCTTCACAGACACCATGTCGTCCCTCCCCCGCACAATCAAGGGCTTCCTTAAGTTGGGCCCCGGTCGCTTCTTTCGCCAGCTCAACAACATCGGTGACACCAAGGTCGGAACCTTGGTCGGCACTGATAAGTTCGGCAACAAGTACTTCGAGAACTTGGACGAGAGCTACGGTACGGCGGACAACTTACAACTAGCATCACACCTCTACAACCATTCTCTCTGCTTCTCCGTGGAGTCAATGCTCCTATCCCGCTGTTTTCTCTTCCGGCGATATACTTCAGGACACTACTACCCGATGATAACGCATGGGCCGGAGTCCCGTCCACGCCGGAAGCAAGTTCAGGAAGGCAGTAATGAGTAGGGAGCAGGGAGCAGGACAAACAAAAAGCTCCGAAGGGCGGAACATATGAACCAGGAACGCGACAGGGTGATTTTCTGTAGAAATTGTCATCATTGGCGATACAACAACTAGCGGAATAGCGTCGGCACAGATATCACCAAGATCATAACCAGCGGGAGCGCGCCTCCGGACCGGCACGACTATGCCGTTTTATAGTTAAATGATTCTTGGACCAAAGCTCGCGGATCAACAGATTTAATCGGCTAACATATTACTGTTTTCATCAAAAATAGGTCGTAACCGCTGGGTCCAGTTCGCCAAGGAGGACAGCTTTTTCTCCAGAGCCGAGGCCAACGCCTCCCAGGTCCCTGCCGAGTGGTACGTTATATCGATATCGCATTATGTGAAATGTCTTCACGGAACCAATCGCGACATTTAACAACCCTGATTACATATGACTTACCATATCAATTCTTAAACCCTTGACCTTAGGCACGGTTGGTTGCATCGTATGTTGGATACTCCCCCTACTCTCGACAAGACCATGGTTATCCCCAAGTGGGGTGTTGAGTTCACCGAGAACTTGACCGGTTCGCCACAAGGTATTTTTCCTCAAGTTCACTGCAGAATGACGATACACCTTTTCTACGAACACATGGAATCCTTTACTAACACGGTTGACACGTTCTTCCCGCCTGAATCAAATTAGCCTTCAAGACCTACAATACCACCCGCTCAAAGTTCCAGGCCTGGACCCCCAAGGTTGCTAACCGCGCTTAAACAAAACACCACCGCCCAACCCTAACCCCAACACAACCATTTTTTAATGACAAAAACCAAGGAGGAGAACAATAGAGAAAGCAAGTAAAAAAAACGAAATTAGAACTGCTACTTTGATTCTTTATGTGTAAGGAGTTTTTTGAGTCTGCCAAAAACAAGTTTTATGTACAAGTGAGGGTTGCATTGTTCTACGGTATGTTATTAGGGTCAGATGTCGTATAGATCCGACTCATCAAAGCCATCAAGTAAGAGCTCCAAGTCATCCTCGTTCCCGTCATCATGGATGATCGTACGGGGAGCAGAAACGGACGCGGAAGGAGTAGCAGTAGGAGGAAGGGGACGAGGACGCGAGGCCACAGGGGAAGCAGAAGGAGCGCCTCGCTTGGAAGGCAGAGTAACAGGACCGCCTGTCTCAAGATCGTCAAAGTTATCGTCCAATTGAATGTCGTCAGGCCAACCAGTAAAACTGTCACCTTCAGTATGGTGCGATTCTTGACTTGCTGTTGCCCTTGCTCCTGGCGATAAAATGGTCTTGGCCTGGCTGTGCCCTGCTGCTGCATCAGGTGTTGATTTAGGGTCTGACCCGGAGGTATTCGACCGTTGGCTGGTCCTTGACTGCGAGGATCGTTTCCGGAGAGTAGGTGAGGCTGCAAACGATGACAAGGACTTGAGACCACTCCCTGCACCTATACCTCCACCACCAAAGACATCCACACTCGGCGTCATCGCACCCAATGTGATCATAGGGGTCGACATCATATCCTCCTGTCCCGTTTGAGTCTCAGTTGCAGTCGGACGCAGACTCTGGAACATGACTTCCTTGGGTTGAGTGACGACAGTGGTACGACCCGACACACCATTTCTGTGGACACCTTCCTGTGACGACAATAGCGAAGTCCGGTTCTTGACTTGGCTCTGATCTTGGAAGGTACTTTGTGACGAAGCACCACCACCATCTCCTCGCAACTCCTGAGAGGCCTTTCTAGTCGACTGGCTACTCGACCGGATCGATTCGCGATCTTCGGGAGTACTGCTCCACGCCGATGGGGTTGCACGATACTGTCCGGATATGGTAGAAGGATGGGTGGTTAATCCTGAGATTTGTGGTGAGACGCTTGTCCCCTGTGCGCCTTTATCTACTGTCAAAGAAGCTGCCCCCTGCGAACTGTTATTTTTCCTCCTTTTTTGAGACTGTCGATCCTGAGAAGAGCCTTGGGAATTAATAACCATAGGTAGGTTTGGTTGATAAATCTCCTTGATGTTCCGACTTGTGATGATAAGATAGTGCGAGACGGGAGTCGGAGAGAACACGGAAACCTAGAAACACAATACAACACGAGTATATAGTCGTTAATATTGATGGTCCATTAAGAATGCCATCAGTTTTACAGAGTTGTCGAAGACTTAAACCACGATTGAAACTTACGTTGTTGAGGACCAAAACTGTTCCAATCCTGACCTCGTTGTTCTTGTATTGTTCAAGCACTGAAATGTGGATAGTGCCTCGCATCTCTCCTGAAGGGTCCATTAAGGTCACAGCGGCATCGATCTCTGACGGAGTAAAGTCCTTGATCATGGCAATCAGCCACGGGATCTTGCCTCTGTGTGTATCCTGTCGAGTTTCAATGTCGGAAATAGTCGTTTGGAGTAGCGGATTGGTGCCTTTTACTCTTTCAAGTGTAGACGCTATTGAAACGGTTGTAAGATGGAAGTTAGCTACTGCTATGGACATCAATGCGCAGGACAGAGGCCCAGCAACAAGACAAGACACGTACGTTTATACTCTGGTAGGCGCTGTGCCTTGAGCATATCCTCCCATGCTCCACTCGCAAACATGCTGTCGATAGGGCCTTGGCTGACAGACTTCATCTTTTTCTTGATGGACGAGTTGGGGCTTGTACTCGCAATGTCAGGAATACGCGCGTCTTTGCGGAATGGGACGCCTCGCGATCGGAACAACTGATCTTTCTCTTCCTCACTCTATTGAAGTGACACACAATGAAGGTAATGTTAATGAAACAGCAATGTTGGAGACTGCTGCTGCATATGGGTGTAAAATACCCTACTAATGGCGTTACCAAACGGGGCAGGTTTCCTGCAGGCCCTGGAAGTCTGCTCTTGCCGCGGATGGGAAGAGTTGAGCCACCTCCTGCATTAGGCGAGCTTTTACTCCGCGAGAGTCCTCTGCTTTCCTGGTCCCGGACACGCCCAACACCGCTCTGCAGATTTGGTGGTGTCTGCCAGTCCATACTGCTCACAGTATCCCGTCCATCAGGCCTTGTTATGACTGTCTCCTGCGAACTAATCACCAAGACTCGTTCAGGATTGCTGGATTCTGGTCGATCGCTAGAAAACGACGTCGAAAATGTGGCTCTGGAGGGTGCTGCCGCTGCGATCGCTGAGGCTCTGAAGGACGAAGGTGGCCTGCCTTGCATCCCAATGGTAGCTGTCGATGCTGGTGAAGAACTGGACGCCGTAAATGTGGTGCTGGATGTCCCAGCCGTTACGTTGGCTTGGGGTCTGTAAGATGATGTAGACTTGCTTTGTATCCTGGTGGTAGTTGTCGATGTTGTAGAAGTAGAAAAACTGGAAGTCGCATACGGATTTGACATGGTTGTTTGTTTTAAGGTGGAGGCGGATGTAGATGCGGACGAAATTGTCGAATCCGCACCAGTGCTATGAACAGTTGTACTGAATCTGCTCAAGGGCGACTGTGGCGAGAGTGGTGTCGATGAATTGGCTTTAGCGACCTTTGGTGGTGTCGGCGACCAGCTTAGCGAGATATCTTCCACATCCTCATTGTCCTTGTCTTTGCCCTTGTCCTTGACTCTACTCTGACCCTGACCCAGATCCAAGTCGTGTTCCAAATCCGCCAAATCGTCGGCGTCCAGAAAGAAGTCGTCGCCACCGAACGAAGTATCTACGTCAATGGCAGGCGCCACTACAGGTACGCTTGTTGAAGGGGCTCCAGTTGACGTGCCGGCGGATATTCCAAATGAGGCGGTCGAGTATTTTGCTTGGTGCTCACGCGATCCACGTTCTGTTAGAGTATAAACGGAGGTCGTTGTCGACGTCGTCTTTGGAGCGGCAGAGCTGGCGGCGCCTTGTCGTTGGTCAGAGGGTCGACTCAGGTCGGAAAGAACATCGGCCCCAAGTCCTGAAAACCCCTTCGCAAAAGCTTTGAACTGCCGCGCAGGAGGAGGTTGCGATGGTTGTGGTTGGACGGTTGATCTTACAGTCGTCGGGTTTGTTGTTTGCTGGATTCCTGCTCTAGACTGATTGTGGTTGTTTGAACTGGGCTGCGCATTCAGATCCGAAGTCGAGCTTCCTTGACCGAGGTTGTTGTTGTCTGAGCTGTTTGGCTGCCCTGACGGGATGATGCCACCATTCAGTTTGGGAGCAAGAGTCTATACAAGTGCAATACGGATTCGGGTTAGGAAAGGAGAGGTTGGTGATGTAAACACGAAAGCATGGTACGGAGAGAGCGTGGTGATGATCGCTTACGTCGAACATTTTATTCGAGCGTCCGCATGTCCAATGACCGAGATGAGGGGGAGATAGTAGACTGACGAGGAAGACAGTAAAGAAAAGAAAAGAAAAAACGAGTGTGGGTGAAGAAGGGAGAAGAGTGGAGACTAGTAATAAAACTAGGGTGGCAGCAAAACCCACAACAAACAGGTGTCGTGTTTTTGCAGCTTAAGAAATCGGTGGCAACGGTGGGCGAGTTCGGGTCTACGAAAGATTGCGCACTAACTTCGCGTGCAATTATGGGTTGGTTAACAGTGAAGTATCGAGACAATTGACCAGGCACATCCATGATCCTGCCCTTTTTCTTGACTGCTATCACCGACAGATCAAAAAAAACAGGCTCTCTCTCTCTCACAAGTCTGCCGCCCAATTCTTGATTCGATGACCCACAGCGAGTGAGGTGAGTCAATGCGGTAGTCAACTCAAATAGCTCTATTTTGTTATCTTACCTTCTCTTTCTTTTTCTTTCTTCTTCCACTTCACCCTTTTCTCTTCTTCTTCCCCTCCTCACACTCACACACACACTTTCCTTCATGTCGCGCGTATTAAAGGCTGGAATTCTCGGAGCCACTGGCACAGTCGGTCAACGATTCATTCTTCTCCTCTCCGAGCACCCTGGTTTCTCGATCCATGCCCTCGGTGCCTCCCCTCGCTCAGCTGGCAAGACCTACATCAAGGCCACAAAGTGGAAGATGTCTCAGCCCATCCCTGCCGACGTCCGCCAGATGATCGTCGCCACATGCGAACCCGAGGGTTTCTTCAAGGAGTGCGATGTCGTCTTTTCTGGACTTGATGCTGATGTTGCCGGAGAGATTGGTAAATTCACTCATTTCCACACAAAAAAAAAATGTTACAATTCGTAGTTGAGTCACATTATCAACCAGCCATTGTCGAGAATATCTGTTAACTTAATTCTTTGGGGATAATTGTAGAGATGGCTTTCCTCAAGGCCGACTTGGCCCTGTTCTCCAACGCCAAGAACTACCGCACACACGAGGAGGTGCCTTTGATTGTCCCCATGGCCAACCCCTCCCACTTTGACCTCCTCACCCACCAACGCTCCATTCACAACCTCTCCAAAGGATTTCTCGTCACCAACGCCAACTGCTCGACCTCTGGCTTGGTCGTGCCATTGAAGGCCCTTCAGGATGCATTCGGACCCCTGAGCAAGATCATGGTCACCACCATGCAGGCTGTCTCTGGTGCCGGATACCCCGGTGTCTCCTCTCTCGACATTATGGACAACGTCGTCCCATTCATCGGAGGCGAAGAGTCCAAGATGGAGTGGGAGACGCTCAAGATCTTGGGAGGCATGAACCAAGAGTTGACTGGATTCGAGCTGTTGAAGGGTACCAAGGTCTCGGCCACCTGCAACCGTGTCCCCGTCATCGACGGTCACACCGAGTGTGTCTCGATCGAGTTTGAGAGACGCCCTGCCCCCTCGGTCGAGGAGGTCATCAAGGTCCTTGAGAACTACCGCACCGAGGCTCAGGAGCTGGGCTGCCACTCTGCACCAGAGCAGGCCATCATTGTCAGCAGGGAGGAGGATCGGCCACAGCCCCGCCTCGACCGTGAGAACGGCCGTGGTTACAGTGTCACTGTCGGCCGTGTCCGCGAGTGCCAGGTCTTTGACACCAAGTTTACCCTCTTGGTCCACAACACCATCTTAGGTGCCGCTGGATCCGGTGTCCTCCTTGCCGAGTTGGCCCAGAAGAAGGGCCTCATTGTTTAAACCTTAGTACATTAGATCTCTCATCAGAAAAAATAATAAAATTATGCATCATGAACAACAACCCGAGCAGGTACAGTATATAATGAGCGGCCGATTTCCTCCACCTTTTGTTATCTCTTTGCAGTGCTGTTGAAGGTTTAATGTCTATGTATACAGAAAGGTGATTGACTATGAATGAAAGGTATGAATTGAGTGGAGAAGAGGGAAAGAAAGGGTGTGATCTAGTGTTTGCGGTTCTCTCGAACAAGAATAGTAAACCCTGCCAAGATACTCAAACCGCCAACGATGTTACCCCAGCCGATGGTTTCATGGAAGAGCGCCCAGTCTATCAAGGCCACCAATGGAATTGTCGCCATTACACCCACAGCTGCAAAGACGGGGTTAGTCATCGAGACCACGATCATGAAACATCCATTGTAGATCAATCCAAGAGTGGCGATCATGAGGATTGAAAGGAACTCTTTCCATGTAGGCAACTCCATGATCTCGTGGCCAATCCAATGGAACAGTGGAATAGGGACCCAGAGCATGGTGAGAGTAACGACTCCCATCAATCCAGTCAGAGTGTTGGCAAAGGTGACGGGGGCAACCTTGGTTGAGGCGTATTTCTTGTACATGACCTATAAAGATGACCGACGTGTTAGCTATTCCATCAACACTGAATTGATTGACGAGCACACATTGCAACTATGTATCAATGGCGATCAAATTACCTCCTCAAAGCCATAAAGAGCCGCTCCGACAAGAGCAAGAACATCACCCGCCATGGAGAATGACAACTTGCCAGCGACAGACTTGCCATCACCACCAGAGTCTCTGGTTGTCAAACTGATCACTGCCACGCCGAGAAGAGACAGGAAGACGGCCAAGACCTTGTTCATAACAATCTTCTCTCGAAGCAGGAGGATCGAGAAGAGGTAGGCAAAGAAGCAGGCAGTGTTGTAGATGGCGGTCAAGTTGGCCATCGATGTCATGGCAATACAGGCGTACCAAAGGTAGGAAGGTACCATGAAGAGCGTGGTCATACCAAAGGTCAGCCAAAAGAGATACTTGGATAGGGCTCTCTTTTCTCTAGAAGTGTAAACGGTTGTTGTTGAGGCGAAGGACGCTGTCGGTTGGGAGGTAGATTCTGAAGTATTGACCGCGGTATAATCAGCCTTGCGGTGCTTGAGATCGCTGGTGGACTGGCGGATGAGCTTAGCAAAGTAGTCGATTCGGTCCTGGAGTGATGAGAGGGATGTTGGGGCTGAACGCGAGATATAGGTTGTGTAAACGAACTGGGCAGGGAGAGCAATTGCCCAGAATGAGTGGGAGATGTAAAGGATGAAGTATGGCTTGTGGTATCCCATGGATGTCTGCACGTACTTTGTCAGTTCCTAGATATGTTCAATGGCATAAGAAGTTATATGTGAGTCCATTGCGCTTGAACAGAGTGTTTTTATGCACGTTGCGCGAAGGAGCCCCTGGATCTGCATTCATTGCGCAAAGGGTCATACGAAGAGAAAAGGGACATATCAACTGAACAATTCAAATGAATGAACATCATACCGTCTGCAGGACAAAGGAGAAGATGCAGACAAAGAGGATGATAGAAGCCAAGCGGAAGCGCTTTGCATCTGCGAAGTGGCTGTCGTTCGGGCCATCCTCAATGGGTATTACCTCCGGATGGCTATTTCGAGCAGTGGAGGTGGGGTTGAGAGGTGTGGTGTCTCGTTGGTGACTCCTGGCCTGGTTGTCGTTATTGTTGTTGGTTGTCTGTCTCTGTGTCTGGGAGGGAGTCTGGCTAGACGAGGCTGCTGGGTCCTTCGTCTTTCGAGTTCCTGATCTCGACATGTGCAGTCTGAGTGTGTATAGGTTGATGATGGACAATGTGAAGAAAAAAAAGGTGGAAAAGGGAAAGAAGAGTGGGACAAGAATATGGAACCTTCTGTTCGTTAGTCTTGCTGCCACTACGTCACTTTCGGGCACACGACAGGTCAAGACGACAGAGGGTGATTCTGGTGGCGCCTTGGTCACTCTCCTCGTCCACCTTGGCGCTCCTTTTTTTTCATTCTCCTATGGGTCTGTTTCCGTATTTCTTTTCTTTCTTCTTCTTCTTCTTCTTCTTCTTCTTCTTCTTCTTCTTTAATTCATCCTTTGAATCCACATCGCATTACCATCACACCCACACACCAACAGCAAACAACCAACCAAGCCAACCCAGCAAACCAACCAAGCCAACCAACCAAAAAATCACCGTCAGCAACCAACCACCATGGCATCCAACACGATGAACTTTGGTCCCGAGTGGTACGCACCAAGCAACAGCTACTGTTACAACTACAAGTACAACTGCAACAACTGCACCAGTCGCTCAACCCTCTTTGCAAATATCATATTGACACTATCCCCCCAATTATGCGTGCGCCAACTAGGATGAGACGTTTCCCTGCCAGGACCAGTCAGTCTCAACCCGACCTGCTCGCCAGAGCGCCTTCGCCTCCTCCTGTCGCCCCAACCCACCAGGACTGGGGTCAACCCGCACTCCCCGCATCCCAGGCAGCCTTGCCTGCCTTCAGCTACTCCTCAATCGCCGCCAGCAACGTCCGCTCTCACAACGGAACTTCTAGCTCGGACACCTCTGTCTTGGACACAATCAACGATGGAAGCAGCAACGGCAATGGCCCCAGCTTTGCTTCGGACTCGTTGAACCCCTTCAAGTACTCCAAGGAGCTGATGATTGCACTCTACAAACCCACAGGTCTCCCCATCGAGTTTGAGAGACACGCTGTCATGACCAGCGAAGACCCTCTCGCTCCCATGTCGACTTTGCCATTCTCAGAACACGAGATCAAGGTACAACAGAGCGACCTCCTGTTTTGTGCAGCTGCCAATTCGTCCAACAGGATAACAAGCATTGTGTTGATAAACCCCCTCCCTCCTTGCAGTGGTCTGGACGTCCATCGTAACCCTCCCCCCCCCTTTTTCCTTTCTTGTCTTGCACCTGTCATAGCTCCTCTCCGGCAACGTGAACAGCGAAGTGGCGCGCAGGACGGCTCAACCAGGAGACAGCCCCTTGGAGAGGCCACAAGGGCAGCGTCGAGAGAGTTTCTCCATTACCGGCGACAACTCGGGGCGATATGACCGGTCGGAAAAGCCCTCGTCCTACACACGCAGCTATGATTCCAGAGGTCATGCTACTGGAACAAAACCACGAAGTAAGTGTTGCTTGCCGCTGACTTCTATCTTTTGGTGCCAATACAAGTTTTATTCATGCATGCACGTTGATGTCGTGATACGCCTGACGAGGCTCTGACACCTATCGTGTAATTGCTCAATAGCCTTGAACAGCGAGAGTCGTAGCCATTCATTCAGGCGAACAGAGCAAGTTGTGGTGGAACGTGAGAGTGAGCCAGAGGAGGATGGGCTTTGGAACTCCCCCGTTGGCAACTCAGTGGGCTCCTTTGACGCCAATGGCGTTTTTCGAATCAGCGGAGAAGGCGAAGAACTCCAACCCCTGGCAGATCTCGAGGAATCCCCAGCCGTACCATCCAATGACGAGACAACGGGTACGTCTCTTGTCGAGGAAGGCGACGACCTCAGTGGCGTAAAGACGTCTCTCTTTTCTCTTCGGCCACAGGAGCCAACCTACTCAGGTCATGGTTCTGAGAAGCCTGGCGTTGTTTCACCAATTCTCTCTCAGCGCACAATGGAGCCTATTGCTCCTGTCGACAACAATCGCATTTCTGTTACCATGCTTACTGGAAAACCTACTGAGGCATTTGCAGCTCGGGATTCAGACGAGTTTACGTCGTTTGGTGATAAGCCACCATTGAGTGCCTCGCATCCTCCAGGCCTGGTTCCTGAGCCTGGATTCAAGTCCTTGCTGGCGGAGATGGGCACGTGGCTTTATCGGGACCCTAGTGGCAGCATTCAAGGACCATTCTTGTCGAGCGAGATGCACGAGTGGTACAAGGGAGGCTTCTTCACGTCAGACTTGCTTGTGAAGCGCGAGCAGGATTCTACGTTCGAGCCTTTGGGGTCGTTGATCAGGAGAGTTGGCTCTGACGACCAACCGTTCTTGACTGCGGGAGTAATTCGACCTGAGCCCCTGCAATCGCCTGTCCATCCCAACCGCCCTTCCATTCCCTCGTTGGCGCAGAACAGGCAGCCAGTCCCGCAGCTGCCGCAGTCCCCAGGCTGGATGGGGATGAGCGCTCCTTCGACTCCCAGCACAGCTAACTTTGGCACAGACCGATTGATGTTACAGCAGCAGCAAGTCCAGCAGCAGCATTCTTCTGGTGACTTGTTCAGCAGCACCAACGGACTCGGTCAACAGCGCACGGGCTTTAGTGGTGCTCAGGAGCCTGTTGCTTTGTCTGGACTGGAGTCGAGATGGAGCTCTGCTCAATTCAGTCGTCCTCACATTGCAGAGTCTAATGCTGGTTGGGGAGGCGATGCCTTCTCTCGTTCGCCTGTTGCCAGCATGGCTGCAGCTCACACTCCCTTGGGAAGTGCCCACTACATGGAACAGCAACAAAGACTTCATAACCAGGAGCTGGAGCGCCAACAGTACATGCAACTCCTTCAGCGCCAGGCCCAGATGCAATCGATTATGCATCAGCAGCAGTTCATGGCTGCCCGCCAGCAATTTGGGACCGATCCTCAGGCTCTTGCAGCCTTGCTTGCTCAACAGCAGGCTCAGCAGCGACAGCTTCAGATGCGATACCAACAACTACAGTTCACTGGCATCCATGCCCAAGGCCCATCGACTCCTGGAGGCACCGCTGTTCCATGGGGGGGAATGGGACAGCCCTCCAGCCCTTGGACAACGTCGATTATCCCCTCAAACTCGGACAACTACTTTGACTACAACAAGGGCGAAGGCAGTCAAGCTCCCTACTCGATGCGCCAGCAGCCTACACCTATGCAGCCACCCCAGCCTCATCAACAGCAGCACCAGTTGTTCCAGCCATTCCAGCAGGAGCACACACAGTTCCACCCTGGACGTCCCAGTGAGCCTGTGATGCAGGTTGGTCAGACGCCTCAGTCCTTAGCCCAGGAACACCAACAGCCTCAGCTTCAACAGCATCACCAGCAGCAGCAACACCAACATCAAGAACTCCAGCAGCATCAGTCTCAGATAGCCCATGAGCAAACCATCGATGCCGTTGCTGGCAAGATGGCTGATCTTCAGGTGCAGGAAGAAGTTGGTCAGGAGGTCGCGAAGGATGATCTTGAGCCCTTGGAACAGACTTTGTCTGTCGTCGAAGAGGTGGCACGCGCAGAGGATGTCAAGGCGTCTTTGGAGCACGTTGAGGCGGCGATTCAAGGAAAGGTCCATGAAGAGGAGAAGTTCGAGGATTGGGAGGAGATTGAAGACCCGGTTAATGAGCTGGCTGCACAGCACGAACGCAGACAACAGGATATCAGGGAAGGATCTGTTCACGATGACGAGTTCGTTGGCGAGACCTTGGCTCACGAGGAGCACGAGGTTGAGGAGGAGCACGAGGTTGAAGAGGGGCACGAGGTTGCAGAGGCCGCCGAGGACACTGCTTCCGAGACTGCATCAACCACAGCCGCTGTAGAATTGCCTGCACCTTCGTCCATCAAGGCCAGTCCTGCACCATGGGCCAAGCCAACGAACGTGGATGATGAGGTCGTGGAGAAGAAGGGACCCACTCTTCGTGAAATTCAAGAGCTGGAGGCCAAGAAGTCTGAGGAGACAAAGGCTGAGAGGCACGCTCAGCTTGCTGCCGCTGCTGCACTGGCAGGAGGCAATGGCGCCTTTGATTTCGCCAAGGGTATGTCTGGCGCCCCCGCTTGGAGCAGTTCCGCGCCCACTACCCCCAAGAAGAAGACTCTGAAGGAGATTCAGGAAGAGGAGGAGGCCACCACAAAGAAAAATCGTGCCGCAGCCAAACAGGCCCAGACGGCAGGCCTCGTTGCCATCGTCACGTCGAACACTGGATCTGTTGGTAAACGCTATGCTGACACCGTTGGACCTAAGGTAATTTTAGTTGCTCTCATTGATAAGGCATGGCTGTATCCGTTAAGACGTCTGTTCATTAACTATTTTTGTCACCTTGCACTATAGCCCGTGCCATCCATCGCGTCTTCGGGACCATGGAATATGTCTCCCGTCACTGCCAGCAGACCCACTTCGGTGACCCGTAGCTCTCTCGTTTTTGCCGCCAACCCATCTGCCCACTCGCCCACTACTCCTCACTCGAGAGGATCCGAGAACAGCTGGATCGAGGTGGGTTCCAAGCGCGATTCACATCCCACACCAGCCACAGTGACCCCTGCCGTCACTCGCAACTCAACCACCCCCGCCCACAAGACTGTTAATCCGAACGATCCCCATCCTGCTTCTGAGGAGTTTTTGAGATGGTGCCGCCAGGCGTTGAAGGGATTGCAGGGTGTTGTTTTGGAGGACTTTATCCAGATGCTACTCACGTTCCCCTTGAACCCTGATCCGATGACGGTGGAGATTATTCAGGACTCGATCTATGCTAACTCGCAGTCGCTGAACGGCCGCCAGTTTGCGGACGAGTTTATTAAGCGTCGCAAGGCGGATGCTTTCCCCAATGGTGCACCCGCGTCGATGGTGTCCGGACATACCCCTTCCTCTACCCCTGATTCTTCCTTCAAGGTCGTCTCCAAGAAGGGTAAGAAGAAGGGAACTCTGTAGGAGTGTACTGTACATTCTTGAGTATCGAGCGTAATAAAATATCAATGTGACTGCCACGCATTAATCGTCTTTGTCGGAACGAAGCATCTTTTTTGTTCTTGCACTTTACAATCTCATTCACCATGCTCAGCCAAAGTCTGTTCAGGAGATCCTTTTTGTCTCTCACCAAGGTCGCCCATGCCTCCTCAACAGCAACAGTAGCAACTAGCAGGACCGTATCAAGACTACACCTCGTGCGACATGGAGCACTCCCAAAGCAATCAACCCAAGCACTCCATTCCTCCACCTCACTCTTTCTTCCTCGCAAACCCAGAAATGCCCATGGCGGGGGAAACCTTCGGAACCACTTTGGAAACTACACCCGCCTTGCACCTACATCCCTAAGATTGGGCGTCGTCCCGCCCGATGTCCATGGACTTGTCCCAGATCATATTCAAAAACCTGGGTATGCACTTCGAGGTGAACCGTCCGAGTGGGCGGCGGGGATCCCGATCAATGGACCTGAGGAGATTGAAAAGTGTCGACGCGCCGGACAGCTTGCCAAGAAGATCTTGGAGCTAGGAGGCACTCTTGTCAAAGTAATTGGGGATGCTTATGACTATATCGCTCATTGCACATGTAATACTTGCGCGTCAAAGGCTCTTGTATGCTGACTCAGAACTCTCGCGATCCGTGACACTTCTTACACCAATTGTAGGCTGGTGTCAGCACAAACGAGATTGACAGGATCCTGCACGAAGCCATCATTGCAAACAATGCCTACCCATCACCACTGAACTATATGGGCTTCCCAAAGTCTGTATGCACCTCGGTCTCCAATGTCATTGCACATGGTATCCCTGACAAGTAAGTTTAGACGCGTGGATTAATTGGAAGCGTATTTTACTTTTTGTGCCTGTCGCTGTTTTTTGACGTTTGACTGATCCGCTTTTTTTCTTTGCGTATAGTCGCTGCCTCGAGGATGGCGATATTATCAACATCGATATTACTGTACGTCGATACATGCACGTTGCGCCCTTGAGAAGATTCTTTCCGAGATGAACAATAGGACTAACTGTGCCTTCATTGTAAACGTTAAATGTTCAGGTGTACTTGGATGGATATCACGGAGACACGTCAGCAACATATTTTGTCGGGAATGTAGACAAGGCAGGAAAAGAACTCGTGGAGCACACGAAAGAAGCCCTTGATGAAGCCATCGCGATCTGTCAGCCGGGAGTACCTCTGAACCGGATCGGAAAGACTATTCAAGCGATTGCTGATCGACACGGGTACACAATCTCGGAGCAGTTTTCAGGACATGGCATTGGCAAGGAGTTTCACTGCCTTCCTCTGATCTATCACCATGGTAAACTTTCTACGGTGTCTGTGGCTTAGCCTTGTCGATGCCTTTTTTGGTGGTGTTTCAATATTGACTTGCTTGCTGACGCGACGTAACTTCATTTTCACTTTTATTAGACAACGATGAGGATGGGACGATGGAAAAGGGCATGATATTTACGATTGAGCCAATGTTTTGTCAAGGAACTGCTGTGGGCGTTCAGTGGCCCGATAAATGGACAGTGGCGACAGCTGACGGAGGTCGCAGTGCTCAGTTTGAACACACAGTACGTTTGTGAGGCTTCTTTGTTTTTTGGCATTATTCTTTTCTTCGTCCTGATATCAAAGTAGGCAGCAAAGCCTAACGCTTCTTCTATTCTATGCGCGTCCTCTGATAGATTGTAATCACCGACGATGGTGCCGAGCGTTTGACAGGTTAGAGACTGAAAATAAAACGTATATTTGAATATATAATTTTTACCGACGTCATTGATGTGCCAGTTTACAGGCACCAGGCACCAGAAATATCAGTAACTGATGTAAGTGTATGTAGATTTGAGACCAGGAAGGTTGATGCTTCGCCCAGGCTCTATGAAGTACAGGCGCCACTTTGGTCTTTTTTCTATTCGGGGCTCTCATGTCGTGTATGCCTTTTTTTCCTCCAACCAGAAGCAATCGGTGTCTTTGATAACAATAGGGATTTCGCAGACTGTTCAATGCATGCTGGAAGGGGGAAAAGAGGCGATAGACCGACATTCTGCGTTGTAGAAGCAAGGGACTAAAAAATAGTGCATTATGATTCCTTGGAAGTCCAGAGAAGAAACAGGTCATGGTGCATAATTCACGAGTTCACAAAAGTATATGAACACGAAAGAAAGTAGAAGAGAAGAAACTGATATCGTTCTGGAACTCCCCAACATACCTGTTAGTTTGTCTTCGTTCGCCCGTATGTGTATGTGTTGCAAAGTACGAATTGACTGACGATAGCGATGGTTAACTAGACAAAAGTGAGAAAGAGATGCAAGCGGATCAAAAAGGAGTTTGTTTTTGGGGACGAGTGATGACAGGTGTGTGTAAGAGAGTAAAAAAGAGCCGATGTGGGTTCGAGAGTTGTTGTTGTGTCCTGCAGACCGACCCACAACCAACCTGACCCCTGAAAAAAGAAAAAAAAGTCGAATCACAAGGAGGGTGGTGGATGTTATTTTCATTCCCTTCCCCCTCTTTCTCTCCTAATGACTCTTTATCGTCATCCGTTTCTCTCTCTCTCTCTCTCTCTTTTGCAAGAACAACAACAACAACAACAACATCGCCAGCAACGACTTCAGTCTCAGGAATCCGTAGAGACCAGGACCCCAGGACACTCACCTACTTGCATCACACTACACAGCTCAGCTGAGCATAGCACTACACACCTGCTCAATTTTTATTCGTACGCTCTCTTTTTATTTCTTGCCCTGCACACAGCAACAAGCAGGGATTCTTATTGTTATTATTTGGCCTACAACTTCCTTCCGCGTGTCCAACGAACGGCCCTTTGTCAGCTCCAACAACAACAAAAACAACAAAAACAACAACCTTCTGCAGCCAAACAGCTCCCCAATCGTGGTCCCCAGGATCTCGGCGCACAAGGACACGCGGACAGCAGAGTCCGCCGCCGTTTCCTCTGCAGTCAGGATTGCCAGACATAGCGGCAGCAACACCCAATCAAGGCGTACTTCAGCTGCTGGCACAGCTCAACCGTCTGGATCCTGTGCTGGCATGATATCCTCTTCGTCGTCTTCTTCCTCTTCACCGCCCGGAATGACAGGTCGTTCAAAGAAGAAGGACAGTCTGCAGGAGCTCAGGACAGGAACCGTCCAGCGACTTTCTCAGCACTTTCTTCAGGCTTCTCAGTCTCAACCTCCTCCTCCGCCTCCACCACTACCACCTTCTCAACAGCAACAACAACATTATCAACTACCAACAAAACCTGCATCGTCTCCAGCGCGGTATCAGCCCTTGATGATTCCTACTCCGTTTAGGACCGATAACACCGGCTCGCCATCGTCATCGTCATTGTTCTTGTCCGGGAAACAACAACAATCGCTTTCACCCGCATCTCCGCTGTCGACTTTTATTAACCACAGGAGAGACCTAATATCCTCGACAACATCCACTTCCACAACGACAACGGGCCTACACCATGCTCGGCAACAGTCAGCGCCGCAACTCTTTTTCCGACCCGCCTCTCCAGCCATTACTGGCACACCCACCTTGCCTTTAACCAACCCGCCTTCTCAATTGTCCTCGTCCATTGGGCTGGTCCAGTCCAAGAGCGCTGTAGGAGGTATCTCTTCAAGCTCCGTTGGCTCTGAGGACTCGTTCGTGAGCGCGCTGTCCTACTTTGATTCACCCAGGGAACCAGGCTCGCCTCGGATGGGAATGATCCCACTCTGGAAACAGATGCTGTCAGCCATCGAGCAGGAGGATCGAAAGGAGCTGGACAGGGTACTGCACGCGTTCGACTTTGCTATTGTTATCCAGACACTGGTCACATGGAACACGCCCAACACCGACAACCAGTACAAACATGACCCGGATGTTCTGCTGGACGCCAAGGAGCTTCTGGGACCCAAAGTCGACCATCTCAACTTGATACAGATCGCTTGCTTCTACTTTAACGAGGAGATGGCGTTAGATATGTTGAACTTTGTGGCCAAGGCGTCAGAGGAGCTGGAATCCAAGAAAATTCTGTATGAGTTTATGGGCAAGATGTGGGGCGATGGAAATACAACATTGCATCTGGCGAGTTTTCTGGGCATGGCAGATTTGACCAAGAGGCTGCTTGACTTGGGCGCCAATGTGTACAAGATGAACCACAGGAAGTATAAGCCTGTCGATTGTGCGGACGAGAACACAACCATGAGCCTCTTCCTCAACTTGACCGAAGGTAAGACACAACCGTTGAATGGTCACAATGCCATTGCAGGCGCGACTTTGAACTGGCGATATTAATCAATGAAGGCCGAATTAGTTGTGCGATACAAGCGCATAGGGCAGGAATCGCTTCCGACATCGCCAACAGCTGATTCTGGACCCAACTTTCACTGGAGCTCCTTCAACTCATTGGGACACATGCGGTCAACATCGACGTCACAATTACCACTATCGACTCTGGCTTCAAGTGAGCACCATTTCGTGACAGGACCAAACAGCGGTTATACCCTCCTTCGTCCGGCATCTACGCTGGGCATCGCCAGCCAGCTCCAAGGACTATTAATCAGCGACTCCGGCAGTAGCAATAACGGTGTCTCAACCAAGCGACTGTCGTCCAAGCAGGGGCCAGCAACCTCGGACACGCACGGTTCACTGCAGGAAGATGGATTCATCGAGGACCTATTGCTGACGGAGTCGAGGGCGACGCTGAGAGAGTCGGAGGTCGACATTCAAACGATCTTGTCGCCGATAGTCGTATCAAAGCTCTCAGAACTCCATACTGGAACATCAGGAGCAGAAGCGTCTTCCAGTCTTCACCCAGGGACCAGCTCTGTCACAGGAAGTTTGACGAAAGGAGATGCGGCGTTTTCTGCTTCACTCTCGACGTTCAACTCTTTGCATGCACAGGACATTGGACGACAGTTGGACTGCAATAGCCTATCCAACACGTCCTCGTCTTCTTCAAATGGTGGTACCTCTTCAGCCAGTCATATCCGACCCAAGCTCAGGAGCTACCAGTCCTCGCCATCCATTCGCCTATATGCGTCAACAACGTCACCCACGACCAAGGACAATAGGGCAGGTCCATTACCTAAGCAGAACAAGAGCGGGAAGAGGGTGTCGTTCGACCCGCAGTCAATGATGGCTGACGCGTCCAAGACGGGCGACCTTGAGCTGTACAAGTCCATGCTAGCGCTTATGCAAGAAGAGGATACGAGCAAGACGCTGGTGGAGATTATCAATCACCAGTCCGTGTCGAGGAACTTGAGCTCGTTGCATCTGGCCGCCTCTTATAACCATATTGTCCTGTGCCGGTTTTTAGTCCAGAACGGCGCCAATGTCAACCTCACAGATCTTGAAGGTAAGGAGAACAGGTTTTATTCCTTTTGCGCTCTTTGTCATGATGTTTCTCTTCATCGAGCCCCTTTTTTTCGCCTTTGTTCAACCTTGACCTCGAGACTAACCCCAACTGTTTTTATCGTTCACTTTCTCAACTGTTGAACAATATGGGGGCACATAGGATGGACGCCGATGCACTGCGCAGCGGCAGAGGGTCACTTGGAGGTGTTTGAGTTCCTTGTGAAGGGGAAGGAGGCGGACCTGCAAGCGGCCACGTATGATGGCGAGTTCTTTGAAGATCTTGTTGAGGATGAGGACTTGCGACAGAAGGTGACAGGTAACATGTTCATGATTATTTTTTTCGTAACTTTGTCTTTATTTCAACCCCCTTATTGTAGTTGTATTGGCATACATGTGCCCTTGCTTCTGTTGGGGGTTGTCTAGTATGTTATTGTTGACTGAAAGAATGAAATAGTGAGTCAAGTGGAAGCGACATGTTTACTCACATACACTTGTCCTTCCCCTTTTCCTGCTCTCCTATCCAACCTATTCTCCTATACCTGCTTCCTTCTATTCCTCTATTCCATGCAATGGAACAGATATCCTTGAGGAAGCACAGTCACGGTGAGCCTTTGGAGTGATTTGCACTCCGTCTGTCTTGCGCCTGCCTGCCTATGGTCCGCTCCTTCTTTCAAAAGCCTTCAACCAGCAAAAGAACCACAACAAAAAATAAAAAACACCACCTCCTGTCTCCCTTCTCTTCTACTCTTTTCTTCTCTTCTCATTCTTCACTGCTCTCACCGTTATCTTCATTCTATTCCTTCCATCTCTCACTCCCTCCACTTACTCTGCCATAACAGTCCAGTCTCCATTCGCTCATCCTTGTCTCATCACCACCCACCACTCACCCAACCCCACAACTTACACAAGCACAACAAAGTATATTCCTTCCTTCCCTCTTCACCTCAATTCACCATGGCGGAAACCCTTCAGGCCATCTACGTCCGCGACTACGAAACCCGCTCCCAGCCCAAACCACACACTGTCTTTAAGGTCGAGGTCCACGCCGCCGTCCGCACATGGTCCGTCTGGAAGCGCTACTCCGAGTTCGAGACCCTGAACGAGCGTTACCTCGAACTCTTCCCCGACCACCCTCCGCCTCAACCCCTCCCTACAAAGCATTGGTGGCAATCGACCTTGGACAACCCGGAACTGTTGGAGGAGCGTCGGGCAGGGTTGGAGACGTATCTCAGAGGAATCCTGTCGCATAGGGATGATCGTTGGAGACTCACGCACGAGTGGAACGAGTTCTTGGCTATCCCTGTTGGAAGATCCCAGGCCGACCTCTTTGCTGGCGGGCCAGGCGCGCATGGACCTGCTAGCTCTGTTGGTGCCCATAACAATGATGGTAGTGGCAGTGGACAAGATTCCTCCGCACCGTCGATTCTCTCACACCTCAACATTTTTGGGTTTGGTCATTCGCCTTCGACCCACTCGACAGAGACCACCGTGACCTCGTCCTCGACCTCCGTCATCAACTCCGCGCCTGTCCCTCAATTCTACACGACCGAGAGCTGGCTTGAAGAGTTTAGGAACCTGCAAGGTATCTCGCGCGAGGTGCGATCACTCATCAACCGTCGGGAGACTCACCTGGGTCGCAGTGAGATCTCGGCCTCGCACAACTGTACCATCCAGAGCAAGAAGCTTCTGACCTCGCTCGGACTGCGTATCCCGGCTTTGGAGAACGGATTGATGTCGTTAGCGACGGGTGGAAGTGGAGGTGGAGGTAAAGGCAGCATCATGTCGGACGGAGAGTTGAGAAGACGACAGGATCTGTTGAGCGAGTTGAAGGATGAGCGTGAGGTGTTGACCAAGCTTGTTATTGCCAACCGACAGAACGACGGTATGGTTGGGTACCAGGGAGCAGGCAGCAGTGTACCGGCCAGCTCGAGCGACAGGAACGCGCTTATGACAGGACGGAGCTCTGGCAGTCATATCGGCGGTGGTAGTGGATCACATTCTCAGCCTAGCTCCATTCGAGGTAACCCCGACAATTTCAGTTTGGCCGAATCGACTCTCAATGGCGGTGGCAGCGTTCACTCCTCCAGCGGCGCCTCAAGCCGGGTACCCAACCCACGCCGCGTCTTTGGTCGAGTTGTCCAGACTTTGGTCCAGGAGACATCACAGACACGGGGACTCGACAACGAAGGGCTGTTGCTGTTGCAGCAGGAACAGATGAAGCAGCAGGATGATCATATCGAGCAGTTCAATGCCATTTTGCAAAGACAGAAGCATATCGGATTGGCGATCGGACAGGAACTTGACAACCAGATCCAGCTGTTGGATGAGCTTGACAGAGATGTCGACAGGACGACGTTGAAGCTGGGACTTGTCAACAAGAAGATTGGAAAGATCAACTAAAAACGACAGATCTTTTTTTCCATCTCTTTTTGCTACCGGAATTATGCACATATCGCTGCTAGAATTATGCACATATCGCGGGAACAAAAAACTGCATCAACTATCAAACACACACCTACCCACACGCACAGAAATACATATACAAATACAAACACACCCATATACCAAAATCGGCCAACTTTTTTGCTAGTTTAGTTTAGTTTATTATGTGCACTACTTCAGACTTTCAGGGTCCAGGTCTTTAGGGTGTAATTTTTGTTCTTACTTCTCGGCGTACAAAGGAGAGTCAGTAGCAAGGTGCATCACCTTGCTGCCGACAGTTCCAGCACCGCCAGTTGTTCCAAAGGTGGTCCAGCACTTGGCACCCTCGCTTGGCTCCAAAGTCGCCCATGAGATTCCGTTGCCTGTCATCAGATGTTTAAGTATGATTAGAACATGAGCAGCAGGAATGATTATGATAGCCACGAAAATCGGGTGCTTGCAAGAAGTACAATTGTAATATGTTCAACTTACCCTTCTTCATGGTGATCTCGACCTTTGTACCTAAGACCTCGAATGAGCTGCCAGCGGGCTCAATGGGCTGGAAGAGGGGAAGGACCAACTTGAAGCGCTTGCCATCGGGCATCCTCAAGTCAATGTTGACCTATTTGATCGTCAAGTTGCACACATTACCATAAGTACTTGATATCGTGTGCATAAATGATCCAAGGTGCCTGAGTAGCATTTGATAGAATTCCCGAACGTCGTTCGTATGTCGTCGTCGTCCGCTGTCCTTACCTCGCGCTCCTTGAACTCGACAACTGCTGACTTGGCCTCAACCTTCTTGGCAAAGATCGACAAGTTGATGTGGGTCTGGGTCTGGTACCTACATAGAGGAGCAAATTGAATAAGGATGATGTTAACGACGTGCGATCCATGCTTTTTGTCCACGAAAGCTCCAGCGATCTATAATACTGGTACTCCAAACAACTCGTTTCCTCCTACCAATCGTGGCGGCAGTGAACCAACTCCTCGACTTTCACATCCTTCTATTATCAGAAACATGCAATAAACAAAACGATTGGTTAGACTCAATTGCTTTCCTCCAGGCACAATTGATCTCAAACAACAGAAAGAAAATTCGATGGTGCAATTTGTTTATGATACCTTGGCGCCGACGAACAAATGCTGGTTGGTATTTCTGCAACCTTTGAGCTTCAGGAATTCGTCAAACTCGAGCACCTTGCGAGGACAGCAGCTCCAGCCCTTGGATCCCTCATGGAAGACAGGTGAACCAGGGTGGTACTGGCATGAGACCTTGGCACCGCGAGACTCCTCCTCCGAGACATAGGTCTGTCCACATCCACGACGCAAGCAAGTCTTTCCAATAGCCACTGGCACCGACAAATCATCCTCCTCTTCGATAATGGGCTCGGCAGGCGCTGCGGCAGCAGGAGCAGCGGCGGGCTTGGGTGTAGCAGGCTTGGATGACGGTGCGGAGCCATATACCTCAGTTCCGTTGTTCTGGACGGCGACAGGTGCAGGGGATGCTGGCTTTGTCTCAGTGACCTCGACCTTCTCGTCTGATGGTGCGGGAGCAAATTCTTCGCGGGGGAGGTCGGTGTGGCGACCGATAGAGCAGCCGGGAATGGCGAGGAACTGATCAAAGGAGATGACTCGCTTTGAGCAGCATGACCAGCCTTTGAGACCTTCGTGGAAGATGGGGCCCTGGGGGTGGAAGGTGCAGGCGGTGTCGGTGTTGGAGGCCTCGTCGTAGGTCTTTTCGCAGCCGCGGTGTGTGCAGACAGGCATGGTCGTTGTTGTTCTTGGTGGTGGTTGAATGAAGAAGGGGGAAAGGGAGGAGAGAAATGCGCAAGGTGAGCGAGTCAAAAGAAATAACTTGTCTTTTCAAGGTTGAAAAGCAGTCCACTGCTGAACATCCAGGCACACAATCGAAGTTCGTAAATATTTCTTTCTAGATCTTTCACTGAAGAAAAATGTCATCGCCACCAACTTCAACTCGCCTTCTCCTCCATGCAACACGCGACTACTCAACAGTCAACGGAATCGACTCCCTCGACACCCCACCAACCTACACTCACTTCATCAAACACTACCTCGAACCAAACCTACCCGTCCTCATAGGCCCCGCCCTCACCACCAACTGGCGCGCACGTCAACAGTGGGTCTGTCCCGTCACAGGCAAACCCAATTTTGATAACCTACGAGAGCAACTATGCTCAAACGAACCAGTCCATGTCCCCGTGGCGGATTGTCAATGCAAGGATTTTACGGACCAAAAGCGGTCGACCGTGGATCTAAAAGGGTTCCTGGATGAATGGGAGGAGCACAGTCGGGCTGATAAGCCGTCGAGGACGTACCTGAAGGACTTTCATTTCGTGAAGACGTTCCCGGATTATGGCGCATACGAGACTCCGGATATCTTTTGTGATGACTGGATGAATGAGTTTTGGACAAGACGTACGGACATGGATGATGACTACCGGTTTGTTTATTGTGGCGGGGATGGCACCTTTACACCATTTCACGCCGATGTCTACAGGTATGTTCCCTTGTAACTGACGTGAACCATTATGCATCTTTGCTACCACTTGAAGTGTATACCACCGCCTGTCTCTGACCAAGTCACACACACAACGCCAATTAGGTCGTACTCATGGTCAGCGAATATTTGTGGGGTAAAGAAATGGACGCTCTTCCCACCCAACCAGGAACACCTCTTTCAGGACAAACTGCATAACACAGTCTACGATATCGAAAACGTCGATCCGACCCTATTCCCCGATTTCCACAAGGCCAAACGCTTCACGATCTACCAGGAACCAGGTTATACACTCTTTGTCCCCTCAGGATGGTGGCATCAAGTCCATAACATTGGCGACACAATCTCGATCAATCATAACTGGTGCAACGGGTCCAACCTCGACCTCTTGGTCGAATCCATGACCTCGGACCTGAAGGAGGTCGAACGGGAGATTGAACATTTGAAAGATATGATGGATCAAGATGAATGGATTGAGACGTGCCAGAAGTTACTGCTGTTGAACAGTGGTTGGGATTGGAGTACGCTTTGGAACATGTGCAGCACTGTACGGGAGCGCGTCAGGAGGCAGCAGTTGGGCGAAGAGGTGGCAGTGGCGACGGCAGTTGGCACGGTTCTGAAGGATGGAGTTGATGTAAAGAGGATCGCTCCAAGTTTCCCGCCACCTCTGATATCACAACAGCCTCCTCTTGAGCTGACATTACAAAGGGTGGATGCAGTCCTGGATTTTATCCGTAGTGACCCATCCGCAGTATGGTTTCTTCAGGACGTCAAAGGCTTGAAGCTCCAATAAAATGAACAAAACGTTGAAATGATATCGAAGGGTTCATGCTAATAATACAGAAACGCGCAGTGTGCGCACAGGAGATTGGTGTGGTTCTGGGTAAAGTAAAGTACAGATGTTTTGGTGTTTGACACTACGTCGCTGCCTCTATATGCGGATGAAATTCAATAAGGGACATTGTGGTTACTAATAATGTTCGCCAAGTTTTGGTACGATTCTACAAAACGTCAACATAAGCAACAGGTGGTTTGTTTACCAAAGGGTTGTCGGTCCAGGGGACAGATGCCATCATTGTTGGTCTCGAGCCACTTGGAGATGCAGTGCAAGTGGAAACAATGCTTACATTTTCCCCAGACTGCATTCAAACAACACGATAACCAGTTAGTAACGACGGTGGACTATCTTGGCAACACTGCGGTCTAACGCTGCTACGGTTGAAAACAATAATACTGGCGTGACTTACGCAGAGGACATTGGTCGCCGGGGATCTTGCAGTCGGCGCAGCAGGCGTCAAAGGGACTCTGACAGATACCGCAGACCTCGCTTGAATCAATCGAATTCCACTCCCAGAATGCGACTGTATGCCACCTAAACGTTTGGTTATTAATCGGTATGATTGTTTGGTTACCATTATTTTCTATGTGGAGAATGTTTAGAGTTTTCCTGACGCCAAAGGTGGGACTTACTCTACGAGACATGGAAAAGAGAAAGAGTGTCAGTGTTTGGCTCAAGTACCTATCATACTACATCTCCAGTATCAGGGTATGCGACTTACTTTTGACCTTGATTTTCAGACCCATAGTTAAGCGAGACGAAAGCGTGGCGGTGGCGGTGGTGGAGTGAAGAGGAAGTCAACCTTGGGCTAAAGAACGCCCCCAATTTTAATTCACTTGAAGATGTCACGTGTAGAAAGACTGTGTTGTGGGTGGCTTTGCACATCTCAATGCGCGCAATGCCAGCCTTTGCTGATGGCGAGGCGAACAAAGGGCACCGGCATCACTCTTTTTCTTGTTCACACACCAACAACCAAGACAACACACATACTATATCAACCATGTCGTCCAAAGTTCAGAGGATTATGGTCCAGCCGATCGTGAGTGAACCAACACATCAGTGTCATACGACTTGACTACGACATAACAACATCAATGGAGTAGGCCACCCTCGGCCAAGCAGGCACAGCAGTTTATGGCATGGAGAGAGCAGACGAGGATGACAGAGACCGACACGACACTTTACCACACTGTTGAGCCAGAACACAGGCAGCAAGAGTCCAGGAGCAAAGCTTTGCATTTGAAGATACTTACCAGCTACGCTCTTGACGCCGATGTTACCTGTTCACAGGAAGCGCTTGAGGGAGAAGAAAAACTTGCGCCACCTTAACACGACAGTCGTGACAATCAACTGGCAGCAAGACTCGTTCGCAGAACACTTTTCAGGAATCAATAACGAACATGTCGACTTTTTCAATTACCTCAAGAGTGCCACCCATTGAACGCAACAAAAAATCGCACTTACGGCGTCGCGATCGGTGTTTGTTCATGTTATACTGATCTACTGCTGTCGTTTCCGTTTCCCTTTCATCTCTTTCAATAGAACCTGATCTTCAGGTATCTGCAGCAGGTAATAACCATTTTCTTTTTGAACAAAGACTTCTTATGCAATTGCTATCGAAGCCCAAAAGATCTATTATCTAATCACCCAACTTTACCTTCAATTGAATGGCCAATTTGTAGAGATCGACTGTCCAGATTTGGTTGTACGAGCAGTTGGACACCCGCATCGAAGGCCAGATCATTGTACGTTATTTCTTGTAGTTTGACGCCATTACAGGATTCCTTTATGTTTTCATGAGCAGGATATTGATAACGACGTATAACGATGATCCTAACGTCCTGCTTTTTCCCTTTCTTTATTTTTGCTAACGCGCCAATAGGGATTCGACGAGTTCATGAACTTGGTCCTGGACGGCGCTTTCGAGGTTGATGTCAAGAAGGGCACGAGAAAGGAGATTGGTACGTGTGGTTCGACCAATTTGTGTTCATGATCATAACAACGTTGTGTGTTTGTATGCCAACAAAGGTCTCATTCTGCTATCGTTTGTATGTTTTTCAATCGGTGTGTATAGGTCGCATTTTACTCAAGGGAGACAACATCACATTAATCCAGTCGGTATCGGCGCCGGAATCCTAAAGAACAGGGAACCAGGAAGCGATGGATCTTTTTCTTTGCTCAGGAACATCCAACAACGAACGAGATGAATTGTATCAGAGAATGCAGGGCTGGTCAACAACAACGCAATAAACCAAATGCGATCAAAAATCATTCGATGTATCCATTGAGGGGTCGGGCGCTGTTTGATGTCAAAACTATAGCTGGCACGATTCTATACCTATATCTAGGCCGACAAGAGTGCTCGATGCGCTGAATATTAAGCCTCTCTGCAGATGACCTAAATCGGACCTAGTATTTGTTATTAGATGTCTGCGTTCTTACTGACTATTAAACAGGGTGAACTGCACTGCGCAGGGTCCAGATCCATGGCGCAGCAGGACTGGTTCAACGCGCAATATGGATTCGGCTCCTTCAAAGACACCAAAAAGAATAACGCGCATGTGCGACATTCAAGCCACTCTTAATCTTCTTTCTTATTCATCTTTAATCATTCAATGTGACGTCGTTTTCTCACTCGCTCCCCGCGACGGCTCTCACGCCCTCCTCGTTTCGCGCGCTGGTAATGTATTATTGCGTCTTTTCGCTTGTTCTTTTTACTTCTTCTTTCACCCCAACCCCAGCCTCATCTCTCATTTTCCATACACCATGCTTCGTTTGATCAACCCCCTCAAGACCAGCGCCCGCGCCTTCTCCGCCGCTGTCCCTGTATGTCGCATTCTCGCTCCCATTCAACCATGGCTTGACTGATCAGCGCGTTCTCTTTTATCCTTTTTCTTTTTCTTTTTCCCCTGAAATAAAAAATAATAATCTCACACTCCCCAGTCGGAACCGTGTCAGGAATCCTACTCACGCATTTCCCCGTTTCTGTATATTACTGATAGAAACATGCTTACTCTACCTCTGCCAAGTCTGGTGGCACCAGCAAGCTTATTACCATTGGCTTGCCCATGGGTGTCTCTGCCGCTGGTAAATAAAGGAGTGTGATAATCCAACAAGTAGAGAACCCTTGTCAGATCAATCAGTTATTAACAGTTATCGATTCTTATAAAAAATATAGCTGCGTACGCCTACTTCGGTGACAAGATGGGAGGATCTGCTGCTGCCCCTGAGGTCAAGGCTGCCGCTGTCGTCCCCAAGGAGCCCATCGCCTCTGCTCTGGACCCCAACGCCTTTGTCGACTTCAAGCTCAAGAGTGTCCACCAGTTGACCCCCAACACCAGCAAGTTCACATTCGAGTTGAAGGACGGTCAGGCCTTGGGCATGGATGTCACCTCGTGCGTCGTCACCAAGTTTGTCAAGGAGGATGGCAAGCCCGTCATCCGCCCCTACACCCCTGTCTCCGATGCCGACCAGACTGGATCCTTTGACTTTGTCATCAAGCGTTACGAAGGTACGATATATGGGATAACAAGGCTCGAGCGCATACTTGTCGACACACAAATTACTTTGCGAAGTGTTCCTTTCCTTTTGAACGGGAGAATGTCCTTCCGATGGTGGCATGATTTTACGCAGTTAACTAATCATCGCCGTTGTCTCCACAAATGTCTTAGGCGGCCCCATGTCCTCCCACATCCACGGCTTGAAGCCCGGTGACACCCTTTCCGTCAAGGGTACGTTCTCTCTTCTCTCCGCTGTTGTCTGTTTTGCTTTGTTGTCTCCATTCCTCCTTGATGTGAATTGAAGCAGAATAGTAACACCGATTGCATTGAATTTAATAGGCCCAATTAGCAAGCATCCCTTCAAGACGAACCAGTTCGAGAGTGTCAGCTTGATTGCTGGAGGATCCGGTATTACGCCCATGATCCAGGTCATCAGCGGCCTCCTCAAGGACAAGGCTGACAAGACCAAGATCAACCTCATCTTTGCCAACGTTACCCCCGAGGACATCATCCTCAAGGACGAGCTCGATGCTTATGCCAAGGCCAACCCCGACCGCTTCAAGGTCACCTATGTCATCGACAAGGCCGTCGATGGCTGGAAGGGCCCCACCGGATACGTCAATGCCGAGTTGATCAAGAAGCACATCCCCGAGGTTGCCACCGGCAACACCAAGGTCTTTGTCTGCGGACCCCCTCGTAAGTCTTTCTTTGCTCTTTTTTTTTTTGTGTGTATGTTTCTTTGTTTCTTTTGTTCCAGATCAATTGGGCGTGTTATTAACCACTGCGTTGCATATCTCATGAATGATAGTGATGATGAAGTCGGTCTGCGGTCCCAAGGGTCCCAATTTTACCCAGGGCGAGGTCGATGGTGCCTTGAAGGAGCTTGGCCTCGACAGCGACCACGTCTTCAAGTTCTAAGCAATCGGTCAGGACCCAGTACAAATAAACAGATCTACTATTTTTTGACAGACATGCACACATTTTATTATTGCAAAACGCACAAACCTGCCCTGTTTCCCCCTTTCCCTCTTTTCCCTCCCTGCATCAGTTTCGCGAAACAAAACCCCTCTTCTCTTTCATCCTATTATTCACCAACCCACCATCATTCATCAATTCACATCACTATTCGATCCCCTCCGTCAAGGATTGCCAATGACGAACAACTGCCGGTGAAAACAACGGACGACGAAAGAACCACCACCAACCATACTCACTCCCTCGCAAGATCGCCCTCATACACCACCACAACCAAATAGCCGATGATGGATTCCCTCGAGGACATCCAAACACAACAACTGTCTCTGTCAGGCCTCACTAATAAGACACGCTCAACCACACCCCCAGGAGAAGGAGGGGCACCGTCGTCGAGCCAGGGTCAGAGCCAGGGCATGTACTCGTTCGATAACGTCCAGTCAACACCGCGTCGGATAGGAGGCCACTCTCGTACGGATAGTGCGACGAATTCAGAGAGCAGCAACGATGGCATTGAGTGGGAGGACGAGGCAAGATACTTCGATACGGAAGAGGAGGAAGAACACGATGATGGGGAGGAACACAGTATGGACGAGGATGACGAGGACGAAGACGATTATGAGTACGATGACAACTATCAGGAGCAGGATACACAAAGACTACTGGCATCATCAAGTAATGCCCGGACAGGAGGATTGGGCATGGGCATGCGAGTTGGCGAGACAGGAACAGGAACGACCATTGGACTTGACTTTGAGCACAACCATAGGCGGGAGTACGACCAGGAGTATGATGCCTTGCCATTGACTACTGTGGATGGCGAGCGGCATGGATCAAAGAACAAGAGGTCGGCAAGACAGAATAGTCGCAGGGATCGGCATAGGATTCTTCATCCGGGCATGCCTGTCACGGGTCTTGGCAGTGTCCGGACAGAGCAGGAGCAACTCATTGCTGCCCGGCAAGTCAGGATAAAGATGATGTGGAATGTCTTTTACGTGTTCGCCTGGTAAGGCCCCTCAACGCTTAGCGCGTTTTGTCCTATTGTCGGTTTTTGTCTTGGCGCAATCACCTTTGGATACTCATCATATATGACATGGTTCTCTTTGCAATCACTCTCTAGGTACGGCTGCTCAACATCACTCTCCTTTTACAACAAGTGGTTGTTCTCGCCCAACCACCACAACTTTCGCTTCCCACTCTTCACCACCTGTCTTCACATGGTCGCGCAATTTGCCCTATCTTCTCTCACACTTACTCTGATACCGAGTCTTCGGCCAAAAGCAGCACCGTCAGCAAAGGACTTTGGGACAAAGATTATGCCATGCGCTGTGGCGTCAGGATTGGATGTTGGATTGAGTAACAGCAGCTTAAAATCGATCACCCTCGCTTTCTATAGTAAGTTGTTCAGGAGGGTCTCACGCTCATTGCATACGATAGAAACGAAATAATTGATACTAACAGTCTTCTTATTCTTTTCGGTGTTCACGATAGCCATGTGCAAGTCATCGTCGCTTGCTTTTGTGCTGTTGTTCGCGTTTGCATTCAAGCTAGAGCGACCCACGTGGACACTAGCAGGAGTTATCGGCGTCATTTGCGTTGGACTGTTCATGATGGTCATGTCCGAGGTTGACTTTGTCCTTATTGGGTACGATCTTCTGCCTTCGCACCCATCACTTTATCCTGGGATTCGCAAGTGGACAATTGGACATATCGATCATAACACTGCACTATATCTTACTTGCAATATAGATTCATCCAAGTAATGCTGGCATCGGTTCTAGGAGGACTGAGATGGTCGCTGACACAATTACTGCTCGAGCGGACAGACACCAAATCAGGAAGCTTGGCCAACCCGATCTCGACCATTTTTTTCCTCTCGCCCATCATGGGGATCTGCCTCTGCATTGTTGCAGGCATCTTTGAGGGCTTTGGGACAATTTTTAGTTCTGAGTTCTTCCAAACGTTCCAGTCGGGATTGTTCACGTTGGGGTTGCTGTTCCTGGGTGGCATTTTCGCGTTTGCGATGGTTCTGGCAGAGTTTAATCTGATTGCTAGGACCAGTGTCGTCTCCTTGTCCGTTTTGGGAATCATCAAGGTATTGTACTCGAGGATGTTTCTTGACGAAGCCACAATGCCGTTGAGTGCCGCAAACCGACACTGACTAATACCTCATTCCCTATTTGCAATTGTAATTAATAGGAGGTGGTGACGATTGTGGTGTCGTCGCTTGTATTCCACGACCATTTAACGGTAGTCAACATCCTGGGATTGTTCGTCACGCTGGCTGGTATTGGGTTCTATCACTTTATGAAGCTGCGCGAGATGAAGATTCAATCCAGGAAAGCTGCCAGGGAGATTGCGGACCTGCACCTGGCAGCTGCTGTCAACAATCATGGTGCTGGTGGTGGACGAGGACAGAACAATGGGACCGTTCGTGATCACCGGAAGAAGCGGCGGTCTGGAGGAGGAGTACGGTCAGGTCAGCCAGAGATAGAAACAGTAGCGCGTAGAGGTGGGTTTGAGGAGCATTCGAACGCGACCCGGGAGGGCGTGTTTAGACTTGATGGTGATGATGACGATGATGTAAGAGGAGGAGCCGGTTCTGAGAGATCTCGCGATGGTGTGGATGATTCGTCGCAGGAGTTGATTGGGGGCCTGGAGGCGGCGTCTCCACCTACTCATCAACGCGGCGGTCCATAGATAAACATACAACAACACTTAATACGGATAATAGAATACACACTAATAATAGGCACCCATAGATTGCTCGATATTGCCTCACCATGAACACCCTTGCCTTTCATTCACACATATTGATCATGGTTTGAAATGGGCGTCCATGGATCAAAAATGATGCGCGCCGCTCCAGATTAGGAATTACAACAACAGCCCAAAGAAGGTCAGGGTCCTTTCAAACTTCCATGCGAAGAACGAAGAGCAATGCGCGGGTGAAATACCCTTTTGCTCCTCAGGGGTTACGCTTATTCATTTGCACCTCAATGCCAATGGTCAGGGTCCCCTCACTCACCACAGGTACGTGCCTCGACGAAAAGGTAAGGGAAGGGGAGCGGGCGTGTTTTTTCCTTTCCTCTCCAGGCAACAGCCTGGAATAAGATGTGCTCGACTCGGATACAAACGCGTAAAAGAAAAGAAAACTACGCGCACACAGGAAAAAGAAGACAAGCTACGAGTTGGGAAGTCTGTGGAATTCGAGGAAGAGGCAAGTTCCTCAAATAATGGTTGAGCGTTTGAAAATGTGGCTAAAAATACCACTGTTCAAAGGAGGGCTGGACACTGCGCTACGAGTCTGCTATGCAAGCGTGTATAAGACATCGAAAGGGTCCAGAAGGCCGAGGGGTTGGAGCATGGACAAACGGCTGGAGCAGGAAGGACGGCGATGGACGGACGTGATTACTTTCGCTTCACCGCGGGAGAGTTGTTTCCGGGGGATAAAAATAAGTCCATCTAGAGTCGACCAGATTGAGCCCTTATTTAGATAGTTTGTCCATTCGCCAAACTCCCGGTCTCTGGTTAGGTGATTAGAAGAAAGGAAAATACATTTTGGGTTTTGTTAGGGTGTTCGCTTTCATTTAGGCTAAAAGACATCCATTAACTCTAAAACGACGCGCGATGGAGTGGTTGGAATGGGGTTGGGTTGAAGAGCGTGTGTAGGAGTTTCACCCATGCTCTTTCATATATTAATCAAGAAGGGAGGAGATAGAGGGGAATGAGTAGCTGCGACAAGCTTGCATGGCCAGCGTCAAAGAGAGCACCGAGAGAAACTTAAACAAGTGAACAGCATGAACAACAGAATATCTACTAGACACATTTCCAAGAAGTTGAAGGTGAGCAAAGCAAGCATTGCTCTGCCAAAAGATGTACCCTTTCTTACCCTTTTGTTCGCTGTTGAAAGAAAGAAGAACAGTCATCAACTATCGACTCTACAACAAAGAAGTACAATGATCTTTACATCTTGAAGTCGCGGCGCGCAAAGACGGCGAGCTTCCCTTTGAGTGTTCACTAACAAACGTTTCTATACTTTTTTTCGCTATGTCGTACTGTACAATACATACGGCCCGTATCTTTTGTTTATTATTTTTTTCTTGGGCAAAGACTTCTTCGATCTCTCGATCTATTCATTTTTGAAAGCTCTTGTTTTATGTCTTTCATTTCAAGTTTGGTTTGGTTATTGTAGCGTTTGTTGTGCTCACTCCCGCTCACCTTTTTTATGGACCCCGATCGTCTTTCTCTATTTGATCAGGGAACTCGTTCCAGTAGGGGTTATGTAGGATGGGTAAGCTAAACCGCGAGATTGGAAAAACCAGCGAGCAATGGGACATGGACAATCAAAAATGGTGAGTGAGCATATATTTGTTGTCAAGATTTGGTGGTCAAAAGCGACACTACAACGAGACTGAAAAAGAATGGGGGGGAATGAACGTAAGAGGCTTCCAGGCGAATTGCGATCTACCCTAGGGGAGAAAGGAGGCATCCAAGTCTCTGGTCATTGACGGTTTTTGACGACGATCCCTGACCCGAAAATAAGTGTATGCGCAATGCATGTTCAGATGCTCCCTTGTCGACAATCATGACATGGCATGTCGACGCTGCGTCTCTCACGCGTTTGCTGACCTAAATCTTGCAGGTTGACTTGTCTCGTGGTCATTTCAGTCCAGACCAGCGAGCGGGTTCCTTTTTTTTTATACACGCCTTTGTGTTCTGTGCAGATAGGAAGAGGACCTCAGTAGATAGATAGCGCACTCGACCGTTTTTATAACGAGAACGACGAAAAGGAACGATGGATGGGGTGAAGTTGGAATGTCGATCACCTTCATTGTCTTTGTTTGTTGTCTAGTGAGACAAAGAAGCACTTGGACTTGTCATTGACCAATGATCGAACATCCTTTGTCTCGTTTGGACTCATAGCTGATTAACATGGTGTTGGACCTGACATTCAATGCTGATATGATTACGAAATGCATGTCTGGGTGGGTCAGAATGGAGAGATGGAAATGGTGGAAGGAGCATCCAGTTGAAAAGAGCCATCATTACACTACCATACATTGCAGTCAAAGAAGTGCGAAAGGAATGATGAGCATGGGTGAGAGTGCAAGTGAGAGAGCGAAAAGATATTGACATCGTAACCCTGGCCTGAATAAGTGAACGAGATAGGAAGAGCTATGCACATGAATGGGGCAGTGTATTAGAATCGGATCGAATTGAATTCAAAGACTTTACTTACCCAAAAATAGCGCAACCAAGGACTCCATGGGCATAATCCTTGTACGATTGGCTGAAGTGAATACCAATAGCAATGGCAACGGTAGCGGCAAGGATGTCAGCCAAAGCACACACAGTCAATTTGTGCTGTTGACCCGAAGGAAGGGCTAGGAGGATCGATGCTGCTATCGGACATTGTGACTAGGCACATACAATAGATGTCACCCCGGCTATAAGTGAACCCCCTCCCTCGTTGGACGTATGGAATGCAACAACATTGACTTGAGCACGCAAGCAACCTTCTGTAGACAGGAGCAGTAGATAGAGTATGAAGAGTAAACATAGCCGGCAATGGAATCCACAGAGAGAGAGAATGGGTGTGCGTGGGTGTGCGATTGACCGCAGCTGGAATCACAACGGACTAACTCAACAAGGGGTAATGAATAGGCAACGAAAAGAAGGTTCAACCAAGGCAAAGAAGGAGTGTGATGTGAACCAATCGCATTTAAATACAGAGATGGACCCCTTTCATTTCTCTTCTTTTCTCTTCTTTTCACTTCAATCCGCTTCTTCTTCACTCCTTCTCCTTTCCCTTCACTCAAACACACACACATACTAATCCATCATGGTTAACATTTGCTGTATCGGTGCCGGTTACGTCGGTAAGGAACAACGACTCATACTCACTCTCGTTACCTTCGCCGCTCGCTCATGACCCTTTCTCGACTCATTCAACCAAACAAACGGGAAAAAGGAAGCCATGGACTCATCCATCATCTGCCACACCAGGAACACTGCAACCAATCCGCCTTCTCATCTCGCTTTCGACAACAGACCTAATGACCAGATGAACAACACTTCAAGTGCCACTGTCAACAGCCATACATCCTGCCTGCAACAATGGACTATCAGGCTTGGATCGGTCTCCTCACGCTCAATTATTTGTGTTATGTTACCGGAATGTTTTTTTTTTCACACCATAACAAACACGCACTCCACTGCGATTACCTCAGCCCTTTGTCCTTGTGGATACCTAACTCACAAAACCTCTCAATTGAATAATGAAACTCCTCATTATCATAGGTGGCCCTTCGTCCGCCGTCATTGCCTACCAGTGCCACGACGTCAACGTCACCATCGTCGACTTGAACCAGGCCCGTATCGATGCCTGGAACTCGGACAAACTCCCCATCTACGAGCCCGGCCTCGAGGAGATCGTCTTCTCCCGCCGCGGTAAGAACTTGTTCTTCTCCACCAACGTCGACCAGGCCATCATTGACGCCGACTTGATTTTCGTCTCTGTCAACACCCCCACCAAGAAGTCTGGTATGGGAGCCGGTATGGCCGCCGATCTTGCGTAAGTGTTCGTTCTTCTTTGCTTGGAGAATGAAAGGCGGGAAGGGAAGGATGGCGCTGCTTTCAGATGCGAACTCAATTGGACCCGCTCGGGACGAGGAGAAAAAAAGGAGTAGCTTTTTATCTTGCAGGAAACGTGTCCGATCCATAGGGCAATTGGCCAAAAGGAACTCCTTCTTTGCCACTTTTGGTTGAAAGGGTGAAAACGTGGATGGTTTTTGCATGCAGTACCCGCAGAAGAAAAGAGACGAATAAGAGTATTAGGATATGACCATGTGTGTGTGAATGTCGATGAAAGTTGCATTGGCAAAGGCACGGCTTTACTGGACCCCCTTACTTTTGTTCAATTATACTTACAGCAATGTACCATTCCTCCTTCTCTAAAATAGCTACATTGAGACCGCCACCCGCCGCATTGCTCAGGTCGCCACCACCTCTAAGGTTGTCATTGAGAAGTCGACTGTTCCCTGCCGCACTGCCGAGTCGATGCGCACCATCCTCGAAGCCAACTCCAACAAGGATATCCGCTTCGACATTCTCTCCAACCCCGAGTTCTTGGCTGAAGGTACCGCCATCTCTGACTTGACCAAGCCCGACCGTGTCTTGATCGGATGCCTCCAGACCCCCGAGGGTATCGCTGCCCAGAAGAAGTTGGTTGACATCTACACCCGCTGGATCCCCCAGGAGCGCGTCATCACCATGAACTTGTGGTCGTCCGAGTTGTCCAAGCTCGCCGCCAACGCTCTCCTCGCCCAGCGTATCTCCTCCATCAACGCCCTCTCGGCCATCTGCGAGGCCACCGGTGCTGATGTCGATGAGGTCGCCTACGCCTGCGGTACTGATTCTCGCATTGGACCCAAGTTCTTGAAGGCCTCGGTCGGCTTCGGAGGTTCGTGTTTCCAGAAGGATATCCTTAACTTGGTCTACTTGTCCGAGCAGTTGTTCTTGCCTGAGGTTGCTGCCTACTGGAAGTCGGTCGTCACCATGAACGAGTACCAGAAGATGCGCTTCACCCACCGCATCGTCCGCACCCTCTTCAACACCGTCACCCACAAGCGCATTGCCCTCCTCGGCTTCGCCTTCAAGAAGGATACCGGTGATACCCGTGAGTCCGCTGCTATTACTCTCAGCAGCTACTTGATCCAGGAGCAAGCTCGCGTTGCCATCTACGATCCCAAGGTTTCCGCCAAGCAGATCATGATGGACTTGACCGAGCCTGGTGTTGGCACCAACGAGGAAACTGTTAAAAAGCATGTCGAGGTGTGCGAGAGTGCTTACGAGGCCTGCGCTGGCGCTGATGCCCTCGTTATCTGCACCGAGTGGGACGAGTTCAAGATGAACCAGTTGGACTACCAGAAGATCTTTGACTCTATGCAGAAGCCCGCCTTCATCTTTGACGGTCGTCTGATCTTGGATGCCCCCAAGTTGAGGGAGATTGGTTTCCGCGTCGAGACCATTGGAAAGAGCGTCTAAGCAACTCTCTTCTTCAATGGACAAATGGATGGGCAAAAGGCAGGATGAACCACCCCTTGTTAATTCGATCAGGCTCCTGGTGAATCGGTCGAACAACATACACATCCTATCCCTGGTTTCTGCATTCCAACCCCCATTCCTTTAAAGACGTTCCTTTGTACATTTCTTCTCTTTCTTTTTGTTTCACGTCGTCCTTTGACCTTTTTGCACGCTCATTATCATTCTCACGAGAAAATAAATCCCAATGTTATTTTTAACGCGCAACTGTCTATAATGTCCAGTGTCGATAAGGATAACGGAAACCTTCAAAACAACAACAACAACACCAACAAAGTATAACAAGACGACATACTGTTGTTGTTTTTACCCTCCAATCACACGCACACTCTCATATGGGCTTGGTTAATTAGCTACCACTCGCCATCCATTTCCATTTCCATTCACAACGAACGACAAAAGGCAAAAGTAAATAAAGCAAGTCTCTTCGTCTTTTGGTGCAGGGTCTTTTTTTCTTTGGATCACAAGAATAAACAACATTTTCTTCGGGGCCTAGATCTCGTTGCAGGAAGGAGGATAATAAAACGCCCAAATATTGACGCATAATTACCCAGTAAGAGGGCGCTAAATTGTCCGTGAACTTTCTTTTTTATTCTTTTTCTTTTTGATATATATATGTAGGGTTCTCCTGGGTAAACATCCTTTTGGGTTACATTTATTATTGTGCAGGGACGAACGAGGGCTGAAGACTTTGCCGTCTTTTTTTTTTTTTTTTTTTGGCGTTTGTTTGAGAAGAAGGTTGTCAAGCTAGGTAAGACAATACAAAAGACAAGCGCGATCGAGAAGAAACGAGTTGTCGGTCAGCAAATGAAAGTGTATAGCACTGATGATGATAATGTTAGGTGCTTGTATATGGGTCTGCGATACAACGGCCATTGAACACACAGCTTGTGTTTGGCTTTCATTCTCTTCGCTGAAAAGTTGATAAAGAATTAGAAAGGAATAGGCGATGAGGAAATAGAGGGAAGGACAACAGACGTTCGGTTCCTTTGACTGTAAGTCCATCTCGTTCATTTCTTTCATGATTTTTCCTATTCAAGATCTCCTTTCACTCGCTCCAAATATCCTCTTGTATGATATTAGCATCATCGAGAAAGGCCAGTTTTCCAACGGAAAGGCAGCTGCAATGGCAAGGACTCGTGAACAAGAAAACAGAAGGCTAGTCAGGACACTGGCGGTGTCCTGAGCGAGGGTGAAAGAATTAAAGGTTAGATGGTTTTCTTTGCGAAAAAATCGGTCGCTCACCATGTCGCCCACAGATCTGCGCTGAGGCTGAGGACCGAGCAAGAAGTGAAGAATGAAGGCTAGTCCTAACCCGACTAGTTCGCAAAAAGCGAAGAGATACATTTCTGAGCAATTCGTGTCCGTTGGCAAATAGCGACTCACCTAAAGCCGACTGATTGAATGAGGAGCTTTCAAAAAGGGAACCAATGAAGGTGTGTGGATCCCAAAAACCGTTCTAATTCAGCTCAGTTCACTATGAACAGAAAGGCAGATGGTCAAATACAGGTCTGATGGACACCACTTTAGCCAAAGAGTGTCAAGACAAATGAAGATGAAGGATAAAAAAAAAGTGGATAGGTAGCAAGCCAGAATGGAAAAAAAAAGCCTTCAGCCCTCTCCAATAGCCCTGGCCGGATATATATTTTGCAACTGTCAGTTCTCGAGTTTCGAACTACTGTAGTTCATTTCAGCACAGCCCTTTTAGGGGTCGGAGATGGCATGGATAAAACGAGAGTCGAAATCTTGAACGGCTGTTCCCTTCTGCGAAGTAGCAAACACATACATGGACAAGGAATTGATTTTTTCCGCCCTGTGTCCGTTAGTGCATGTTGGTGTAGTTGTTGCTGCTGTTGACAATTCGAGATTTGGTAATGGGTATATCTATTATGTATTTGTGTTACCAACAAAGCCTTTCTTTTCTCCCATAAAATGCTATTGACATGTAACCCTGGCCCAGACCCCTTCGCGTTTGATTCTTTCTGAGAAGAGCACCACCATCTACTCTACAGCAAGAATGATTGTCGCTGAAAAAATATATTGCATGAATAAGAGGTGCCACTCTCCAATGGTGGTCCATTGCTACTCCATCCACACAAGTTTCCATCTATCTAACAATTATTCTTCCGTGGCAATTTCGAGGAATGATATTGCAATTCGATAGAAGGCGAGTTTCATGACCATGGGCATGACGATGTTAGATGATGGCCATCCTGTTTGGTGTTGCTTGTCTGCTTCAGATGCTTCAGATGAAACCTTCCACTTTTTTCTGAGTTTTGATTGTGCTTGTGCTTTAAGAAACGGAGCAGTTTATCCAGTCAGGCACTAGTTCTTGAACTGAGTGTGGGCTCTCAACCCTCAGTCGATATTAACTTTTTCCAACATCCCCTTTTCTCTTTATTATTATTGTTTGTTCAATTGGGGCCTTCCTCACCCATCGGACAATGGTTGTTCAATGGCCACTATGCTCTTCCGGGTTAGCTCTAAGTTCATCGTCTTCCCTCCTTTCCAGCTAGGTTTGCAATGAAAACATATATAACCCCTTGTCAAGAACTTTTCCGTTTTTGCTTTCTTTCCTTTCCATCGTTTTCCATGTTCCTGTACTTCCTTTTTTTTATCCGTTATCCTTGTACCCTACAGCGCCCTTGCTCTCTTTTTTTGCCCACCTTCCTATCCCTCCACATACGCACCTACCCACCTGGCTGCCGTCCTCCCCCTCCACCCATTTTTTGTCTCCTTAAACCTCGGCATCCTCTCCTTGATATCATCCTCGCAGGTTCCCTGACAGCAACCCATCCTTGGCTCCTTCCTCCCCACCCAATACAGTTATCACAAATATCTGCTTGCGTTTTCCGTTCCTGACATTTTCACGACCTTCACTCTTCGGCAACAGCTTTCATTTCAACCCTGCAATTCGTTTCTTCTCCTCTTCCTTGCATTCTGTACACCTCATTCCTTTCTTCACGACCCTTCTTTCTCAGCACCACCACAGCAAAACAGCGCATTTTCACGACACAAGCCAATCCACCCTTCTCACTCTCATTTAATCATGTCAGCAACACACGTTCAACCAAAGAGCTCGCCTCGGGAACTGTCAAAACGCATGTTCTTCCTTGCAGGCTACTCGCTGACCGGAGCCGCACTCATGGGATCGTCTATCGGTCTTGTTATCTACCAGAGTCGTCAGTTCTATGTCTTGCACCGTTTCAGTCGTTCTGACGAGATGCACCCCCACCATCATCACGGCCGCTTCCATGACTTTAACAACAGCCAGGCGTTTGAGGGACAAGATCAAGGTTTGAACAGCAACATTAACCACGACCCCTCGACGCACGGACAGTACCCACACCCTCGCTTCCATGGCGGCGGCCATGGCCATCACAGAAGCCTTCAATCCCTCTTCTTCTCAACCTGGCTCCCAATCATGGTCTGGTTCACTTCCCTCCTCACAAGCTCATTCCTCATCGCCGCCCGGAAATGGGTTCCCCGCGCCATGTCTGCCCGGACAGGCGTCCTCGTCAGTCAGTGTGTCTTTGCTCTCTTCTGGATTCTTCTGGGCGCGATGCAAGAAGTTCAGGAACGTCTGGTCGCAGAACGGAGAGCTGCTCGGACGATGGGCATGAACCCGATTGCTGCAGCGATGGAGGATTCGAACCAATTTGATGTCATGTTTGAGCTGAAGGAACAGATCCGGTCGATGATCGTGCCGCTTTGTACGGTGTGGTACTTGACGGTTATTCTCTTGGGCTCTGCGACGGGGTTGTTGACGGCGAGTAGTAGTTTGTTGGAGAAACAGCTTCACGGAGAGTATGATGAGGCTGTTTATGAGCAGGAGGAGGAGAAGGAGGAGGAGGAGAAGGAGGAGGAGGCAGTTTTGCTGGTTGCTGAGGAGAAGGAGGCATTGATGATGGAGGATACCAAGCAGCCATTGACGACTCTCACACAGCGACAAGACTCCGGAAGATACAACGCTGGAAGCTTCTCGAGATACACGACCCCTCAGCGCGTACAATTGGGTCTGTTGATGTTTGTACTCTTCATGACCCAGATGAAGCTTTTCCATTGGATCATCCAGGCACGATCCTTGCAGGCATTCATTGACGGAACCAGCACCTCAGTCTCGTTGACCTTGACGCTTGTCGGACTTGTATCTGGTACCGTCATGACCTCCCTTGGAGTCCACTTCCTCCCCAGGACCGCGTCATCTTCGTCCGCATAATGACCCCTTACATATACACACGCTTTCATTAGACCATCTACATTTCCCATAGTTTTCATATAACTTCTGTATTCTACGCGTCTACGAACACCATTTTTTGCATCGAGCACCGCCATTTCACTTATGTTTTGGATTGTACCACATCACTTGCCACGAGGAATGATTCTGGTGTCAGCTGGGGCCTGGACGCACAGAATATAAAAAATAATCCGAAAGGAGGGTAGGAAGAGTCAGGGCCACAAACATACATGTTCTTTAAAAAAAATAATGAATATGCCTTTGTCAGTGGGCGCAATACTTTGGGTGGCCAAATGTCTGTGTGGCGGGGCAAACAAGTAAGCGGCTTGCAAATCTTTTCAAGCGTGTCATTCGCTGGGGGGTTTTTTTAAAGGATTGGGATTGGTATTCTCTTCAGCCCCCATACCGGCACTGCCCAATCGTCAGGCCCTATATTTTTCCGCTAGTTTTCTTTTGTAAAAAAAGAGAACCAGGCTAACCCCTCCCTCCCCCTCCCCCCATGGTTGAGGTTGTTGAACTTGCTAAACCCCATCGTGATGCTACGTTATTCCCTTCCTTTCAGTTTCGCCGAGGATGGATGTAAAGGATTACAGGAAAGATGAGAGACAGGAGAAAGGGAGAAAAAAAGAGGACTGTGACCCGCAGTGCTGGCATGGTGTCAATAGGAAGTTAAGGGAGGTCAGTGGGATCATCATAGGCTGTCGATTTTGAGTTTGTGTAGGCGTCTGGCTGGGACATTCAAAGGTGGGCTGGGGGGGGGGGGGGGGTGAACGAACAACGTGGACACAATCAGCGTAAAACGCCTCGTCCTTTTTGCACCGCACAACTATTTTTACGTGCCAGTGAACACCTTTTGGATTCGCATACGACCCCCTTTCTTGTGCCGTGTGCATGGGAAGAGGCAGGAAAAGAAAAAAAAAAGTAGATGCAAAATGCAGGTAGCATGGCTGGCGGTAGGTTATTTTTCTTGTTTGCTTGTGCTTGCCCAAAAGGAAGAAGTTGTCCTGTGCCCAATTTTTGGTTGACGCCCAAAAAAAAAAGTGAAAAAAGGCGGAGTCAATTGAACACTAGCGAATCACGCCCAAATGAATAAATCTTTAGCACGGCGACGTTATTTTTGAAAGAATAACGCCCATCTATCGGCAGCATACGTCTCCTCGTCCCTATTTTTACTTGCCATTTTTCCTTGAGTGTGGGTGGTAGGATTCAAGAGAGAGGCATTTTTTTCCTAACCTGGACCTGAGTTACCTCATTCCTCTTCCCCTAAGCCCTAACCCGCCATGCAAACGCGTCGTTGTTGTTTTTTGTCTTCTGATCCGTAGCGGAAAGGTGAGTGAAGGAGTTGTGTTCCATCACCCCTTTTTGAACTTCACTACACAATGACAATAGTGACAACAGCACGCTTGAGGAAAGAAAGGACTGGGAAGGAACGGGTCCAGGCAGACATGCAGGGGCATTGCGTTGTTGTTTTTGTGTGCACACGCCATGTAGGACAGACTCACAGGCCATGACCAGGCAAAAAAAGAAAAAAAAAAAAAGAGTAAAGAGATGGTCAGGTCGAGAACAAAGGGGTTTGTCGGATGGTGGTGTGGTATGGTGTGGAAGTGGGATAAGGGAGAGGAAGAAGAACAAGCTAGAAGGAGCAAAGGAAAAAAAAGGGAGGGAAAGGGATCAGAGCGGACAGGGAGTGAAAAGGAGAGGGGGTGGAAAAGGAAGGGAAGAGGAGAGAGAGGGGGGGGGTGCATTTCAGTCACTAGAGTTGTCGACTATGGTTCGGTTGCAGTCATAGTCCGCGGATAAGAGAGAATCTCAGATCATCCTTAAACTGGAAGTACGAATGTATGGTTGCTTGACTAGTGTCCGAAGAAGAGGAAGAAGAAGAGAGTGTCCGATGTGGATATACCTGGTTCGGAGTAGAGAGTGTGTCCCGACAAGTTGACAATCGACAACATACCTTGAATTGAGTCAGTAGGAGTAGAATGAGTAAGTGCATTCCCAACCCAGCGCTGGCAATGCATTTTTTACCAAGATGCATCGCCACTTGTCATTGTGCAGTCCTTTCTTTTTCTGCTGCGAGTTGTGTCTATATAAAAATCAGCATTGCGCCGTCGTCTGATCCCTCTTCTTTCCCCTCTTCTGTTTTTCCTCTTCCTTTTTCTTCTCGTCTTCCTTCTCTCTTTTTCACTCTTCCCACCATTCTCTTCACTTTCATCTTTCATCTTTCCTTTTCCTTGTCTTCTTCACTCCACTTCACTTGCTGCCCTCTTTCATTCATATCAGATCAATCAACAAGCTAGCAAGCATTCCTTAGCACTCACACTACTCACAAAAATGTGTCCGAACACCATATCCTCATCCATGTGCTGCTCCTCCATCTCAGGCACATGCTCTCCCTCCAAAGCACACACCGCCATCATCGATATCCACACAACGACAACAGCTCACCAGAACGAAGAGACAAGCACTTTCTTGCAATCCTTCACTTCCCACCTCGACATCCTCACCGCCGGTTCTTTGTTCCTCCTCCCCTCTATCCTCCCCTTCTTCGCCTCAGCCCTCACAGCCGACTCTTATTATGCTTCTTCCTCTTCCTCAACTCCTGCGTCTGCCCCTGAGTCCTATGTCTCACCAACACCACCACTGTACGCAACCCAAGTACACTCAGTACCGCCGGTCTCAGGAACAACGGCAACAGCCCTTGAGTCGTCAGCGTGGACATGGAGCACAACGTGGATCATGTTGTTGCCCTGTCTGGGCGTCTTGGCCCCTCTGTCGCTGTTCAAAATCATGACGCTCCTGGAGGAACATGGAATTCAATGTCCGTGCATCCGGTGGAGACAAGGGCGCCGAGCTGTTGCAGGAAGGAGGGTGTGGAAGTTGATGAAGCAGAGCAACTGCCGCCATGGTGCGGCTGATGGACCAACCCTCAAGGCGATCAAGCGTGTCTGGCGGAACCTTGTGGGAACAACTTCTGATGATTTCTTGGGGTATGCGCCTTTGCCCTTGGCGTACCACGATAATGAGGTCAGTGCGGAGGAAGGTCTATGTGTTGGGGAGAAGGACATTCCCAAGGTCGACCTTGCCAGCAAGAGTCATCAACGTCGTCAAGCCTCGTTGTCGGCCCTCCCTCGTCCCAAGACCATCCTGCTGGTCAGTCTCTGGGCCTGGACACTGTTGATGACCTTCTCGGCCAACATGGGCTTCAACTCGCTCGAGCAGATCTCGGTACTCCCATCTCCTTCTTTCGCGGTTTCCTCTCCTCTGAATTTTATTTTCTCTCCTGCAGCCCCTGCTGACTTGCAGGCCCTGCAAGTGGAGGATGGTCAAATCGACCTGCGAATGTGGGAACCTACCTCTGATCTCTGGTCCGCCGAACAGCAACAGCCACAGGAGGAGCAGTCAGTCGATGGTATGGATGCCATTGTCTCGATGTTAGATATGGATATCGATGGCCAACTTGATGCCATCGAGGCACTCTGGGCTGAAGATCAGTCTAAACCTGACTCGAATGAGGAGCTCCAACCTTTTGCCAGGATCCAGACCAGTATTGTCATCATCAACAACAACAACAACAACAACAACAACAACGACGACGACGCCGCAGCAAACCCTTCGTTCGCCAACATGATGGAGGAGGAGACTGACGAGGACGTTGAGGATATGAGCAGTCTGGATGCCATGATCATGGACCCTCAGGACGAAGCCGTCTTCCACGATTTCTTGCACCAACTCGATCAAGAGGACGCCGCAGTCCGTGCTGCCGCGGAGGAATCACAGGACCAAGACCAACAAAGACTCAGCAAACTGTTCAAGGCTACGGACGATCTCATGGTCGCCTCGATGCTCGACAACGATTTACCCTGTGGATACTATCGCCCTTCCACTCCCACATGGTTCTCGGGTATCCAGAAGTTCTTGGTTGGTGACAGTGTGTCAGCCGCCGACATCGGTGGTCACTTCCCTGGTCGCACGTTCATCTACACGGGCTGGTCGACTGATTTGATGATCTTTGCCGTCTCAATGTGTCTTGGCGGCGTCCTCGTCGGTCTTGCCCAGTCCAAGATCCTCTACCACCAATTGTTCGATAGGCATGTCAGCCTTTGTGGTACCATTACCACTATCCAGCGCCGTCGAGCATCGTGGACAACCCTCTTGGCCAGTTTGGCTCTTTCGGCCACAGCCCTGGCAATCACATTCCTGATGATCGCCGACGAGAGCTGGGACGTGCCTTCAATCTACTTTGTTGGCATCGGTATTGCGGGTATCATCCTCATCCACGCCTGGGTTCCCAACGCAGCTCTGACTGTCCACAAGCGCGATGACCCCACCGATGAGGATTCTTCAGATGACGATGACGATACCTGTGTCGAATCCGACACCGAGTTGGACACTAACAATCAGATCTTGGACGAAACTCCTGTCGTTTGGTCGCCACCTACAACCGAGCGTCGCAATGCGTGTTCCTTGGACGAGAACCATCGCTGGGAGGTTGTCGCTGCTGCGACCTTCCACGAAACCGTCTGCTACATCCGATAGAACAGATCCTTTCATTTCCATTTTGCACTTTTCTTTGTTGTACATACCAGTTTCTATTCATTTCCTTCTCATCCTTCCATCCTGCATTGTGCCCGTTAGCTGTAAATAACCAGATATCTGTAAATATTAAAACCCTTCAACGCCATTGTAGTAAAAAAGCCATCCATAGTTCTATATCCTGCTGATGTGTTGTTGCGGAAAAAAATGATATTATTGGAAAGATGAAAATGCAATTCTCTCAGAACATGCATCTCTCTCTGTCGCCTTGGCTTCGAAGAAAGAAACGATGGCTCCTGATATGCACATGCTTGGTTGGTTTGTCGTGGTTGATATTTACTCATTGTCGTAGTCGTCGTCCTCATCATCGTCCTTTGCCGTTGCTTTTCTATTACCATTGAAGAATAAAGATACAAATTAAGCGTTAGTATTCAGTCGTACAATAGCCAACCAAGAAACTAACATATCGAACGACAATCCTCCGCAAAACACAAAACTCTTGAACTCTTATACAGAAAAAAAGACGTACCCCTTTATACTGGCAGTGGGTTTTGTTGATGCGCCTTTCCTTGCTGCAGCCATAGCTCCTGCGAAATCTGCCGCCGCCGCCGCTGCTGCTCCACCACCTCCACCTCCGCCGCCTGATCCTCCCTTTTGACCGGATCCTGCATCGCCCTGTGGATCTGCAACATTCTCGACGATATCCCTCAAAAAGTCGAATTGGTCCTTTTCCAAGATGGTCTTTTTCCTATTGGTAGCAATAAGAAAAGAGAAAGAGTTGAAACGTTAGCATTATGAATGGAGCGCATGGTAGTAACAGCGTGAGCGGAGCAAATTGAAAATGTCCTCTGAGAGAAGAACTTACAGGTGTGCTGCGGTCAGTCGTTTCGCGTTCTTGGATCGTGTCTCCATGCAAGCCTCATCAATCAATGACTGCATGAACAGCTCCAGTGCCTTTGCTATATAGGTCAAGAAAGTAAACGAAATGGTATCGGTTAATAACTGGTGTTCCTTTGAAAATGACTTTACTGTCCAGATCAGAAATGCCCCCGTCCCTGCCAGGTTTTCGAACAATTGAGGCGTAGAGTCGTACATATGAGGATAGGGGTTGCCTGGGCGACTTTGCCAACATCTTCGTCCATCTGCATGATCTTCTTGATGCGGGCCTAAATAAATAATGCGCGGAGATAAAGGGGGTAGTTATTTGTTAGTGTTTGTTCACGAGGGAATGTTCATAAATAAACGCGTTTTTTTTTCTTAGTCCATGATGTGATGTCTGGACTAAGCCCAATAGAAGCGACTCAGAGAAGTCCTAGCTAAGGTCGCAGTCCAGAAGTCGGTGGGGGAGAGTGGCGCAGATGGGAAGGAGGGAAAGTCTGTCTTCTCTACTTCTTTTTTCCTATAACGGGTCTGCTGCACGCTACTCTTCCTGCCTTCCTGCCTTCCTGCCTTCCTGCCCTCCTGAATCGCTGTCGTGATGTGTCCTGCTGGGAGTTCTGCCGTTAAGTTTATGCAGGTAGGGTGCTCCGCTGCTGTCATGTGTAGGTGTGTCATGATATCCATTACTACAAAACTGCGCCTTTTCTCCTAGCTTGTTCCTGCTGTTGCTCGTTGCTGGTCGTCGATATTCTATGCAGCCAGGTTGCAAAAAAGACTTACGACGGGGAACTTGGTCTTGTATTTTTTGTTACGCATGGTTGCTGTGAGTTGTGGTTGTTGTTTGTTGATGTCTGTTTTGAAGGAGAGGGTCCCTTTTTCCTGACTTTGTGGGTGACTGGAGGAGGCGATGTGTTTGTGTCGGAGAGAGCGATGTGTTGTTTTCCTGAGGTGTGGGTGTTGAGAAGGGAAAAGCAAGGAAGGGAAAGAATGAAAAGCAAGAAGGAAGTTAGAGGCGCTATTTTTTTATGCAAAAAAAAAATGAAGAGCTGTCTGTGGGCGAATCTCCCCTCTGTCTCTCACTCTCATACAGTGCGTTTCTTTGTTCAAAACACCAAAATTGAAAGCCAAGCCACCCCTTTGCTTTACAGGTGCAGCCAGTTCAGCCTTGGTCGTTTATTATTCACCTCGCCACACACTCTCGCCCACACACACACTCACTCACTCGCATCTCGCAGGAACTTACAAGCATAAACTACAGGACCAAACAAGCAAACACGCAACCAGGACAAACTATACAAATCAACACAGGCCCATTCCATCGAGGCAGCAGTCCATCAACAACAACATCCACAACAGCTCCACTCCTCCCATTTCTCGGGAAAGCAGAACCCCTTCTTCATTGTCGCCTCTCTCGACTTAAGGATTCTCTCGGACGAACGGACAAGCATCCGACTACCCAACTCTACACACTCACACAATGTCTGATCAGCTGAGATCCCTTGTCGACCGTAAGAAAGCGCACTCGTCATGCCATTCCATGGCCTAGCTTTATGAAACGGAGAAAACAAAAAAACGCGCGTCGCGTCTGTACTGTCCTCGCGAGAAAGGGGAAAAAAAGGGCGTCAAACCTAACACCGTATACCTTCTACAACGTGTTCCTATCTTCTAGATCCAGTATTTGTCTACCTGACAGATGGACGCACACTTGTCGTAAGTACAAACACCATCTACAGACGAAGCACAACAAAGGCGTCGCGCGTTTTTATTTTTTTATCGCATAATATTCTCCACGGAACTGACATCAATTTACTTTTTATCGTGGTTACATAGGGACAACTGATGGGATATGATCAAGCAGCAAATGTCATTCTGGGCAAGACACACGAGAGGATATTCTCGTCAACGGAAGCCATGAAAACAGTGCCCATCGGCGTATATGTCATCCGCGGCGAGACCATGTAAAGCCGAAGACGCATTGTATTTTGTTCCATGTCGTGTTGCGCTTTACCATCTTCTCAATGTTGAATATGTAACCTCACCACTGGCTTTGTTTCTACTCTGGACAAACATATTAATAGAGCACTGATTGGCGAGCTGGATGAAGAACTGGACGAACAGGCAGACTATGACAATATGATGGTGGAGCCGTTAGATCCAGTAGCTCTCTGAGGAAAGAGAGAAAAGACAGGATCGCTCTCCTTCTAGGTAGGACAGGAATATGATCGAAAACAAACAAGACATCACAAAACGATCAGTCAGTCAAGGACGAAGGAAGTGGGAATACCTCAAGAGTAACAGCAGTAACAACAGCAACAACAGGACTAGACACGATATCGGGCATTTTTTCTCGACTAAGAACTACAACAACCACACATCCCACCACACGCGCGTCATCCGAGGGTCAAGGGATCTAGGAGACCTCCACAGCATTCATTCAAAAATAAAAACATTTTAAAAAATAGCCATTGTCAATCGCTGTTGTGCAGTGCCGGTGAAGGCATTGTTGAACGAACAAAGAAAAATAAGCGAATTCAATGCAATGATTATTGTTTTAATATTCTTATCTACTATCGTATTCTTTTGAGAGGGGGGTTCACCTTTGATCGATAAAAAATAACACGGATCGAGAGGATGTCAATGAAAAAAAAAATGCTGTTCACGAAAACCAATAATACTAATAGTTCCTACATCTCAAGGGGGACACACCGCTGTCGCAAAACTCGGCGTTGCGACAACGTCTCCCTCTTTTCACCCAAAAACAAATGCTATCTAAACCCCTAATCCTCCAAGAAGAAGTAGTTTCCGGTTGACTTCTGCTCCTTATCCTTCACAGAGTCCATCTTGTTGATTCTTGGACGGAAGTTAGTAGGATCACGACGGAAGGTAATCTCGAGCGACGACAAGAACTTGTTCATACCGGTCAACAAGCTCTGGGGAGAACCAGCAGTGGCCTCGACGGAGGGCTGACCGTCATAGACTACGACACGATCGGCCAAGTAGGTAGCCATAATAAAATCGTGCTCGACGATGAAGGCGGTCTTCTTGGCGTGGAGGATGAAACGCTTGATGACCTTGGCGGCAATAATACGCTGCTCGGAATCCAAGTAAGCAGAGGGCTCATCGATAAGGTAGATATCGGCGGGGGCACCAAGGGCCAAGCAAATGGCGACACGCTGCAATTCTCCTCCAGACAAGTTGCCGACCTCCTGATCGATAATGGGCTCGGTCTGAAGAGGCTTGAGAACGTCGGTGTTGAACTGAGGGTGCATGAAAGCAGCCTTGATCTTCTTCAAGAACAACATACGGACGGTACCCTAAAAACAATCGGAAAACAATAGACATGACGCGTTAGTGCCATGTTCCAGAGTCGCGTTGATTATAATCCCACACGAACGAATTAGAAAACAACAAAAATGTACCGGGAACTTGGGGGCAATCTTCTGGGGCTTGTAGGAGACGTTGAGCTCGGGGACGTACTGGTCGCCATCGGGCTTCAAGATACCGGCCAAAAGACGAATAAAGGTGGTCTTTCCTGTTCCGTTCTCTCCCAACATGACAATGATCTCGGAATCGGTGAATTGACCGGGCTCGACGTTCAACTTGAAGTCTCCCATGGTCTTGGACATCTTGGGGTACTTGTAACGGCGGTGGTTTGGCATATCCTGAACCTCATCGGCAGTCTCGGCAAGACGGAAAGTCAAAGATTCCTCACGGAAACGCAAGTTCTCGGTGGGGACCTTTCCGTCCAAGAAAATGTTGATACCTTCACGGACCGAGAAGGGAAGAGTGACGACACCATAGACCGAGGGTACACCGTAGAGAACGCAAATGAAGTCGGACAGGTAATCCAGAACGGACAAATCGTGCTCGACGACAATGACGAAGCAGGTGGGCTTGAGCAACGAACGGATGGTCTTGGCAGCGTTCAAACGCTGCTTGACATCGAGATACGACGAAGGCTCATCGAACATGTAACTGCGTCACCGAAACGAATGGAGGAAGTCAAGGTTAGCATCAGGGTAATTTTTTGATACTGCGGCTACGGCATGCATGAATATCCCCGACAAAAAACACGGAGTACATCACAATTAGATGAATCGACTTACATATCGGCCTTGCGGATACAGACCATGGAGATGGCGAAACGCTGCAACTCTCCTCCGGACAACTGACCAACCTCACGCTGAAGAATCTCCTTCAAGTCTATATTGTTCAATTTTGAAGAGTGTGGAGAAAGGAAATTTCTTGTCAGTTCTTGTGTCATGATCTCATAGGCCAGAGCTCATAAAAATAACACCCACAGCGTCATTTCTCAGCAAGCTTAGATATAAAAAACAGGGCACTGTAACGCATAACAAACGTACCAAGGTTGTCAATCATCAACTGGCGGTTGTCGAGCTCCTGCTTGGCCTCCAAGAGCTCGCCGACCTTTCCGGCGACAGCCTTGGGGATGTGATCGACATACTGGGGCTTGATGATGGCCAACAGGTTGTCCTCCAAGATCTTTGTGAAGTAGTTCTGAAGCTCTGATCCACGGAAGTGCTTCAAGATATCCTGCCAGTCGGGAGCATTGTCGAAGCGGCCCAAGTTGGGCTTGAGCTTTCCTGCAAGAATCTTGAGGGCGGTCGACTTTCCGATACCGTTGGTTCCGACCAAACCGAGAACCTGGCCAGGTCTAGGCACAGGGAGACGATGCAACTTGAACGAGTTGGCAGAGTAACGGTGGGTGACCTCCTTCTCCAAGTTGGTGGGCAAGTTGATAATGTGGATGGCGCCAAAGGGGCAACGCTTCACACAAATACCACAACCGATGCAGAGGTCCTCCGAGATGAAGGCGATCTTGGACGCAGGCGAGACCTCAATACACATCTTGCCTAAACGATAGAGAGAAGCGAGGGGAGTATTACTGTTAACAGTTTGCTCACACTGCTATATTTCCTCCACTATTCCCGTTCCTTTTTTGTTTGGCAATAAAACACGCGCTTCCTCCTGTTGTTTGTAGATGGGTGGTTGCTGCGGTAGTCATTTACAAAGAGTCGATTGGCGCAGACTGTGTTTTCCAAGAAGAGTGAGTGTGTTGATGTTGATGAGATGAGTGTTGCGAGAGAGCGAGAGAGAGAGAGTTCGAGTCCAGATCCGTCGGTTATGAATCTAGTAGGAGTTCTTACCCATCTTGACGACGGGGCAAGACTTCTTGCACTCCTGTCTGCACTTCTTTGGCTTGCACTTGTCTGTGTTGACGATGGCGATTCTTGTCAAGTCAGACATCTTGGGAGTCGATGGAGGAGGGGAGGAAGAAGGGTGGGATGAAAAAAGGAATCAATTCCCGAAGCTGTCTGATAAACCAGCCCAAAAGTGCACTGGCTGGTGTGCGTTGTTCTTCTCTCAAAAAAAATTGTTTAGTTTTGTTTACCACGCACCAAAGTCCGAGAGGGGGAATGAGCCCGTAAAGGAATTACGTTATTTCCTTAAACATAATCATCCCTGGAAATAGCGAGGTTGCTTTAATGGGACAATTTGTTCAAATCAAGGGTAAGACGCACCCCAGATGTCGTAAAACATCGAGGCAAGGTATCTCTCGGCATCCGCCTGCACAACAACCTGTGTTTTAGAAGGCTCACCAGGAGCACTCTTCGTGCTCTTGATTCGGCGGTCAACAACAAGCATCCCACGGGTGAGACTGCCATCAGCCTCAATGCGGATATCGCGCCCCTGAACCTTCCAGCCGACCTGGGTGTGATCAGCTTCGCTCTCCAGGTCGATAAAGAATCCAATGCAAAGAGGGTCGTGCAAGTTCATGGCCGTGTAGTTCAACTTTTGGACCAACAGGTCAAACAGGTATCCCAGCAAGAGAATGGAAAACTTCGACAATGGCGTTCCCAGAGGCGCGACATATTGCTTCATAGCCTCTGACTTCAGAGACACCGTGTGCGTGACTAAAAAGACAGACACAAGAACGCATCAAAGATGAGAATCAGGCTCTGAAAGATCTTAAGGAAGAAAACATGGTGTGAAAGAGCAATTGACATCTATCCTGAAGAAGTGGAAGGCTTACCATCGGTGGGCAACATGTAAAGAGTAATTGCCTTTTCAGGGTCAGGATCTGCGGTTGCCTTCAGAATAGTGTGGACCGAGTGAGGGCAGGCATGGAAGTTGAACTCTGCGACAGGTGTGACATTTCTAATGTATCAATGACCAAAAACCAACACGCAGGGTTAGTACTTTGTCAATGACTTTTCAGAACGAAAGGATAGCGCAAAGACCATAGTTGTGCTTACCCAGGGTTATCAATGCAGCCTCCCATGCAAATGACCTGCTTGCAACGAGCAAAGATAGTAGGGTCCTTCTCGTAAGCCAAGGCCAGGTTGGTCATAGGTCCCAAGGCAATAAGAGTAATCGTCTTGGGCTCTGCTTGCTCCAATTGATACAAAATTTCGTCGTGAGCAAGTCTCTTCGACAGAGTGTACAGCTTTTCTGAGGGGAGGTCTCCAGCAGCAAAGTCCAGCTCCTTGCCCATTCTCTCAGGGTCCAGCAGTCCGAGGATCTCGGCCCAGTCCGAGGGAGCGAGATCAGGATCGTTCAGATGCATCCTTCCAAGACCGTCGGGACCGTGAAAGTCCTCGCCAAACACGGGTGAAACCACTAATGGCTTAGTTGCGCCTATAGAAAAGAGAACGGAGATGAACGTCAGTAAAGAATATTGTCAAAGAAGTAGCCTAGTAGAACAGGAAAAAAAAGGCATACATACCGACAGAAATAACGGGCTTCTTGGTCCTGATGTTCTCCAAGCGAGCACGGTTATGTCCCTCGGGTAAGTCCGAAGTGCGAGAAGCGTGGACTTCCTTGCCGAGGACGTGTAGGACAGTGAAGAGGTTCTTTGTCACGTTGTCGCGGTTTGTGTTTCCGTAGGTGAGGGTGATTGCGACGACGTCAACCTTGGGCGAGCCCATGGCATGGAGGATGGCGAGGGTGTCGTCGATGCCAGGGTCACAGTCGATGATGCAGCGGCCGGTTTTAGACATTGTGTGTTTTCGTGGAGGGTGTTTTGGTGGGGTGTGGGAAAGAAATAGAAGGACGTGTCCACAGGAGAAGCGGAGAAGTGGTTAATGCGGGGGAAAGTGACCCCAGTTCGAATGGACAAGAGTCATTCTTAAGGGTCTCAAGTGCCTGCGAGGTCTCAAACCTATAGGGAAGGAAGGGTGAAAAAGAGTCGTCAATCCGAACACGCTTGTAATCGCAGACTTGTCGTCAAACAACACGCGTTGCTTACAGCCTCGCCTACGAACTTTCTGGTGGCCTATCTTAGGCTCACTGAGCATCGAGTAAAGGAAAGAGTTCCGGTGGTTTCTGTCACGTACGACCAACACCACAAAAGCATGTATGTTTGTGCTTCAAATGCGTCTGCGCACCATGCAACGTACAAATGTCACTAGCCAAGCGCGATTTTATGAACCACGGAATCGCCGAGCGCTTCTTGTTTACCGAGCAAAATGAGGGTTTTTATAAACGACAGACTGAGTCTCTTTACAAACTTGACTCTTGATGGATTGAGTCTTTTTATAAACTTGACTCAAAAAAACGAATAAAAGGGATGGTCCGCCCAACTTTCTTTTTTCGTTATCCTTCTTCGTCTCATCTTAGCACAGCAATACAATTACAATCAACAAAAACAATCCCACTCGACCTCTCACACCAACACCCTCTCTCACCACTATGACTGTAAGATCCCATCCATTAGCTATCACTTAAAACATAGCGCCCTCCTCTTAGCCTTTCACATTTCTAACGAAATCTTCATCTGTCGTACCTATATCAAATAGCAATACAAGTACGATGTTACCATGTCCTGCGGCGGATGCAGCGGCGCTGTCACCAAGGCCTTGGCCGTGCTCGAAGGTACCTATCCAAGTTTTATCTCTTCAAGGTCATCTGCCCTTTGGCAATAGTCAGCCAGAGACTAACACGCTGCCCCAAACATGAATGATAGGTGTTGACAAGTTCGATGTCTCCATCGAGGCTCAGAAGGTCACCGTCGAGTCTGCCACTCTCTCTGAGGCAAGTACCTTTTCTTAATTTCATATCAAAGCCATCTGTTTGATATGTGTTCTTTTGTGGACCAATATTGACTAACGATCTTAACATAATTTTTTTTTGTCACGCATTAGTCCGAGATCCTGGCTGCGATCCAGAAGACCGGCAAGACCGCCAAGGTTTCCGAGGAGTGAAAGCATTCACAGCCACAACCACCACAATAACACTGATATACTATTCACGTCTTTTTTTTTCTTTGATTCTACGTGAAGATTATAAAGTAATGGGTGATTAAAAAAATGAAACAATTATTGAATATCGTCCCTGAATTTTAAACCTTTTTTTTCCACAATAACTGATCCGCACGGGCCATAATTCTTGTACACAAGGAAGACGTCACCTGAGTTTTCTGCGGTGCCCAATATTCAACCGCCCCCAGAAAAGAAATCTTCGCTGAGCATTTTCGTTCAAAATACTCCACCATATGCGGTATCGATTTTCAATTTTCTGAGTTACACCTTTTTTTTTCCGGGACCCCAATGAATGAATGAATGAACAGACGCTGGACCCATGGTTGTGTTGATGAGCCTATCCTTTTCTCTTTCCGCCGCAGCTCATTGCAGATAGACGACTGCAAAGTCTCCCGATTTTTTCTCCTTTTTCCCGGGGAGGGAAAGTAATGGAATTGGGCTGCTTTTCTATTCTCACATTTCGCTTTCGCCTTCAACAAGAACTAAGACGAGAGGGTCATCATCGTATATAAACAAAGAAGTGATCTGTAAAAAAAAAAAATGTCGATTTGTCAGAAAACGCGGATAAGGACGGCCATTTAGGACGTCTCTTTGTTTTTTTTCTCCGGCATTGTCGACGATGCAAGATCTGATAGTCGTTTGGACGGCGAAACATCTATGCGGGTGAAGCGAAGGAAGAGGAGGGAGGGCGTTCAATAGTTTGTTTGTAGCTCAACGTAAAAGATCGTTACCGAACGGGCGTGCCATTTTTTTTGTGTTTTTGCTCAGACAAACAAGACGGACTGCGCATCCGCCCCCGAAAAAACGTCGACCTTATTTTTTTTTTTTCAAGCAGAATAAACAAAACCCACCAAGTTGTTTCTAGTGGGAGGAAGAGGGGGTTAGGATGAGGTGGTTTTATTGGTGTGGTCAGCCAGTCCATCAAGTCGTTGAGTTGTAGTCCTCGTTGTGGTCATCAACGCCTTGTCTTGTCTTCCTCTTTTTGGTCGTCATTGAGGCTACCCATGCACTCGACATTACTAAAGTAGGCTGGTTTATTTGAACCCAGGGGATAAGTACATGTACTGTTCAAGAAAGAAAAAGAAAAAAAAGTCCGCTCAACCCTCCCTTCTCTCTCTCCGACATGGGTGTGAGACAAACAACAGCATCACCTTTTGACACAGTGGAATATTCTTCTCATCTCACAGAAAGCCTATAAAACCAGGTACAGTAGATCTGTCCGCTCGTTTATTTTCTTCTTCTTTACCTTCTTCCTCACCCACAACTCGGCTCACTTCTCCCTCCTCCCCAAGTTAATGGAAAGCACTCTCATCTGCATCCATTATCTCCTTTAAGCCAACCACCCTCTCCTTTCCTCCTCCTTCAACAAACATCCTATGCAGCCAGTCGCAAATGGTAATGCCGTAAGTCTTTCCGCAACCAACCCTTGCGACGCAGATCACGCATCTAGCCCAATCAACACCAACACCAACGACAAATATGAGTTGGACTCTACCACCTACAACGACAAGTATGAGCTAGACTCTACTTCCTCTTCCGCAGCAGTTGCTGCCATGCCCGACTACAAGCAGGAGCTCACCGAGACCGACTCCCTCGAGAAGGGCACCGCCATTCCCATCAGACCGGACCAAGCTCTCTCAAACCAAGCCCCGCAGTTGGATGTCGGCAAGAAGCCCTTCCTCTACGGTCTGCGCACCCACAAGCACTACATCACCCTGACCATCCTCCTGGCCCTCTTCACCGACATGGTCAGCTACGGTATCATCATCCCCATCATGCCCTCCATCATCGATAACATGGGTGGTGACTCGACAAAGACTGGAGTCCTCGTTGCCGTCTACGCCGCCGGAATCATGTCGGCCTCGCCCATGTTTGGAATGATCTCGGACAAGATGGCCTCCCGTCGGTTGCCCATGATGATTGGACTCACGGGCCTCCTCACCTCGACTGTCATCTTCATGTTTGCCAAGGTCTACTGGCTCTTGATCGTTGCTCGGTTCTTCCAGGGTGTCTCTGGTGGTTCTGTTTGGACTTTGGGTCTTGCCCTGATGTCGGATTCCTTCCCAGCCGATGAGATGGGTATCCAGATGGGCAAGTCCTTGATCGGTCACACGATGGGTATGCTTGGTGGTCCCCCTATTGGTGGTCTCCTCCACGATGCCTACGGTGAGCGCGCCCCCTTCTACTTCTGTATCGTGTTTATCCTCATAGACATGTTCGCCTTGGGTTGCTTGATCGAGGTCCGTGCCGACGAAGTCCTGGAACTGCGCGAATTCGACGCTGAGCTCCGTGAACGTGCACTTGCAAAGGGAATCGAATACAAGGTCCCCGTCAAGACTTCACTCTGGAAGATCATCACCGCCAAGCGCATGATCGCCGCCGTCACCGTCACCACCCTTGAAGCCTTCGACCTCTCCACCCTCGAGCCCACCTTACCCTTCTACCTCCGTGACCGCTTCGGATTGACTGAGGGCCAGATCGGTCTTGTCTTCATCGCCTTCACCATACCCACCATCGTCTCACCCTTAGCCGGCTGGTTCTCAGACCGCTATGGTGCAAAGATCCTCTGCTGCATCGCCGTCATCATCTGCGCCTGCTTCATGCTTGTCCTCTCCATCGAGAACAAACCCCTCTGGGGCATCGTCCTCAACCTCGTCGGAATCGGCCTTGCCACCTCCTGTTTCATCGCCCCCATCCTCGGCGAGATCTCCGCCGTGGTCCGTCGGACGGGCGACAGCGCCGCCTTTGCCCGTGCATTCGCCATCTTCAACATGGCCTTCAGCTTAGGCATGTTGATCGGTCCTATCATTGCAGGATATATCTACCAGCACCACGGATTTAAGTGGAACTGCATCACCACCGCCTGTATCCTGTTCTTCTTTGTCCCCATCATGATCATGTGGATGGGTGACCGCAAGCAAAAGATGGAGGACATTGCTATGTACGAGCGCGATGAAGAGGAGCGCCAGATGATGTTGGCCGATGTCAAGTTGATCAAGGCCGAACGCAGGGCCGCTGAGGAGTTGAACGCCGCCACCCTCTGCCAGCCTGCCCTCTAATATGCCAAGGATTCCCCTCCTCTCCCCCCCCCTATACCATGAGATCCTTCTCAAAATCATTATCAAATAAATATTATTTCACTGATAATTCTCGCAACGTGTTTTGTTTTATTGTTGGATCGATTCGCTTGCCTTTCCTGTTCATGCTAAGCATATGTATGTTGCAACGATTCCTCCTGTCTATTAGTACGCAAAAGGAGATCGGCCCAAGTTGATCAGTTCAAGAGAAGAGAGGCGAATCTGCGCCAACAGCTCCTGAAGTCGACCGTTGTCCTGCAACTCCTTGTGCAACGGAGTCTCCTCGCCACGCTCAGCTGCGATGAGGTTAGCCATCTCGACCGACTTTTCCAAGTTGGAATGAATCACATCTCGGCTCTGGAAGTACACCTCGTGCAAGTTCAATGCGATCTCTGAGAGATAGATCTGGCGAAGTTTCCGCAGCTCATGTGCCCTGACATTGTCTACAATAACAAATATGTAGCGCAAACAAAAAAAGTTAGTGTCTACAATAACACCAACAAACACATATGTTCAAAGTACAAAGGTACATTCTTTCCGAGGATGCTTACCTCCGGGCAGAATGCAGTCAAAGAGCCATTTGGACCTCAACAGGCTTTCGAGTACAGTGGATGTATCTGTTACAAGCTCCTTCATCTCAACATCCCATTTCCACGCTGCCATGCGTGTATCTTTTTTGCTTGGCCTGGTTTCTAATTCGCTTCTCCACTTTTCCAACACTCTCCGTGCTGCAAGGAGGTCGCCATAATATGTATGTTCACGCCTAAGAGATGTTGGCATAGCACCCATGGGGCCAGACTCGGCAATATCCAAAGGAAGAGATGTGTACAGAGCATTGGCGGCATTCAAACGACCATCAGCTAGTAGACGTGTAGCAATTAGCCAAGGGACGTGTTAGTACCATTGCGTATTGTCAAACCTATGGTAATGTCCAACCACAAGAAGCAGCGACCTTACCAAGATATTGGCGGATTAAATGATTACTCCTGAAGAGGCACTCCAAGTATTGGGGAGTCTCGAAGGTCAACCACTCCAATGATTTGATTTGAGCAGCCTCCCGTGCTGTTGTAGGCGCCGAGATGCTCTGCATGACTCCCGTCTTGATAACTTCCTCCTGTCAATGTGCATCGAATAAAGCGGCAATTACTGTGAGTAATAGTGTGCGTGTGATTTGTTGCTTGCATGACAGTTGCATGCCAAAAAGCATTGAACTTACAGAAGCTGAGCTGCTTTTCTCCAAAAGACTGTCCACAGTAGCGGTTAAGATTGAGTGCAGATCCAATCCATACTTGCGAATGTTTGCAAGGTATCCCAAACGTTCCTTCTTTGAGCCATCGATCGCTATGAGTACATAAACACGACATAACTCAAGGTTAACTGTTGCCCATTCACACGATATGCACCGTATTAACCTCAGATAACACATGGGCACTTACTCTTGAGGTAGGAGGAGCATGTCTCGATCTGGAGCTTGTGAGGCAAGAAGGAGGCGTAGAGAGGTGCAATATCATACTAGATTCATAGACATCCAACAAGCTGTCGTTAGACTCTGCACCAACTCGATTCAATTTGATTCGCGACTAGTAACGTGACTTAGCAATGTTCCTTACCAATTGCTTGGAGATCAAAAGATCGACGTAGCTCTTGATGAAAAAGTCGCCATCAGTCTTGGGGACGTTGGACTTCTTAGAGCGCAAAAGAAGGACAAAATGAGCCATGAAGCGGAGCATATGAGGGCGAAGGGGCGCACCTGCCTTGCGCGCCGACCGTGCTTCCTTGGCCATGCTTGTGAGCATTTGATCCGTCTGTCCGAGAATAATGCTTGTCTGAATAGCTTTGAACATGTCCTTCGAGTCGTTCCTAGTGTGCAACAATGTGGAGCCAAGGTTAGCCTTCTCTTTGTCGAATGAAGGATGGCTTTTCGTAGGTACATTTTGTCATTTGCGAGATTTACCTCAGCTTCTGATCATCGCTGTTGTCAATGCTGTCAAAGATGTCCTTGGCACTGCTAATCGTCGTCGTCGGGATTGGGAGGGCCTTTGAAGGTCCGCCACGGTTGAACTGTGACAGGCGACCTTCGATCATGCTCTCCACCAGAGCGTTGTAACGAACCCATGCATGATCTTCCCAGCTTGAGCAGACAGGAAGAACCTAGAAGAAGGAAATATCCACAATGCTGGCGTTAGATGAGTCCGCAAGATCGAAAGTTGCACCGCGTCAACAAATCAAAAAATTGCGTTGCATACCGAAGGGACGTCACCGCAAAGAGCTCCGTAAATCGCCCTTTCGTATTGATCTGCTGTCGACTCCTTGGCGAGAGCATAGCACGTTCCCTTCCAGAGTCCTCGTGTCTTGTTGCCGATAGGTCCTTCTTCCCGATCGTATTGTGGGTCAGTAAAAGCTGTGGAAACTGAGTAAAGGTCTCCACCAGAAATACTCTCCGCCCGCCATGGTTCGCCTGCCTTCTCGCATGCCTCCTTTGCTTTCTGAACTTGTCCCCGGCGGATATATTCCCAGACGGCCTGAAGCAAATCGTGTTCGACACGCTGATTGTGATCATCGAGCTTAACTCCGTCTCGTGTAGTGGCATCAGGATCCTGGTAGTTGGTTTGAGTGGTTGTGGTGGCGGGTTGAGAAAAGAAGGAGCCGGCTGGTTTGGCGGAAGAAGAAATCCGCTTTACGCCAACGTGAGGGTTGGTGGGTGGGGCAATAACCTCGAGCCAAGATTTCACTGCCTATTACGATAACATAAACGGGTTTTCCGTGAGTCCGATGTTCTGGGAGTGCATAAGTCTTCCTGATAACATGCACTGTAGAAGCTGTCTTCCTGTGACGTACAGAATGATGCTTGAAGGTACTGTCTGTGCTGTGCAAATGTTCGATAAGGTCAAGATCGGACCATTCCAGAGCCTCTGGTCCCTTGTCCACAAATGGCTTCTGTCGCTCGAATGCGCTATAAGAGAACAAAAAAGCGAACACGTCAGCACCGTCTAAAATGATCATTCGTCTCTGAAGGCAGATCCCGATCCCAGTTGAGTGATTTCTCTAGCGCCTACCTAAAGAGGGTCTCCAGCAGCAGCCATGTGTTGCTCTCTGACTCCCACAGCTTGTATTCCTCCTCTGTACTCGACACCTGAAATCCTGCTCCAGCGTTCTTGCGGCGTTCAAACTGCTGAGCCCTAACAAATGGATTAGATGCAGATTGTCAGCCATTCCGCGTAGGACTTTTGCTGTTGAAAGAGGCAAGCCATAACGTGCTGATGGGCCACGGTATCATTGCATTGATGAGTACCTCGTGGAGCACAATGTATCAAACTCTGGAAGAATGCGCCCAATGTCGAGCTGTGCATCACCGCGCTGTTCGTTGCTTTGGCGTTGTAACGTCTCCAGAAGTCGCGCAAACTTTTGGTATTCCACTCCTGTGTCATTATGTTCCTGGAAGCGCTCCGACTGCTGGCTATTTGAAGTATTAAAAGATGCGTGCGTTGTGCGTAAGTTTCTTGTTATTGCGGTTATGAGTCTTCCTGGAGAGCGTGCAGGTCCGGTTCGCGAGAGAAGGAGAGCCCTTACCTGCTCATGTCCACATCGTTGTTAACCATGTTTGGCTTGCTGTTGAAGGGAGAGGTGAAGGATGGAGTCGCGAAGTTGCCAAAGCCTTGGTTAGGCAAAGAAGAGATTCCGGCAAAGGACATCGGGGGCGTGTTGATGATCGAGGTCGCGTTTTGCCGTGGATGAATAAAAAAAAGAGGGGCTGGGTGTTGAATGTGTTTACGACGCGCGTGTTGGATTGATGAGAGAAAAAGACAAGACGAAACGAAAAAAGATCAAATATGTTTTCAGGCGGCGTGACTCGCTTCTGCTGGAGCAATGCAACCAACCGTCAAACGGAGATTCCGACTCTTTGTAGGTGGACAGCTTTCTACCCGTTCCGACTCATGTGGACAGCACGCGCATCAAGGACAGCAATCAGGGCAGGAACAAGGTCTCCGCTCTGGAGCACGGCTCTTGTGCCAAGGACAGCAACATCATTATGGAACTCAACTGTCGTATCACGGACAACGCCAAGTGTCGCCATCCCAGGCATTTCTATCAGAGCTTTCTCTATTTCAAGCTCACTCAGTTCAAGTCATGCCTCCCCGCCAGTTCCCGCGACCTCAGCCTCTTCATTTGATTCTCTCAATGAGTCAATCGATCTGAACGCGGCGGCAGCTACTCTTCTCCAGGAACCCTCACAGGCTAACATGCTGCTGGTCGGCACACACTACATCCTTGAGGGCATTCATTCAACAGGGCTCCCTTGGTGGGCCACCATCTTTTGTGCGACATTTCTGCTCAGGACAGCCATTACGACCCCAGTAGCGATCTATCAACAACGAGCTGTCGGCAGGATGATGGAATTGACACCGGTCCTTCAGGCATGGCTGCAGACATTGAAGACGAGCGTCGGTATCGATCACAAGGTCAAAGGACGTGACTATGCTACGTTCAACGCAGAGATTCAGGACGCTTATCGAGCCAAAGTCAAGGAACTCTACTCGGCCAACAGATGCAACCCGCGTGTCAGCTTTATGTTGCCTTGGGTTCAGATCCCCCTCTTCATCACGGTCTCGCTCACCATCCGAGGCATGGCAGGATACCCTCTCCCATTCCTTGGACGATCCAATCTTCCTATTGAGCCAGGGTTCGCAGAAGGGGGCACTATGTGGTTCACAGATCTGGCTGCTGCCGACCCTACCTGGATCATGCCTATCGCCGTTGGCGCAACAAACTTGTTGAACGTCGAAGTAAGTTTTGATTGATCATGTTAAGGACATTGGCGTTCATGAGTATATTCCACAAGTTCTAAACACTGACCGAATCAATCCATTTGAACTCGTAGTTGAATGGACTCATGATGAGCAAGACACCTACCCGCAACCAAGTCATCTTCCGCAATGTCTTCCGCGCGCTTTCCATTAGTATGATCCCCATCGCCCACGAAGCACCCATGGTAAGGACCAGCTAAACAATGAATAGCAGTGTCGAGTGTTCGTTTATCCGTTCACCTGTGCATGTATCTAACATGGTGATCTGTTTCTGTTGAATAGGCCATCTGCTTGTATTGGTTGTCTTCAGGCTCATACAGCGTCTTCCAAAACATCGCCTTCCGTATGCCCACAGTTCGCCAATGGCTCAAACTTCCTCCTCTACCAAAGAAAGAGTCCGTGTAGATGATGCAGAGTTTTTTTATTACTAATAGTGTACAATATGATCTGACTTGCCCAAAAGAGCGTTGAGGTCCGCCAGATATGCAAATTGGGTGTTGGATGTTGGATGTTGGGTGGGAGTTGCAAGATTACGATGACATGACAACGTCCTCATCAGACGAGGAAGAGTGAGCGGGTATTTTGTTCTTGTTCTCCTTGTGCGAACCTTCCGACGCCTCCTGGTTGCTGTCAGTAGAGTCCTCGTCCATATGGTCCTGATCCTTGTTCATGTCCATCATGACGATTGTTGGTTTCTTGATCGCTGGTGCCGACGCCTCTGCTGCCTTCTTCAGTTCACTTGGATTAATGATAATGTCCTCTTCTTTCACGTCCTTCTTGAGATCGAACACGCCCAGTCCAAGGTCCATTTCGATGTACTGTTCGCCATTCTCCTCATCGACATTCTCGATATCGACAGCCTTGGGATCCGCCTTCAATTGTTGGTCCAACTGAACGTTGGCTTCCTTGATCTTGGGCAAAAAGTCTTCCAGCCTCGACAACACTATATATGGGAAGGAAGAGAAAAGGCGTTAGTGCTGTGAACTACAGATTGTGAGAGCCAAGTATTGCTGTTTGCTACAGTGTCGGTGTCTGGTAGAATAGCAAAAGACGACATACGATCTGATTTGTCGACTTTGAATGTCTTGCGTTCGCCCACAGGGGTCCCCTTGGGGACCGAAGGCTTGTTCCCAGTCAAGAGACTGCCTATGTGAAAAAGTATTCAAAGAAGACGTAGAGTCAGTTAGTTTTCTGTTTGTTCGTCATGGTGTGCCTGCCTGCGGCAAGTAAGCTGCGCCTCCTCTGGAGAGAGTAATGGTCGAAGGTGACTCACTGATGAGTTCGTCCTTTGAGGACAGGTCGAGGAGTTGGTTTGACATGGTGTGAGTATGTGTGTATGTGAATGGTCAACCAGAAAAAAGAAAAAAAAGAAAGGCAGGTTGCAAACAAGACCGAAAGGTGAGAAAAAAAAACTTGTCACCTTGTATTCATGTTAAGGGGTTCAAACCAACAACGTAAATAAAGAGAGGGCCTGCGACCATATGAGTTCGCACACAAACACGAACAGCAGTTACCCTTTCTCTTCTTAACACACAACCAACCCGACACTCACCATGCTGGACATCAACCTTTTCTTGGAGGAGCGCGGAGGCGAACCAGAGCTCATTCGCGAGTCCCAGCGCCGCAGACACGATCCCGTCGAGATCGTCGACGAGATCATCGCCCTCTACGAGGACTGGAAGACCAGTACGTCTCTTCTTCATTTCTTAAACTATTATCGCATCACCACCATTCACTCAGCCACCAAAATAAGTCTGAGAACTAGCTTGCCAGCAGATGACTTACTTCAGTGGCCAGTGGGAACGGGAGCGAGGACACAACAGCATATGAATTAGTTCAGTGCTGGCCAATGGCTCGTGTATTGCAATCAAGGACTATGTCTATCTGATAATCACCATGAAGGGCCTTATCATCTTTAATATCTAACCAATGATTTTGCTCCATGCATCACCCAATAGCTCGTTTCGGCCTTGACCAGCTGAACAAGAAGTCTAACGCCATCCAGAAGGAGATCGGCATGAAGATGAAGGTACTGCCAACGACAGGACCTCGTGGCGAAGCTAAAGTTACATAGGACCCAATTTGCTCAAGGATGGTATAGGAATACTAATGCCAACTTGTCACGACCTATGTTTTTGAACAATAGAAAAAGGAGGATGCCTCGGAGCTCATCCAGGCCCGTGCTGACTGCAAGAAGGAGCAGGATGCTTTGGAACTTGATGTCAAGGCCAAGGAGGCTTTGTGGAACGCCAAGTTGGGCACAGTCGGAAACTTGGTTCACGACTCTGTCCCAATCTCGGACAACGAGGTAGAGATATTTCGACTACAGTATTACATGGATCCTCCAGACTATCACGTTGGTGGGAGCAAGAGGAATTGGTCCAGTCATTAATAGTCGATCGTGTTTATTAACACTAGGATAATAACGTTGTCGAGAGGACTTTCTTCCGCGACGGCAAGGAGCCCGAGCATACCCCCAAGCTTTACTCCCACGATGAGCTCCTCTACCGTCTTGGCGGCTACGATCCCGAGCGTGGTAACAAGGTCGCCTCCCACCGTGGTTACTTCTTGGTCAACGCCGGTGTTGAGCTCAACATGGCCTTGGTCAACTATGGACTTTCATTCTTGGGCAAGCGCAACTACACCAAACTTCAGACCCCTTACTTCATGAAGAAGGAGGCCATGGCTCAGACTGCCCAGCTTTCGCAGTTCGACGAGGAGTTGTACAAGGTCAACGGCGAGAACGAAGATATGTACTTGATTGCCACCTCTGAGCAGCCCATCTCTGCCTTCCACGCCAACGAGTGGTTCGAGCAGCCCAAGGAGCAGTTGCCCGTCAAGTACGCCGGTTACTCGACCTGCTTCCGTAAGGAGGCCGGCGCCCACGGCCGCGATACCTGGGGTATTTTCCGTGTCCACCAGTTCGAGAAGATTGAGCAGTTCTGCTTGACTGAGCCTGAGAAGTCATGGGAGATGTTTGACCACATGATTGAGAACTCTGAGGACTTTTACAAGTCGCTCGGTCTCTCTTACCGTGTTGTCTCGATCGTCTCTGGAGCCCTCAACAATGCTGCTGCCAAGAAGTACGATTTAGAGGCCTGGTTCCCCTTCCAGGGTGCCTATAAGGAGTTGGTCTCGTGCTCGAACTGCACTGACTACCAGTCGCGTAACCTCGAGATCCGCTGCGGAATTAAGAAGATGGGTGACCGTGAGAAGAAGTATGTCCACTGCTTGAACTCGACCTTGACCGCCACTACCCGCACCCTCTCGTGTATCTTGGAGAACTACCAGACCCCCGATGGTGTCCGCGTTCCCGAGGTCTTGATCCCCTACATGGATGGCAAGGACTTCTTGCCCTTCGTCCGTGAGCTCAAGCAGCCCAAGGTAAGAATTTGAATCTGTTTGATGGCTTTAGTTTATGTATTTAAACTTGTGTTGTGTATCTCGTTACTGAACAACAACTCTTTTTGTATTATTTCGCTCAATAGAAATAAGCATGCGTAGCAAAGAAGGCTGACGTGTGAGGTGGACCGTGCAACTCTTCGGTTACGCTTGAGAAGAACCATGGTCCAGCAGGAAAGATTGTCAATCCCCCACCTTGTTGAATACATTAAAATACAATACAAATAACCAACAACAGCCGTATCTCCAAGGATAGTGTTTTCCGAGGACTAGGAGGGGCGGTGCGGGTAGAATGGTAATGGTAGTGAGGTCAGTAAGCCGCAATGCAGGCTGGGGCTGAGGCGTGGCGAGGGCAATGGAGAGCTCTCAAAAGCCGAGGGGTTTAGCATTTTCTCTTTCCTTCTTTCCCATTTTTTCACTTTTCCCACTTATTCCTTCTTTCTTTTCGCTCTTCTCCTCACCTTCGCCATCACTACTCTCATTCAAACTTTTTTTTTTTCATTCTTCACACCTTTCTGCACATCAGTCATGATTAACGACAGCAACAACGTCGTCCTTGCAGTGGTAATGAGCCTCTCCTTCTTTCCTTGGTTCCCAGGTCCTTAGTCCGATAACTTTTGGAACGATGGACATGCCTTTTAACCATGCACGTTATCCTTGAACCTTTTACTGGATGGGACACCCCTACTGTAGCTTGGAGCAGTCGGCAATGGCAAATCCTCGACCTTGAACTCAATTATCCAAGAGCCACTGTTCCAGTCTGGTCGCTCTGTCACTGTAAGTGCTTGTCTTTCGGCACCGTTTGTTTTTCGCTCCTTTAGCAATGCATTTTTTCACTACAAAAAAACTCCTGGTCGCCGAGCCCATACATGGTCTGGGCAAGGGCAACACGCCCCACCCCTTTTAACCCAGCCAATTGTACTACTTCGTTTCGAGGTTCCAAACCTTTTTCTAATTTTTTTTTGTTTTGTTTTGTGCCCTTGTAATAGGCGGTTACCAAGCAAATTGGAAGCTGCGTTCGTCCATGGAGGTTGCCCGATGTCCGGAGAATGGTACACATTGTCGATACGTAAGTTTTATGTATCTGTCTGTGTGTCTGTTTGTCTGTGTGTCTGTGTTTCGAAATAAGGCATGAATGTTTTTTTGTTAGCTTTTTTTTCGTCACGAAGAAAAGATGAAAAAGGGGGGGTCCAGATGCCGCCGTATTTGAAGTGGACTGGACTGGACTCGGCCAAGCCGATGATGGAAAGTGTGGCAGGGCAACCCAAAAAAACAAAAAGTGATGGACGAGTGGCAAGTGGAACGACTTGAGTCTTTGTGGCAGGGTATTCCTCACCCCCACTATCACGAGTCAGAAGTAAAGTAGAAAAACTCACCATTTCGATATACTCTCTCTTAACGACTTAGGCCCGGCATGTGTGAATCGACGTACAAGGATGTAGAGAACGTCCACCTGATGGTCGAGTTTTTCAAGAGGCTATCTCATGGAGTCAGCGCCTTTATCCTCGTCTTCAACATCCACAACACCCGTCTGGACGAGTACTCCAAGAACATGCTCCGACTCTTTGAGCGTCTCTTGGGCCCCCAGTTCTGGAAGCACGTCGTCATTGTCTTTACACATGTGGATGAGGACCAGAGGGATTATCTGGAGGACAACATGGAAGCCTTGTCGGACCCTGTGGACGGCTTTGTCAGTGTCTTGAACCAATGGTTCAAGTTACCCTACCAGCCTCCCGTTGTCTTCTTGTCCAACAGTAATACTCGCTCGAGTATGTATGCACGCGATTGCTTCTTGGAGCTCTATGAGGCCGTTGTCTCGGTAGAGGAAGGCGCTCAGAGGGCTAAGTTCACTTGCACTTTCTTCCAGGAGATGAACAACAAGGTATGTCATCTCTCTCTTTCTTTTTTATTTCTTTGGATTGTGTCTCATTTCTTCATACATGACGTGCATACCATTTCAACATCCAGACGCTGTCATACTGAACTGGTCTCATAACTCCTGTTCTAGATGGGTGTTGCGCAGGACAACTTTATTGTGCAAAGCATTCGCACAGCTGCCGTGTCGGTTCCTCAGATGATCCAGTCGGGCACGAAAAACGTGATCGGCGCCTGTAGCATCATGTAAATAGAACCTCTCTCCCTGCTCCTCCCCAGAACGCGTCCTATCGAAGATGGAATACTCAAGGAAGGCTCGACCCTAGATCGCGCCCATGCCAGCATACAGGATGCCAGGAGAGGATGGCATTAGTCTATGTTGTCCTAGATTCAGTTCGTAAGCCCTTTTGGTTCCCGGCGCGAGTAAGCGCAGCGCCTTTCTCAAGTTCTTTTTGAATTTACAAACGGCATGTTCAAATAGGGTATGGATATCCTAATCATGTGAATAAAGAAAAAAATATCTACAACGCCGACAAGCCTTGGAACTTGAGGAACTCCTTGAACGTGCCTAAAAAGAGGGTGAAGGCCTGAGTTGGAGTCTGAGGATGAAAAAGAGTTTTGATCTGATAAGGTCAACCGCCTTGAAAGAGAGAGCGAGAGAGAGAGAGAGAGGAAAGTGGAGAGCAAAGCAATGATCCATGACGAGGGGCCATGAAAAAATAATAAGAAAGTGTTCAAAGTGCGCAGCGGTGAAAAAGAAAGGATCTGATAACCTTTTTTTTTTTTTTTTGACCCGCAAAACCTGAGACAGAGCAGTTCATGACAGGAGAAGAAGGGTGTGCGCATGCATGTTCATGTACATGTACACGCTGGCAAGTAGGAGTCTTCTTTGTTTTATTTTCAGATCCAGAGTGTTTGTTGTGTTCATCATTTCTGCGACTCAGCTTTTGATGCCGTTTGTCAGTCCTCGGAAGATCATTGAGCCCTTTCTACTACAATGTGTTCTGGCGCTTCACCTTCGACTCGAGCCAGCTTTCAAGCACCGACTGAAGCGAAAGATGAAAGAAAGAATGAGGGTTTTTATAAAGGCTGCGCTCTTTTCTTGGCAATTATCCGTTTTGTGCGCAAAAGGCAAAAAAGAAGGATGACAGGTTTCTGTCAGGCGCGAAAATGGAGATATATTTCATTGGGCGTGGTTGTTTGGGTTTGTGTGCTGTCACACAAACCTTACGACCGCAGGCCGTGAAGTGACATGGCGAAAAAAAAATCAATCAATCAATTGAGCAGAAGACTGTGCAACCACACCAAGGCGTGTTGCGTGGCTGTCGTTGTTGTTGTTGTTGATTATCGATCGAGAATGAGTGGATGTGGGCGAGATAGATAGAAACAGAGATGAGTCTGATATCTACTTTGTAGGGGTGAATGGCTGCCTGGTTATGAGTGGGGAGGTGACAGTCTTCGATGAGAATGATGCAGGGGGTGGAGGTAGATCGGCAATGGCGATGGCTACAACAGACAACAAACAACAACATTAATGAACAATGAACAATGAATTGAAGCGAATAAAAAAAAAAGAGTACCTTGAGGGGGTAACAATGTGTGTCTTGTTTTTCTTTCGAGTTTCCACTTTTTGTAACACTCGTTGAATGACACCACCCCACGTTCATGTGAACGAGGACTGAGAAAGAGAGAAGGGTCAGCGCATAAAAACATAAAAGAGAGCCAGAAATCGCTTTTTTCCCTTCTTTTTTCCTTCTCTCGCACTCCACTCTCCACTCTCAGCTCCCCTCTCCGCCCAACCCTTCTTTTCTTCTCTCTCTCAACTCTACTCAACTTTACTCAACTCACCTCAACAACCACAACCAACGACACACAAAAGCGATGACTACTCAAACAATCGAAGACTTTGAATACGAGGCCTTGCCCGATAACGCATCCCTCTCTGCCAGTTTGCTCGCCGGCGCCTTTGCCGGTATCGCAGAACACGCCGTCATGTACCCCGTCGACTCCATCAAGGTATATACTTCAACGAGGAGCAAACAAACAACGACGTCGAAGACGTAAGGGTCTTGCCACAGCCGCCACCACCATCTCTGATCAGTCACATAATAGGGGTGCGCAGGATCGGGGTTAAACAATGGATCGATTTTTTTTGCATACAGAGCGCAACACTCATCGGAAGGACTGCAAGGATACGACGATCCTACTTATGGATCAGTCAGAGGAGACCCGTTGTTAATTGAAAGTGTTCCAAGGCTCGCAACAACAGACGACAGCAGGATACCAACTTCAGCCTTCTTGTGGTCGAAAAGCAAAAAAAGGAATGGAGATCGACTTTCAGGATACGCATGAGTGTTGCTGTGCATGGGAGGAGCCTACCTGACAGATGACAGGGACACAACGAGCAGGATCACAAGTATGCAAGGAATGCGGATGGAGAAGAGTATATGTCATGGAAAGGGTGGAGAGATCAGCGACATGGCCAACCTCTGGATCGACAATGGATGAAAACGTGTATGTGTGTGTGTTGTTCAGTTGACGAGCGGTGGGAAAGTGGTTCGCTTGCCCGCACACTCCCTTTCCCTCCTTCACTCACCGCCCACCCGTCAGAAAAAAGAAAAAAAAATATAATATTTATGATGAGAGCTCTCTCTTCTCAACTCAACTCATTCTAACTGTCATCTCACCCCTCCTCTCCGATTTTTTTTTCGCTCTCTCTTCCATAACAATGGACGCCGCAACAACCCGTACAACAAACCACACTAGACGAGAATGCAGATCCTTCAGCCAACCCCCCAGGCCGTCTATAGTGGAGTTCTCAACGCCTTCTCAAAGATCTCGACCACAGAGGGAGCAAAGACCCTCTGGAGAGGTGTCAACTCGGTCATCTTGGGCGCTGGTCCTGCCCATGCTCTTTACTTTGGAACCTATGAATATGCCAAGCATGCCTTTGGTGGAAACGAATCTGGACATCACCCCTTCGCCGCTGGTAAGGATGTCCTCTCCCTTCTCCCCTTCACTCCACGAAAGATCACAACTCAGAAAAGAGGATCAGGAGCAGAAAGAAAACAATGTGGTCAGGATGGTGGCACAATCATGCATGAGTGAACGCCCCCTCCCCTCTATCTCTCTCTCACACATAACAACTAACAAAACTGTTTCTCATTAATACTACATTAGCTGGCGCTGGTGCCTGTGCCACCATTGCCAGTGATGCCTTGATGAACCCTTTCGACGTGATCAAGCAAAGAATGCAGGTCCACGGATCGATCTACACCAGCGTCATGGATTGCTTCGTCAAAGTCAACAAGGCCGAGGGCTTCCGCGCCTTCTACATCTCCTACCCAACCACCCTCACCATGACCATCCCCTTCCAATCGATCCAATTCGCAACCTATGAGTACCTGCGCAAGGTCCTCAACCCCTCAGGAGCATACGATCCCATGACCCACATCACTGCTGGAGGTATCGCCGGTGCCATTGCTGCTGCCGCAACAACTCCCTTGGATGTGGCTAAAACTCTACTCCAGACCCGTGGAGAGGCTACGGATGTGAGGATAAGAAACTGTAACGGATTGGTCGATGCCTTCAAGTTGATCTACCAGCGTCAGGGACTTGCTGGATTCGGAAAGGGACTCCAGCCTCGTGTTCTGAGTCATATGCCTTCCACTGCTATCTGCTGGGGTGTTTATGAGTACGGAAAGTGGTTTTTGAGCCGTGATAATTCTGACCAGCAGCCCATTAACTTGCCATAAACTCTTCACTTTCTATATGTGTGTCTCTTCCTCCCCCTTCTCCACTCTCATTCTTTTTCTTTTTTGCCTTTTTTTTCATCACCCAACTTGCACCTTTTTCATAATCCATAAAACCATTGTAACATAATAAAAATACAACTTCAGTGTGAATATTTGCTGTTTTTTCTTTGAAGAACTAATGGTATGATAGTGTGATATAAAAAGGTCCAACGAGAGAGAGGCGAGACAGAAGGAGAAGAAAAAGTCGATCGAGTGTGTCTTCGACCCTATTCAAAGGTGAGGAGATATGTGCTATGCGAAGAAAGTGTATTGACATTATTGAGTGTTATTGTTGATAATGGAAAGTGTTTAGTTGGCGAGCTTAAGGGCCCCAGATGCGGTGAGGGCGTGGTAAAGATCCTCGAGGAGATCGTCGACATCCTCGATTCCCACGCAAAGACGGATCAAGTCCTCGGGCATGGCGCGTGCTGCGCGCACCTCGGCAGGGATACTGGCATGGGACATGCGACATGGCATACTATATTTTTTTTTTCATTGATGATAATGAAAGGTGTGACAGTTGAGTACATCTATCATTTCGATTCTGAACTCTTTGTGACTTGACAATTTCAACGGGTCGTTTTTTTTTCTTGTTCGTAGCAGACATACCTGATCAAAGAGTTGACACAGCCAAAACTGACACTGATACCCCATAGACGGGTGAGCTCAACTAGCTTCTCGCTCAACTCGACATTGCCAGTCTCAAAACTGAGCACAGCTCCAGGTCCATTCGACATCTTGGCATGCAGCTCGTACTGAGGGTGCGTCTTCAGTCCAGGGTAGTGCACCTTGAACTTGTGCGACTGCAAGAAATCTGCAATCTGGATCGCATTGGCCTGCTGACGATCCATGCGCACTGCCAACGTCTTGACTCCTCTCATCAACAGCCAACAGTCGAATGGGCTCAGACCAACTCCCGTTGCGTTGATCGTAAAGTAGATTTTCTAATTAAAGGAGGAGGAAGTGAGCTGGGTAAGAATGGTTGCAAGGTAGATTCAAAGCGAAGCAATGGCAGCATGAAAGCAGCAGCATTAATAGTTACCTCTGCGATAGAATCTTCCTTGACAGCGACTACTCCGGCCATGAGATCGTGGTGTCCGCTGAGATACTTTGTGCCAGAGTGATAGACGATATCAGCGCCTAATTCGAGGGGCCTCTGAAGATAAGGAGACATCATAGTGTTGTCGACGACGACAAGGGCGTTCGGGCATCTTTCGTGTACGATTTCAGAGATTCGTGGAATGTCGGCGATCCTCATCAAGGGGTTTGTGGGAGTCTCCAGGAGGACGAGACGAGTCTTTTCAGAGAGATAGGGGATGATAGTTTCAGAGTCGGTGGTGTCGATGTGGTGCGTCTTGACGTTGTTGTGCGTCGCCAAGAAGCTGAGCAATCTGTTGGTGCCTGTTTTGTTTGGTAGGGATCAATTAACAAGAGGTGAGTTAGTCTTTGGTTGTGGGAAGCGCATGCATTGATGCAGGCAAATAAACCTTAGTGAGAAAAAATAAAGAAAAAAGGGCGCTAGCAAATGATAATCCTGCGATCTGTCACCGGCGCTTGATCACATCATTTTGGGTATCGGTTAGTTGTTGGGAGATTTATCCTCTCTTCTCTTATTCTACCCATGTGCTATTATCTCGCAGTCAGTCGGCTGGAACACACACACAGACCGGGGTTTATGAACCATTTAATTGAGAGCTCCGATCCAAAAAAAAAAAAAAAAAAGTGTTTGCTGTCGCTTGTCGAGCCAGGTTGACAGCGGTTGGTGTAGTCGAGGGTGGTGGGTTGAATTGAGGGCACGACAGTTGGAGAAGTACGGGGCTGGGAAGAATTGTGCATAAAGGGGAAGAAAGTGTAGAAGGGTTCTTACCTCCATAGAGATCGTTGCCTGCAATGACCTCCTCTCCAGCCTTGACAAGGCGTGTAATCACATCCAAGGCAGTCATCCCGCTGTTGACGACAAAAGACCTCTTGGCGGACATGATCTTGGCAAGATGGTTCTCTATACGTTTGCAAAGAGCGAGATATGAAAATATATATTTTTATGTGTGGGGTAAAAGTTAGTCACCTCTTCAATGACTCCGCTTTGTGTCGTATCCGTATCCGCATCGGACGTTCGTTGAGCCTTCCTTGTGTCTGTCTATCTGCCTGTCTGTGAATGAATGAATGAATGAAACCCCATGGAACCAACTAAGAGTGTAGGGAAGAGGTCATTTACCGACGTGGGAGCGAGTAGGGTTCCCTGAGCGGGAGTAGTCGTATTCGCCCATCTGGGTTGAGGAGGACTGTTTGAAGGTTGCGGTTTGGTAGATTGGCATAGAGGCGGCGTTGTAGTTGTCCTTGGGACCCTTGCCGTCCGAGTTGTCGACATAGACGAGTTCGGTGGCGGGTCTGTATTTGATGCGTGCAATGGTATCGGTCATTGTGATATGTGTGTGTAAAGGAAGGAAGGAGGGAAGTGTCGTTAAAAGAGGAAAGAAGCAAACAAAGTAGTTACGAAAAGAGGGGAACAATTGTGAGTAAAGAGGGTGGGAAGAAGAGAAGTGTGTGAAGAGAAAGAAAGGAGAGAGTGAGAAAATAAAGGACGCTTGAAGGGTAAAAGGAGACAAGGCCATCCATAGGTGTGTCCGCTATGACTCGCCTGTTGAACAAAAGTCACCGGCCATTGCGCCATAGAAATTAACGTACGTAGATATGCCTGCAACCCCACAAATGATGTACGTGAGACTGCTTTTGAGAATTCTTTCCTTCAGGAACTGTTGAGAAACAGAGATCAACCTTGTTTTCTTGACGACATTCGACATTCCTCGCCACCACACAACACTCACACATTCTCGCAATGACCCATGTACCAAGTGCTACCTCAGAAAAGACCCTTGAAGAATTGAGAAGGGTCGTCGTGAACTTGCCAACAATGCCCAAGAACATTGTCGACGATACCAGGCACGAAAAGGTCCTCTCCTACGTGTCTGCCTTTATAGCCCAGGCAGACCCTGCTTTGATGCATACCATGCTGCGCGAATGGGCCATCCTCGATACCCTCCAAGTAAGCCTGGCTGCCGTGTCATGCTAGTGCGCATGTTGTATTGCTATGAGGTGACTGGACTAACGACCAATTTTCTCCGCACATTTTGAGAATAGGCGTGTTTGACTCAGGGACAGGATCATCGAGTGAGCTGTGTCGCCATGCGTCTTCTCGGCTTTCTTTTACAATACGACACAGAACCAGAGAAAGCCAGCATATGGACGTTGCTGCAAACTCAACACCCAACTATATTGACGTTCATGATCGAAAATACCGCCGGAGAAGAAGCCCTTACGCGGTATTCATGTTGGTTCGCATTAGAGCGTGCAGTGAGATATGACGGTGCAGCTCAATGGTACGTCTAAGAGGGTAAAGATGGCATGCTACAGGACTCGTCAAGAATTTCCTGCAAGGGACTAATGTTGAGCTTCCTTCGTTCTGTCTTTAGGTTGTTGGCATCAGGAAAGGTTGCAAGTATGGTATCAGGAGCACTCAAGGACGACAGCAGCTATGTAGGGCTTACAATTGTTTCGCAACACTCGACTTTTCAAAATACGCGTCATTTTGGCTGAGTCTGACCAGCTATTCACTCTCCATAAATAGGTGCTTGAAGCTGCCTGCCAGTTCCTGGTTGCCATTATAGAGAACAGAAGTATTGATCCTCTTCATCACACAGCACACGACACACTCATGGATACACTTCTGGAATCGATCTCGCTTTACAAGTTAATCCACTCAATGATGACAGATCAAGACTCGGAACGGAATCGGGTCGCAGGTCTCGAGTTTCTATGGATGGTTTGCAGTGCAAAGTCGGATCGCGGAACAGCTTTCATGCAACACAGCCAACTGGTAAAGAGACCTTTGATTGAAAGTATGCATCAATTACAACACGAGAATAATACTCTAGGATATTAACCGGAACCCTCTCATTTCATAGTTCTTCACATACATGGATCTCCTCATGGACGACTCACGGCTTGTACGGAGTAGAACTCTGGATGTCCTCTCCTTGGTTCTGGAATCGACGGCGAATCCTTTAAGTGTACTTGGAAAGGATATTACTCCTTCAGATGCCATGGATGCAGATACGACTGACGATCAAAGTCAGGTGGATTGTAAGTTTAAGCAAAGTACGCCTGAGTGTCCTTGGGGTCTTGAAGAAAGAAATGACTAACTTTACTTCTTGGTGCCGTTTTCAACAATAGGCTTCAACCATCTACTTGACAGCAATGTGCTTTCCTTGATCGCCTTGACCGACTCTTTGAAGGCATTCCATGTGGCGACTACCATTCTCGATACGATGGTCAAACCCCTGTATCAGTCGAGCGAAATGCACGGAGCTGGAACTCAGTTCAAGAACACCATTCTCTCGACTATCCTCTGGATTATCCAGGCGCTCCAGGAGAGCAGCGCGGGTGATCATGACCCCAACGTCTTCCGGCATACCGAGAAGATTGTAGTGCAAGGAGACGGTAAGCTAGCGAAACAGCTGAACCAAGCAGAATTCCAGGAGTTGGTCAAAACACAAAGTCGCGCAAAACCAAAACGCGGGGCTGCATCTCGAGGAGGCACGCTACCAAAGACGATCGTACTCTCTGCTTTGAAAGCGCTCCAAACTCTGTCGATGTTATTCCCACAAGAAGTTGAAAAGAGTACAGCTATTGGCGTTGTGCTCTCCATCTTATCTGATACCAAGCTGTGCTCGGATCAGCGAGTGTTCAAGGCATGTCTGACAACTCTTCCTGCAGTCCTGAAGACCAAAGTTCACAATGGTCTCTTGTTGGACGAGCAGCTCTTTGCTGGCACTATGAAGACGATCCTGGGGCTCATCAAACGACCTGCAAGTGGCAGTACCTCGCTTCGTCTGATCCTCACTGCCATCCAAGAGTTTTTCACGGATAAGATTCTTGGTGGCATTCTAGCCCGCGAGGTATGTTGCATTCTATTACTATATATAGTCCTCAAGATAGCACCTTTGTGAAGCTCATCTAACCTGAAATATCTTTCCTTTGTGACATGTAGAAAGTTGGTCAGGACCTTGCGAACGCTCTTGGGATGAAGCTTTACGACATGGAGTGGGATGTTCGGGACAATGTGGTCGAATTCATCGGCAATCTCTTTGTCGCGGTAAGTCAGCTTGCGGCTTTGACGCGTAAATCTCGCCCTGACAGATGTTTTACTCTTATCATAAATTTTCTTATACAAGTTTCCTTCCATCTTTATCGTAGGGTGGTCCTGATCACGGAGTCGAATGGGCGCTTAGAAATGATCAATTGGAGGTCATTTTCCAAAAGCTTTCAGATGAAGAGGCCTATGTCAGAGCTGCCAGCATCCACGCCTTCGAGATCATTATGCGTGATCACCGTGGCTGGAACGGTATGCACGAAAAGAACCTGGAAGAACGTCTGAGTGCTCAGTTGCCATCGCTGATCCGCGATAGCGAAGCGTTTGTTCGACGTGCCGTTCTTGAGGCTATGATTTGCTTGGTGAGCGAGCGCGAGTCTGGGGTTATTCTCATGGTTAACGGAACCGATCTCTTTGTTGAGTAAGTCAAGCAATGGTGTATGACGCTAATTGCATTGCCAGTGTCGATGAGTGTTCGACTAATGCACCCATTTTTTTCTCCGTATCCTTGATAGCGCAAAGTTCATGTCGCGGTTGACACTGGATGATTCCGACTGGGAGGTCAGAATTCGGGCATGCGAGTTTATTGCTGCAGTCTGGGATCACTGTTTGGCCCTGGACGAGAAGGCGGACTACCGTGTTCGCGCTGCCAAGCGCCTCAAAGACTCAGTCCGCGACCACCAAGAGGATACCGCGCCTCCTCGACCTTCAACCTGGTGGTTCTACGATATCAAGGGTGACGAGATTCTAGTCGAAGCCTCTCGGGACTCTTCGCGGTTGGTGCGTTTGGCCAGTGTCGAGACTTTGAAGATGATTAAGGCGTCATTGGATCAGCGGCAAGATTCGTTCACTCACAGCGTTGCCTCGAATGGTGCTGGTGCTGCATATGATGAAGCCGAAGATAGGCAGCGGAAGCGACCTATTGGTGATGGCGCTGACCGTGAAGAATCACTATCGACCCCACCAGACTCCAACACAACCGGTCAACATCCTCATGCTCAATTTTACGCTGTTATTTGCGGCTTGGACTTTGAGCGATTGGACGCGACAACGTCGGTTGAACAACTCTACGAAGAGGTGTTGAATGTCGAGCGCCCCGAGGATGTTGTCATGACTGAAAGCGAGAAAGCGAACGATGGCAACAACATCTTGGACTGCTACTAAGCTTAGACTATGAATATAACTTATGGCTCCCCGCTCGCGACTAAAGGATTGATCTCGATCTATGTTTTCAGTCTCTCATTGAAGAACGCTCTGTCGATGTATGTATGTCTTGCGCACTGTTGTCGTACCAACGCACAGTCAGTCAACAGACCTTTTTTCACTCCCTTCGTTGGTCGTTTGTGTAAGAAGGTTTGAAAATCGGGGAATGGTTCTTTCATCCTTGACTTTGTTGTATTTATTATCGTTGTTCTCGCGCAGGAAACATGCGCTATTGTCGTCATTTTATCCCAAGGATTACTGCAAGGGCTGAAACCAGGTTCAAGCAAGACATACGTGTGGGTGGTGGTGGTAGTAGAAGTGATGGGGGTGCATACAGTATGTTGGCCATGTGTCCTTCTTTTTACTGTCCGAGTCGCAGAGCAAAGAAGGGGAAAAAAAACGAAAAAATAGGGGCACAGGTCAGACGGATGCAGCAGTGACATGACATTTTTTATGGACCTGACTTAAGAAAGGGCGGGGCACTGACTGACGGGTGTGTGTCAACAAAGACGAGGAGAAAAAAATGGCACGCTGCAGTGTCTGTCTCCTGAGAGAGGAAACATGCCGTCGACCTCGCAGAGTTCTCTCTCTGTCTTTTTTCTTTCTCTTTGCCTTCTCTTTTGTCATTCTCCATTCTCATTCATTTTCTTGCTTCCTTCACCATTTATTTCAATACTTTTCTTTCCGTCCCTTTTAAACGACTCGTTCCCCTGTGCCTGAACCGCGAAACCCCCACAAACTTTAAACCAATCACCACGCAACCAGACCGGGATATTTTTTTTATCAAAAACTCACACACTTCACTCCCAGCCACCCGCGACAAGAAAACTACGCCCACTTAGAAAGAAGAACAGCGAACCGCCTCAAAGTAACCCAAGGAAACACCCAACGCCGTCAAGACTTCTATCATCAAACTAAGACTACGCCACGCCTTCAATCAACAACAAGAGACACAAACCTAGTATAGTATGGGAAAGCAGGATATCATCCAGGTCCTGACGCCAGATCACTCGGTCGAGGTATCCTTCCTGGACGAGGATGCGACCATTGGCGACCTTCTGGCATCGCTGGCCGAGGACAACCCGACCTATGGCAATGGCTTTTGGGCTATTGTAGAAGTGGCCATGCCAAGAACAAGTAAGGAGAGAGAAAAGAGGAAGATGAAGGAGAAGGGGAGTTATTGGCTGTCTTGTCGACTGTGTGCTGTTGGTCATGGGTGACAATGAGGATATCAAACTTCCTCGAGGCTGACAACGATATGCTTTTTTTTTACCTTCTGCACTAGCTACGCTTACATATCATGAACTCTTTGCACTCGACCAAGGTAAAAAGCAATACCAGAAAAAACAACTCAGGAGAAGGCGAAGAATAGGGAAATGGAGGCTGCTAACCGGAGGAATCGTATCCTCAAGGAATCGAAAGGGGGGCACTAAAATAGACAACATGACAACCCACCATGCTGACCCCTTGTGTTACCCTCACCCATCCCCATATCCATCTCTCTCCTTTTGATATATTTTTCTCAGGTGCACTCGCTGCGGAGACCAGGATAAAGGAGGTTCAGGAACGATATCAAGAGCACCTACAGAACCCGGACGCGACCATCTTCAAACTCATCAACCTCCAATACACCCTACCTGTGGTCTTTCGGCACGTCCCCACAGTGCCGGAGGCGCATTACCGCCAGATCCATGTGACCCCGACCATGGAGGTCCGACAGGTTTTGGACATTGTCACTCGGGAGATGGGATTGAAGGCTTTGGAGAATCCTGCGACCAACGGTAGTAACGCCCGTGCACCAGCTGCTTCTGAATACATTTTTTCACAACTCAAAGTGAACGAAGAGGGAATCGAAGGTACGTTTCTTTGGTGGTTGTCTCGTCAACTATCTCACTCTCTGTGTCTGCAGTCTGGTTGACTGAAGTGCAATACTAAGCGATATGCTGTACGTGCTTTGTGTTCCACGTCATTAGAGGAGAGGCAGCTTTTGGATGAGGAAAGTCCTTTGGATCTGCTTTTGGTAAACCGGGAATTGCTTATGAACCAGCAGATCAAGGATTACCACTTTATCTTCACGGTTCCTGACTCTTGGATCTCCAAGGTCGAATCGGTCACATCTCGTATCACAAAGGGCTGGACCGCGACTCGACCCCTTTCAATGGCAGTGTACGGTCTCTTTGGAGGTGCCACATCCCCACAGCAGACAACAGCTCCACGAGAGATCTCGGCTCCGATCCCCATTGCACCGACGTCGATCCATCACCCATCGTACGGTGGCGAGACGGATCACTCGACTGACAGTAGTGCCAAGAGTGCCCAAAAGCGGCGGCAGAGTATGATTGTGGGCTCTCGCTTGAGTTCGTTCTTTGACCCTGCGGCCATTGGTGGATGGTTGCAGCCTGAGACCAAGAAGCGGCACTCCATCGTCTTTGGGCAGAGTGTCCCCAACTTGATTTCGAAACCCATGGGAATGGACACTGGTGTTGATGGATTTGATGTGAACGACATGACCGATGAGGAACTGGGCGAGGCATTCAATGCGCTCTTGGTGAGTCTCTCTCGTTTGATACATGAGCGCATTCAAGTCTGACACCAGCACAGCTAACAATACAAAACACTCTCATACCATGTAATAGAACGACCTGAATATTAAGGAGGCTGTTCGCGAGACCATGATGAACTTTACCCGTGAGAAGAAGGCGGCACTTATTATTCAGAATCAGCAAGTGCAACAGCAAAAGGAGCGCGTCTCATCCCCAGATCCATATGCAGTCCAGACAGGCGGCTTGCCAGTAGGAGGAGGCGCCAACCCTCGAATGAACAACATGAGCAGGTTTATAGGATCCATCTCCTCTCGAGTCTCCTTTATCGAGCCGGACAGTGCATCGATAAACAACAACACCAACGGCAGCAACAACAAGTTGCATTCGCGCTACTCGTCATGGTCGAGTCTTGCCGGATCTTATGACGGAACTGCGGTGGAGAGTAACAGGCCTACTTCACCCAAGCTCGGAGGATCTGATCGGCCCATGTCACCCACAATGGCGACTGCTGGCTCTCTTTGGTCCAGCTGGTTCGGAGCTACACCCATGCCTGACTCGGACTCGATTGACGAGCCTACGGATGATTCTCCTCAGTTCTACATTGACCAACTTCTCAGCAAGTACGTGTTCACGCTATTGCGACCTAAATGTAGGACGACATATATGCCCCATATGCCCACCCACGTGTACTAACATTCAAAACTGTTTACTTGATTGCCATAATCTAGAGCTACGAACCAAAAGACTTTGGCGAAGCATCTGCTGAGTCTCCGAATTGCATTGGCAACAGCAAAACTGTCCTGGATCCGCCAGTTCTTGGATGGACGAGGATTCAGAGCTCTGGAGAATGTGCTGGACAAGACGGCGATCAAAAAGCGCGGTGGCAAGGCGAACGATTTGGACGAGACGATGCAATCTGAGTGCGTCCAGTGCCTTCGCGTCCTGATGAACACCGAGGTGAGTTCACTACTTTTTTAATTTTTAAGGCGAGGTTTTCAATTCACTGAAGGTTATTGACACCAGTGTCATTTTTATATTGTTCGCTTGCTTGTAGCCTGGATTCAATCAAGTTCTTCGATCGCCCTCTCTGGTGGCACACATTTCTTACTGCCTCTACACAACCAACAGTAAGCTCCGGACAAAGGTGGCTGAAGTCCTGGCCGCGCTCTGTGTCATGTCGCCAGACTCGCACCGCCTCGTCCTGATGGCGCTCTCCGACTTCCGCGTCGCCCACGAAGAGCGGTTCAGATTCGAGTACCTTGTTCAGTCATTGGCGACCGTGATCACAGGTGACATTGACGGAATTGGTGGCGGTGGCGCAAACGAGCATCAGGAGATCTTTGAGTGGGAGTACAAGACCGCGTGTCTTAGTCTTATGAACGCCTTAGCCAACTCGCCCTCTTCCTTGGATGACCGTATCTCGTTGAGAAACGAACTCAGACGACGTGGACTCGAGGATGTCTTCCAAACCTTGAAGATGCAGTCCCCGCCCGAGTCGCTCTTGATTCAGATTAATGTCTATGAGGATGAACGGCATGAGGATTGGGTTGATCTTCAGGAACGTGCTTATGAGGCGGCACAGTTCAAAGCTGGACAGGATAGGTAACTTCGATTCTTCTTGACACAGATGGGTGCTCTTTACTAGATGCGCGTGTGGCTACTTATCTCCGTCGTTTTTATCAAATTCCCAACTAGTCAAAACTCGGAGCTTGTCAACACTATCACCAGCCTCGGACCTACAGATGATGAGCTCTACCTCCGCATCATTCAGACCTTGCAACAGTACGCCGATGGCGCCGTTTCGTCACTCAGCCAAGAGGAAACGGACGAAGAGGACCAGGAATCACCAGACACCATCTCACGCCAGAGTCTGTAAGTTTCCACACCAAGTGTTCAGAGAGGTTAAAGAATCTGGATGCCTTTATAGAGCCCGTATCTTACCCCTTGCATCTCCCGTTTGCACCGCATTATCATAGGCAATTCAAGGAAGATCTTTGGACGATTGTAGCCAAGTTTGGCGAGCGAGTCTTCCAGATGCGAGACCTCGAGAAGGACTGGGCAGGTTGTCAGGACGATTTTTTGGAAGGAATCCAACACATTGTTGGCAAACGAGGCATCATCCTCTCCTTCTCGGACCCCAACCTCAACTCGTCATCTTCTGCATCCATGTCTTCGGCTTCTTTGGCGTCGAGTCGACGACACAGTTTCATTGACTATGAGATGGATATTATGAGACGGGATATGGAGGATATGCGAGAGGAGTCGGATAACCTGCGTAAGGATCTTGCGGCCGCGAAACAGGAGACTGAGGATGTTAAAGCTCAGTTGAGACAGCAGATCAGGTCGCCTCCCTTGAGTTCGAGAGAAATGAGGGATGGATCTGAGAGTGAGCCTCTTACATCCTATGGCAGGCGCGAGGTAAACAAATCAACAAGTTGCTCTTTTCAAGTTTGATTTTTTATTTGATTTCGTTACTGGTCCGATCTTGGCCAGTCTTAAAGGAAAAAGAGTCCTCAACCATTTATTTATATTTCATTTCTTGGATGCTAATCTTGATTCACGCCATAGAATCATGCAGGAGTGGTTCAGAGACTGGTTCAGAAGGAGAAAGAGGCCGCACAGCTTCGAGAGACCATTGAGCGAATGGAGAAGAAGTACAAGGACAGGGCCGAATTCGTCGCTGTGAGTTTATTTTTTCACTTATGCTGGTCGGATCGGACCTGTTCTATGGCACGCCAAGCGTTCCAAAGAGCCAGTTTCTTATTCAAAAAGGTCGGGAGAGCTAACTTTTCCTTCGTGCTGCACTATCTCAATAGGACGATGAACCACGCAAGTCTGAGCGGTCCAAGGAGATTGACAGCACTCGCTGGAATGCCATGATGACCGAGGTTCAGGTTCAAAAGACCAAAGTAAGTCTCCTTTCATACCCGCTTGTCATGCATCAACATGGAACAACTCTAAAAAAAAACATGAACCCAAGGATTACATTCTGACGCGTACCTTTCTTTTTCTTTCTGCCAAACAGACTGCAGTGGCAGCCAGTCTGGCTGACGACCGGCAAAAGGAAATCGCGTACTTGAAGCGTGCATTGCAGATAGTTTGCACTCGCTACGAAACCGCGATGGGCGAACGACCACCAGTCGTAACCGAGGAGGACCACACCAACCAACCCAACCAGACCGAGGGATCATTGCAGCTCTCAAAGACTTTCGAGGCCCTCGCTCGTAAGGATGAAGAGATTTTTGAACTCAGGGATGAAGTTGAGAAGTTGAGGAAGGAAACTGTGGTTGGTTTGACCCCCACGGAGGAGGTGCTCAATCTCCGAGGTAGCATCAAGGATGTGATGCTAAGGGTAAGTCCGTGTTTAAGTTCACACTGGCTGGGCTTCATATGTAGACCAAGGTGATAACTAACCGTGCTCGAACAAATCGTTAGGTCCAAGAGTTGCAGACGATTGTGAGTGACCGCGAAAAGACGATCAAGAGTCTCAAGGAAACACTGTTCACACTGGAGGCTGCCAAGCACTCGGATGATCCGAATGGCGTCTCTCAAGGTTACCTTCAAGGACAAGACGTCAACAACGCTCCAGGTCCAAGCAGAGTCGAACGATCGAACTCTCGCAGTTCGTTGAAGTTACAGATTCGTGCACTGTCCGCCAAAGGATGGCAATCTGAAGAAGTCGATGAGGAGCAAGAAGAAGGAGCATACCAAAACGGAGCTCTCTCCCCTTTGGGCTCTGATTCTAATATTCAGACCTTGTCAGTCACAAGTCCCGGACGACCCTCTGGCGGCGTCTTCTCACCAGGAGTAACTTCGCCCAAGATTGGTCAGAGATTCCTTGGTACCGGCGGTGGTAGACGTCCTGCCCTGCCTCCTCCTCCACCCCCACCTGGTCCTAAGCACAAGCTGTATGCTGCTCAGGCTGTTAATGGTCAGATGCCTGCTCAGCCAAACGGCACAGTTCAGCCAGCAGGACCCCAGGTCGTACCTACTCAACACGTCTCTACTGAGGCGCCTCAGCCAATTCTTGCACCGGTCGAGCCAGAAGTGGAACAGATCACCGCAGCACCTTTGCCTGTGCCAGTACAGAGTCCCAAGCCAGAGTCCTTGACGGTCAACACTTCTGCGCCGCCTCCACCTCCACCACCACCTTTTGTGGCAGGCCCCAGTCCTAAGGTGACCCTTACAAACCAACCATCTCTTGCAGCGGCCATTCAATCAAGCGGCGGAATCCCTGTCCCACCACCTCCACCAGCAGTTATTTTCGCCGCACAGCCTACTCTGCCCACACCTGCGGCAGCGCCTGCAAGCCCTCCCATAGGTAGTGGACCTCCACCTCCACCTCCCCCACCTCCTTTCCTTGCTGGCCCAGCCCACGTGCCCACAACCCCTGCAGAACCTTTGTTCTCAAGTCTCCAGCGGTCAGTGTCAATGCCTGCACCCAAGCCAAAGGGAATAGCTAGCTCTCCTCCTACCACAGGAGGACCACCACCCCCACCTCCACCACCCATGCCCAATGCACCCTTTGGCAAGAGTGCCCTCAAACCACCGTCACATCCCATCCCACCACCTCCACCGCCAGGTCCTCAGCCTCAAGGAGCAGCTGCCTTGGAAGGAGCTATTCCAACGCTACCTGTCTTTTTGGCTGGCAATAATCGTATTGTCAATCCTCTCGCCATGGCCATCCCTCAAGTTGTCAAGCCCACACGTCCCATGAAGGTATGAATCATCAATCGGGGCATGAATTTTTATGCGCTGGTTCAGTAGTGCATGATTGCAATGAATTTTGTTTTCTAATGGGGGGCTTTAACCATGTTATGAATATAGCAATTGTTCTGGAACAAGTTGCCAACGGGAGTCATTACGAACACGGTGTGGAAGGATATCTGTGACCCGTCGTCTGATCTGGGAACCGTTGAATTGGACTTTGCAGAGATTGACGAGCTCTTTTGCAAGAACCAGACTGTCTCTGCCAGTAAGTCAACATTTCGCTGAGTGGGCACGGGTTTTATTCTTTTCAGGGATCAGACTTTCCTGACATTGTGTGTTTTTTTTATGCAAATCTAGCTGCAAGTTCATCGCCGGAAAAGAAGAAGCCAGTCAGTTTGTTCAATGTCAACCGCGCCAACAATATCGGTGAGTTTCTTCTCTTTTTTGTTTTGTTTTTGGCGGGCATTAGAAAGAAGTGTCAAGCAGTATCACTTTTTTTCACCCCGAAAACTCACATGAGATACCTCTTTGTTCTCCATCCAACTAGCTATCATGCTTTCAAGGATCAAGATGACATACCCTGAGATCCGAGCTGCATTAATGGAGATCTTGGACGACAAGCTGAGTATCGAGAACCTAAAAGCCATCAAGCAATACGTTCCCACCGGCGACGAGGTAAAACGCCCTTCTGTATAGTCTTCGTCTTTGTTTCCGAATGTGATGGAGAACGAGCACGCTTACTAACATAGGCTAAATGAATGACATAGATTGAGCTGATCAAGGAGTTTGATGGGAACTTTGAAAGTCTCGGACACGCCGAGAAGTTCTACCGCGAGGTATGTCTTGATTGCGATTAACACCTTTTTTTTTTCTCCAGGCGACAACCGATCCGTCCAGCTGTAACAGGGTCACTGAAACTTCCAATCTCTCTTTTTGTTCTTGTGAATGAAAAATAGATTCACGATATCCCGCGCTTGTCGGAGCGCGTTTTGTCGATGATCTTTAGACGCAGGCTCGAGATTGATGTTGGCGAGCTGAAACCTGTAAGTTTGATCAATTTGTTGATAGTTAAAAACACGTAGGTGGACACTGAACGCTAGGCTAACTCTAATTTGTCGCTGTTAATCCAAAATACTAGGAAATGGATGTGCTCCGGTTGACTATTGAAGAGCTCCACAATTCTCGACGACTCAAGAGTCTTTTGAAGGTATGAATAAACTTTTGCTATCTGGTGCATGTTCAACAACTGCCGAATTGAGCATGCGAACAAAGAATACGTAGCTAACCATTATTATTTTCTATTCGGCTCCCTCGTTATAGACTGTCTTGTTGATCGGTAACCATTTGAACGCGACCAGTTTCCGCGGCAACGCCTATGGTTTCCAACTGGACGCTCTTCTCAAGGTTCGTTCCATTTACTGTCGTCATTATCGGAAAAAGATTTCAAAATGGGCAACCAAACCCAGATGTCTAAACTTCCTTTCATCTTTCCTTCACATATACTACCCTTCAAAAATTAGATCCGCGATACAAAGGGCTCCGACAACATCAAACCAGGCGCAAGCACACTACTCCACTACCTCGCGAAATCAATCCACAACAAGGACCCCAATCTGCTCAAATTCATTGATGAAGTGCCACACCTGGAAGCCGCAGCCCGAATCTCTGTCCCGACACTGATGAATTCTTGCAACTCCCTTGTTGCCGGCATGAACCAGATTAAGGAAGAGATCCGGGTCCTGAAGCGGATCCGCATTTCTCCACCGAATGACTATTTCATCGAAGTCATGGAGGTAATCTATTTTTTTTTTTTGGGAGGGAGCATGATACTTGTTCTAGCTAAATGGTTAAATGGGACGATGTTTTTTGCATCTGGCTGACCCATTGGCATTTCTCACTCTCTTTGTTATCTTTTGCATGTGCATCCCCCCCCCCTCCTCCAACAGAAATTCGCAGAAGCAAATGAGGAAGGGATCCAAAAGATCGTAGAGCTCGGCCAAGGGCTCGAACAAGACCTCAAGAAACTCCTCACCTTCTACGGCGAAGACCCCGCCAACACAAAGCCCGAAGACTTTTTCGGTATGCTCGTCTCCTTCTCGGCCATGCTCCAGAAATCCCAACAGGAGAACGAAGCCATGGCCAAGAGACTCCTCGCCAAGGCTAACCAGGCTAACAAGACGACGAACAGGGCCGCGGGAAGTGCAGGGAACACGGCCTTGTCGGTGGCTGCGATTAGGGATGGACATTTGGATGATGCGATTCGTGGGTTGAGATCCGGTCTGAGGAGGAATAGGAAGGATCGGCCCATGTCCCATTTGTATTCCGAGTTGAGTATAGAGGCTTTGCAAGGGGTTAATTTAAATGTCCCTCGTGCTGGTGTCCTTACTCATTCGCGCCAGGCCAGTCGTCAGTAGATCTTTGGGCTGAGCTACCATCATTAATAAAATTATAATTGTGTTTAGAGTCAAACAGCTTGGTGAAATGGTTTAATTGCCACTGTTTTTATGAGTTTTTTTTTTTTTTTTTTTTTCTTGCTGGAAGAGTATTATTACAAACGCGAATAGAAAGAAGAAACGAAAGAGGTGTTATGGTACAACGAAAAGCATAGAAAGGAGAAAAAAAAAAGGATGAGGTGTAACCAGCGACGAGAATCACAATGTCGCGAGAGCAATTGTTCTATGAATGGAAAAAAAAAGATTAATTGTTGGTAGGTGGTTTGGGTTTGCCAGAGTTGAAGGATCCGGAATTGGGTGCCATGGAAGGTCGTCGAGGGATGGAAGACGTGGACGAGGACGAGCTCCAGGAAGACGCTGGCGATGTAGACTTGCGACCAGACCGGGACCCACCGCTCACCGCAGATCCAAACGCAATAGGTCTAGACGGTGTGGGTCGTCCGCTTGCTGTCGTCGTCATTGTGGTCGATGAAGTCGACGTTGCCGTGGCTGTCGAAGTAGTTGTAGTCGTGGTCGCACTCGATTTGGTGACCGAAGGAGTCGAGCTTCGTCCTTCTTTGGTCGGGCTAGGCGAACCAGGCTTTTCTTTGACGGCAGTCAAGGGTACTGGCACACGCGTCGTCATTTTCTCTCGGAGAGGCGTAGGAGCGGTAGCCGTCGGGGTCTTGGTGTGCGCTTTGGTGACGACATTAGAAAGATCGGCCGAGCTGCTGGCAGAGAGAAGGTACTTCAAACCCAGGATGTTCTGAACGTCGGATGGGTCAGTGACAGAAGATCCTGGATATGAGCCTGCACTAGTTCCTGAGGCCGACATGATTCCCGACGACGAGATTGATCGAGTGGACGACGACTCGCCAGCCGTTGATGAGGGCGGCATTTTAGGCGATGGGAGGGGCGAAGGTATACGGTTCTTGGGATGTGGTAGAGACCTCTGGTTGGGAAGTGTCATCATGCTCAAGGTTCGCCCAATGTCGCGAAAGTTTGTAGGAGTGTGTTGGATAGGGCTGTGTACACTAGTGATGCCGATGCCGATGGTGCTGTGAACGTTCCGTGTTGCACGTCCTGTCAACACAGTCTGTAGGATATTGTTCTCCTCAAGTCGTTGGCGGAGATCAGCCGAGAGAGAAAGTCGCTGGGGAATGAAAGTGACATAAGTATCCTCCTCCTCGTCCAGAGATCTCCTGATGATTTCCTCGTCGGCTGTCTCTTCTGAGGCTGCATCCGTCGCGGCATCATCGACGACGCTAGATGCGGGTGACTCTTTAAGACCAGCCAACTCACTAGCCAGGGATCCACGAATGGGCTCGAAAATGGGATCCCGAGCGCCGGCAAGCTCTTGCTCCAAGGACCCTCCGCGACCAAATCCCCTCAATTCCTGGTCCAACGACATGCCATGGTTAAAGCCTCTAAGCTCATCCTCCAGCGAGCCTCCATGACCACTGCCTCTTAGCTCATCGCCCAAAGAGCCGGTGGGGTTGTTGAATCCTCTAAGCTCATCCTCCAGAGATCCTCCATGATGGAATCCTTGCAGCTCCTGGTCCAAGTTATGTGTAAATCCTCCTGCCAGCTCCTTGTCGAGAGTACCAAGACCAAGCTCCTGTTCAAGAGAGCTCATGCCACCAGGGTGGTGGCGATCCCATGATCCTGAATTGAACATTGGGTCGAGTTCATCCTTAAGCGTTGCTAAGCCGTAATGACTGATGCTAGTAGGACTGGCCGTTAGCTGGCGGCTGTTTCTTGGTCTATTATCGCTTCCGTCCTCAGGCTGCTCTCCTGTCTTGTTATCCCAGATGGCCGCATGTTGACCTCGACCTGACCAGCCACGGCCCTCCATGTCAGATTCAATGCGCATAGTGTGAATCGTTTCCTGAGCCTCCTCGAGAAGTTGGGCATACTCGCGGGTGTTTGTCATCATCTCCACGACCTTTCCTTCGCACTGCATCTGCCGAGTCTCCAGTTCCTCCAGCGTCAACCGCATCGTGTCCCTGTCAGAAAACACCTATTGGCACACAGAAGAAAGGACCGTTAGCGACAATCAGATCAGCCATTATCATCAACCCATTCAACCAAGATAGCGGTCATAAAAGCGATAGGCTGTGGATTTACCCTGCCAAGGTCGGATTGTATCATTTTCACCACCTGGGTGGTGCTGGACTGAGTTTGCTTCTGCTTCTGCAAGGCATTGTCGAGCTGGACCTGCAGATTCACATTGAGCTCCTTGGTCTGGACCAGCTCTTGCTCCACCTCTCCCAGTCGCCTGGCATACGAGTTGACCTTGTTCTTGGCGTCGAACATTTCCGTGCTAATTTGGTTCATATGTTCTGACAGCTGGTCCAGGTCCTTGCGGAAGGTCTTCAGCTCTTGCCGGCAGGTATCCAGTTCCCGCTGTAGGAATCGATTCTTCCCTCTCAGCTCTTTGATCTCGTGTTCTGAGTTCGCGAGCTGGTATGAGAGTTCCTGACTCTGGTTCGCCTTGGATTGTAGAGCTAAATTCTCATCGTGCAGCGATTGAAGCTATATGTAATGGTTATAGAAATATGTGGGAAAAAATTGAGACAATGGTCAGCATTGGGCATTCGACACCTATTGCATTTGCGTAGAGACAGGGTGTCTCATGAGGTTACACGAGTCACATACCTTGGCGGCAGATTCAATTTCACACCGCTGAAGTTGCTGGTGAAGGTCCAAACCGAGGCGGGCAGCCATGTCGAGGTTCAGAGAAAGTCCCTGGCGCTCCTGCTCCTTTTGGATCAACAGTCGCTTGAGTACTGCTGGGTCATGAATGTGGTCAACATGCGCCAAAAGGTCGTCATCGTACTCCTGGATCTGCTCGTGTTCCTTACCTATCAAAACATCAAATGAAGACGCATTGGAAGAGATGTGTGAATGATAACACGTTTGAAATGGTTAGAAGTGTCATCGCAGTTGAAAAAAAAGGCAGGGGGAGGGTGAGGAAACGAATATCCCCACTTATTGAAGTTGTCAAGAGTTAGGAGACAGGCGGTCACCCTCACGAATAAAGACGACCACAGTACCAGGGGCAGAGTACCGACTGGCGAGTCGGCAATATGCAAGAAAGCACTGAAAGGGGTTGCATTTTGTTTTGTTCTTTTTTCTTCCCGAGTCCCCTCGAAGGATTCGGATTCGTTCCGGTCCACGTCCTGGAGATCTGCAGGCCTGTTTGGACCAACGCCTGGCAGGTAAGGTGGTCCCTGAATCCCTTGTGAATCCTGAAAGTAAGCATCGTACTCCGTCTCTAACCATTTGTATCGTAAATGGTCAATGTGGCTCCCCCAATTGATCCTGGTTCGATGTCCTTACCCATTGCTCTTCCTGTGCCTGTGTTACTGTCCTGACTAGAAAAGATGTCATCCTGGGACTGGATATATGGTGGCGGGGTGTTATTCTAGCAAAAAGAGTAAAAGAGAAGAGTAAAAGAGCGAAAAGCGAAATTTCCGTTAGTCAGCTAGGGATGGAATCATCAAGTGCAGTACAAGCAGAGTGTTCCTAGTCCCTGCTTGACACCGCAGCTGCACACTTCAACCGACCGCGCCAGAGAGAAATAAGATATCTGGTGAATTTGAGTTGAGTTGGTGCTAGGCCATTTGGCAGTTAACAGCCACAGTTAAAGTATAGATAACAAGAGACGAGCAGCAACAACATCGACGAGAGAAAGAGGGAGAGAGAGAGAGGAGAGAGGGAGATAGAAGTATCCTACTACACACTGGCAGTAACAGGAATCATCGAACCGCATCAACGCATCTTCAAGCTACGCACGACACTTCCACGGTGCTCGCACTGACGCTCCAATTGTCACTGGCCACGACAGATAGACAGCCACACGGTCAGTCAGTAACTCAGAGCAGTTGATCACTATTCCCCACATTGTCGTCACCAAGTTCAATTTTTTTTTTTGGCTGACACACCCTATCTGACATGACCAGGCATGCTAGCAACGCTTTGATACCCATTCCTATCTTCCCGCCCTTTTCTCTCTTAGGTGATGTTACTGGTGCTATTGGACCGTATTGGATTTATCGTAGAGAGTGGTTGTGGTTTCAATTGAAGGAAAGAGGACGAAGAGAGGAAGGGTATGAGCTTCTTACCTCGAAAGAATGACTCCGGTTGTGGGTGAGGTGTCCTGGTTTAAGCATAGTTGTTTGTGTCTAATGTAGCGAGTTTTGTCTCGTCCTGTTGTCCAATTGAAGTGTGTATGTATGGAGTGGTGGGACGAAGGCAGCCCTGTCTCTAGACGCAGGCCTTGTGTCAACTCTGGTGCGGGTTGGTGCGAGTACGTTGATAAAGGAAGGCGTGTAGTGAGTATGTGAGAGTGAAGCGAAGCGAAGTGCGAGGGTGCTGTGTTGGTATGTATGAGAGTAGGGTTGCCAGGGGGGAGTGGGAGTGAATGGAGTGGCAGAGAGAAGGCAGATCAGAGCAAAGGGCGAGATTGGTGTGGCGAGAGAGAGGGGATGAACGAGAAGGGTGGTGCAGGAGGTGAGAGAGTTGTAAGGACGAGTGATGAGAGGTGTGAGTGATGCAATCACACAAAAGAGAAAAGAGAAAAGAGAAGAAAAGAAAAGAAAAGAAAAGAAAGAGAGAAGAGCGTGTGGTTGTGTGAGTTGTACGTTGTTGGGGTAAGGTAGAGTGTGAAAAGGAGACGCTGCTTGCTTGGTTGCTTCGTTGTGTTGTCGGACAAAAAAAATATGCAAAGCAAACATCTACAAAATCGCACATACAAAACATCTCAGGGATACACCCACATGCCATATGGCTCATCATATGGCATGGAGATGCTTGCTGAGAGAGATAGAGAGACACACACCTGGTTGCGGACAAGGTCCAGAAAGCTCATGTAGAAGGAAGAGGATGAGCACAGTCCCCCTTCCCCCACCCGGTTCCAGTTGACCGAGCACAAAGAAGACGAGAGTGGCTGAGCAAGGCACAAAAGGAACCTTGTCGCGCCCACTACCGACTCCCATCTCAAGCCTCTTCTTGACCCCAGACTGAGCCTACTTTGCTTGTGTCCCCCTGTCGATCACTCCTCCTGTCCTGTGTCTGCGTCTGTGTCTGTGTCTCTGCTTGGCTTTTTTTCAAGCATCCGCTTCGACCCGTGACATGAGTGCGGCCTTATCGCATATATTTCTCCTCTCTCTTCTCTTTCTTCTTTTTTCTTTTCCTCCACACACTCTCTCTCTCACTCATCCCTTTCCTTTTTGTCAAACTCGACATCATCACCATCATGAGCAACAATGAACTAAACCAGCAGCTCGGTAGGTCATCTCTCTCCTTCTTCCCTCTCACACCTCACTCTACTTTGTCTCTCCAGAAACCTGCCTTGGCTCCTTTACAACCTTCGCAAAGCACAAAGGCAGCGCGGGTGAGGAATCGCGCTCACAAAAAAAAAAAAAGCTCAGGACTTCAACCCCGACCTACCACGAATGCAAAAGAAACGTGCCCACTACATCTGCGACTGCGGCCGCAACTCTTTGTTCACAGTGAATGAAAAGGCCTTGTCCTCACGTCCTCCTTGGTTCCTCTATACATTCACCCACTCTAACAAGCTTCGTTTTTGTTGCCTCTTACAACTTCGCCACCATTTTATCATGTCCCTATACTAGCAAACATGAACATCAATGGCGCTCGCAGAGATCCTCGTTCTGCGCCTGGACGATCAGCATACGTACCTCCTCACCTGAGAAACCAAGCGCCTCCTCCTCCTGCCCCTGCCGCCACCCGAGGCAATAACAACAGCGATGTGTATGTGCCATACAGTCAAAATGCGCTATTTTGTACTCTGACTGAGCCATGGGAAGTGATTGCTGATTAATTTGGCTCTTTTTTTCTCACATTTTTAGTGGCGGCTGGGATGCGCCAATCCGCTCCAGCACCAACAATCGCCAATCGTCGGGCGGATGGGGCGGTGCTTCAGAGAGCGGATACAACCGTGGCTGGGGCAATGACCATTCAGGCTCGCGCGGTGGCGGTGGCGGTGGCGGTGGCGGTGGTGGCGGTGGTGGCAGCTGGAACGAGCGCGCTTCTTACTCTGGTCAGGGCGGTCGTCGCAACGATGGCGGCTCGTCGGGGTATCCTCGCTTGGACCGCGACGTCGGAACCTTCAAGAATGGCGTCCAAATCCCCGCTGCTCGCAACGCTCGTCTGGAACGTGAGCTCTACGGAACCGAAGACAAGGAACGCACTAATACCGGTATCAACTTTGAAAAGTATGACGACATCCCTGTCGAGGCTTCAGGAACCAAGGTCCCGGAACCTATCTTGTCCTTCACCAGCCCTCCTCTGGACCCCCTCCTGCTTGAGAACATCGAACTTGCCAAGTACACCCAGCCGACTCCTGTCCAGAAGTACTCGATCCCTATTGTCAGCGCCGACCGTGATCTGATGGCCTGTGCTCAAACAGGCTCAGGAAAGACTGGTGGTTTCCTCTTCCCCATTCTCTCAGAGCTGTTCAAGCGTGGACCTTCACCCACTCCCGAGAACAACGGCGTGAGCCGTGGTCGCAAGGCTTACCCCTCGACCCTCATTCTGGCTCCTACCCGAGAGCTGGCTTCTCAGATCTGGGAAGAGTCTCGCAAGTTCTCTTACCGTTCCTGGGTCCGCTCCTGTGTCGTGTATGGTGGTGCTGACATCGGTCAACAACTTCGACAGATCGACCGAGGCTGTGACATGTTGACCGCCACTCCTGGACGTCTTGTCGACCTGATTGAGCGTGGTCGCATTTCTCTGGCCAATGTGCGGTACCTGGTACTTGACGAGGCGGATCGTATGCTGGACATGGGTTTTGAACCCCAAATCAGACGCTTGGTCGAGAAGGAGGACATGCCCGGTGTGAACGAGCGCCATACTCTAATGTTCTCGGCTACGTTTCCACGCGACATTCAACATTTGGCTCGCGACTTTTTGCGCGAATATGTCTTCCTGTCAGTAGGCCGTGTTGGTTCGACCTCGGAGAACATCACTCAGAAGATTGAGTACGTCGAGGACAGTGACAAGCGGTCCGTGTTGCTCGACATTCTTCATGCTCAGCCCAAGGGCGACATTGGCCTGACGCTGATCTTCGTCGAGACTAAGCGCATGGCGGACAACCTCTCGGATTTCCTACTTGGTCAAAACTTTCCCGCCACGTCGATTCACGGAGATCGTACCCAGAACGAGCGCGAGCGTGCTCTCGATATGTTCCGGTCCGGACGATGCCCCATTATGGTTGCGACTGCCGTTGCCGCTCGTGGACTGGATATCCCTAATGTCACCCACGTTGTGAGCTACGACTTGCCCTCGGATATCGATGACTATGTCCACAGAATCGGTCGTACTGGTCGTGCCGGAAACACTGGTATCGCAACCGCTTTTTTGAACCGTGGGAACAAGGGTGTCGTCCGCGACCTGATCGATTTGCTGAAGGAAGCGAACCAGGAAGTCCCTGGCTGGCTCGAGACCCTTGGACGTGAGGGCAGCTACAACAGCTCCGCCCCCCGAGGCCGAGGACGCGGTCGTGGACGCGGTCAGGCGCGTGATGTGCGTCGAGGCGGCGGTGGGGGCGGCGGTCAGTGGTCGAACAGTGGCGGATATGGCGGTGGTGGAAACAATGGCGGCTACGGAGGTGGATATGGTGGCGGCGGTGGATATGGTGGTAATGGCGGTGGTGGAAGTTGGTTCTAAGGAAAGAGCCAACCTTTTCACTTTTCACTCGTCTTTGTGTTTGCTGCACTTTTTTCGGTCCGATAATGTTGCAATTATACCCATTCCGTCCTTTGCACTGCTCGGGGATCCCTGGGGTAACCTACACCGGAGCCGAACACACTTCTACTCCTGCCTTCATATGTACTACCTTTTTTTTCTAGATATTTTCATGGCGGTTGTACTATTAGTGGGTCATCTTCCTTTTTGCTTTTTTTTCTCCTTTTCAACTCTGTACAATACTCACTACGTCATGAAAGCAACTTTTCTTTTCGCTATTCGCTTTATTCGCTTTCTTGCACAATACTACAGTCATTTACTCGCAGGAGTAGCCTTTCCGAAATAAAAAATAAAAAAAAAGACCTGTAACATATCTTGTCAAACGTGCGTCGAAGTAGAGGGACCATTGGATGGGCGCCTTCGAGAGTTGCAATGTCAAAATTACTTGCTGTTCACTTTAGCCCAGTGCGACTGAGCTCCCATCAACGATGTTACGGTACTATGTGGTTCAAATAAAGAAGGCATGGTTCAGTTACAACTTCAACTTCAAAGACAACTACGAAAGGCCATGGTCCCCTTGTTAGTGTAGAAATGAAATCCTTCTGCTATATCTTACCCAATAAGACCAACAGCGCCATCATCCAGGTCCACATAACTGAGGCCAGATGCAGGGATGAGCATATCCAGACCATCCTGCAAAAGAACTTTGTTCAGCGCGTGTTGTTCCCTATTTTCCGAATAAAAAGTAAGCAACACATAGTAGACGTTGAGTAACAAAATCATTTTTTCGTTGCAGTTGCAGCTTCTGTACTGACTACAACCATCTTCCAGTGTCCCTTTTTTGCCGTTGATTCTTTTCACATGGTACAGATCTCAAAAACTGAGAGTGGGTGGTGGTGTGATGCGATGTGGCTTTTCCATCGTTCCTTACCTGGCCAAACCGGACAACTCAGTGCGGGAATAAGCCTTCTCAGACTCGCCACGGTGCTTGAGGCCACGGAGAGCAGCATGGCGACGGATCTGGATCTGGCGGGTCTTGTAGAGTCCCGAGATGAAGCTGAAGACAATTCCTGCAAGCCAGAACTTGTTGGCCAACTCTGTGTATCGCTTAATCTTTGTGAACTTGTATGCTCCCGCGCCATCCAACTATTTGTATATGGTCATAGTGTAGTTGCGTAAGGTTAGATAAAGACAGCGAAGGAAAAGAATGGTGTACGCGAAAGAGTGGGAGAGTGGAGAAGGAGGAGAAGAAGGCGGGGGAGCGGACTTACAAAGATGAGGGCATCATACGACAGATAGCCAGCATAGGCCAGCTGCTTGCCGATGGCACAGAAGCGGAGGAACTCGTCCTTGACGCCGGTGGCAATCGCAGCTGCTTCCAAATGCTCCACAGGTTTACCTATTCACGTTTTTCGTTGTAATTGTCAGTCAGTTACATGAACACAGAAAAAAAAGAATGCGCTCCTGTATTCCTGAATCCGTGTATCCGAAAACAAAGCAAGTAAAAGCATATCGTACCGAAGCGCATCACTATTGTTGTGGAAGGAAGCAAACGACAAAGAGAGGGGGTTAGAAAGGTGCCACTACTGCCATTACATACATCTGATACAAAGTGAAAAAAAGTAAGAGCGACGGTACGTTTGCGGGAGAGGGCAAGGGTCTTTTTGAGGTTGTTGAAGCGGGCGACGGTTTCCTTGGAAGAGCCCTGTCGGAGTAAGTACCAGGCGAGGAAGCGGGAAAAGTACTGGACGGCTCTGTAAATCTTGTCACGGCCCACTGTGGTCGCCGTGAACTTGAGCCATGGCTGGACGCTGATGACTGCGTTGGACATGTCGAAGTAAAAAAGAAAGGGTGAGGTGATGAGAAGGGAAAAGGACAGAGGAAGGTAAGAGAGAAGAAATAGAGCAGAGTGTTTGGGCAAAAAAGAATGGTGGGAGTGATGTGCGATCCGTGCGCATCAAAATGGAAAAAGATTGAGTCTTTGCCGTCGATTCAAAGACACGAACCGAACCTGACCGCGGCCAAAGTGTACATGCACACACAACGTCCAAACAACGCGCTTTTGTTTTATTCACTTGGATCGCTTCTTAATCGTCATGTCCAGCCTACTGACAAGAGCCTTGCCCTGCTTTACATCCACCCTCAACGCACAAAACTCACGAAGTCGCTGTAGATTCTCAACCTCAAGACAGTGAGGACCTTGTCGCATCGTCCACGTCAACAGTAGCTGAATAAGGACTTTGTTGGCCAAACGGACTTGCTGATCTCCTCCTCCTGTGCTCGTGCTCTGTCGCCCTGCACCCTCGCTCAAACAAGTCGGATAATACAACCTCAATATCCCAACGACATCCTCTGGCACACTCTCTACGGGTAGAGATTCGTAAGAAACTACCAGTCCTGCAACTTGCTCCCATAGAACGCCTAAAATCGCCACAAAACGAGACCAAAGTCGAGTCGGAAGTGGACAAGGAAGAGATGCCAAACCCAAGGCAGTCTGTACAGTCATGATGTGTGCTTCCGTCAGGAATACTAGTGGGATGGATCCAACAACAGACTTGCCCTTGTTCATCGGTACCTTCTCCTGTTCACTGAGCGGTTCAAAAACATGGCTACATATCAATAGACGTATTGTTGCAGTGAGTGACAGTATCTTTGTTGGATGTTTTTTTGTTTGTTTGTTTGTTGTTCGTGCACCACGAAAGTAACTCGCGTACCTTAAAAAATGAATCAAGCTGGCTGAAGTTTGCTCCTTCAGTACTTTTTGAACCAGTTCCGAAGCCGGTTTGGAGAACTTTGTATAGTTCCGGGCAAGCGGTAAGACAACGCCATCAATGACAGCCCGTCCATGAGCCTTTCCTGCACGTAGAAGCGCGTCCAAGAGCAGTCGAGATGGTTGTGATGGCAGCTCGGACGCCTGAACAAGGCAAAGACCAAGGTGAAAGGCAGCATATAATTTAGGTTAGAGGAGACCATTGGAAAAGTTACAAGACTCATAGCTGCAGATCAATCCTACAAGTTTTTGCCCGCTGGGTTTACCTTGCGGTAGAATAGGACTCGCAGGAGGAATAGGCTTGACTGGTACGAAAGCTGTGATGCTCTTGTTGATCTGATCTTCTCGGCTTCTCCGGTTTCTTCCATACCTCGATCTCCCTGTTCTGTTTGGCTGGCCTTGTCCTGCACAAAAATCTCGTCGATGCACAGTCGATTGAGAACCCCGTCTTCCAGATGCTCAAGGCCAAGGTCAAGGACCGCCACCTTCACCTAGAGATTGGAACATCGATGTCAGCGACTCTATTACATAATACAGAACACAGTGTGACCATAAACAGAGCGTACCAATACTTACAAGGGATTGCTCTCGTTCAGATATAGACGTGGATGCTTCAACAAGAAGCCGAAGATCATCCCATAACAGAATAGACTGCTGGGATGTAAGAACTTGCGATAACAATGCGTCGCTGGACTCTTCCATCGCAGCGTCGTCCATCTCATCCGTGCGCAAGTCCACTTTGTCATTATCCTGACCAGAATTAGACTCTTCCGATCTGGCTCTAGCGATGTCTGACGGCCGCATACCCTCTGGTTGAACTACCTCCAGCTTTGATCGTAAAGAGGAGATGGCGGACTCAAGGTCGGCAAGGTCAACCGCCGTCATGCTACATGGAACTTCCTCACCGATAATCTGTCCAGCAGCTGGTTCTGGCGTCTTTTCCCAGTAAGATTGGGGTGCCGTATGCGCATCCACAGCAGATTCCTGCTTGTTGTCAATTCGATCCTGCTCCTTGACTTTGAGACTAGTGGCTCGCAGCCTCTCCTTCAGTCTACGTTGCTTCAACGCTCTGAGTGCTAATTGGACGACAATATAGTAAACACGCCAAGGTGAGTGTCCCATAGCTTAGTACCAGTTGGTTCAATATATGCACAAGGTTGTTCGATGGGTACCTGAAGGGGATATGGCAGTTACAACGGGTTGCAGTGCTGGAGCAGTAACTGGAGATATCAGATCATCAGGTTGTGGTCTTGGCGGGAACATCCACACTTGTCTACAGCTGTTCACTAACAAGTTGCCATCGATGTGTAGGTTAATTAGTGTCAAGATCTGATTGCTCAAGTTGGCGCAACAGCAAAATACGACCCAGGTTGTCAATACATACAGTCGGCCGGTCGTCGCGCGTCTGTTAATTGCTGTCTGGTGCCTTTGCCTTTGTCGTGTTCAGCCAGGATTTGTCTCCATGAATTGATCGTCTCTTTGTTCCTCCTCCGAGGATCCGACCAGGGATACTGGGGCATATTTGACATTTGGTAGGCTCTGAAAATGATGGCAGCAATTAATTGTCAGTGAACGCAGGGAAGGTGTGTTGTGTTCATTCCATCCAGAATGAGGTTCATGTACTCTCGCTCTAGTCAAACATAGTGCAGGTTTTCTGTACCAATGGTTCCTCCTGCGGGATGGTTGAATCCAGGGACACGTAGGTGTACTTGAAGGTCAAAGGAGAGAGAATTGGGCGAAGAAGTGGCGGCAAGGGACAAGCAGGCCTTTTTTTAAAGCGACAAGTGAGTCACGTGAACGCAATTTGCGAGAAGGTGATATTATGAGAGAAACCGCTGGCGGAGTAGGCCCCTTCTCTTTCCACGATTTTTTAAATTGTGAGTGAACGGCAGACGAAAATTCATGTCGCACTGCGACTGGGGGAACACACATACAACACACATCCCACCATACGACAATATCCATCGATCACTCCAGCTATCCATCCACCATGGCAACATACATATCCATCCAGCATCACCAGACCATCACTCTCCAACCGACCATCTGCACCAGGACCAGAGTCGTCATTATCGCTATTTTCTCTCTTGTCGACCTACTGATGGTAGAAACAGAGATCTAGGCTGGACCAGATGAAGGGGTGGAAGAAAGGAAGGCTTCAACAGACTTTTAGCCGATTCGGAACTCATCGACTTTCAACAGCCAACGGATCGTCTTTTTGCCTCTCGGCAGTACAGAAGGGCTCAGGCAGGAGTGGTGTCCTGCTCTTGGTGCAGGACAGACAGCTATGCGACATCCATAGCTACCACAAACAGACGACTCGCCTCTACTGTGCGACACGAATCCGCAACACTCAAAAGCTTCGAAGGACGAAATCAGCTCCAGAACAGGGATCAGGATGACTACAACACCTCCCAAATCCATGGAGAAACGCTGATTCACCATCACAGGACTCTGTTCAACCAGCCACTTCAACCAAACAACCTCTAATCGACCTTTCCCCCTTTTGACTAAATCCTCTTTAGTAAAATGGGTCGTGTCATTCGTGCTCAGCGTAAGGGTCCCGGAGGAATCTTCAAGTCGCACACTCGCCTGCGCAAGGGTGCCGCCAAGTTGCGCTCCCTCGATTTTGCCGAACGTACCGGTTACATTCGTGGAATCGTCAAGGAGGTTATCCACGACCCCGGTCGTGGCGCCCCCCTCGCCAAGGTCCAGTTCCGTGACCCCTACAGGTAATACGTTTTGTCTTATCTGTCTTTGCCTAGAGTGCAGGAACGAGTGCCATAAGCTAAGGAAGTGGTTAATGCTTACCAGGAACCGACAACGCAATAACTGGCTCCGTCGTTACCAAGCAAGGATGCTGCTTCTGCATTACGTCAATATTTTCAAGCGGGAGACGGGATAAACACATACGTCTCAACAGACAACAAGAAGTGGAAGGGTGGCCAAGGTCAAATTGAAATTGAAAATTGCAGGACAAACCTATGAAACGACAGTATTGGAGGCGATTACCATCATCTGTGCCAAGAAGCTTGACAGATCGACAGCATATTTCGACACCACAAGGCCGGAGCATATCAGGAGCACCATTGGCGCCATTTCACGCCAAAACGACTACCGACAAAGCAGCAATTGCACACGGAAGCTAACCTACTCGACCGTACTTTTGTTTGTCGTCTCGCACTATAGATACAAGATGCGCACTGAGACTTTCATTGCCACTGGTGAGTGCAGCTTTTTCAGCGTTTTTACTATTTGAAGTGCAATCGGAGAATAAGCATGCCCTTGACATTGCATAACCTAACATCTTACTGTCCCTTGCTTCTCCAATGATTGTAGAGGGTACCTACACTGGCCAGTTCATCTACTGCGGTAAGAAGGCTGCCTTGAGCGTTGGTAACGTTCTTCCTTTGGGCTCCATGCCCGAGGGTACCGTTGTCTGCAACGTCGAGGAGACCGTCGGTGATCGTGGTGCTCTCGCCCGTACCTCCGGAGGTTACGCCACCGTCATCGGCCACAACACCGATGATGGCAAGACCCGCATCAAGCTCCCCTCCGGTGCCAAGAAGGTCGTCTTCTCGACTGCCCGTGCTACCGTCGGTATTGTTGCTGGAGGTGGTCGTATTGACAAGCCCCTCTTGAAGGCCGGTCGTGCTTACCACAAGTACCGCGTCAAGCGCAACTCGTGGCCCAAGACTCGTGGTGTTGCTATGAACCCCGTCGACCATCCCCACGGAGGAGGAAACCATCAGCACATTGGTCACGCTTCGACCATTGCCCGCGATGCCGTCCCCGGTCAGAAGTCTGGTCTCATTGCTGCCCGCCGTACCGGTTTGCTTCGCGGTTCCAAGAAGCTCAAGGAGTAAATCATTGCTTTGCTTTTTCACCAAAAATAAATTCACGAACCTTTTTCTGCAAAAAAAATCTCCCATGTGCTATTATCACGAAGGAATGTTATTATAGCTACAAATGAGCCTTTGTTTGCTTAGCGCTGATCTGTTTGGATGTCGACTCGTAAAATGACGGGCAACTTCTGGAGGTTTTGAGGAGGCTGTTATTCGTCTCGGGTTTGTCTGATGGTTCCTGTTTTGCTGCTGCTGAGCTGTGCTGGCTGGTATGTGGCGGTGCCTCGGAGTACTTTTCGCCCGAGAACCAGGACAAGTTGAACCATCTGACACCAATGATGGACATTCCCGCCATGGTGGAGGCATTTGCGAGAACAGCAGTCGGTACCGCTGAGATCCCGAACCTGAGCCTGCCACCTGCGCAGTTGCTGCCCACAAAGTCCATGGCACCTCAGGCACCCCAACAACCACAAGAACTTCAAGAGGCTTTATGTGTGCCGACCGGTTCCATCAGCGCGGGAAGCAGCAGGAGCAGCAAGAGCAGCAGCAACTGCAAACTCACCGCCAGTGCACTTCTCCGCCTGCCCGCGGACTTTGCCGAGAACTTCAAGAAGTTTACTGGTATGCCGTAGGTCCTGTCCTCTGGCACGGTCGTCGATGATGTGCAGGCAGCGCGGGCACAAAAGCTTGCCAGCGAGCAGTCGGCAAAGCCGGAGCTACAGCTTCGTCATTGAAAATGTAAAAGAAGTGCTCGAGGTATTCGAAGACGAGGCGGATAAGGCTGAGATTCGCGCGGGCGGTACTGGAGGCACGGCCGGGAGAGCTTCTGCAGGAGCTTAACGGCTCGGAGCGTGCCTATCTGGCGCTGTTTGCCAAGGACCCCAAAGAGGTTGGCAAGCTGCTGGACAAGAGCTAGCCGGACATCTCCCTGGATCTGCAAGAGAACAACCCGGACGACGATTTCAAGAGCTTTGTCCACCATTGGATGAAGCACATGTATCTCGTGTACCGAACAAGGAACTACCAACTGCCCACTGCAGAGTCTGAAGGTTAGTTTCTTAATATGCTTTGGGGACCGCTGGCTCTCATCCTTGACGCGGAGGGGGCGCTGCAGTACAAGCATGCAGAGTACAACTCGAACTCATCCGCAATTTGGAAGAACATCGATCGCAAGCGAGGCAGGCGGCAAGCCGTTGGCCAAAAGGCAGACGGCATAACCTTGGGTACTTCCACGGGACTGGATATCTGTGTCTTGGAGGCTGCGAAGAAGGATAACGGTGCACGGCTCTTGGTGACATGCTCAAGATCGCAAAGTTTGCGAAAGATATGGTCGACGTTACGCAGGCCAAGGTTCCCGAGGCAGTCCACCACCAGCTTGTCGCTTACTGTTTCTGACTTTCGGCAGGATCAATGCACCTTTACACTTTAAAGCAACGAAGTGGTCGATTTAACCAGCTGTCCTATGAGACCAGCGTCGCGTTCCCGGCAAAGTAGGATGCATTTACCGCCAGAGATATTACGACTGTTATCGTCCAGGTTATGGCCCTCCGCAAGGAGGTGGTGAGCTACTACAACAAGCTGGTGATCTGGAAGAAGGGCCACAAGGCGGCCAAGGAGTCGATTAAGCCTGTCATTCCCACCCTCCCCACGCCTGCCAGCACGCCAAAGAACTGCCCTGCCTCTGTTTAAAGAACTCCTGTAAATAAAACATACTACTCTTTGTTGTTTTCTCTCCTTAAACTTGATTCTGTTTTGTGTTGGCAAGCAGCAGATATCATTGACCATCTACATAGTCGCATGGTTGTGTGCATGGTTTGACTGGGGAAGCGACGAGTCCGCACAGTGGAGACTGTCGCATTGCGAATCAACTGCCATTGCTGTCCTGCTCTTTCCCTCCACGGCCAACAAGGGGGGTGACCAAGAGCACGGTCGCCAGTCTCGAGAGCAACACCCGAGCATCGGGTCTGTATGTTCCTTGGCAAAGCTGCTGTCGCTTGTGCGTAAGAATTTAGTCCGTGCATATCTTCTCCTCCGACTTGTTCTGTCGTTTCCCATGGTTGATGTACTGGAACAATAGGTGACAAAGTGATATATAAACGAGAAACAGTTAACGGTCGATGCAGGGGCCCTAGGTTGATGAAACGCACGTCCTTTTCGTACCTGACAAGCCTGTTTCTGTGCCTGAATTCCGTCCGACACTTGAAGCGCCCGGAGATTGCACTGATCAGCACCCAGTCATGGTCATGGCCAGCTTGAACATCGCTCACATGAGCATCAAGGCACGCCTTGCTATGGATGCCGCGTCGGTGCAGTCAATTGTTCAGCTCTCTCTATTGTTTATTCTTACTTCGATGGGTGGGTGACTTTTTAGAGAGCTTATAGAGCGACACGGAGTTCAATCCCCGCCACCATGCACCAAGGGGTCTTTTTGTTACATGGAGGCCTTTTTGTTACATGGGGTCTTTTTGTTACATGGGGCCCTTTTTGTTACATGGGAGCGTTTTTGTTACATGATGTCATGGTGAGCCTCTGAGGACCAAGCCACTCGTCAACTCAACTGTCCCCTCCCTCGCCGCACCTCCTCCTCTTTCTCTTTCCCTCCTCCTCCTGTTTTTCATTTTTTTCTTTTATTTCCTTCTCTTTCTCTTTCACCCCCCCCACCCCCCGTTTTTTCTTTCTCTTTCTCTTTCTCCTCTCTTTCCCTCACCCCTCCTCGTCCACATTCTCCACTCTCAACCAGCTCCACTCTCAACCAGCTCCACTCTCAACCAGCTCCACTCTCAACCAGCTCCACTCTCATCCAGCTCCCCTCTCAACCTGTCCACATCGTCCTCGCCACCTTCACCTCTCTTTACTCTCGGCATCTTCAATCACCTTCGAATCCTTTGCTCACCTCCTCTATTATTCGATATCGGACACACCCACAGCCCCGTAATCCCAACAAAGAAGCAAGGTAAAAAAAATGGCTCAGTCTTGGGTGGCAGCAGGCATGACGTGTGTACGGGTGTTGAGAAGTGATGGCGAGCTGGGTCCACCTTGGGTACAGAAGGGCCAAAGTCTATGCCGTGCGCTGGGCTGCTCTTCATATGACCTGACTGTCAGCCTCGGCTGGCGGTGGCGCTGGATTTGAGCGGGCTACTCGAACCACTCTGTAGGTACAGAAGGGCTATAGAACATGCCATGCGCTGGGCTGCTCTTCATATGACCTCCGCCATCGGCGGTGTTGCTGGTCCTTGTAGTTTTGCTCTCCGTCAGACTCGTGGGTACTTGAGGGTGCATCGGCCCTCATGACGACCTCTCTCATTTTCTTGACATCCACTTCTCGCTGAGGGTAAGCGAGGCTTCGTGTGCATTGATGATTGTCCAACTCCGTGGGTACCGAGGGCTAAAGGACAAGCCGCGCGCTGGACTGCCCATCATATGACCTCACCGCTGCCTAGGTAACGGTGGTGATGCTTGGACCTGGATTTAGTGCCGTCGTCCGCGATGTCCATGTGGTTTTTCGAGACTTCGCTCAGCTCGGCTGTTTTCACCGTTGGGTGACTGGGGCCATCACCCTCGCTTTGTGGGGGTGGTTTAATAGCACATAAAGGACTTGTACGGTTGTGTTTTGTTGTTGCTTGAGACTGAGCCATTGCCTTTTCTTTTTTTCAGTCTTTCTCTATCCTTAATAGATTTGTACGAGTTTTGTTAAGATTGCTCGAGCAAGATTATGCGATAGAATCGAGCAAGAGGATAGCAATAGGATCGACGACAAGATAGGATTAGATACATTCCGGAAGTTCAATAAAACATGAAGTAAAAGTGCTGAAAGACAATATTCAACATGACAAATATAACAAACTCGTACGGGTGTTGCAGTTGTTTGTTTACATCGAAGAGAGCGAGAAAGAACATGTCTGTATTAATATACGAGTAGATTGTCCTTTGCTGCTATTATATAGCGGACGCAGTCTGAGTTCTATAAAAGACACATCCTTCCATTTAACCATTTTCAACTTCTTCTTCCATCTCTCTCTACTACACCTTCTCACCAACATCCATCATTGGCATCCACGGCCTCGGAGCTTGACTGCGAAAGAAAGACATATACCCAATTTCTCGCATGAGTACAGCGTTCTGTCCCACATGCAGCCTCGGCTCTTGTTCTCAGCACTCCATCCATGTCGATTTACTGGGTTCTCTACCTTACAGTTCAATATGGGTGTAGTTGCAACAGTATCCAAAATCGCATGGCTCACAAAAACGTTTTGTGGAAAAGGAGGCTCAAGGCAATCAATTCTGACCAATCATTTTTTTGAAAAGCTCCCCTCGCCCTCTTTTCTTTCTCTCCCTTCCCCTATCTACCACAAAGTACGAAGCCGCTGAAGAGTTTGATGACAATACACAAAACATTCGCAGACTGGGGAGGTCAGATGCATCATCCAGGGATGCATTGTGACGAGAGACACCGATGTCGACAATAATCTGTTCCATCGGTGGACGCCATCTCTTGTATTCTTTCCTCTTGTTCAAAGGTCAAAAGTCTTTATCTTTTTGTTCCTTGGTCATCTTCTCCACCATGTCACGTTTGTTTTTGATTTCCTTCTCCTTACAATGGGCACACTTTCTTTGGCGTCTTCTCTTTTTCTTCTGCGCTACGGGTACAAAGGTGTCTCTGGTAGCTGCCAGTGAGAAAGACGATCAAGAGAGACGTGTGTAGAGAGTTCGAAAAAAGGGACCAACGAGACCTGTGTCCATGATCACAAAGGATACAGCAACATTGTGCAGCTTGTTGGAGGTTGTCTTCTCTCATTTGTCAACGCTGAGCATCTTTCCTATTGGGTCGCATTGTCATTTATGAAGGATGTGTGTATGGTTACTTGGTTATTTCCATAAGTCTTTCTCTGCTCTCCACCTTGCGCGCCTTGGCCTTGTCTTTGTTAAGCACTGTTTTCCAACCCACTGGATAGGCGCCAGACACAGTTGACGACTTTATATTTAAATCCTTTCTCATTGATCTATAGTGGCATCTCGCGGGATGATTGTATCGAGGATGACACTGGTGTACTGAGTAACAGCACAGGGACGAACATGCAAAGAAGGACAACGACAAGGAAAGGACAAGGAAAGGACAAGGAAAGGACAAGGAAAGGACAAGGAAAGGACAAGGGCAAGACAAGGACAAGAACAAGGACAAGCGGCACAAGGCAAGATCACTCGCACAGAGTGAGCATGCTGGAAACTACAAGCACTTATATGCACCGGCATCGAAGAGCAGGCGCAGGGCCTCTTCATCTTCCTCTGCCTCAACACTCGACAGCAACGACGCCATGGTAGTAATACCAAACTCTTGTCCTTGTTCGACATTTAGCTGCTCGCGAGTGGGTAGAATCGCACTTGCTCCAACGACAAATGCTTGGCCCAAGTCAATGCCGAGGATCTTGATACTCTTGGGATCGCAACTCCAGAGCTGGGTGACGTCCTACTTGGTTGAAGCGATATTCTCGATCTCTGTCAAATAATAATCTGTGCCGCCAACAGTGGATGTTAGTCGAGAAGGCAGCTTCTCCACTGGTAGTCGTTTGTACTTGAACGAGTGGAGCTCATTCAACTTGAAAGCGAGCACTTGGAGCCGGAACCCGTCTGTCCGAATCGATCCACGCAGAACATAGCCTTTCTCGGTGTAGGGAGGTAGGTTCAGACTTGTCGTCCCGGATATTCTGGAGATGACTCCTTATCTCCTCCAAAGGCACCAGGGCGGTCGACTTGGAATAGTAGGCCTTTCCCGTTGATCCGCTGGGTATCGGCCAATGTTGGTGAGTAGCCTGGTGATGAGGAACCCAGGCGTTTTTGTTGACAGTCAAAGACCGACATCTGCATGTGTGCTTTGATCAGAATGCTCCATACTCGGACACTCTGGGAAGCCATACGGCTGAAGCGCGCGCCTCAAAGGTAGGTCCTGCCAAAAAATCTTGGTTAGATCCAGATCCGACAAAGTATTAAACTTGACATCGAAAGACGACATTGGCACCAACGAGCGACGACTCCCGCAGGCCCTGTTCAATAGTACGAAATTCCCTATTGCGGATCTTCGAGGCCTCTAATGTAATCTCCGACTTCTGAAGGCAGATCAATGTCAAAAACTTATGAAGGTACAGCTTTCATCTCTTTTTACCTTATTGTGGAGATCGATCGCTCCATTCCTGTAGTGATTTTTTTTTTAGCTCAACGGATAACTGCAAGGCGGCAGACCTCAGAAACGAAGACCCAGGATACTCCTCTGTAGTTCTGCCCTCCGTAAAGTTGGGCAAGAAGTCCTGCGCTTGTTTGATGAATCTCCGAACGTGCAAACACGCACCCCGCTTATCTCTGGGAAGCTTGGTAGAAAATCTATGGCTGCAGGGAGCGACATGAGAAACGATAGCGCCTCGTTTTTTCTTGTCATGGTTGTCGTCGTGTTCCTGGGGCCCCTCGGGGTTGTCGAGCTCTTGGCCTGTTTCCTCCTTGCTGCATTCGACTAAATCCTTGTTGGAGAAGGCAAAGCAAAGAATGTTGAAAAATCTCGTCAACTTCACTAAGAATCTCGGTGTTAGTAGGAAAGGTGCTCAGCATTGACAAATGAGAGAAGACAACCTCCAACAAGCTGCACAATGTTGCTGTATCCTTTGTGATCACGGGCACACGTCTCGTTGGTCCCTTTTTTCCAACTCTCAAAGACTACTGTCTGCATTGCCGTGCGTATGTGTGCGTGTGCGTGGTGGGATGCAAATAGGCAAGGTTTTGCCTTTCCGTGTGCAAAATTCCGAGCTGTCTTGCTCACTCTTTTCGCTCCAATCAATCTATACTTCCCTTGATGGACATCTAGGAGGACTAGCTCCGACAGCTCATTGCCGCTGGTGTTTTTGGTCGTCCCAACGTTCGCCCACTTCGCGGTAGTTAATTACGTGGTCGCGATGCGCCTGGCGCCAGTGCCGGTGGATGAGGACATGGCCAACTATGTTCGCTCAATTCATCCGGAGGCAGCTGCCCATTTCACTTTCAAGCTTAAATCAACTCTTGACTCGCCCGCTCCTCGTTCTATTTTCAACTACCATCGGAAACACAATTTTTGTTTTCCAACCCACAGTCGTCCTCAGAAGCACTAGAGGCTAAAGGCTCACGTTCATCTGAAATAGCGGGATGAGATGGATGCCGGTCGAGGTCAGGGATAGCTGGCAACGGCGCCGAAAACCGCACCCTTGATCTTCACTGCACTCTCAATATCATCAGCGCTGTCTGCAGGACCGTTTCGTGAAACGAGGAAAGGTATCTCATAAACGACGACACACAGCCAGCGTTGAGAACATGTTTTTTTTTACAAAAAAAGACTGGTTATTATTACTTGTATGATGTACAGGGGAAGAGAAGAGGCACTATGTAGATGGATATTTTTTTGTCATCGTCGTTCGAATGTCTAATGGACGATTGACTCTCTTTTAGTTGGTGGGCTGGATAGACTTGGTCCTGCTGAACGTCCGGCTGAACATAGTCTTCATGGTGGGGACCATGTTGAGGCCAACGATCTCGTCGTTCAAGTTGGTGGGGCGGAGACGACGGAGGATCAACTGGCGGGCGGTGGCGTAGAAGATGATAAAGACACCAAAGGCCATAGGGATCAAGAGGTAGATAAACTTGGTGTTGGGGCTGGTGCCGAACACGACGTGGACACCGGGAGTGTAGACGATGAAGAAACCGAGGGCGCAACCGACGACAATACCGATGAACGACCGGAAGTTCGAGAACATGTACTTTCCAAAGGGAAGTCTGTAGCGGGTCTTGCAGGCGAACATGTTGAAGAGCTGCATGATCATAATTCCGAGGTAGAAGGTCGACTGGGCCTGGGCAAGGATATCCTTGTCCTCCTCAGTTCCGGTGGACGAGAACTTGTTATCCTTTTGCATTTGCACGGCCTGAGCAGGAGTGATGCCGCGCTCCTGGTAGAAGACGACAAAGAAGGACACCAAAGCACCGATGGTCTCAATGATACCCACCTCAAGGTAGGCCCAGGACAACAGACCGGCATCGACCAAGACCTCGTCCTCGGTCGACTCGAAACGCTCGCGCCAGTAGACAGCGGTGAACAAGGCCTTGAAGTTGTGCTGGAAATAAGCCCAGACAGAGGGTTTGACCTCCTCACCAGACTCGGCATCATAGACGGAGGGCAAGTCACGGGTGGCAAGACGACGGCGACGTTCGACAGAGGCAGTGGTGACGGGCTTGCGGGGAGGAAGGCGCATCAAACCGGTGTTGGACTCGGGCTTGTCCCAGGCGAAGGTCAAGGAAATAATCAACTCGAACCCAAGATCGATAACCAGAATCAACATGGCAGAGATGGGCAGAGGGATCGAGGCAATGACATAAAGCAAGTTGGGGATAACCTCGGGCATCGAGTGAGTAATGGTGTACTGGATCGACTTCTTGAGGTTGGTGAAGATCAGGCGACCCTCCTCGATACCGCGGACAGTCGAAGCAAAGTTGTCGTCGAGCAAGATCATCGAGGCGGCCTCCTTGGAGACATCCGATCCAGAAATATTCATAGCAATACCGAGATCGGCCTTCTTCAGAGCAGGGGAATCGTTAACACCGTCACCAGTGACACCAACAATGTGGCCCATGGCCTGGGCGCGCTTGACGATCTGGAGCTTGTGCTTGGGCGAGGTACGGGCAAAGATGATCTCGGGCTTGGAGAAGATAAGATCCCAATCGTAGTCGGTCATCGAGTCGATCTGTTCACCGTGGATAACAACGGCGTTGTACTCGTCGTCGCCGACCTCGTCAATAGAGCAACCGCGGTGCTTGGCAACCATCTCCTTGGTATCGGAAAGGATCAGGTTGATCTTGCGACCAATGGCCTCGGCAGTCAAGGGGTGGTCACCAGTGACCATCATAACACGGATACCAGCAGAACGGCAGCGGCCAATGGCTTCACGGACTCCGTGCTTGGGGGGGTCCTCGAGCGAGACAAGACCGACGAAGCAGAGGTCGGCGGTGGGGTAGTTCTTCTTTTCCTTGTCAAAGACAATATCGTCGGGGTACTGGTCGCGGGGTAGCAGCATCTGGGCAAAAGCGAGGACACGGTGACCCTTGGAGGCCATGAGGGCATACATCTCGTCGTAGGCTTTGGAGTGCTCAGCAGTCAGGGGGACAGACTCGCCGTTCAACAGGATAGTGCTGCAGATGCGCAAGATACGTTCGGGGGCACCCTTGATCAAGAGGGTGTACTTTCCAGTGGCGTGCTCCTTGTCATGAATGGTCATGGCCCACTTGTTCTCAGAGTTGAAGGGAACCTCAAAGACCTTGGGGTACAGGTCGTTCAATTGGTCAAAGTTTCCAATGTTGGCGGCGGCGAAGCGGGTCAACCCAGACTCGGTGGCATCTCCCAGAACCTGACGCTCAGCAATGGGGACATCGGTACGATCAAACTTGGCGCGGGAACAGAGCGAGGAGATAGTAAGAACCTCGGGAATACCGGGCGAGCTGGCATCGAAGGGAGCACCAGCGTTGGCTGCGCTACGGAAGGCAGAGTACAGATTCAGGGACGACCAAATGTTGGTAACAGTCATCTGGTTGCGGGTCAATGTTCCAGTCTTGTCTGTGGCCAAGAGGGTGATAGCACCAAGGGTTTCGACTCCAGTGAGATCCTTGACCAAGACATTCTGAGACGCCATGCGCTTGGCGGCGATGGTGAGTAACATGGTGACAGTGGCGGGGAGACCCTCGGGAACCCAGGCGACGAAGACACCGATAGCAAAGTTGAGGGTGTTGGAAATAGCAGCGCTTCCCTGACCGCTGTAGACAGCAAAGTAACCGATGAGGAAGAAGACAATGGCGGTGGAGATGGCGATGGTGGCGATAATCTTGACAAAGTCGTCGATCTCACGCGACAGGGGCGACTTTCCAGCGTCCTCTCCTGAGGTCAATCCTGCGATTTGACCCAAGACGGTGTTGTCTCCAGTTCTGATGACGATACCGTAGCCCTCTCCATTGACGACAAGGGATCCATTGAAGGCGAGGTTGCGGGCTTCAAGAGGGTTCTTGTGTTCGTTGACGACAGCGCGGTCCTGGGGGTCGGTCTCTCCGGTAAGGGACGAGTTGTCGACCTTCATGTCGGTGCAGGCATAGATCATGACATCAGCAGGGATCTTATCACCCATGCGGGAGAAGACAACATCGCCCAAAACAAGTTCCTTAGCGGGGATCTGGATGGACTTGCCATCGCGAACAACATAGCACTGTTGGGGCATAAGGTCGAGGAAGGATTGGAGGACAGCGGCAGACTTTTGGGCCTGGTAGAACTCGATGGCAGCATTGAGGAAAGCGACAATGATAAGAATAGCACCGAGGTAGGTCTATTGGATCAATCGCGTAAGGAAAACGCAAACGCAAAAAAGATAGTTGTTAGAAACCTTTGGCATAAGACGGATGCCTTACTTAGACAACGAACACGCGCAAATGATGTGTGCGTGTCAATCAACACGAGAGAAAACGAATAAGAAAAATGGGCTAACACAGACACCCGGGCTGGTGTACTTACATTGACCTTGTTTTCCTTGGGATCGACAGCCAAGAGGATATAATTGAGGACACCGGCAAGAATCAACAGCAAGTTGAAGAGTGAAGTCAAACAGTGGAAGAACTTCATGAAAGGCGAGATCTGCTTGGGAGGCGAGAGGATGTTGGGGCCGTTCTCAGCGAGGCGCTCAGTGGCGGCAGCGGTGGTAAGACCCTGGCTGTTGCCTGATTTTTGGAGGTCGATACTGACATTGTGTCTGGCCGCGATCTCTTCCACGGGGAACAAGTGCTCCGTCTATTTTTTGAAGATGAGGCATTTTTTTTTTGGGCAACGGTATGATTCGTTCCAAAAGGAAAAGAAATAAAAAGACAAAGTAAACAAAACGGTGAGTTGGAATTATTCGTTTGAGCTGACAGGCATAGAGAGGTGAAATAAAGAGTGGAGTCGCGACTCAGGAGAAGAATGAAGAAAGAGTCCGCCTGCCTGCAAGAGCAGAATCGAATAAGAATATGACCCTCAAATTGATCCAGGCCATTTCCCGCTTTACATAATATATCTTCTCTCATGAAAGTTGAACAAGAGTTCCTGATCGGTTTATCCCCTGGTTTGTGTTTCTCCCTCGCTGCATGCCGGATCAGGTGGTGCATTGGTTGGTTCCTTGCTGCTTGCAGTTGTGGGCTGAAGTATCCGTCGAAAGGTGTCTGCCATAAACTCCAAGGGATAAGGCGAGAGGTGGTGCAGGGAGGGGATTGAAAAGGCTTCCATAGTTTTTCTTTGTTTGGCTGCTGCAGATCGGTCCGAATAAGAAAACGAAAGAACGTGGTGTTCGGACATAAAAAATTAGAGCGGTTGTATGCTTACAATGTCGAGGGTCTTCTCATTTGTAGGCTTCTTCCCCTTCTCGTTGTTGGCGACAGCGGGGGTGGTCCTTGTCCTCGTCATGGCCAATGGCTCGGAGAACTCGAGCTTTTGGTCTGAAGGGCCTTGATTTGCGGCCATGGTTGGTTGATCTGTGGTGTCGGAAGGAAGGGTCGTCCTTTTGTTGCTAGAGAGTGGTATAGAATGCTCGAGTGGGGGATATATAGAGGGGGGTGTACAATTGCAGAGGGGAGTGGGGAGTGAAGAGGGGGAGGAGGGGTATTAGGAGCTGAGAGATAGCACCTGTTGAAGAGTGAGGAACTGAAAGGGAGAGGCGAGAGAGATGCTGAAAGTTGAAGGCAAGAAGTGAAGTGAAGTGGGAGGCGGCGAGTATTTAAATGGAATTGAGAGAGAATTGAAGGGGTGTCTGTGCCTCAATTCTATTTCTGCTGTTTTGCAGTTCAGTTCTTGATTGTCAAAAGAAAAAGAAAAAGGAGCGTTAAGAAATCAATGGGACAGAGACGCAGGCTGAATTAGAGCAGGCGGGCTGGGTCTCTGCCTCTGGTCTGGTATGGTGTTGTGGAAGAGTGTATGTGTGTGCGCTGTGTGTGTATGCCTATCTCGCATAGGGTAGAATGGCCGTGAATAACCTGAATAACCTTTGCCCGGGGATTGAAAAAATCAAAAGAAAAAGAAAAAGAAAAAGAAAAAAGGGGCGGGGGGACGGAAATCCCTCACAGTCGCACCAACCAGCAACAGAAAACCCTTTTGAATTGGATGCAATACTCCTCATCAGCACAACGTCAGACATGTCAACAAACAAAAACAAATCAGCAACTTTTGCAGTAAGGGAAGAAAAAAGAAGAAAAAAAACTCGTTGTGGATAATGATGATGATGATGCACTCCTGCACTCCTCTTTCTTTCTCTCTCTCGCTATATCTTCCATACTTTGTTCATATTGTTTTGGAAGTGTTGTCCCTGTGCCCGAAATGTGTATTATTACCATGAATTTGAACAGTAGCAAGCAAGCAAGCAAACAGCCTGTTCCCATCTCAATTAAGCCCGACATCCAGCCACCACCAAAGATAAAAAAGATAATTTTAGCTGCCTATTTGATTACATTGGAGGAGCCATGGCAGCGTGCATTTGGAGAAAGAAGAATGGGTACACCATCATCATTCACCCACCCCTTTCACTCCAATTGCCACAGTACTGGGTCTACTTCTGTCTGATTCTCTCTTATGCTCTTGATGCCTTTATCATATCATATCATATTGATGCTCATCTTGGCTCTTTCGCTCCCTTTCTTGCTCTAGTGAGTGGAACCTCCTGACATCAATCTTTTCCACTGTTATCAGGTTTTCATGTTCAAGCAAACGTAAACCCATATCATACACAAGTTTATTATTTCAGTCAATTGCATTTTCTGTTGTTGATGTTCGCTCTCAGCGAACAGAAAAAACCCCTCATCTCTCTCTTTTTTTTTCTCGTTTGTACGTCGTACGTCAATTGTTTAGATTGTAATGTCGTAGCGTTGTTGTGCTTTTATGTCAATTGTTTTTTCCCTGAACCATTAAGCAATCGAGTAACTCTAATTCCCGAAAAGCATCTGAAGAATCCACTGGACCTTCCTCCGGGTCCAAACAGACAGCTCAGGACAAGAGAAAATCACTACCATAATCCGATTCACTTTATTCACTATCTGTTTGTTCAGGCCCCACATTTCCTCCCTGTCTAAAACAACTCCATTTTCACTCCCCATCACTTACTACTTCTTTTTTATTTCAGAAGAGTGCAACCACCCTCAGAAACGGATCATAGTCCTCCCTTTCTGTCTCTCTTCAACTGCATGCACTCTTCCATAACAGAAAATAAAGAAAAAGTCAAATGGCCATAAACAATCGCAGAAGCAGTTATGGTCTCTTTATTCAATTTCGTGACAATTGGACAAAAATAAAGGGACACCTTGACATTCCAGAGAAAACCATTATTGTGTGTGTAACTGGACTTTTGGTCATCTTTGTTAACACGCACAAACGGTAAAACATATCATGGGCGGATACGCGGATCATCACCCATATATTCCTTTCTGAAGATGAAGACACGGTTGAGAAAGGACAGTGAAAAGAAACGCGAATGGAAAGGGAAGAATGGTTGATTCTACCACTTCAAGGATCTTCATCTCAGTTTCGTGTTTATACTCAAACACACTCTTCGTATTCCTTGATACAGTTGTAGAAGAGGAAAAAAGTAGAAGGAGAAAACATCTAGGGCAGTAGATACCTTTTCACTTTGACAGGCATTTTTCTGGAGGATTGAAACGGTAGTCGATTCAAGAAGAAACAAAAATGCAGATGGAAGCAAGTAGCAAGATCAGTGCAGATTGAGTCTCTGCCCTTCTCTCTCTTTTTCCACTTTACTTTCTTTGCATGCCTCCTTTCGGTGTCTACTGATTCTTTGGCTGCTCCATCTCGTACAGAATCTTTTCGATCGCCTGACTGAGGTGGAGATCAGAGAAGCGATGATGGTTACATATCTACTCATGAAAGTCTTTTGAAAAGGAGAAATTTACCCTCCAAGCTCAGTGGAGTGGAACAATGGGAAACAGCATGTGGGTCCGAGAAGAACAAAAAAGAAAGATAGAAAAAGGGGACATTCCTGAAATGATGGATCCTCCTCGATGTCATGACACGATGGCTGGAGAGGTACTCATTTCGTGCTATTCGAGTGACTGAACTATCCTTTGTTCCTTTTTACTCCCTTATGGTTCGCGACCATGTCTTTGAGATTAGAGGTACCCTTCCCAACCCATTGCATATCGTCACACCCCCATCTAAGGACCTGCATCCCTCCTTGCAGTGAGTGTGTACCCTTCCTCCCCTCCCCCTCCTCACTTTGGACCCTCCTCTTCCTTGCCATCTTCTTCCTACCTGCCTTTGGTTCGTTCCTGATCTTTATCCCCTCTCTGAAACACGACTAATCGCGCTTTCTGATCATAGTAGACGTTCATTTGTCGTTCCTGAGCGTCAGGTATTTGGAGTAGACAGGCTACCCTTTCTTCCTTAAGGGTTTATCCCCCATATGGACCAACCACAAGAGCACAAAAAAAAAAAAGAGGAGATATTCTGGGTTTGCTTTGTACGCCGTCCGTAGGAGTCAGAGTGATATATGCCCCTTTGCCCCTTTGCTGTCCTTCCCCTTCTCCCCTTCTCCCTTTATCCTCCCTTTCTTTGTCCGCTGCACAAGATGCAACAACCACAACATTGACAATACCAAAAAAAATGAAGACATGCTAACGAAATGACGAGGGGTCACATCCTTTTCCGAACAACACTTTTTTTCTTGGATTTGGATATTTTTTTTAATACCCTGTTTTGATATGCAAGATGACATCCTTCTTTTTTGCAATTGAAAGCTGCGAATCCCGGCGGGCTTGGTGGATGGCAGAGGCTAGATCGCAAAACTCGAATTTGTATTTTACTTTCGAGTCTAGTGCTGAGATATTTTTTATCGCTTTTTTTTTTTTTTTTTTTTTTTTTTTTTGTCTAATAGGGTTCTCACTTCTTATCTTTTTCTTCCTCGGATGCAGCAAGTATTCATCGTAATGGTTCAGCCATGTGGGTCAGTTTCCTTCCTTCCTTCGTCATTCGCTAGCTCGTATCTGTACATGTGGTCAGTCCTAGTTTCTCGACGTATTTTTTGCTAATCCGCGACAAAGCTGTCAACTAGTCGACTTTTTGCACGCTCGACATTCGCTTTGAATCGTCCCCTCACTCGCCTTTTATTTCCTCGTCCTTCATGCACGCAAAGATGTGATGATGCGATTCTCGGGTGCGATAGTGGGTTCGACTTTCAACTCTATCTAGATTTTTTTTATCATCGTTGCGTCTTACAAAAAAAAAAAAAAAAAAAAAAAAAAGAGTATGAACAAACTCGCAAAACAAATCGTTTTTTTTTTCTCTCTCTTTACCACTCGCTGCACGCCGTTATTGTTTGAAACTTGATCTTTTGTCGATAATTCCTATTTGCTTCGCTCAACTCATCTTCTCCGCCAAAAAAAAACAAAAAAAAAAAAAAGGCCGGGGTTGAAACTTGATCATTTTTTCAAGTTCTTCTTCTCGCCTTATGCAATTGCCACTCGTTTTGCAATTTGTTATTGTTCGTTGCCATTCGTTACCATTTTTTCAGTAGGCGACCAAGTTCTCCCACCACCAACCACTCACTCACTCACTCACTCACCGCACCTAGCATTATCAAAGATGAAAAAGTCAGCCCGCCAACCCAACAACTTTTTGCTCTTGTGAGAAGAGGGCCCAAAAGAATCATTGTTCGAATCAACAAATGAAAAGAGCGAGCGGGCTGTGGAAATTTAAGACCAAATTTGGAACTGTTCATTCACCCCCAACCTGTCAACCAACAACAACAGAGCACAAAATCGACGACAGGGAGATGAGGTCAGGGCTCCTCGTGCCCATCCTTGCTTTATTTGTCGATTCTAGCACATGGCCTACCCTTGCCGGAAGAACAGCGAAAAGAAAAGAGGGGGGGACGGATAAAAAAAAAAAAAAAGAGTTTTACGGCCGACCTGTGGAATCAAACGGCGTTTTCTCTAGTTTTGTTCTACGAGTCGGAAAACGTTTGACTTTCTCTCTTCTTCTGTGTGAACGTTCCCCTCATGTTTTACTGTACATGTCTTTTTTTTATTTTTATCGCTTCAAGCACTTCTCTCTCTCATTAACCCTCCCAATCTCCTCCTCATTCAAGGGCTGCAAATCTTACAACAACCTTCGACACATTTCAAGCGTGGCTGCGTTGCAGGTGTGCGACCTTATTTACCGAGATTTTTTTGTCGCATTGCAGTCATCATATACATCTCATATTCCGAACATAAGGCAAGCTCAAGCTACGAGCCACAAACAACAACCTCAAAAAAAAAAGTGGGGGGGGGGGTCCGTACGAAGTTGATTGACATTTGTTATTTCATTTTTTGAGAGTGTGGTAGTGGTGTGGTAAGGCAATGAAAGAAAAGAAAGGTACTGCAAATATCTAAAAGATTCTTGCCGCAGCTGTCGATAATATTGCTGTGTGTGTGGAAGAAAGCCATCTATTGTCTCTCAGTATCCAATTTAAGAGAAAAGAACACAAAAGGTTTGTAGTCCTTCTCGTTGAATCCAGGAATAACTTCGTCTCCAGTAGCATCCTCGCGATGTGCACCGCCTCGGTTTGAAGGCGATCCTCCCAAATGACCATACTGTGCCGTCAAAATGTCAAGAATCTTCTTGTCCTGTTTCAGCTTGGGCTTGATCGTGAAGCCGACAAAGTCTGGAGGAAGACCATAGCGCAAGACAGACTCGACAAAGACGCGGAGTGACTTCAAGTGTGTCCATGCCTGGAAGACCTCACCAAAATTGGTCTTGGCCAATCTCAGAATCGTTGCCCACAGCTCCTTCTCAGACGCATCCATCTCCTCCAGCTCACGCCTCTGCTCCGCAATCGCATCCTCGCTGTACTTGAAATCGCGGACGATAAATCTAATCACAAATTACATGCGTCAAAAGGTCAATCGCAAATTCCTTTTCTTCTGCATTACATATCTCGCATTGACACAAACGTGGTTCATATCACGACGTGTTCAATTGTATCCCAAATGCTCACCTCTCCTCGCGACACTTGTTGGTAAAGTCCTCTACAATACGCCTGAAAAGTGTGACAGTGTACAGTCCGTACTCATCATCCTCAGCAATTTTTCTATTCAAGTCACAGGTACCGGAGGAATTGAAAGCATGTTAGTAAATGTGTCCCTCGTCAATAAACATTTGCTTGCTGGAAGCTATTACAACAGTGATACATTGGACGAAAGATAACGTACTGTGAGGACCGAGGAACGACCATCTGAGTAAGGCTCTCGTACTTGTTTGACCAGTCCTTGTAAAGAGTTCTAGAAGATCATAGCAAGTAATAAATTAGCATAATAATTTCCAACGCTTTTGTTGAACGGGCAATAATGGTAAGAGCACATCTCGATCCATCAATACTCACTTTGGTACGGCGACAACAAGAGTCTCCAAGTATTCAGAGTCCAAAACAACGTGCACCTTCTTCACAAAGGGGACAATGTTCCTGGATGCCAGGTTACCACTACGTAGAGTTTAAGCAATCATTCAGTAGAAGCGTTAGTCAAAGTCGATCCATTGTTTCTGAAATCAACAAATATCCTCACAGCCTTATGTCGATCCATTTGAAACAGCAAAGGAACAGTCCGTACATCTCTCGCCTCTGAATGCCCTGCAAATTTCCTTTGACAACGTTGTAGTTGGCCATCTTGTTCTTCATCAGGGTATCAATCGACGCGACCTCCTATAGAGTTCGAATCCACGATGAATAAAAAGTAACAGTATTAGCGACCAATTGCACATTAATTTGTCCCCTTAGTACCCAAGATAGGTCTTCCAAAAGCATACTGTAAAATACGCAGTATATAGTGGGGCGTAGACGTACGTTGTTCAGAAGCTCGGCGAGTTCGACGAGTGACTTGTCCGTGCGGTACTTCATAGTGTTCCATTGGAAGGTCTTCAGAAAGTTATCGATGGTCTCTATTATATGCATGAACAGGGGTGTTCTCTCAATGTCAGCAGATCGTTGAAAAAAATAATACATACAGAGACTAGATCACATCTCCAAGAAGACGACACTGTTCCTGTTGTTGTTGTTGTAGTCCCCAGAAGCTGTGCCTTTCTTGCAAAGATCTCCTTTGTCAACCATGTCGCAAACGCAACTTATAGGCAGACCAACAAAAACCTCGTAATTTCTCTCTCTTTCTTAGTGAACTACATCATCTATCCCCTTTCATCCAATTAAACATATCGAGTTCCAATCCTCAGTCCGAGAACTTACTCTCGTTCACAGAAAGACTTCCAGCAAGCTTGGTGGCAGCCTCGGCGCCCAAGAGCGATCGAATGATATCGACCAGCTTGTTGGCAGACGACTCAAAAGCGGTATCTTGCTTCGCCAAGTCCTCCGACAACAAAACGAGCGTATCCAAAGTTCCAATCTATCCATGAATACACACACAACGTGAACATTGTAATAAGTTGTGATTGTGTTAGATTTTCCCAGGCGTCACGCATTCATTCTTTCATTCATTCAACTGGGCCATTCCACGTCTGTCAGAGAAAGTGGGTGTTGCAAAAAGAAGCCGAATGAAAACAACAGCAAGGGCTACTCGTATCCAAACAATAACACCAACTCGTACGCTTCCAAAAATACGAGTACGCTTGGCAGAGAAGAAAGGACGCGTCGAGAAAGAAAGGTGGCAAGGGACGGTACCTTGAATTCAGGGATGGGCAATGGGGCGACTTCAGCAAGGTCGTTCTGGCTGGAGGCGATCTTGGCCTTGAAGTTCTGGAAGGTGACGGTGCGGTTGCCCTCTCCGGGGACAGACACAAACCAGTACTCGGGCATGGCGTTAGACGATGGTATGGGGGGGGGGGGAAGGGAGTGGAGCGTTGATGAATAGAACGAAAAAAGGATGCGATGAACTGCCTGTCGACAAGTCGATCCTTTGCCTGAGTGAGAGCACTTCACGCCTCGAGGTCTGCGTGACTGTCAGGCCGTGCCCCTGTGCTCTTGCATAGTGGTCAGAGACAAGTTGAACATTGGACAAGGTGCTTGTTGACGTCAAAGGGAGAGGCGGGAAAGGGGGGAAAGGGAAAGACTTCTGATATTCTACCCCGTTACATATCCATTTACATTCTATATTTTTACTTATGCTTAACAATGATACTTTGTCTACAGAAACCGCACCTTGTCAACGCCAAGTCCACGGCGCACTTGTGCGACCGCAACAATCTCCTTGACAACCTCCTCCAGGATAACAACGTTCGTCAAAAGCTGACCCAACGTCACGGTCTTCTCGCGCCTTCCAGAGCTCGGAATTTCGCCTGAGGCTGTCGTGCTCGAAGATGCCTCGCGTGTCCGCCTTGAGGGCTTGGGAGTCTTTGGAGCATCGCCAGCTTCATCCGATCTACCAACAGATCCCTCCACGCTGTCCTCCTCCTCACTCATCTCTGACCGTCCTGTCTCGCCGTCAGTCTCGCTGTCAGAGTCGTTGATGAATCCATCGGAGAACAGGGGTTTGATCAACATAGTGTCCATGGTCCTGAGAAGCATAGGGTTGGGGGTATGGTTGGCCTGAGTGCCGTACGATCCCCAGGAAGAAGGTTGAGTGCCGGCAGGTCCGGCCATACCAGCGGGTCCCGTTGACCGAGCACCCATCGAAGTCGAGTAGTTCGAGTTTGTGTACAGTGGGAGGGAACCAGCCACGATAGAGGACCCTCTAGGAGGGTAGACTACGACAGGGGACGTAGGCGATGACACATTGACCTCAGCTTCCAGAGCTGGAGCCAATGGTCCGCCATTGCCATCGCTAGCACCAGACGCGACTGGGGTAGCGTTCTTGCCAAAAGGACGCTTACTGATACCTGTCGTAGGCGAGAGGAACGACATGTTGGAGGGCGACGACATGAGACTCGAAGGTGAACTGCTCTTTCTGGCCTTGGGCGAAGGGATCATAAGGGTAGGGGGACGTGCTCCGGCGACTGGAGTGCGAGGAGTCGATCCCATGGGTCCAGGGCTCATCGAGGCTGCCATCGAAGGTGCATGTTGGTGACGAGGGTCATATGACGCCTGGGGTCCACTGTGATACTGTTGAGGTTGCTGGTACTGCTGGTATTGCTGCGGGTACTGCTGAGACTGAGGCTGTTGGTACTGTTGAGAGTATTGTTGATGCTGGTGTTGAGGTGCGCGGCGACGGTCGTTGGCCAAGCCAGGGGTATGAATGGCGCTGTTGAGTTCCGTGGCGACCAAAAGGCCGCGGCGGCGATCAGCAAGGTACTCGTCGAATCCATCAATCTCGCTCCTGTAGTAGTCCACCTGCTGGGTCAAGGTCTTGAGCATAGTGAAGAACGGAGGGAAAGACTTGAAGGCGGGCGATTCGGAGGCATCGGCATTGGTGGCAGGGACAGGCGAGGCAGTCTTGCCAGACTTGCCATTGGCGCTACGAGTGAGGTAGGCGGGCAGCGAGTCCTCGTCGTCAGAGTCGCCAAGCTGGAAGCGAACGTCAGACTGAGGGTTGGTTCCTTCTTCATCAGCTGACTTCTTGATATCCGAGGACTTGAACAGCAACCATCCTTCCAGAGAACGGTAGGGGCAGACAGCCAAAGAGGTGATGACTCCAGTCAGGGCCAAGTTGAGCTCGACACTGTGAGAGAAATAGTGATAGAGCGTACCGAGCAAAATCTGCAAAAGTGGATCCGAAGGCTGCAGGCGGTGCATGGGGACAGGGTGGACCTTATCGCAGCAAGTAAGAGCGCCCATAGCTTCTGTCGTCTTTTCCTGCTCCCGAATAAAAGCATCGCCGGAAAGTTCGTCAGGCAGATCCATCTTTTGGCCGTACTTCATACTGCGACGGCGTTGCTTCTTCTGCTCCAAGGCAGAGGGTTGACCAGGCTTGGCCTCGCTGCTTTCCTTCCTCTGCAAGAAACACTGGTGGGTCTCAACGGTGCCCTCGGCATCACGCAAGTACGACTCGTATCCGTTGCAGAAGATCTCAGCAGTGTTGTGGGGATTGATGGTCGAGATAAGGGCGTAAAAGAGGTCGAGTTCGTGGACATGGTGGCTGATCATGGTCAACTCGGCATCCATGGAGTTGGATTGGTCGGGCGACTCGCGGAAAGAGGTTGCCTTGCTGTCTGGCTGGATGCTGAGCAACTTGAGCGAGTACTTGCAGTGGCGGGTGATGACGGTGTTCAACAGCTTCAAGGTCGCAATCACTGTGGGCTGGGATCGGGACTTGAGCCGCGAGAGGATCAGATCCTTGAGGGTGAAGCGTCCATGAGCCATGAAGTAGGGCGATGTTCCTTGAGGGTTCTGAATCTCTGCGAATGCGTCGTCAGTAGCTGCGGATGTCTTGACGTTGCTTTGCTCGTCGTCTGAAGCCATCAGGAAACCAACTACCAAGTCGACCAACGCCTCGTGTTCTAGGACTTGAAGAATTAAATCGATGTAGCTAATAACAGCCACAGAGCTCCCGTCCGTGTCAGAGCACTCCAAGATGGAAGGGTACAAAATGTTCTCCAAGAACACCGACTTGAACGAGACCAAAAGGGCGGCGACAATGTCGCTGCTGGGGCACCGCATCATGATGTCCTGGCAGAACTCGAGCAGCTTCAAGAAAGCATCCAGTCTCGATTGAAAGTCGGGAGAGGTCGATATTTCAATGTTGACTCGGTTTGACTGGGTAGTCTCAGCGGGGGGTGCGCGGTCGTTTAGGGTCCCGACCATGCTGTTTATATTGTTGGGTCCACCGCGGACAAGCAACTTGCGAGGGAGCTGAGAGTAAGACGCACCGACTCCTGCACTCAAAAAGGAGGTGAAACCCAACTCCATGATGTATTCTCCGAGTGATCCAGTCGCCAATTCCATCAAGAACAACAATCCAGTTCGAGCAAAGTCGCCGGCTTTTCCTTCCAGGTGTACGAATCGTGAGAGGTATGAGAAGAGCAAGAACTCATAGTCGCTCTTGGGTTGAGGGACCGTCTGAGGGATGGTCGAGTTGTCCTTGTTGGGTGCATCCGATGAAACCGAATCCTGTGTTGCCGAATCCTGTCCTGCCGATGTGTCGAGTGATCGTTGAGCAGCGGCGGCGTCGTTGGCTGCATCGGCAGTAGCAGTCTTGATGGTCTTTAACAGCTCCATGGTCTCCATGGTCTTTTGAAGTCTCTTGGCAGTCCCACGCTGGGGGACGGTGAGCCATAGCTTGTCGTGGAAAAAGATGTTGAGGAGCTCGGGATAGCCGTGGATCTTGGAGCAAAGGATGTACATCAGATCAATGAGATCCTCATGGTAGCTCTCACCATCAAACTCTGACCCTTGGGCACATGTCCGGAGGAGCTTGACGGTGGGCGTGTGGACAGCTTTGTGGACTAAGAATCGGTCGTCCAGTAGGTTGATCATGCTGGCAATCGTCCGAATCGTCTCGCCCATGATACCCTTGGGCTCGTCACCCTCAGCATTGTTCACTAGCTTGGTAAGGACGCTGTTATTGACAAGATATTCCATACAGACGCCCATTGCTGAATCTTCGTCGAGACGAGACTCTTCGTCAACAAGGAGGTCGACCATGCTCTTGAGGCGCATAGGAATCTCGGTCTGCTGAACGTACAGGCTGCGTTTCTCAGGGGTCGAGAAACCTTTCTGTGTAAACAAAAGGGGGATGGACACAACAGTGGGTCAGTCATCAGTCTCATCTGGTTGGATGATGCTTGCTTTGTCTGTAGCCATCATTCCTTCTGTTTCTCTCCCACGCCTGTGAAGAAATACTTTAAAGTCATTGAAGTGAGCATGTGTGATTACCTCAACTACGATCCAGCAATTGTTGAAGCGACTGACTTGCATGGCGCTACTAGGCTCGGTCCTAGGAGCAGTCATGATGGTCTTTTTCAGCTTGTTCCAGAAACTGGAATCCATGGTGGATTATGCGTGCCTCTGTGTTAAAGTTGGGAGTATGATGTGTTGGGTGATGGAAGGGAGAGCGAGCTCACAGCGACCTTTGCGGGCGGTCTGGGTGAGATTGTCTGGAGGTAGGGACTGACGGTGGTCTGTGGGATGGCGGAAGGGATGATGACGAGGGCGGTGGCAGCGGTGGTGGCGTCCGGCGGTCGAGGCGAGAGGTGAGAGCGGAGGTAAAGAAGAAGAGAAGAACAGGCGTTGAGTGAAAAAGAGGGTGTTTCTCAGGAACGAACGCCAGGCTTCAGTAAAAAAAAGACAGTCCGTGAACAGTGGCTAAAATTATCGTTGGGGACGGCATGGCACATGGCACGGGCACACACACAATGGAAATCTCAATGAGCAAAATCGTATTATTTGGGGTTTTTTTCAATCATAAGTCAAGGGTAAAGGGTTCCAACGCCCTTCACGTTCCTTGATCGGGTTTTGTCATCTTGTCCTATCGCCTCGAATCGTTGTCCGTAGCTATCCAGTTTATCTGCAATTGAGAAAAAAGAGTCGAGTGGCTGGGTGTATTTTTACCAGCCGTCGTTGGCGGGACCTTGGGTCTGGTTGGAGCCCCAACCAGAGTCCGCCTGGTTGCCCCAAGTAGAGCCAGGGTCATCACCAGTACCAGCATTAGCACCATAACCTGCTGGCTCCGCCTCCTCGTCGTAGAAATCGTCAGTCTCAAAGGTGCTAAACGATAAAAAGGTTGAAGCAGACATAACGTTGATTTAGCGCAGTTGCTCGATCCTAAGACGCGTTCTAAATTGGGAGCCCTGCATGCTGTGGTAAAATCAAGGTCTATATAACTTACACGTTGGGGCTGATGTAGGACTGCAAGAAATCCGGAACCTCCTGCTTGCACTCAAGCAACAGCTTGGTCAAGGTAGGCGCCAAGGGAATGTTGTTTGAGTTGTAGAACGAGGTGGCGGTTCCAGGATTGCCCGCACGGGCGGTACGTCCGATGCGGTGGACGTATTCGTCAATGTCATTGCTAAGGTCGTAGTTGATCACATGCATGACATCCTTGATGTCAAGACCACGGGAGGCTACAGCAGTGGCAATCAAGATGGGGCTCTTGCCCTCCCTATCATTCCACATGGGAAGACAGTCAATGGTTAGCGCGCTGCGTTGGCCAATAAGTTACGATTGTCAAGAAGCTAGAAGCGACAAGGCGCTGAAAAGAACAAAGAATGAATGAATGGGTGAACTTACTTGAATGCCCTGAGGGCCAGCTCGCGCTCTCGCTGATCGCGATCGCCATGGATGGAGCAGGTGGGGAATTTTTTGTTGTACAAAAAATCGTCGAGAGCATCCGCGGTGCGCTTGGTCTCAACAAAGATCAGGGTACGGGAGGGAGGGTAGTCGAGGAGGGTGTTGAAGATTGTCTCCTTCTTCTCGTAGTCCTCGACGTGGATGATATTCTGTTTGATCAAGGAAGTGGTTCCACCAATTCTATTCGACGACAGTTTGTAACGTGAAGAAACAGAGTATAATAAGCAAGTGCACATGGAGACAACCGATAGATCAAAATGACTTATATAACAAGCTTCTGCGATTACCTTCCAACACGAAGACGACAAAAGTCCTCCTTCAAGAACTCTCGGGCAAGGGTCTGAATATCCCTTGGGAATGTCGCACTGAACATCAGTGTTTGGCGACCCTCGTCGCGTGCAAGATCCGACGACATCATGATCTGTCGGATCTGAGGCTCGAAACCCATGTCCAACATGCGGTCAGCCTCGTCCAGAATGGCGACACGGACGCGGGCAAGAGAGACAATGCCTCTCTCAACCATGTCTTTCAGGCGACCAGGGGTGGCGACCAAGATGTCACAACCCTTCTGAATCTGTTCCTTCTGCACGCGGGACTCGGCTCCGCCGTAAATCACGACAGGTCGCAGCGGAGTCATATAGGTGAACTATCACATCACATGAAGTATAAAAGCATAGTTCAGAGCCAATACGGTAAGCTGTTGTACTTGAACCTTTTCATAATAAGCAGATAAAGCTCCAACGATGCTCATGCTCAACTTACTCTTCTCGCCTCTTCAAAGATCTGAATTGCCAACTCCCGCGTGGGCAAAATGATCAAGACAAGTGGAGTCGCCTTCCAAGCTGCTTGGCCGGGTCGACGGCGGATTGTCGCCAGCTGTCCCTTGAAGATCTTGGAGACGAGCTTCGAGATGGTGGGGACAAGAAAAGCGGCAGTCTTGCCAGAGCCTGTCTGGGCACACGCCATCAAATCGTAGTTCTGCATCAAGATGGGCAGAGCATTACGCTGTGATAACGTCAACGACAAAGAGTAGATGAGGTAAGTTGGCTCAAGTTAGTCGAATACAAAGCCTTGAGGATCAACCAACGCCAACACTTTGACAATGAAAATGTTGCAAACACTGTTATTGTTCACACCTGGATGGGAGTGGGTTCGGGGAACTCCATGCGCTTGACGTTCTCGAGGACTACAGAATCAAGACCAGCGTCATCAAACTACAGGTGATAGCGAATAAAACACGCCAAGAGAAGTACTGATCAGTAAAAGGAGCTTGCGAAAATGTATCCGATAGCGAGTTTCACACGCTCCCCTAACAATAAAAGCCAACAAGAATGCCTGCCTGTACTTACACTAACGATGGGAGTCAAGCCAGGAGGACCGTCCTTGACAGAGACACTCATCTCGGCATAGCTCTTGAAATGGATGCCCGAGTTGATACGAGACTCGGAGCTGAAGAGCTCTTTCTCGAGAGCAGGGTCGCTTGGCGCAGAGTCCTTGGTATAGGAAGACTTCCATTCGTAAACCCTCTTCTCGGAGGACCAGGTAATAGTTTCGGGGACAATGTTGGGGTCACGCTTGACCCAGTTGCCGATCGACTCGGACATGTTGTGATATGCTCGAGGAAGTGCGTTGGGTTTGCGTAAGTGAGAGTGTAGAGAAAGAGGAGAATAGGGTGGAAGAGGGGACAGGAGAGGAGTGGGTGGTGGAAAGAGAAGGATGAAAAGAATAGTCGCCATTTGTTTTATACGCGGATATCATGCGATTTGATTGGCTGAGAGGGAAACACAGCAGACATGGAACTCACCTTCGCAGGGACGCCTTTTTTTTCTTTCACAAACATAGACACATACACACATAGGAGCCGATTGTCGTCTTCTTCATCATCGTCGTTCCATTAAATATATTACAGTGTGTGAACGAGGAGAACACCATGATATACAAATACAAAAATTAGGTAAAATACAGAAAGGCTGGCATGAGAAAAAGAAGTCGAAACAGTCCACAAGTGGTCCATTCCGGCTCCGAAAAAACGTATCATCCCAGCCTCTGGTTTGTCGAGGAGACTTCTACTTCTTCTCCTCCTCGGGCGCATCGTCACTGCCCTTGATTCCATCATAATCGATCTGACTGCTCTCCGATGTGATGTTGCCAGCCTCCGCCTCCTTCTCAGCTCTGGCCAGCTTCTTCTTGTCGAGTGTAGCCTTGGAAGGGACAAAAACCAAGGTGATACCGACACAGAGCAAGGTCACAGCGAATCCGATCCAGAGGCCGACCTGGTATCCCTTCAAGCTCGATCCTGTCTTGTGAATCACAGCCCCCGAGATGGCGTTCGTAATCGCCAACCCGACTCCTGATCCTGCTTGCATTGCAACCGAGAAAACCGCGCCTGAAGTGAGGATAAAGAAACATAAGAAGAGTGTCGTAAGTTTTATGTCAGCCAATAGAACATCACATTATGTGAAGCAATTTATGTGAATGAACATGGACTTGAAAACTTACTGTTGAGGCCGTGTTCGCCAGATTTGGCCATGGTCAGGGCGGCGACCATGGCGGAGGTGTAGGTCATTGCAATACCAATCTCGCCGATGCACATCGAGGGGAAGGGCAGGGACCAGTAATTAGTATCAGCATCAGCAATGGCAAACAGAGCAGCTGAAACTGCCATGCATCCTGTTCCAATCACCAACAGGGGCTTGGCACCCACTTTGGGGATCAAGTATCCGGCAAGAGGATTCAAGACAAGTCCTGGGAATGCCAAGGGGAAGAAAGCATAGGCAGTGTTCAAGGCTCCGTAACCCATGACTTCCTGGAATATGAGGGTGCAGTAGAGATTGTAGACAAGGTACCATGTCTGGTAGAGAGCGCCGATAATCAACATGGCGGTGAACATGCGCGTGCGGAAGATGGTCAAGGGAAGCATGGGCGACTCGACCTTCTTTTCAATCCAGACAAAGAGACCCAGGAGCAAGACTCCGAGGATGAGGCAGACAATGACCTGGACCGACTTCCAGTTTCCATCTGAGATGCCGTAGACGATAGCGAGCAGGGCAGCTGTGATAGTAATGGCTCCAGCGAGATCCAGTTTAACGTTGGCGCGGTACTCGGCACTCGATTCTGGGATGACAAAGTAGGCGATGATGGCAACCAGCAAACCCATAATGGTCGAGCTATAGTGGTGAATGAGAGAGGGTTAGAGTCTACATCTTAAGATTGGACTGAAAGCAGTAATGATGCATAGTTTCAGAGGATTTATGCCTACTAAAAAATCCTACATGTAGAAAATGTACTTCCAGCCGATGGTGGCGGTAAAGACACCCCCCAGGACGAGGCCGATACCAAATCCAAGGGCACCGCTGCTGGAGAAGACGGAGAGGGCTCTAGACTTTTCAACCTCTTCGATGTAGGTAAATTGGATCAGGGCGAGGGCGTTGGGGATGGTTGCAGCAGCGCCGAGACCCTGCATGGCACGGGCGATGCAGAGGACGATAACACTGTTGCTGAGTCCACAGACGAGGGACCAGATCGAGAACCACACAAGTCCGATAAGGAAGAACAACTTGTGACCATACTTGTCGCCGAGCTTGCCTCCGATCAAGAGGAAGGTACCAAAAGTCAAGGTGAAGGCGTTGATGATCCAGGGGAGCTGACTCTCGGAAAAGTTGAGCTCGGCCTTGATGGTGGGGAGGGAGATGTTGACGGCGGAGAGGTTTGCGACATCGATGAATTGTGCGAGGCAGAAGACGACAAGGATGACCCACTTGGGGGTTGAGTGCGCCGACTTTGGAGTCAGCATGGTGAGTTGAATGGAATGAGGTTTTTTTATTTATTTTTCGATGGAGAGGCGAATGAAGGAATGAGCTATTGGTGTTGAATGAGAGATGGAGGGAGGAGTGTCAACAAAGGAGAAAGAAAAAGAGGAAAGAAAGGCGAGGAAAGAGTTAAAACGGTCGACAGTTGGTTGCCCGCTCTTGTGGGACCTTGATTAGGGTTCCGAGGGGAGAAACGACAAAGTCTCCGACTAAAGACGGTTACGGTTTAATGTCGCATGGGTATGTGAGCGAAACACACATGGGTGAAAGAAAGAAATCACACACCTTGCTATTTTAACAGGAGGTTTCATATCCAATGGCGAAGGGTGCCAGACAAAAAATAAATAGGGGAAGGACCCCAGGCGGGGACGATTAGAAGCTGAGCACCTCGATTGCTCGATAGATTGAACTCTTTGAACAAAATGATTGGTTTTCTCTCTTTGTTGTTAAACTCTCACAGTAGAAAAGGATGGGCGTCTACCCATGTGGTTGTGTACCATCCACCTTTCTATTACCCCGCATTTTCATCCCACTCCACCTTTTTTTATTTTTTCCCCTCATTCTTTCTTTTTCTTGTGTCGGTTTGTTCGTTGTGTGTCCTTAGCTCTCTTTTTGTTCATTGGAGTGTCACCCCCCAAGGAAAGATCCGTGTGCACAAAACACTTGCACAAACAACAGACAGCCCTTCTGGATGGTCTGTGCCCTGACACACTCGCACTTTCTTTGCAGCACCCCTTATGCTATCACACACCATATTTGTTTCTTGACTCTTCATATCTTCATGTAAGAAAAAAAAAAAGCTTATCGACGAGAGGCACCTTCGCAGAAACATTCTACGGGCAACTGGATCTTGAACCTCTGCCCTGCCAGGTCTGAAGTTCCCATTGAGGCAAGTTCAATATAGTCCCAATTGTGGTTCCTCCGAAGCCCAAGAAAGCTCTAAAGATGAAGGAGGTAGGGTATGTAACAAAATTCAGTTCATTCGACACGGGAGACTCAAGAGGAACAGGTAAAGAAAGAAAGAAAGCAAGAAACAGACGCGTAAAAAGAAGCTGTGCAAAGTAGATTGGATAATACTCCATTTCCTATTGCTTTGCCTGCGAGTGACTGGCCTAGGTGTGGCTTAGTTGTATTGATTGCACTCTCCAGCAACCCACTTTCTTTTTTTTTGTGTTCGCCTTCTACAACTGTTTCATTGCATTCGCCACCAAATCGACTTCTTCTTTCGACAGACACACACATCACCTTCCATCACCAAATCAACACAGACACAAAATGAGAGACGCCGATCCATCAACAAACGAACGCGAGTTCCTCCTGGCTGCCTTGAAGGACGGCGCGCGCATCGACGGACGCAAGTTCTACGACTTTAGAACTCTCCGCCTCACTTTCGGTGCCGAGTACGGTGCCGTCGAAGTCCAACTCGGTAACACCAGGTCAGCACCTCTATCCTCACTATCAAACGTCTTTGGATCATGACAACAAAAAGGGAAAGAAGACGATTTTACATTATTGGTAATAGGGATCTGACAATTTATTTTCTTTTTTCGTGTCTTGACAAAAACAGAGTTCTCGCAAAGGTGTCATGCGAGGTGATCAGACCTTATACCGACAAGCCCACCGAGGGTTTCCTTATGTTCAACACCGAACTGTCACCAATGGCCTCAGCAGCATTCGAAGTTGGAAGGTAAATCATTTCTCATCTCCCTATCGCGACCAATTGTATCTAATTCATTTTCGCGAACAAGCACTTACTAAATAATATGTTAATAGACAAACAGACGAGGAGGTTCTTGTGAGTCGACTGATCGAGAAGGCAATGAGGAGGAGCAGAGCACTGGACACTGAAGGATTGTGTATCGTTGCAGGAGAGAAGGTGTGGTCGATTCGTGTGGATATTCATTTCTTGGATCATGATGGAAACTTGGTCGACGCAGCCTGTATCGCTGCCATCACAGCTTTGCTTCACTTCAGGAGGCCAGACGTAACAGTCGTTGGCGAGGACGTTACTATCGTGAGTCGCTTGTTATTATTTTCTGAGATCATAGGAATGGAACATGACCTTGTCATCTCGAACAACAATTGTGCATTTGGACTAACAATCGCTGTTTTGGGCTTTGCTCTTTGTTTCTTGTCTGTTTTTGTAGCATACCCTTGAGCAAAGGAACCCTGTGCCGCTCAGCATCCATCACATCCCTATCTGCACCACCTTTGCTTTCTTCAACAATGGGTACGTTTCCTTTCCAATTCCATGCAACACAGGACAGGATACAGCAGTTGAACCAGCATCGTTTCTTTCTTGTGTGTCGGGGATCACACAACATCCACTAACACTCTTCCTGAAATCCTCATTCACAAACTTTTGATAGTGAGCGCATGATTGTAGATCCTTCATTCCTGGAGGAGCAAGTCAAGGAGGGCGACATGACGGTCACACTCAACGTTCATAAGGAGGTCTGCGCACTGTCCAAGGCTGGCGGTATCCCCATGGAGATTGATCAGATCCTGCAATGCACAAAGATTGCTGTTGTCAAGGTTGCTGAAATTACTGCCCAGATCCAGGCTGCCCTTGAGGCCGATGCCAAAAAGCGGTAAGAACAACGTCCCATTTTTTTTTTTTTTTTTTTTTTTGGAATGACACAGGACTTGACCAGCATAGGTTGCAGTGAAAACTAACATATCTCTTATTATTTTTGTGTTCATAGTCAGATCGCCAGGAAATAAAGCAGGAGAAACGGGACTGCACGTTTTTCATCAACGGCATACAACAACAAAGACAATAAAAAAACCAAGACCATCCAATACCACTTTTGACAGGATTCTGTATGTTAACTACGCCCAAATATCATTCAGAACCTAATTCTAAACTTGAACCAAAAAAAAAAAAAAAAAAACAACCTCTAGTTGCTCTTCTTCTGGGAACCAACAGACTTTTTCCCGACCCAAAGTCCCACCAAGATGATCAAATGGCTGATCACCAAAACTCCCGAACTCTCAGCAGTGGCCGGGAACACATTCCAGGACCACTCAATAGCACCCAACAAGACCATACTCAACACTACAGGAATCCGGGTCTGGTAGAGGAGGTAAGGGAGGGTCATAGAGTACCATGCATAGAACTGGTAGTGCAGCGATCGAGCGAAAACGATCCCAATAAAGTTGCTGGTGAATAGCAGGGTGAGTACGTGGCTTGGTCGCATGTATCGGGCATTGGTTGCAAGCACGGTGGGGGAAGCTTTGAAGCCCTTATTGATCACCGCAACGATTCCGCCGTCCGATCTGATAGGGGAAAGGGAGGAACGAAACAAAAAAACATGGAGAAAGAGAGGTTGTAAGTCAGTTTGATGAATTTGGTCCGCGATCATGCTATTCATTCAGAATATCCTTTGTTTTCCTGTCATTCTTTGTTGTAAGTTTTTTTTTTTTTTTTTTTTTTTTTACCTGCTCCAGCGCAAAAAGACAAACGCAAACAAGACCACAAAATGCGAGGCCAATAAACATATTGCCCACCAACTACTCAAAAACACACTCTCCTCCAGAAACTTCCAGTTAACAGTCCACTGGTACTGAAAGACCCTCGAGAACTCAAACGCCTTGTTGAGGTAACTCCTTGGGTGGTGGAGTGTGAACGGCAATGAGAGAAGGACTTGGATCAGGACCATGATTGTCAATTGGGCGACTGTGCCGATAATGCCTTGGGTCTGCCAGAGGAGGAATCCGAATGCTGGGAAGAAGAGGAGGATGTTCATCTTTATGGACACCGCCAAGCTATATTGAAAGGTAAAGACAAAGGTGTTATTGACAATTTCCTTGACTTATGTATGCACCTTTAGGTTAAAGTTGAAATGATATATGGGTTGCGTACCTGAATAAGGTGCTGCTGAGGGCCCACCGCCGGTTGAGGAAGGCAAGTGTGGCGGCGTACAGGAAGAACATGGCCACAGGATCGTTAAACAGCCTAAGCACATAGATCGAGTGCAACCTCCTTGACAGACACACTGGGATCAGCACATACGGCGGGATCTGTCACCAAAAGTGAAAAAAACTTCCAGGTTAGTCATATTCCATTCCCGTCATAGCTCCACATCGCAAAAATGTTAAAATAAAATAAAAACACAAACGAACAAACGAGGACGAAGAGACATACGGATTTGTCCTTGGCGTAGATGGAAAAGACGATGACAAGTGTCATCAGGTAGAGGCCCATAAAGATCCATTGGCCACGTAAGATATTCTCTCCAAAGTCTGTCGCGTAGTAGAGTGTCGAGTAGATATACACAAATCCGGCAGGGTAAACCAATGGTCCCGTATCGCCCTGAAGCTTTGTGTAATCCGTCTCTCCCTTCAAGTATCCCGACACTTCCTGCATATACGCCGCCCAGTCAATCTCCGTGTCTATTCAGGAATAATAAGGGTGGCGAGTCAGTAATTCTGGGTGCTTGAAATGTGATGGTTTCTGTCGCTGATAAAAGCGGGTAGGGTTGCAACACAACAATCCAGGGCTCGATAAATCAATCATACATGGAATCTTCTTGATGATGACGATGTTGAGGAGGATCTCAAAGAGGAGCAAAAGTCCGGCCAGCTTCCAGATATGTGCATGGTTGGTCAGGAGCTGTGTAACGAGTTCGATAGGACGGAAGAGAGTCAACTGTGATGCCTGGACTGATGTTGCTCCTGAGGAAGATGATGAGGATGATCCCCGTTGGTCATTGATGGGTCCTGTCTGGCGAACCCTGTTCTTGATGGCCATGAGTCGAATCGGTCGATGTCAGAGATGGAGTTGATGGAGAAAAAAGGAAAGCAGCGGTGCTGTTGAAAAAAGGATGTCGAGCCTCGAACTCTAAATAAATTGGCGCGTGCCTAAGCAATTTCTTTAGACTGTGGAACTGTGGAGGTCTGGCTTGGATTCTCCTGAAGCATAGATTGCAAAGAATGATTTGGGTAGTGGATGGAAAAAGGATGGTGAAGCAGGTATTACATTGATGTTGCTCGTCCAAGCAAATATGAAGAAATTAGATGTCTAAAGAAATTAAAATGGCTACAATGACGAGTTTCAGTCGTCTCTCCGAGGAGCCGGCCGTGGAGCAAAGACATCCTCAAGTGACTTGGGCATAGGATGTGTCGAGGTCGATCCAACGGTCGCCATAGGACTGGCAGAACCAACGACTGCACTACTAATAGCCAAGGATGACACCGAGCCCTCGCCTGCACTGCCCGTCCCCCGCCCATCAAGATTGCTTGCCGTCGAGGATCGACTGGCGCTCAAAGTTTCCTCGATGGGACTCTTGCCTGAGAACGATGGCTTGGTCGAGTGCTGCTTCTGGGTGCAGTCACCAGTAGCTGGCGCTGAGCCTGAGCCAGAGCCCGACCCTGATCCTGATCCGCTGTACGATCCTTCGTCCTCTTCATCGACCTCAGGCACTGCGCCAGAAAGCCCAGTGGGGTAGCTGGCGCGACGAGGAGCGGTTTGGTCAACAGCGATTGGAGGCTCGCCATCAACAGTGTGTCCGTGCTCTTTCAGCATGGTCTTGAGTCGGGCCACCGAATCAGGTCCCGACTGGTTGACGAGACTGTAAAAGTATCCATCCTTGTTTTCGATCAGCTTTGTAGGATGCTCAAACTCCACCACACGGCCATCCTCCATCACTAGGATCTTGTCACACTCCATGATCGTGTTGAGGCGATGGGCAATCATGAGAACCGTGCAGTCGGCAAAGTTCTTCTTGATGGTCTCCTGAATCAAAAGATCGGTCTGAAGATCAACCGCACTGGTCGCCTCTGTTTGTTTAAAATGGAACAAGAAAGCGAACGTTAGTATACTGTTCATCAACTCTCCGACATTAATACCTTGTGGAACGACATAATGATACACAACGTACCGTCGAGAACAAGAATCCTGCTCTGGATGAGAATAGCGCGAGCAATGCAGAAGAGCTGCCGTTGGCCGAGGGAAAAGTTGCGTCCGTTCTCGATGATAGGTGTCTCAAGCTTGAGAGGCATATTCAACTTGATGTTCTCCGACAAATGGACCGCGTCGAGGGCATCCCAGATCTCCTGGTCAGTTCTCCGATGGAAGGGATCCAAGTTGGATCGGATAGTGCCAACAAAGAGGACGGGTTCTTGAGGGATGATGGCGATCTTGCTACGGAGATCATGGAGGCCTATCTCACGGATGTCGACATTGTCAATCAAGATCTGACCCTCAGCCGCCTCAACCACACGCAAAAGAGAGATCAGCAATGTTGTCTTGCCGCTTCCCATCTTGCCAACGACTCCAATCTTCTGCCTTCCCTGAACGAGAAAATCGACCTTCTTCAAGACGGCAACGCCGTAGTTCTGGTAACGAAGAACCACCTTCTTGAACTCGATCTCTCCTTGGCTGGGCCAATCTGCTGGGGGCTGGTTCTCGGGAATGACATCGGGGGCCTCGGCGGGAATGTTCATGCCGTACAACTCCAACTGGCAGACAGACTCCTTAGTCGACTTGACCTCGGCCGCCATGCGAATAGACCACTGACCAAAGATTAGCAGCTGGAGCGCATTCGTAATCGCCAATCCTGCTTGTGACGCGTCCAGAGTGCTATCGCGCGAAAAGTAGATGACGAACATCGCCGTGACCAGGACAAAGATGGACGAGACAAGATCTAAGTAGAGAGCCAACCAGGAACGAATCTGCATCATTGCAAACAAGGCCTTGTGGTTGTCGTCAATCTTGCGCAGGTTGAATGCATCGAATCTCTCTTCGGCTCCATAGACGCGGATCGAGAACAGTCCGTCGAGAGTGGCCGCCATGTGAGCAAAGATCGGGCCCTTGGTCATCGCCTCCATGCTCTTGAGTCGATCATCCGTGTACGAAGAAAAGTGAATCAAGATCCAGGCAAGACCCAACAAAACCACCACGGCAATCGCGGACCAGGGAACGATCACAATGACTAGAATGGCGGCCCCGATAGCCAAAGGCATGTACTGGAGCATCTGAAGAATCGCGTCAGGGAGAACCTCATCGACGACGCACTGGTGCCTGGCGAACGCATTCAGAATCCTGGCGAGCGGGGTAACATCGAAGTAACTCATAGGCGCACGCATAATCTTGCGGAAAATGCGTTCATGATAGGTAATCGACTTCCTGAAGACAACCCACGAAAGGAAGAATGTCCTGATGTAGGCACCGACAACCACAGCCGCAACCAATCCGCCGTATACGCTCAGGTAGTAGTTGAAATCGGGCTTGGCATCAGGTCCGACAGTGAACCGAAGCCAGTAATCGGAGAAGATCCGGAGTCCGTGAGTCGCCAAGAACACAAGTGCAACAGCGATCGAGACGCCCATTCCAGTTCCCTTGCGGAGGTAAGCCTTCGTGACAGACCATCCTGAAACAACGTCGCGGCTCTTGACACCAAATCCAAGGTCCAATCGCTCGCCTCGTCCGCCTCCATGGCTTAGCATACCTCCTTCCCTGCCGCTCAGACTGTGGATCGTTAGCTGGTTCCTTTCCACAGCCCTCGCCATCGAGTTCTCCTCCCTGTTGGTAGCATGGACGGGTAGACGGTTCTGTCCCATGTTGCCGAGGATCGTCATCTGGTTGCGCTCAATCATCCTCGAGATGGTCTGCTCGTTGATCATTTGGTTCTGGATCGTGTGGGCGTTCATCTCACGGATACGGTGGATTGTTTGCTCGTTTGCTGCAGTGTTGAACGTGGTGCTAGCGGTTCCTGTTCCTGACGCCGATTGCGATCGCTGCGTGAGGAGGTGGGGGCGGTTGTGGACAGACGATGTTCCTGCGTGAGAGAGTTTTCCTGACTTGACGAAGCTGGGGAGACCGTGAACAGTGACCGTGTTCAACTCTGTGATCTCCGAGCTCTTCTCCTCAGAGGAGAAGCGACCCTTTCCTGTGTTGCCACGAGAAAGACCAATAGTCCTCGACAATGCCAGAGGTTGGCTGACTCCCTTTTCCGAGGTGGGGCTGGTTGGAGGTGAAGTTGCTCCAGCACCGGTATCGTCGACAGGCGCCTCCAATCTGACCTCATTCGTAAGCTCTTGGATCTGATCTGGGTCCTCGATTTCCATCGACTCGTCAACAATACGGGCCAAGTTGACATCCTGCGCCATCAACTCGGCGAACGTTCCCTGTGCCTCGACCGATCCTGCCTTCATGACAATAATGTAGTCGCAGGCGGCCAAATGCTGAAGCTGGTTGGTAACATAGACCACAGTCTTGCTGGCCAGATATCCCTTAATACACTCCTGGAAGATGTGCTTTCCGATTTGAGCATCCATGCCGCTGAGAGGATCGTCCAGGAGCATAATGTCGGCACCAGAGTAAACAGCTCGCGCCAAGCTCACACGTTGCCTCTGGCCCTGACTCAGGTTGATTCCACGTTCTCCGATCTCGGTCTCATCACCGGCGCTCAGCAAGCTCATGTCGCGGTTGAGGGCGCAAACACGAAGAATGGCGTTGTACTTTTCTTGGTTGAATGGCGATCCAAATAAGATGTTTTCCTTGGCAGTCGCGTTCAAAAGCCAAGCATCATGAGGAACGTATGCCAATGTACCACGGACAGCATGACTTCCTGCCATCAACCTGATTTGACCCATAATCGCCGCCAATGTCGATGATTCTACAATGACAAAAGAGAAGTGTTAGTCCAGGAATGTAACATCAAATGAAAACAGTTTGACGATTGACCCAACCGAACCCAGGCTGACTTACTTCCGGATCCCACATCACCCACAATCGCTACCAAATCGCCAGGTTTGATTTCCATGCTGATGAACTTGAGCGTTGGGTTAGACTCCTTGGACTCTGGCCATCCGAAATCGGCGTCCTTTATGTAAATGCGAAGCTGAGCCAGTTCGCGTTGGTGAGCGAGTCGTTCCATCTCCTTTGCGTCTCCGCTGCTGCTGTTGGAGCCATTCATTACCAAACCATCAGCAACAACTGACGCTCCCAAAGAGTTGATCCTGTCCGAACCAGGTATCGTATCCGAGTCTCCGTGAAGCTGAAGGGGTTCGACCTCAGGGAGACTCAAGAATCCATTGAGACGCTCAAAACTCAGCATGGCTCCCAGAGTCGTCTTGACAGCAATGGGCAGCATGATGAGTGGGTATCGAAGCGTGTTGAAAAGCGATAACGAGGTGAAGACAACACTGGAAGTAACATCGCCGCGGAGTCCTCGATCATCGCTGAGCTCATAGACGCAAATACAGGCAAGTGTCGTCACAACGGGCGCGGCAAAGACCACTGCAAACGAGGTGATCTTGAGGTACATTCCGCGTCGAAGTTCGCTCATCTCCTTTGCACGTACGCGAGTGACACGGTCCCGAAAGTAAGGCTCCCAGGCGTAGAACTTGATCAGCTTGATGGCGGTCAAGAGCTCCGACATGATATGAATCCTGGCGGTAGTCGAGTTGGTGGCCATGGCGTTAACGCGTGCAGTGTAAAACGAGAGGAGGTACTGTACGGGGAAAAGAAGCACTAGGATAATGAGCGCTGGTACGGCTGCGAGTTTGAGCTCGACAAACGCCAATGCAATCACAACTAAGTAGGTAACCAAAGGAAAAGATGCTTGTCAGCAATAATCTTTTGCAAGACGTGAAGAATTTTGTGGCGGGCTGTTGACAATGATCACTTACCAATAATTTCCAAGGCTGAGCTCCAAAGGAAATGAAAGTTGACAAAGGACTCTGCCACGCGGTTGCAGTCGTTCGACAGAAGATTGATGATGTTGCCGATACCGCCGTGGGCAGAGGACAGCTTGAGGGATTTGCGATAGATGAGGACCATGAGACCTGCTCGAACCTAAATTATGCAACCATGTCAACAAGTATGTCAGCGGGGGGCAAACAAAGGTGTTAAAGCACAGACCATCAGGACGAGGGAACAAAAGGAGGTTAGTTGAATGTTTACCTGCACACCGATCCTCGTGCACTCGGCCATGACCTGCTGGATGCAAACGCTGCTGCCAACACACGTCAGGAACAAACCCAGAGCATAAAGATATCCGTCCCTGGACGAGGTCGCTTCCCGCTGGTCGAGGGGTGTCGTTTCTACATAGGTGATGAGTTGCTTAACTAGAAAGTAGGATCCCACATATGTGAATATGATCCAGAAGACCTTATAGAAGGCGAGCATCAGGTAAGGTCGGCCAAAGGCACTCATGAGCGCTCGACTGATCGATGCTCTATTAAAAGGTACATGGGAAAGAAGGGTGAGAAATATGCGCGCATTTGTTTAGAAGACAGATGAGCCTTGGTGAGCATGATATCGACTGTGTCGCGTTTTTTGTTTGTGTTGGTGGTTGTAGATGTTTTAGCGATGTCTTTGTCAAGGGGGAGCAGCAGGCCAGGCCAGGAGGAGTATAAAGATTGAGGGAGAATAAAAAGATAAAATAAAAAAGAGAGGGAAGGCATGGCAAGATGGGCGTGAACGGGTTGCTAGTGGTTGAAGGGACGGACGACAGCGGAGGGAAGGACAGGGTGCATGAGGGGGAGAGGGTGCACATGTAAAAAGTGAACACAAAGATGGATGGGTGTGACATTTGAACAGGCGGCGAACATGACGACAACGAGAGAAGAGCCCTGTCTGGACTATCAGCAACAATGGGTGTCTGTCTATCTTTCTTTCTCGCTATCCTCACCCCACCATCGCCTCAAACACGATGGATGGGTAATTAGCCCATGTGCCTTTTCTCTTCTTGTGTTGTGTTGTCAAACAAGGCTGACACAAATTACATACGCTAATAAAGCACAACCAAAGTCTACAACCCTCTTCCTTCCGAAATGCAAAGTGAAGGTTCACACCTCTTTTTCGGGGTATAAAAAGGTAATACAAGAGAAAGAGAGACCAGTCAGGGACAGGGGAGAAGAAGAACACCAACACAATACCATGCAGCATCGTCATGGATGCGATTGAGAGATCCCTAGTGTCTCTATAAAACAATTCTTTCCGTCACATCCCCTCTTTTCCTTTTTGAATCTGCGAGTACGATGATCCAGTCCAGCCTCTGCGTTTTCACCCCATTTAGCCGAGGGGTGTATCTGTTCTGTGGACCATCGATTCAGCGAGTCGCCTCCCTTCATTGTCAAATCCAATGTCCTTTCGCGATGCAATTGAATGGGTGAGGTCGGCCCTTTTTTTTCCTTCTGTTTTCTCACCCTGTCCAATCTAAGACAGAGCTCACCCAGAATGCTAACATTCCCGCTAAAGACACTCTTTTCCTCCCTTGAAGTCCCGTTCCGGCCCAGGTCCAGGCACGATGCAAAATGCACGCTCTACAGCATGGCATATGTGCGAAAAAGGTAAAGGAGAGACAAAGAGAGAGAGGAGAGAAAGAGAGAAGAAAAGGGAAGAACAGCCGACTACTGCGTGCCTTCAATTGATCCAATTGAAACAGAAAAAGAAACAAGAAAGTTGGGGTGGGGTATGAAAAATTGAAGTAAAGTTGCACTAAAAAAAATATGCTTACTTACTTTTCTTTAAAGTCAAGCTCCTCCTGGCGCCATCGTTCTCCGAGACGTTCGCCGGCGAATTGGGCTGACTCTTCCTGCTGGAGTTCGATCGAATCTGGATCGAAATCTGGGTCGGACCGAGTCCGGCGAAGGAGGGGTATCACCCAGAGGAAGAACCACTGTGAGACAAGGTTGAACGAGTGGCCGCCCTTGAGGACTATGGGGTCGACTGATAGGGACGACGTCGAGTCCTGCTCGCCTCTGTACCGGCGGTTTGTTGTGTTATGTTTGTTGGATCTTGAATACGGCATTCTAGTATCTGTCTTTCTATACTGTGCTTTGTTGTACTTGAAGTGTGGTTGTTGTTCCTGTTGAATCCGTTATATTAGGGCGGAAGGGTTGTAGCAGCGGTTCCTGATTCGTGGCCAAAAGCGATGTTGAATGAAAGACAGAAGACTGGTGAGACTGGATCCAACGGTGAGGTGGTGAGTGAACTGGGGCCGTTGTGTTTTGTGGGATGGGACAGATGGGAACACAGAGCTTGTTTTAGCCGGGGAAAGGTGAGGTTATTCAAGTGGAAGATTGAGAAGTCGTTAGGAAGGCGGTGAAGACAGAGTGAATGTGAATGGGGTCCTGGGGTGGAGGGTTGGTTGCTGCCTGGTTTGTGTGTGGTGTGAAGGGAATTGAAGGGGGACCCTTGTTGGCAAGAGAGTTTTTTTTAGGAGCTGTGAATACTCGGATCAGGACAACAAGCCGGTGATGCTGCTGTGTGATGAGAGAAGGGGGAGAGCGGAGAACTGTGAACTGTCAAAAAAATAAAGGAGACAGAAGGACGATTCAACAAGGGTTGGCAGTGGAGGGTAAGGAGGAGGAGGGAGGGGAGCAGGCAAGCAAGCAAGCAAGCAAGCCGATGGATGCTCAGGGAAAGAAGAGAGAGGAGAGGATCGACGATGTTAAGTGGGCGATGTTGAGCAAAAGGGAAAGGGGAGTGGTTGTAGGGAAGTGATGTTTCAAAGGGAAGGGAAGGGAAGGGAAGGGGATGAAGAAAAGAGAAGTGAAGGAGGAGTAAAAAGAACAAAAGGGCCAAAGTGATGAGGATCGAAAAGAAAAAAAAGAGAGCAGAGGTGACTGACTGGGTTGAATGGTCTGGCTGGTTGACTGACTTTACAGACAGAGAGACAGACACACAGACAGACAGACAGACAGACAGGGTGTATGTGGAGTGAAAATAGAAAACCAAAATGGGGTGCTGTCCAGTTGGACACAAACAAGTTACCAGGCAGGGGTTTCTTCTCCTTGTACTTTGTACTTCTGTAGTTCTGCATCCGAAAAAAAGGGGGATATCCACCTCTTCCTTGGATGAACAGACGCACCCATACTGACCTCTCTCAGTTTACCCTTCTGCCTGCTTAGTAGACAGGGTCCACCAGCCCCTGCCTTTTCCTATCATGGCCTTTGCTATCCACGTTTTCAGTCTTGCTATTATTGTTCATGCGATCCTTCGTTTAGTTGTTCATCCATTAGAATAGAAAAAGAAAAAAAAAGGGCAAAGGGGGTGGGACATGCTGCCTCTTTCTGATAGCCTTGCTAGCGTGTGTCTGTCCTGCATCATCGACTTTTCGACTCCTCTTCCTCCTCTCTTTCCGACCCCTCTTCCTCCTTTCTCTTCGACTCGAGTTCAATGCTTAGGACGCGTAGTATAGAGTTCACCCGTGCTAGACTTTTCAGCGATGATATTACATATCATGATCCACAACTGCTTATCGACCACCGCGTATTACTTCTTCGCGGTGTGTAGCAAGCGATCAAAGAGTGTATCTTATTGGTCCAAACGTGACTGTCTATTCTGTGAATTGACTTGCAGTGTTGAGTTTGACTTTTCGTTCTTTGCTCCTTGCTTCTCTTCCCTTCCACCTCTTCACGTTGATATTATCATGGTGCCTAAGCCAAAAACTGTCAAGGTACCTGCAACCAGCAACCAGCAACCAACCAGCAGCAGCACAGTCACCGCCACCAAAAAAAACATAAGCCTTGTCCACCCTTACTCACCCCACTCTCTCTCTCTCTCTCACTCACTTACTCACTCACTCACTCTCTCTCTCTTCTCCTTCACCCTTCATCACCCTCAATCGTATAGCGTACGAAAGCATACGTCGATTCAGAAGCAGAGTCTGAAGGTATTATTATTTACATCAGCACCAACAGGAATCCATTCCCTCCATCCCCTTCCTCCCCACGCATGCACACAAACAAACACACGAGCTAAAGTTACTCACATTACACACTCACACACACCTGCGCGTTTCCATTCAATCCAACACTAGTCGAGATACGATCAGGAAACTCTACAAAGAAACGAGCCGTCACCTACATTGACCCGGGCGACAACGACAACGACGACGACGCCGCCGCTTACAAGCCCAAACAACCCCAGCCTCGGCCCAAGAAGAAAGGCTCCGTCAATACAGCCGCCACTACAAAACAAGTATCAGCACCAGCAACAACAACAGCCTACGAAAGGTCCTCGAACAAGCAAAAGTCGGCCTTGGGAGACATTTACAATCTTGTTCATAACAGGAGCATTAACAACAAAGACGACAACAATAAGAGCAATGGTAGCAAGTCTTCGTCGATGTTAAAGGCAAGGAAGGACACTTCATTTGAGAACCAGGAGAATATCGATATGAGAAGACCAAAGGACGACGGAGGCAAAACTGCCAAGAAGCCCTTGCGACAGTCGACCGCTGACATGTCTCGCGAGCAGGTATGATTTCCGTCGAGATATTGATTGACATCCCTGGGAGCGTGTTTTTCGTTACACATTATTTACCTGGATGGCAATCTAACGCAAACAATCTTTCCACCCTCCATTACCTGTCAACTTCAGCTCGCGACAGCTCTTGAGGACTTGAGGGACAAGTACAGACGACTCCAACAGCTCCGAGAAACAGACGCCGAGCGGAATCTCGCTGAATGTCGCGGACAGCTTGATGAGACCATCCGCAGTGCCGAAAACTACCGCGCCAAAATCGAGCCTCAGCTTGAATGTAAGCTTTCCTTTTTTCGTTGCTTTTATGTGCTTCATTGTCAATATATTTCTAAATAATTGTGGACGAAATTAACGCGTCGTTTTCAAATTCTCTCCCTTTCCGCGGATCATTTTTATTTTTCATAGCTGCACTCAGGACGAACGAGAAGTTGCGTGATAACAATGAGATTTCCAATGCCAGGGGTGAGTTGGACATCTGCTGTTGTGACCTGGGTTATTGCTACGTTCGATGCGGTCGCAAATGTCTTGATGAACGTCAATTATCGCAAACCAATGCTAACTGAAAAATCTACAACATTATAGTCAGGATACTACAGCGTCAGGTACGCGACCGCGAGGACGAAATAAAGCAACGGGACCAGGAGGACAAGATCAAGGCCAAGACCGCCTCGATGGAATCGGTCCTCGCCAGTCCTGATGTCACCCCCAACACGGCTTCGGCCATCAGCACCATCAAAATGTATGAGAACCTTTCTGGCTTCAAATTGACCCCTCGAGATATTTTCCCTCGCTCCAGCAAGGACAAGATCCCTGCCGTCTGGGACTGCGAACACTCTGGACCTCGCGGAAGTAAGTCAAGTTTGATATTTGCTTGCATTCTACCTTCTCTTTATATGTGTATCTACATTTTTGCTATGTATGCCTTTCGTACTCAATTACTATCTCCTCCGCCCTACAAAAATAATAGCGCTGAGGTTCACGCTGACGTACAACTACACGACGAGCGTGGTGACCTACGTACCCAAGATCGACCCCAAGCGCGACGAAAAGTTGCTTAAGAACCTCCCCGATTACCTCACGGACGAGATCGAATTCAACCGAGAGCTTGAAAGCAAGTTCTTCTGGCGCATCCTCAACTTTAACAACGACGATGACGCATGAATACATGAGGCAGAACCCGGGTTTGAGTAATCCTTCCCACGTGCCTGCTTTTATGGAATGGTCGTCGCTTTTTCGCTCATACTCGCACCGCCCTGGCGCATCTGCAACATCCCGCCAATGAACTCTTGGAGTCGTCTTTTTTATTTTCTTTTTCTTCTTCTCCTCTCTCAGTATTGTACACTTTGTAATAAAGCCCATATGTTAATTTATTCAAGTCAAGCACAATTGTCAATTCGGCGAAGAGGGAGAACAAAAAATGCCATGCTAGCAAAACATGGAAGAATAAAACTCAAGAGTATGAGGAGACGGGCGCAGAAACACAGAAACAGAGCGAAAAAAAAAAAAAAAAAAAAAAAGAGTAAGGGGTAGTAATACAAGAGAAAAGTCTTGAAAATGTACAATGGCAAAATAAACACAACATGAGGGCGAAAGAAAAAAAAAAAGAAAAGAAACGAAAAAGGGTAGGATGACCACGCGAAAATTAGCTCGCATTGGGCCAGTTCTGAGGGAACCCATACTGTCCCTGTTGTTGATGTTGTTGTTGTTGTTGTTGTTGTTGATGACCAGTCACCTGCTTCAACATCTCGATCAGCGCCAAAGGGTCCATATTAGAAGTAGCGCCAGTTGCGGTCGCCACGGGCGCAATGGAGGTGGCAGCCGCAGCGGTGGTGTTCGCCTGTTGGTACTGTTGCTGGTAATCGTATGCTTGAGTTGCCAAGCTTGGATTGTACGCAGCCTGACTTGTCTGCTGGTACCCTTGGTACTGATAAGCCTGCGGCTGTGTCTGTTGTGTCTGCGCGACACTGACGCCAGCGCCATAACCAGAAGCACCGGTGCCATATGTGCCATACGAACTAACACCTGCTCCAAAGAGCGCGGCTCCAGTACCATACCCTGCCGCTCCAGTGCCATATCCCGCTCCACCGGTGCCATAGCCAGATGCCCCAGTACCATAACCAGCTCCTGCTACTCCAGTTCCATATCCACCGGCACTTCCTGATCCATACGTCGCAGCGCCTGCTGTACTGTACATTGAGCCATAGGACCCGATTTGAGATTGATCTGCATCTGGCAGGGTTGTTGCTGCTGTAGCTGCTGCTGCGGTGGGACCTGAAGTAGATGCCACCTGTGTCAGGAACGCCAGCGAGCTCATAAGAATCGCTGAATGATCCGTCGTCGTCTAAAGATTGGGATGATAAATAGTTGCGGGTTAATTTCGAACGTGCTTGAAACTTCTGTACTAGCCTTGTCATACCAAACAGAAAAAAAAAGGTATACCTCAAACGTAGGAAGGGCGCTTGGCAAAGTACTATCCATAGCATCCGCATCAGCTGTAGCCGCATCAGCTGTAGCCACAGCAGTAGTATCCATCGGATCAGGGTCTGGTTCCGCAGGCGATATAGGGATATAAGCCTCCCTGATATAATTAACCGAAAGTGTCTCGGCTTCACGCTGCTCCTGAACAATCTTCTCGGTACTTGCAGATCCTCGCTCATCACCACCAAGAAGCAACATGGGCGGTGGTCGCCACAGATCCCCGCTGATCAATGCCTCCTTTTCCTCTGCATCGTTGTAGGGCACAAAGTATCTGATCATTTCCAGTTCATCGGCTGCCTTGAATCGAACTACCTTCTTAGGCTTTGATGGTTTAACCGGTTCTGCTGGAACTTCCGTCGCTGGCGTTTCTGCTTCCGTTGGAATAGGATTCGATCTAGTCAGAGATGCAACTGCAGCAGCTATAGCTTGAAGTGCTGCTGGGGTTGGTGCGACAACAGGTGCAGTTACAGCCGCAGCGGTTACTTCAGGCACGGACACAGGCACGGACACAGTCACAGATACAGGCACAGACACAGGCGCAGCTTCAGGCGAGGATTCAGCAACCACAGGAGACATCAGCACACTTGATGCAGACGCAGCGATGGTTGGGGTAGTAGGTGTGACAGGTGTGGTAGGAGTAGTAGGCGTAGCAGGTGGAGACGGTGCTGATTTGAGTGGCGACGCCATAGAGTCAGCAGCCTGATGTTTTGAAGGGAGTTTTGAAGGCCCACCAGTAGAGACTACGAGTGATGTAGCCAGTGTCTTATTTGTCGATGGTGGCGGTGGCGGTGGTTTGTTGGGTGCCATCAACTCCTTGAAGAATCCAGCATGGGCCACAATATGCGTCTTCTTGGTCTCTATCGCTGGAGCTGGCGCAGGCTTGCCCTTGTTAAACTTGGGCAACTTCATTTCAGACGGCTAAAAAGTACCCAGAGTCACAAATAATATCGCGATTAGTTATAGCTACCATTCAAAAACATAAAGAGCTAAGGTAATCAGAACGCGCCTAGGCGAGTGGCCACATGGGTGTAACAATACATACATGAGAAAACGCGCTATCGTCGCGGTCCCGCTTGATCCTTGCGCGATCTCCTTCAGGTCCATTTCCTTGGAAGCCCCGTTTGTTACTCAATCCTTCAGATTTTGATCCAGAACTTGACGACGAATTTGAGCTAGCCCCCTCTCCTGTCGATCCACCCATCTCTTCCATCACCTGCCTTTTCCAATGCTTCACCAACTGCAGCGCCTTTGCCACCACATCTAATATAATCCAGAAGAAGGAATAAAAGTGTAAGAAAACTTCATTCAAAAAGCCAGGCCGAATACTTTCTCAATACAAAGACTGTCAGATTGTGACCCTACCATCGCCCATATTCTTGTCCTTGGATACACTTTTGATAACCTTTCCAAGCTCAAACTCCTTGAGAAGTTCATAGTTGAACGGCAACTTGGCCCAGACTGCAATCGTCCTCAGCATGATCTCCTTGTTCTCCTGATCGTTCGGCGTTGCCTTTGCTGCTACGAACCAACCGCGCATGATCTGTGGACCCCGAGACGATACAAACCTAATCGTATACAACAAAGAATGGCCGAGTCAGTCCTGAAGCCTTATTTTATCCTGCACGTATTGAAGTCAATTAAACCCTTCGCCGTTCTTCCACAAAGGCAAGCTCTTACGCTGTGACAACTGGTGCAGCACTGGTGTGCATCAACGCGTTGATGATATATTTCCGTGATGCCTTATCCTCAGCCGATCCCATAAGGGTGATGACAGTTTCCACATCGCCTGGCGCGATGATCGCATTTCCACGCAGTATCCTAGTCATTTTCTTCATGATCTCTGTAGACGTCAGCTAAAAAGGTACGCAAGGTCAATCAAGTATGGTTAGAAGTGTGGAAATGAACAAGAAGAGAAGCAAAAGCATATATGGCAGGAAGAAATAGTGCTACCTTCTCAGGTAAGGCAAGAGGTCCAGTTGAAGATAATTGCTTGGGAACAGGAGCGACTATAGGCTCTTGAACAGTTACCACTGGCTCAAGCAATGTTGTTGGAATCGATGCAGGCGTTGAAATCGGTAGAGGGGTGATCGTTGAAGGAGAGAGAGAAGTAGTTGTAGGGCTTGACCGCGACGCAGCAGAAATGACTGGAATGACAACCGCTGTCAAGTGCATTACTGGTTCCCGTTTCATTGGTACCCTAGAAGAGAAACAAAAAAAACGCATGGTCAGTGGCAATATCATATCAAGATATGCTTGATCAAAAACACATACGCGGTATCAAATCACCAAGCCCAACAAACTCACAATGAAACTTCATCCCGGGGACAATCTTGATCGGGTTCTATCAGAGATGCAACAAAGCGAACGGGCAAAGGCAACCAGCGTGTGTGAATATATTGTTTGTTACTAATCGATCGCCACCACGAACAAACCAATGAATCTAGGCGTGTACCATCCATATCGTCATCCTCCATGATTTGGTCCGCATGAATGGCCTCCTCCAACTTTGCTTTTGTGCGACGACGGCTGAACCAGTTCCGAACCTATCACGCATACATCACCAGAAAGAAAAACAAAATTAAAAACGCATCACTAACTCGACTATGAATCTTACATCCCAGAACCAAAAACACACGCGACTCGTATATACCTTGTCTTCATTGCAGCCAATGATTTGTGAAAACGAGGCTTTATCTGCTGAGGAAACATACGGGTTCTTCAAAAATGACGCCTCCAGCATGGCAACATGCTCCTCTGTAAAGACCCATCTATCCATCTGCCCCTTCACTAAATCGGTCACACATGACAGAAAGGGAACCAGGTTGACACCAAAGAAAACGTTCCAGCAGCACAGGGGCGAAGCAAGCACCAGACCCAAACACACAAGCATGTATCATAGACAAAGAGAGAAAAAGAAGTACGCGTTAGTAACATTAATCTAATCATAGCTGAATCAAGGGCGTGTTATTTGGTCGCCACCATCCGTCCCAATCGCCTTCACGATTGTTATAACCAACACTCGTTAAAAAGCGCACTAGGGAAAGGATGAAAAGGCAGGGTAAGGGTGTGTGCAAGTGAAAGGTCATGAACGCCTGATATTGACCTCTGACAAGTGAAAAAAGAAAAAAAAAATGCAGAAAGTAAAGTTGGTGGCAAAGCAATCAGGCTATCCACATCCACTCTACTTTCCGACCCACACACGCACACCCCTCTCCTGGCTCCCATCACCACTCCCTTTTGCTCCCCAACACAGCCATAAGCCCATCTATATAACTATACTACTTGTTTCTATGACTATTTTCTTGTTTCTTTTTTTTATCTCTTCTTTTTTTTTTTTTTTTTTGGGGGTGAGTTTGAACAATTGACAACTAAACTACTGTAATAACATTGTGTATCACCTCTATTGTTGACAGCTGCGCTTGCTGCTGCCGCCGCCGCTGCTGTTGTTGCCGGAGGCGCTTTTGCTACTGGACTCTCTGGCACAGTAGGTGACAGGACAGGGCCAGGAGACTGGATTGATGAGAGAGGGTTACTAGTTGCTGCCGTGAAGGTGGTGGGAATAGGCGAAGTGGTGGTAGTTGTTGCTGACCGGAGCGTCCTCTTGACAGGCATTGTGACCGTTGTCATAAATTGGCGCTTCTTGCTTGGCACAACAGGACTGGTTACTTCTGGTACTGTTACTTCCCCTGGTCCAGACGCAGCAGTAGTGGCGGACTCGGCAGCAACAGATGCTTGCGGAGCAATAATATCGGCGACTGTGGGGGCGGCGACAATAGCCTCTGACATTGCCATAGTTGTGGTTTTGGATGAGGGCGATGACGAGGCGGAGTTGGACGATGATGGTGGGGAAGGAGGTCGGATGGACATGGGGAAAGAGGGGTACAAGCGAGTCCTGGTGAAAGAGAGAGGGAGAGAAAGACAGAGGGAAAAAGACAGAGGGGGAGAAAGAGAGAGAGAGAAAGAGAGAGAAGGGGGAATCAATCAGACTCAGGATGGCCTGAAGGAAAAAAGCTCTTTTTTTTTGGATTTACTATTCTGGAGAATAAGAAAAAAGAATCTAAAACGTACTGGAGTAACAAGTAGTATGATTGGATGATAATGAGACTGAAGGGAAGGGACGGGTGAATGTGAATGAAGTATGGAATGGAAATGATTTGGAGAGTGGAGAAAGAGTGAAAGAAAACGAAAGAGTCGAGAGCTGCGTCGAAAATAAATTTTGTGGAACGATTGAGGCTTAGATCTGTGAGGGAGACGAGGCGCGTGGCGTCCCTGGGCCGGCTTTGACACTCTTGCCTGTCTGACCCTTCTTGGATCCAGTCGTTCCCGTACTTGCAACGCTGCTCGCGCTTGACTTTGTTCCTGCCTTCTTTTTTCGCCGCAACCGCATCACCTCCACCTCCATCGATGACCCTACTGCCTTAATGGAATCGTCTGTCGTCGACGATATCTGTGGGAATCGATCCACCAAGGGCTGCTGTGGGCTGTTACTGTTGCTATCTGCTTGCTCAATTGCTTGCTCTGGACCAAGTTCTCCTGTTGATGTTACTGTCGACGTCTCAACCCCCCGTCCAGAAAGCATGGGCGAGAGCCTCTGTGATGAGGACGGCGGCGGAGATCCTGTACCACTGGATAATCGTGAGGTTGACACTATGGGAAAAGCTGGCTTGGCAGGCAGTGGGAACGGAAGGCGGATCGATGGCATTGAAATCGTGGAAGAGTTCTGCGGTGACAACGGGGGAAGTGCCTGATTGATCGAGGCTCCTCTCGCTGTCCCTGCTGCTCCTTCCCCAGAACTACTTTGCATCTGAGGTTCAGTTGACGCGGATGCAGTTGATCCTGATGTCCTTAATTGCACCGCCGCAATGGTCTGATCGTAAGCCTGCTCGCGTGCCTTGGCCGCCTGTGCCTTGTTGTTCTGCTTCTCTCGTCCAATGGCAACCTGCTCTGCCCTGCGCTTCAGCTTCCTCGACATAACCGAGACCGTTGCGATGGTGTTCTTCATGGCTGTCAGCTTGGCGATATAATGTGGTAGCCTGGCAAACTATTAGTCAAGGAGGTAAGTATGAAGTGAATAAGATATCTATCATACACCAAAATGTCGCAATGGCTGTCAAGTGCAAAGGAGGGTAAGCTTACAGTATCATGAACCTTGTCCAACTCGGCCTGCGTCATATTTATTTCCGAGGAGAGTTGGGCAACATTGCCTTGAAGAATAACTTGACCCTGTCTTGAAATGGAAAAGAATCGTCAAGACAGGTTGTCCAAGAGTTACATTTCGGACTCAAGTAGGCACAGAATGTCTCGCTAGCATTCGTGCGCGTTCATCATACCCAAGGTCCCTGAGTTGTGATTCAATGGTGTGAATGAGAGGTTCCAGCTTCTCCAGCAATGCCTGGCTCATGAGCTGTTCGGGTGACTCTTCCATGTTGTGCGGTTGTCGTGTGATGATGTTTAGTCCTGAAGGTGAAAAAGAAAGAAAGAAAGAAAGGGAGAAATGATAATGAATATTGAATTTTTTATTCGTGTCTATGTGATTTTTTTCCGGCGCGCGCTTCAAGTCGCTCAACCCAACAGCCCCGCCCTCTCCTTGGCATACACTTCTCTCCTTTTTCAAATGCCCTCAGGCAATATATGTACTTGGTTTGTAAGAAATAGGAAGAATAAAAGTGACATGCCATGGTCATCAAAAAGTGGTCAAATCGTTGCGATGTGCGAAAAGGAAAGAATAAAAGTAAAAAAAAGAAAGTACAAAAATGCAATGTTGGGCTTCTCCACTCTACTAAAAAGACGCCTCATATCTTAACGCTTGAGTGCCTTGGACTGCTCGGGGTAGTCCCGTGCAAAGACGAGCTGAGAGTTGGCTGCCTCACGGAAGCCAAGAGCGCTCGTCAACTCTGCCTCCGTCCTGGCCATCTCAATCGACTTTTCAAAGTATTCGATCGCCTTCTCAATCTTGCCCTGCTGGAGGAACAACTGTCCAAGGGTGGCAATCGCAACATCGCACTCGGGATCGGCTATTTTGGTTGGCATGAAAAAAGAACGCGCGAAAGTTAGAACATAAAGTACGAGTGATATCAATGAAAAAAACTGGTTGCCATGAACAACGTTCAAACATATATCAGCCAACTCACCATCCAAGGACTGCAAGCACAACTTCTCGGCGCCGGCGGGGTCCTGCTTCCATTGGAAGACCAAGAGAGCCTTATTGATATATGGGAGGGGGTTCGAGGGTCTGAGCTTAATAGCCTTATCGAAGCTCTCAAAGGCCTGGTCGAACTGCTGCTGATCCAAGAGAAGCTCTCCGTAGTAATTGCTGACATCGCCCGACTCTGGGAAATCCTTCAATGCCTTCTTGAAAACGTTCATGGCGTCCGAAATGTTTCCAAGCTTGTACTGGGCAACACCATACTGGATGTGGGAGAAGACAAACTTGGGCTCAAGCTCGATAGACTTGATATAATCCTTGGCAGCCGCCTCGTACTCGCCAGTGATAAAGAAGACCTGACCACTATGAAAAAGTAAAATAGGGTGAAAATGCGTTAGAACTGTCAGACAAGAAAGATCTGTGAAAATACATCGGAAAGTCGTTGAGGTAAAAAATCAAGCAAAGTAACTAGAACATACCGATGGTAGTAGATGTTAGGGTCCTCGGAATCGATTGAGATGGCGGTCTCAAACTCGTTAAAGGTCTTGATGGCATCACCCTGCTCCATGAAGATGCTGCCGCGCTTGATGTAAGTCTGGACATAGTTGGGGTCGACCTCAATGGCCTTGTCAAAGTCAACCAAAGCCTTCTTTCCGTCGCCCATCAAGAAGGTGAAGGTTCCGCGCATGTTGAGGGCCGGGGCCATGTGGGTGGTGTTAAGCTCGATGGCCTTGTTGTAGGCCTCCATTGCCTCCTGGTAGCGTCTCTGGGCAAGGTAGTACTCGGCAAGCTGGAACTGGGCATCACCGGTCTCCTCATCCTCGGGCTTACTCTCGGGAACATCGCCCTTCCTGAAAGAGTCCAAGTAGGCAGACATGAAGGTGGTCGAGGGAAGGCGCTCCTCGCGGTTCTTCAAGATCTCTTTAGCCTTGACGTCGGCGACCTTCTTCAAGTTGCGCTCCATCGACTGGGCAAAGGACTCGTTCTTGAATCCGTCCAAAATGCAGAGGGCGGTGAAGTCGTGCATGGCTTCCTGGTGTTTGCCGGTGTTCTCATAAGCGTGAGCACGTCTTCCGAGGGCCTACCGGATCCACAAACGATAAAAAACAAGATTAGTAAAAGAAACCAAAGAAACCATGTATATACAAAAAACAAGCAGCCAATTCGCTTTCCAAGATGATCGATCTGGCAGACACTCAGAAAGTGACAGCTCATCCCGCAATGACGCCACAGCGGTCTCCGCTCAACTAGCTCCGTTTTTATACCTTGACATAGGTGGGGTTCATCTTCAGAGCGAAGGTGGTGTCCTCGATGACGTTGTCGAACTTTCCGACGATCGAATAGCAGGCAGCACGGTTGCTGTAGTAGACGGGATCGGGGTTGAAGGCAATGGCCTGGGAGTACAGACGGATCGCCTCCTCCCACTTCTTGGCAGAGTACATGCTGTTGCCGCGAGTCTTCAACGTGTTGGCGTGCTCCAAGCGTTTCTATTAGAAAGGGTACGAGTATGAACAATAAACAGTGAGTATCCTGATCCGATCGCTTCTTTGTGTCGTAAAAAGCTCCTGTTTATCGCTTCGAGGAGGAAGCGGGTTGTGACAGAAAACTGGCGCTTTTTGTATAGACACCAAAAGGTACCTTCTCGGTCAGTCCAGCAATGGTCTCCTTGCTCATGGTCTCCACATTGTCGTCGGCATCCTTGTTCTCGGAGGTCTTTTCCGAGGCTAAGCTATCAGCAGCTAGAGGTTGAAATGGAAGAGGGCAAACAAGGGACGGATTAGATCACCCGGTCGGATCACAGAGTTCTCCTTCCATGGGCTACTTTTCCCCTGGTAGTGAACGGGACTGGCGAAAAAAAAATAGAAAAATGACGGCGGGCAACTCAGGGGAAAGGGGGGTTTGAGTAGAAAGAGAACATGAGAGGAGGGAAGGATGCGTACTCTTTTCCTCGGGTGTGGATTCCTTGGCGGCGGAGGACTTCTTCTTCTTGTTGTTCTTCTTCTTCTTTGACTTTGAGGACTTTGCATCGGGAGTGGTGGAGGAAACAGAGTCTCTGGTAAGGAAGTAGAGGCCGGCACCGGCAAGGAGCGAGACCGAGGCGACGGCAGCGTAGAGCTTCCAGTCCTTGTCCTGGAACAGCTTCTGGATAGCGTTGGGTCCGTTGGAGACGGGGACCGGTGCGGGCACGGTGGCGGGGAGGGAAGTTGCAGACATAACGAGTGCGAAGAGGGGTGGAGGAGGGAGGAAGGAGAGGGGAGAGAAGGGTGAGGGAAGGAGGAAGAGAAAAAGAAGTAACAACGAAGATGCGTCTGAAGTCAGTGTTTTGCACACGGGTGGTGTGCGTTTGTCTGGGAAATCAAGAGAGAGAAACCGCCTCCCGATTAGGGAAAGAATCAACAAAACAACCATCGCGAAAATCTACTTCTACGTCACCCAGACGCCCGACCAGGGTGTCTCTCGCTAACCTCTCTTCATACATAGGAACCTCAAAGAGATCTCATCCATCACTCCTCTCCCTCCCCACTCCCCATTACACAATGTTCGCCTCTAGACGCCTTTTGAACGCCGTGACCAAGAAGGTACCGCACATCACCAACGACAAGCACCCCTTCACCGCCACTCGCGACAACTCTCCTCCCTGACGCAATCGGACCCTTTCTCTACCTCCCATTCTTCCCCTCCCTTCTTGAGCACCGATCTGTTTCTCGGAGCAATCCTCCGAAATATATTTCACACAAATGCCGAACTCCCCTTACCACGCTCTTCGTGACAAAACCCATGTCAATTAAACATAACGCGAATCCCCCTCACCCTTACCACCAACAATAACAACACTACTCTATCCTCAGAAGACACACACACCTCAACAAAACATATTGACTTCTTCGTTTTCCATCACTTGCCAACCTCTCCCCTCTCAAACCTTTCAATTTTTCCACTATAGTCCACCGGCATCTACGGTTTGCCCGTCCACCCCAACCCCCGCCCCCAGCTCATCAGCCTCTACAACGATACCCTCAAGACCCTTGAACAAATCCCCACCCACGCCGTCTACCGCCAGGCCACCGCTGCCTTGACCAACCACCGCCTGAGCATCGTCAAGGAAACTGAGGATATCGCCAAGATTGAGCAGACTTTGGAAGCTGGCCAGATCGAGGAGGTTGTTGTCCAGGCCGTCGAGGAGCTCAAGCTCGCCGGAAAGATGCTCGAGTGGAAGCCGTAAGTTTCTTTTGCCGTTGGAGCATACAAGGGCTGTTCGGTTGCTATCGCGAGCTGCCAGGATCGGAGTGCGAGTGTATCAACTGACAAACAACCCCCTCTCTTTCTACTATCATTAGCTGGGAGCCATTGGAGACCCCTGCACCAAAAGATCAGTGGACCTACAAGTACAACGACCACAACTAATTTACGGATACTATTCAGGAACGAGGCTGACAAAACGCGAAGAACCCCTTTTAGAACGGAGAACTGAATAACAAGGACAGGACCGACACACATACCGACTCTTTCCTTTTGTTTCTTTTCTCGATCAATACACACACATTTTCATTCACAACAACTTTCGTTACCAAGAGAAGGGCATTGCGATTATCTCAAATGTTTATTGTACATGGAAAGGGAGAAAGGGAAAAAGTGCGGTCTATGAACCTCTAGATCGCCAATGTGATCCTGATGGTAGGCTATACTGGGCGTCACTAGAAAATGTCGCCTGGACACCATTGGATTGAGACGAGTAGCGTTGATCGTCATGCTCAATGAATTGTTCAAATACGGGATCTTTTGCAAGGATATTGCTGCTGCCACTTGCCTTGTGAACAAAGTACAAAAACACCATGCTGACAAGACCGCTGATCAGGAAAATGATATCGAACCTAGATGGCAAGAAAGCAACAAACGTATGTTAGCGTAGAACAATACATTGTCTGATCAATGAGTCGAGTTATGAAGGCAGCACATACCATCGGTGGTAGAAATTAAACTCTAGCGCGCCAAGTGACTCCGAGATAATGGACCGGTACTCTGGCGGGAGATTCTGACGCATAAGAAGAACCGAGCTCAGGAAGTAGAGGCCCATAAGATGCGCCAAGAAGAGGATGATGTTGCTGGACGAAACATGTCGCGAGAAGGCGCGAAAGAACTTTGAGAGCTCATTCAGCAGACCGCGGATCGACAAGAAAATCATTAATCCGATGAAGAAGAAGCTGAGTTGCTGGGACCAGAACCGGACGTCAATCTTCATGTTTGTATGAGAGACAAACTTGCTGATCAGTGCTGTAATGGGGTCGGTGGATCCTTTTAGGTTGAGCAACGTGTTAATCAGCGACTATGGTTTCCATGCAAAGGAGGGGCATTGGTTAGTATACTCTATATGTTTGATATACTGGCGTTGACTTGAAGGTAGAGATGAGATAGGGTCTTACCATTGCTAGTTTGTAGACGCAGTAGACTGAAAAAATGTACCCCATAAGGTTGCTGTACTTCCCCTGCCATGTCTTTGCGTGTTGCAGACGCGCCTACATATTGAAAGGTAGCAGGAAACTAAGTCAGCACTCTGTTACCCTGTTCAGTAGATTGCCAACTGTCCTGAGAATGTTGATATGTTGGCCTTACCTGCTCAACGTAAAGATCGTCAATGTCGAGAAAGAGTTGCCGCGAAATTCCCTCGAGTGCTGCCAACTCCAGTCGAAGGCCTTCTAGGTCTGATCAAGCAAACATAGCATGTTAGTTTTGTGTTAATTGATAGAATACGCCCAACCTGTTGATTTCGTTGGATCGAGGGGTTGGAGGACTTACTTTCTCCTTCTGGTCTTCCAGAGGCACCGCCAAAGATTTTTCGAACAAACCCTCCGACTTTGGACGCATTGGGCTATCAGTCAAGACATCAGGTCAGAGAAGCAAGTCAGAAGCTAGTGCTTTGAGCAACAAGAACACAATTGTCGAGCACAACTGGTGTAAGATGACCATGTGACTTACGTCCAAGGTTCGCAACCTGGCTTCTTCCAGTACCATCTGCTTCTTTTTGCTTGCAATCATCTCCAGCGTCTGAATACACTTCTTTTCTGCAAGCTGTACATCAGCGTCGGTGACTTGACTAGCAAGACGATAAGAAGAATGCGGATCAAATTATCAGTACATGGAGCAAAACTTCATTTTTCGCCAAAGCTGGCATTTTGTATCCTGTGCCACAATAGACATACCGCAGGAAGAAAGAGAGGTTGGAGTATGGTCCATTGACAGCTCCAAAGCCAGACAGGATAGCACTGATGGTGACTCCGATGACACCAACGCGAGACATGCCCCACTCAATTGACCAAAGCCCTACATAAATATAGACAATACAAACATGGTTAGTACTGTGCCATTTTTGAACTGCATGAAGCCCTGTTGACGCATTGATCGAACCATTGGTCCTACATTACCTGGTGCATGCCCACCTTGAGACGGAAAACTGTTACCGACTTTGGCAAAGAAATAGAAATATATGCACCAGACAACCGTTGCAATTGGCAATGCTTTCTGCGTCGAGATTCCTAGAAGAGTGTGAACGGTAGAGGAAGTTGGTCAGGAACGCGTGCTTTGACTGTCACACTATGGATCGGAAAATAAGCCATGATACGTGGCATTTACCTGTGTTTCGTGTCAAGAGGACACATTGATAGTATGGAATGACCGCAATGACGAGTAGGAGCAAGGAGCTGAGGGTGAGTCTCCAAAAGTACCAACGAGACCTAACGTGTTCAATTTCAGACCACCGAGTTAGCTATTCACAGCCTCTCTTGTGAATGACAAAACAAAAACGAGCGCATGGCAAGAATAGAAGGGGCAAGAGAGATGGTGGTGATGAAAGTTGAATTGGTTTCCTTTTCATTCTTACTCTTGTCCAAGGAGGCCCAAGATCTCCATGATGATCATCTCGAAGAGGAGACCGCTCCAGGTGAGGGTGAGGGCAAAGACGACCTGGACGAGGACACCCCCCTGCCACCACTTTTGCTTGCGTTTGTAGGTGTTTGTGGGGAAGGCGGAGAGGAGGAACTCTTGGTCGGAGCTGTTGGAGGCATAGTCGCGGAGGAGGCCCTGGATGAGGAAGGACCAGGCGAGGGTGTAGAAGAGAGCCTGCGAGGCCAGGAGGAAGAGGGCTTCGAAGACCAGCCGGAATGTGAGTTGCATGGCAGTAGAGGATGCATCGTCCGGTTGGGAAAAGAATGTCGTTCTTAAAAGAAGAACGTCGTGAACCCTTCCTCGTTGAAGAGCGTCAAACGACTAGAATAGCAGTCCCTTTTCAGCTTTTCAGCTTTTCAGGCACAGGATAGAAAAGCTCTATTGCTGATCAGGAAGTAGAAGGGAGTGTGATATCAACTGTTGGATAAATCACAAACTGAGACGGCGATGGAGCCACAAGGAGCTGACAACGAACTCAACAGACTGGCTGTCTAGATGGGTTCTGGCCTCTCGGGCTCCGCCTCGGGATGTGGTCTTGTCTTCATTAAAAGGGGTACCCCTCTCTTTTCTAGCCTACTCCAATAGCGGCAATTGTGTACCCTGCCCAGCCCATGCTATTTTTATAGCCATTTCCCTTCCCATCAATGATTTCCCGCACGATTTTTATCTTGTCCTCCCTTCCCTTCTTTTTACTTTCTTCTCTTTACTTTCTGTCTACTCTTCTCTCTCCCTCTCCCCTCTTCATCATCCTGCTCCCCCTTCCTCTTCCTCCTCCTCCGCCTCATGACCTTTGCTGAAGACTACAGGAATCCAATCATCCCCTCAGACCTGCAACAAGAACAGCAACAACACCAGCCTCATCATCTCTCCACCATTCATCATCACCAGCAGGATCACATCTCCTTCGCCCCTGAACCAACTGCAACCAACAACCCTACCAAGCTAGTCAAGCGCAACTCGCTCAAGCTCGCCAAGCGTATCAGCTCAAGCTCTCTCCTCCCATCCAACTACTCCACCAAGAATAAGTCAACAACTCCAACAGCAGCTTCTTCCAGCTCTCCCTCAACTAGAGCCCGTCGCTCTTCCTCCGCTGCTTCGAACCACCTTCGCAACAACAGCAACCTCCGCCACCTCAATAGCCACAACAAGCCCTCGAAAGCAGGCGCCCTTTTCCAATCCATCCTTCACCATCCTGTCGTTATGTCCTTGAAGGACAATATTATGGCTCGTAAAGGTTACTGGCTCCGCAATGGCGCAATCCTGTTCTTTGGTTTGACCCTCTTTTTCTTTGTCATGCTCCCAAAGAGCGAGCCTAATCTCCACGACAACATCCCAGTTGGTAAGTGGCACACTTCTTGCTGTAGTTGCCGCTACATTATCGTCTGTCTGTTATTACCTTCTACTTTTACCTTGGTTTGCCTGCTTGTCCTAGCCACCTTGTTGACGCCCATCTCATTCCTCGTGTGCAGCAGCCCCTGTCTTTTCTTTTATTACCTTTTTCCTTTGCTTCGTTGTTTCTGGAATCAATCTCGATCACAAACAAAACATCAACAAAAAGATATCGAGAGCCATTCTTAACCTTTTTGAATAATATATATTTACCGTGCATGCATAGCGCCACTCGAAGGGACAACGCCAACAACGTGGCCTGCCAGCATTACTTCAGAACACTGCGATGTAGCCCACCCAGAAAGACCTCTGATCCAATATGTGCTCATGATTGATGCCGGTTCGTCCGGTTCGCGCATCCACGTTTACAAGTTCAACTACTGTAAGGCGACCCCGGAACTGGAGAGTGAGGTCTTTAAAATGCTCGAGCCTGGTCTTTCGAAATATGGCGATGATGCGCAGGGCGCTGCAAAGTCTCTGGACCCACTCCTCGAGGCCGCTTTGGAATCTGTCCCCAAGTTCTTGCACAAGTCGACGCCCGTTGCTGTCAAGGCGACAGCTGGACTCCGTTTGTTGGGTCCAGAAAAGTCGAACAGGATCTTGGAGGCTGTCCGTCATCGGTTGGAGACTGTATACCCCTTCCCCATCATCAAGGAACAAGGAGTCGCTGTCATGGATGGAGGTGATGAGGGCGTGTATGCTTGGGTCACAGTCAATTACCTCTTGGGACGTATCAGCTCGATTGAAAAGACCCCCACTGTCGCCATCATGGATCTTGGAGGCGCCTCGACTCAGATTGTTTTTGAGCCCCTCACCGTCAATGGCCACTCTGTCGCCCAGGGCCCTCAGCGTGTGCCCATGTCCTTCAACGGCAACAACTATGTTCTCTTCCAGCACTCGTACCTCAACTACGGATTGAACGAGGCCAACAAGGCGATCAACAACTATGTGATTGAGAACCCTATCGACAACACCGAAGACATCAATCTCTCTGCCGACGAGTACCTCCACCCTTGCATGCCCGTCGACAGCCGCAAGAAGTACCTGCACGGCGAGAAGGAGGTGACCCTGATCGGCGTCTCTGACACCGCCAACGAGTGCCGTCGCGTAGTCGAGGCCATCTTTTACAAGGACAAAGCCTGCAGCCAGAACCCTTGCTCCTTCAACGGCGTCTACCAGCCCTCGCTCGCCACCTCCTTTAACTCGGACATATATGCCTTCTCCTACATTTTTGATCGTATCACCCCCTTCCTTGCTGGATCCGACGTCCCCATTCAGGATATCACTCTCCAGCAGCTCGAGGAGCTGACTGAGCGTGTCTGTGTCGCTGACGAAGACGCCTTTAAGGAGTTTGATTCGGTTCCCACGGCAAAGACTGAGCTCGGAAGGGTCGCCGAGATGTGCATGGACTTGAACTACATCTATGGATTGTTCCAGTACGGATACGGGATCCCAAAGGGCCACAAGATCAATCTGACAAAGAAGATTCGCGACTATGAGACCGGTTGGTGCTTGGGTGCCAGTATTGCCGTCCTCGAGGATCGTTGGTACCTCGGCGCTTAAAGGGAGAGCGTTGCAACTGCGTTATTACTTTCCACCCCTCCTCTCTTTTACACCTCTTATCATCAAAAGGACCTTTTTTTTTTCCTTCATTAATAAACCACTAGATAGACACCAATTTTGCACATAATATCATCTCAATGTATCAGTTCTTTTTATTTTATGTGTCTCTGTCGTAGAGAAGAGAGGTGATGAGGTATTACAATGAATCCAAGTCAGGAAAGAAAACGATCAAGACTGAAAGAAAGAACACAGAACAAGAAAACTACTACTGGTAGTGGAGGCACAATGCCGACAAGAGCCCCCGACGTGAAAGGATCATACCCAAACCCCTCCATATCACTCAAGAAGTCCACTCTGCGTTCACCAGTTCCATCCACCGGGTCCTTCCCACGACCCTGGGCCTCCTGTCCCCCACGCGCCGATGCCAAACCCCCCATTCCACGCTCCAGAACCGGCGCCACCCCAGCCGCAAGGGTAGGTGTTGTACCAAGGATTCCACCACGAGTAATCGTTGTAATCAGTCGGGAGGACGTTGACGACAGGCTGGACGTTGGTGATGGGGATGAAATCCGTCTGGGGCGCGATGGTCGTCTGGGGGTTGATGATTGGCCCGCTGTTTGGGTAGTAGGGTGCTGCTGAGACGGCCGTCAGGAACATGGAGAGGGCGAAGACCAAGGTTGATTTGAGTGTCATTTTTGGGATAGGATGCAGAGGGTGCCAAGGATAGAATGGGACTTGTTTGTTGGATGACGCCGTAGGCAGCGGTGGCGGTCAGGAAGGGGGTTGTGAAGGCTAGCTTGTTGCTGTTGTGTGGTTTTGGCGACTCCAATCCTTTTATATTCTTGCAAAAAAGAAAGTTTTCGATTCATCTCATGTCATCAACATGAACCGGGGACAAAAACCCAATTTCCGGTGATAGTTGGAAGGTGTGTTCGTTCGACTCAGCGTTTTCTCTCTCTCTCTCTCTCTCTCTCTCTCTTTTACCAGGAATTCCAACAAAAATGAAGAACAAATCGATTTATCACTCCTGCCTATCATTTCAAATGCAGATGGGTTTCAACTTGTTGATGCTTTACTCCTACTTAATTCTTGCCCTTCCTTTCCTTCTTTACATTGATAAAGCATTTTACCTCCAAGTAACAAACGGAAAAACGAAAGACGCAATCTGCTCTGTCAATGACAAGATTCTCTGTGTCCCACCAGCCATCAAAAAACGCGCTGACAAAAAATGAAAAAAGAGGTCGAACATTTCTTTGTGCCAGGTCGCGCGTTTGTTCCTGTCTGGAACACGCACTAATAAGGGCAGCCCAAAATAGGAGATGCTTAATCAATCGCCAATCATTCATGGTATTTTTTTGTGTCGCCTGCGAATGCAGCATCTAGTTGACAATCCTTTGCCCGTGAAAGTAAGGTGTAACCGTCACGAAGATTGCTAAGGAGGACGTTTTGCAAAGAGCCAGCAGAGTAAAAAAAAAAAAAAAAAGGCACCTTCGTTAAAATTCAGAAATGAGGGCGGTAAGAGCGACGACTGCTCCGGCGATGATGGAGTTGATCCTCCTGGAAACAGTGCTGTATGATTAATAAGTTGAGAGGACTGGACGCAAATGGGTACCAGTGAAGAACCTATACATTCATGTAGTGTTCATAGATCAGAAACGTAATTGCAAATATATGTCCTGAAAAATACAATAACGCAATTAGAAACTCAACAGCGATGTTGTCGTAATTGTTGATACTCGCCTCTTGGACACGACAAATAGGCTGGTCTCGACTTGACTGCTGGAAGCTTTCGCCTCAACAGTCTGCTCTTTCCGACGCTCCAGCCATCGTCTGTGCTTGAAGGTAGGCTGACGGACAGCCTTCTGCTAGACGCCTAAGTTGAAAAACTTGGGCGACGGTTCCTCGGTCTCTTCATCCTCCTCTGCTTCTTCATCCTCCTCTGCCTCTTCATCCTCCTCTGCCTCAACACTCGACAGCGACGACTCCGTGGTACTAACACCAGACTCTTTTCCTTGTTCGACATTTAGCTGCTCGCGAGTGGGTAGAATTGCACTCGCTCTAACGACAAATGCTTGGCCCAAGTCAATGCCGAGGATCTTGATACTCTTGGGATCGCAACTCCAGAGCTGGGTGACGTCCTACTTAGTTGAAGCGATATTCTCGATCTCTGTCAAAAAATAATCTGTGCCGCCAACAGTGGATGTTAGTCGAGAAGGCAGTTTCTCCGCGGGTAGTCGTCTGTACTTGGCCGAGTGGAGCTCATTCAACTTGGAAGCGAGCACTTGGAGCTGCAACCCACCTGTCCGAATCGATCCACGCAGAACGTAGCCTTTCTCGGTATATGGAGGTAGGTTCAAAGTTGTGTCCCGGATATTTTGGATATGACTCTTTATCTCCTCCAACGGCATCAAGATAGTCGACTTGGAATAGTTTCGAGGCCTTTTCCGTTGATCCGCCGAGTATCGGTCAATGTTGGTGAGTAGCCTGGTGATGAGGAACTCAGGCGTTTTTGTTGACAACCAAAGATCGACATCTGTATGTGTGCCTTGATCGGAATGCTCCATACTCGGATACTCTGGGAAGCCATACGGCTGAAGCACGCACCGCAATGGCTGGTCCTGCCAAAGATCTTGGTTAGATCCAGATCCGACAAAGTATTAAACTTGACATCGAAAGACGACATTAGCACCAACGAGCGACGACTCCCGCAAGGCCCTGTTCAATAGTACGAAATTCCTTATTGCGGATCTTCGAGGCCTAGTGTTATCTCTCACTTCTGAAGTCAGAAGCGTCTTGTGCTTGAGGACTTCGATCTATTATTTTTGAGGTGTTAAAATTGATCAATGTCAAAAACTTATGACTAAATAAAAGGTACAGCTTTCATCTCTTTTTACCTTATTGCGGAGATAGATCGCTCCATTCCTGTAGTGATTTTTTTAGCTCAACGGATAACTGCAAGGCGGCAGACCTCAGAAACGAAGACCCAGAATACTCCTCTGTAGCTCTACCTTCCGTAAAGTTGGGCAAAAAGTCCTGCGCTTGTTCGATGAATTCCGAACGTGCAAACACACATCCCGCTTTTTTTTTTTTTTTTTTTTTGTTTTTTGGGAAGCATAGTAGAATGTATGGCTGTAAGGAGCGACATGGGAAACCATAGCGCCTTGTTTTTCTTGTCATGGCTGTCGTCGTATTCCTGAGGCCCCTCGGGTTTGTCAAGCTCTTGGTCTGTTTCCTCCTTGCTGCATTCGACTAAATCCTTGTTGGAGAAGGCAAGGCAAAGAATGTTGAAAAATCTCTAGTCAACGTCACTAAGAATCTCGGTGTTAGTAGGAAAGGTGCTCAGCATTGACAAATGAGAGAAGACAACCTCCAACAAGCTGCACAATGTTGCTGTACCCTTTGTAATCATGGACACACGTCTCGTTGGTCCCTTTTTTCGAACTCTCTACACACGTCTCTCTTGATCGTCTTTCTCACTGGCAGCTACCAGAGACACCTTTGTACCCGTAGCGCAGAAGAAAAAGAGAAGACGCCAAAGAAAGAAGTGTGCCCATTGTAAGGGGAAGGAAATCAAAAACAAACGTGCCATGGTGGAGAAGATGACCAAGGAACAAAAAGATAAAGACTTTTGACCTTTGAACAAGAGGAAAGAATACAAGAGATGGGGTCCACCGATGGAACAGATGATTGTCAACATCGGTGTCTCTCGTCACAATGCATCCCTGGATGATGCATCTGGCCTCCCCAGTATGCGAATGTCTTGTGTATTGTCATCAAACTCTTCAGCGACTTCGTACTTTGTAGTAAGTAGGGGAAGGGAGAGAAAGAAAAGAGGGCGAGGGGAGCTTTTCAAAAAAATGATTGGTCAGAATTGGTTGTCTTGAGCCTCCTACTCCACAAAACGTTTTTGTGAGCCATGCGATTTGGATACTGTTGCAGTTACACCCATATTGAACTGTAGGGTAGAGAACACCCAATAAATCGACATGGATGGAGTGCTGAGAGCAGGAGCCGAGGCTGCATGTGGGACAGAACGCTGTGCCCATGCGAGAGGTTGGGTATATGTCTTTCTTTCGCAGTCAAGCTCAGAGGCCGTGGATGCCAATGATGGATGTTGGTGAGAAGGTGTAGTAGAGAGAGATGGAAGAAGAAGTTGAAAATGGTTAAATGGAAGGATGTGTCTTTTATAGAACTCAGACTGCGTCCGCTATATAATAGCAGCAAAGGACAATCTACTCGTATATTAATACAGACATGTTCTTTCTCGCTCTCTTCGATGTAAACAAACAACTGCAACACCCGTACGAGTTTGTTATATTTGTCATGTTGAATATTGTCTTTCAGCACTTTTACTTCATGTTTTATTGAACTTCCAGAATGCATCTAATCCTATATTGTCGTTGATCCTATCCTCTTGCTCGATTCTATCGCATAATCTTGCTCGAGCAATCTTAACAAAACTCGTACAAATCTATTAAGGATAGAGAAAGACTGAAAAAAAGAAAAAGCAATGGCTCAGTCTCAAGCAACAACAAAGCACAACCGTACAAGTCCTTTATGTGCTATTAAACCACCCCCACAAAGCGGGGGGTGATGGCCCCAGTCACCCAGCGGTGAAAACAGCCGAGCTGAGCGAAGTCTCGAAAAACCACATGGACATTGCGGACGACGGCACTAGATCCAGGTCCAAGCATCACCACCGTTACCTAGGCAGCGGTGAGGTCATATGATGGGCAGTCCAGCGCGCGGCTTGTCCTTTAGCCCTCGGTACCCACGGAGTTGGACAATCATCAATGCACACGAAGCCTCGCTTACCCTCAGCGAGAAGTGGATGTCAAGAAATGAGAGAGGTCGTCATGAGGGCCGATGCACCCTCAAGTACCCACGAGTCTGACGGAGAGCAAAACTACAAGGACCAGCAACACCGCTGATGGCGGAGGTCATATGAAGAGCAGCCCAGCGTATGGCATGTTCTATAGCCCTTCTGTACCTACAGAGTAGTTCTAGTAGCCCGCCCAAATCCAGCGCCACCGCCAGCCGAGGCTGACGGTCAGGTCATATGAAGAGCAGCCCAGCGCACGGCATAGACTTTGGCCCTTCTGTACCCAAGGTGGACCCAGCTCGCCATCACTTCTCAACACCCGTACACACGTCATGCCTGCTGCCACCCAAGACTGAGCCATTTTTTTTACCTTGCTTCTTTGTTGGGATTACGGGGCTGTGGGTGTGTCCGATATCGAATAATAGAGGAGGTGAGCAAAGGATTCGAAGGTGATTGAAGATGCCGAGAGTAAAGAGAGGTGAAGGTGGCGAGGACGATGTGGACAGGTTGAGAGGGGAGCTGGTTGAGAGGGGAGCTGGATGAGAGTGGAGCTGGTTGAGAGTGGAGAATGTGGACGAGGAGGGGTGAGGGAAAGAGAGGAGAAAGAGAAAGAGAAAGAAAAAACGGGGGGTGGGGGTGAAAGAGAAAGAGAAAGAGAAGGAAATAAAAGAAAAAAATGAAAAACAGGAGGAGAAGGGAAAGAGAAAGAGGAGGAGGTGCGGCGAGGGAGGGGACAGTTGAGTTGACGAGTGGCTTGGTCCTCAGAGGCTCACCATGACATCATGTAACAAAAAGGACCCTATGTAACAAAAAGGGCCCCATGTAACAAAAGGACCCCATGTAACAAAAAGGCCCCCTTGTAACAAAAAGACCCCCTTGGTGCATGGTGGGCGGGGATTGAATTCCGTCTCGTTCTATAAGCTCTCTAAAAAGTCACCCACCCATCGAAGTAAGTGCACACAATAGAGAGAGCTGAACAATTGACTGCACCGACGCGGCATCCATAGCAAGGCGTGCCTTGATGCTCATGTGAGCGATGTCCAAGCTGGCCATGACCATGACTGGGTGCTGATCAGTGCAATCTCCGGGCGCTTCAAGTGTCGGACGGAATTCAGGCACAGAAACAGGCTTGTCAGGTACGAAAAGGACGTGCGCCTTCACCAACCATTGTTTCTCGTTTATGTATCACCTTGTCCCCTATTGTTCCAGTACATCAACCATGGCAAAGCGACAGAACAAGTCGGAGGAGACGGGAGCAGAGAATTAAAAAAAATGTCCCTGTGGCACCACCTATTCCACTACGCCTTCGCCCTTCTCTTTTTTGTGTTCATCGCCACTTTCTTTTTTTATTTTCCATTTCACTGTTTATCATTCGCCATGTTTCTTCTTCGTTTTCTTTTCATGCTTCACCCTACGTATAACCTTCGCCTTCTCTCTTTCACCTTCAGTCTATTCAATACTTCGCAACACCATCACCGATAACCACTTGACCCTGTTCTGTCTTTATGGAAAAAAGAGCACAAAAACAGCGGCAACAGGAATCGACAACAAGTGTCCCATCCGATCAACAGCAACCACCATAACTACAGGGCTAACTTCCCCACTAGGATATATGTCAGCATGGTAATCGCCCACCTCTGCTGAGGCTGTCACACCCCCCGAGTTGTTTGGCCTGATCTCGAGCCCCGAACTTGAGGGCCTCCAACGTGTGTCCATCGATATCGATGACAACAGCTTTTCCGAAGATCTTCCCACGAGGTCACATAAGAATTTCTGGACAAGCTAAAGGGACACAAGCGACGTTCTGAAGACCAGGAATCTCAAATATCATAAAAGATGAAGGCGAACGACACCTTCACAATGCCAATCAGCAAAACAAAATGAACTAATCCTTTACTTTCCCATCGTTTATTTTGACTGGTATTACCCTCTCAATGACGCAAAAAAAAGAAAGTTTCTTTTCGTAAACGGTCTTGAGAGTAGGAAAAGGGAGTGAAGTGTAAGAAAAGAAGGGGAGAGCTGTCTGCCACGGCAAGAGGAAGGGATAGGAATGCTAAAACAGAGTCTTAAGCAAAATATTCACCACCTCTTCATCGTTGTTTTTTGTCATCTACCAACGTCCTCCTCTCCATCCACCTCCACGCCATCCGCCTCCACGCCATCCACCTCCTTGCCAGCCCCCTCCGCCTCCTCCACCCCAACCCCAGAGAGCTCTTTCGTCGCCATCAATGACGTCTCCTTCCTCCAAGCTACGTCTTTTGTGCCCGTGGCCACCTTTGTGCCATTTTTCGGCTTGAATGGCGTCGTCCGAGGGAGCAGGGGATGGGTTTCCGACCGCGGACCCGATCAGAAAGACGCTGGCGACGAGGCCGAGAAGAGCAGAGAAACGCATGGTTATTTTGTGTTGTTCGAGTGTTGTTTGTGTGTTTTAAGTGGATGTAGAGAAAGTCGGACGAGGAGATGGAGAATAAAACACAAATTTGCTGGGCTGCCGTCGATCTTTTTATACCTGTTCGTCTATTGAAAACCTGTGACCTCACGTACTCTAGCAAATTTGTCACCCTCACTCGTTTAACCACGCTAAGAAAAAAAACACCGATCCATGCTCTATGAAAAGTTCGCAGGGAGCAGATGGGGTGGATGTGGAAAGAGGCGCGCAAATTCAGAAAAAGCAGCGATCACCGGAGCTATTTTGTCTCTCATCGTCTCGTCTGAGCATCGCGCATTTCCCTCAACTTTATTTTCGGTTCAGCAAATACACAGCGCTGATCTTCAGTGCAAATCCTGGGGTCCGAGGATGGCTCCCATCAGTCGATCAAGCTTGGACTCGATGTCATCCATGCGTATCTGCATCTCGGTAAACCGGTCCTCGACCAGCCGCGTCAATTCCTCGGTATCCGCCTGTTGTTGCTGAAGCAGCTGCTTTACCTCCGATGACTCCATCAACCACCGCTGATTCGGCGGCTGTGGATGCTGATTCGGCGGTTGTTGCTGTTGTTGTTGTTGTTGATGATGAGGATGTTGTTCCTGCTGTTGCCATTGCTGGTGCTGATTGTACGGGTCCGCACTTGTCCCCGGCTCATCCACTGCATGCATGTCGAAATGGTGCGGCCAAAATCCTTGGAAAGTATTGGCGAGGGTCATGTCAGTCGCGTGGCGAACACGCCCGTATCCAGACATGCTGCCTTGTCGCATAATCCCCATCCCAATCGGAGCCGCAGGCTGATAAGAGTAGATTGCCGGGTGATGCGACTGAGGTGATCGCTCCTGGTTATTCTCGCTCTCGCTCTTCAGAGACCCACTCGACATCGAGTTGTTCTTGCTGGCATCCCTGAACCGTCGGATGTTCTCAAAGTAAGGCGAGACGATTTCTTGGCCGGTTGGTTGACTTGGCTGGCCGAGTCCGTTGGTAGTGAGATGGTGAAGCTCCTGGGGTACTGGTCGCACCTTTGGCAGGTGCCCAATTGGAGGTGGCCCGTCAGGGTTGGGAAAGATTGTTGCATCAGTCGATCTTGCTTCCGCCGGAGGTGAGGTCGAGTCCCGCGATGACTGTCCTTCCATTGAATCGACTGTCACACTGCTGCGCCGATCTAGTCTCCGTTGAACGACGCCGCCTCCAACGCTGGTCTTTCCCATGCCTGCTGTTGATGTGGCTCCGTAATTTCCCTCATGCTCAACAGGACCTGTTCGGACAGGAAGATATTGCGCTCGTTTCCGTAGCACCAGCACCTCAAAGATCCAGATGCAGACCAGCTCAGGGAAGAAGAACAATCGAAGAAGAGCGCGGCTGATTCGACCCACGAATTCCGCTGAACAGAACAAACTGCATGGCCAGACAACCAGTCCTGCAAAGATGTTGAACGGAGGCTGAAACTCGTACAGGGCATCCGATTTGACCTCTTCCATAACTTTGACCGAGAACAAGAACATGAACTCTTCCTTGGCATTGGCGCTCACCTATCAGTCAAGGAGAGGAAAAAATGATAAACAATAGGTCAGGACCACGACGCTACAACTCATGTCAAACACATGAAACGATCAATGCCGCCATATGTCAACACATACCTCAGAGAACGTCTGTGAAAAGATAGAAATGAGAAGGGTATATAGCATCAAGACCGAGATGGCGACAAAGAGAACCATCAGAGGCGCACCAAAGAGCTTTGACAACTCTTCTGCCTCCTCGAATCCCAGAAAAGCGGACCCAAAGAAGACTTGCAGCAGTAGCCATGCAATCTCTCCATATGATTTCGTGTTGTCATGGAGTCCCTACAATGAGAACAAGCATGGCGATATCAATAAACGTTGTCGATTTGAACGTAAAGCATGCAATGACCTCAAACAAGCAAGGAACCTACGTAGAACGCTTGCAGGAACCCGATGTAAAAGATAGTAGAGAGGGCCAAGAAGAGCATGGCATCCAACAGCATCTGTCGAAGGACAATAAGCATGGTGCCAAAGAAGCGATAATGATCTAATCATCGCGAAAAAAAAGAGGGCGACCTATTAGCCAACGACTCTGCTATTAAAAACCGCCTCACGTGGATCATCTCAAACGAACAAGGACTATTACCGAGTGCAGCGAAGAGTCTTGGCCAGAGTAGGATCGCGTTGCAGGCCAGCACGTCGTATGCAAAGTCAGACATCTCTATGGATCCAGTGAAGAAAGTGCTGATCCTAAGACCCATGAACACCAAGAATATTATGTAGATCGGGACGTCAAAGAGGTTCCAGACAGTCTCAAAGTAGAATGACGGCCCAGAGTCCCGGAGTTGGATGAGCTCATCTATCGTGTACGACAATGCAAAAATATCCATGATCTAGTCAAGGCCAGGGATCGAAGAGCGAGATTTAGATATGTGCTCACACAAAGAATATAAACACCATGCTCAATCCACCTGCAGGCTTGTAGAAAAAAGGAGAGTGATCGCATACCACTTCTATGGCCGTCAGCTTGGCTTCCTTTGCAAATGTTACAGCGGTATAAACCGCGATGAAGCCTGAGAAGGAGACCATCTGGAATGTCGTCTTGTATCGCGGTACCCGGAGACGAGATAGCCTCAGGAACTTGATGTCCCGGTTGTCGTACACGGTGACCGTTCGTATCTCCTGCTGTGAAGCATTGAGGCACGAGTCCGGGTTGTCAATTGCATTCGAGAAAAAGACGATTTCTCCAAGCCAGATCTGGTCTGTCAAAGGAAGACGCGATGAAGAGATGGTGTGGTTAGTATACGGTCATGCGGCAATTATATATAGGAGAGCTCAAAAACGCACACACAGATATGAATGGAGTCATACTTATAATCTCTTGGACAAGTGGGTTCGAGATGAAGTGTTTGGCTCTCCCGGATATCGCCACCTCCAGAGCGCTCATCGGCTCATTGGATGGCTCGCCCTCAAAGTGAGGTAGATAGATTCTTGACCGACCGTCTTTCCCTATTTTTTGTATGGCCTAAGCCAGAAATGGGTCAATACCATCGTTTGTTATAAGGTACATCCATTGGCTGCAGGGCATGCGGTTGTAACTTACGTCGCACTGGAGAAAAGTCGTATGTCAACACGTCGATTAATTGGCGCATCGAAAATGCTTTCAGCACCCTGTAATAGCACCATGACAAAAACAAACAAGGGTCAGAATTACATGCAGCGTGAAAACAATGAGAGAGAAGTGGCAACGATGACGCATGTTGGTTAACATATCGTGCATGGGTCTTACTTGGTCGCCACAATCTCGCATGCATATGCCCTAAAAAGAGTAAATTACAAGGGTATAACGGTTGTAGAGAAGGGAACCACTGTTAGAGCACCATGTCCAATCAAACACATACAAACAGTCCGCCATGTTTTGATTCGTCGCACCCCTTTTCATTTTCCTTAGGCCCAATGGTGACGCCATCTTGACGCGGTTGGACAACTTGTTTACCTGGTCTCGTTGAGTCGCGCATTCGCCAGATCGTTCTCTGCGTCCCGAAGGAATTGCCAGCGGTTCAGGAGGAAGCAATAGACGGCGGCTGTCTCTCGGCGTTCCTCTCGGTATTTCCTCACGATCGGTAGTAGTAGTGCAAGGTAGATCTCGAGGGATCCGAGTTCATCCCGCGTGAGCGATGTGTCGAGTGCATTGATGATTGCTGGGATTGTATTTTAGGAAGGGAAAAGACAGCGAGAAAAGAAGAGAAGAAGGAAGAAGACGAAAGAAGAGAAGGAGAAGGCAATGATAAGAGGGGAGAAAGAGGGAATAAATGTAAGTATTTTTGTGATATCATAGGCAAAAAAAAAAACGACGCCACTAAAATATAAAGTCTCTGAAAGAAATGACGACGACGATCGGAATTCTGCAGACGTACAATAACGAGCTTCTTTGACCAGTGCTGTAACCGGTGCAGTCGGGAATGGCCTGGGCGCCCATGCGTAGTCGTTGTGGTGGTGGAACCGGGCAAGCAAAGGTCTTCGTGGGTTGTATGATTCGGCGGGGGAGTGAAAGGGTTCGTCGGGTAAGTGTCGAGAGCCGATAGTACCCATATGGCAGGCAAGGATAAGATCAAAATTGAAGGGAAGGTGTGTGAAAGAGGAACGAGTGTCGTTCAGAGTGTATGGGCAAGGGCGTGGGTGTTTATGCTGTGTGGTGTCTGTGTATGATTGTGTGCTGCAAAGGGGTCGAAGGGACAGGAGTGGAGTCTGAGGGAGAGGAGAGGGAGAAGAGGCCGAGGGACAGGGGAAGGAGAAGTGTGGTGGATGGGTGAGTGTGCGTTGAGTTTGTCGATGCACTAACGAGTGCCAGAGGTGAATGAGGGAAGACGGGGAGGGAAGTGTTGTCGAGGTCGTGAGTTGTCGGAAGGTGTTTGTCGTGTGAGTGTGAATAGGAGTGAAGAAAGGAGTGAATGGGGTAAGGGAATGAGATCCGAGTGATTCGATGTTTCTCAGGAGAAAAAAAAAGAGAGAGGAGAAAAAAAAGAAAAAAAGGGAGAGTAGAAACAGCGACCGAACTCCAATCATCCAGCGCTCAAGAAAGGGTCCGTGACCCTTCGTTTTGCTAAGCATTACACGTGATCATTTTTTAGTATGGATGCAACAGTTTCAAAGTCTAGACTCCTAGAGGGCCTTGCCGAGCTCCATCTTACGCTTGAGCGTCCTCTCCGCGCGCCAGATGGCTCCGTCGATAATGCCGGCTACCGTAAAGATACCTCCGACAATAGCACACACTCCTGTCAAGAACGACGTGAACGACTTTCGCTCCTCCTTCTGAATCACCAGCATTGGCGAGATATCAAAGTTGAAGAACACACCTGCAAGATCAACGAACAAAGGAAACGAATAATTAGGATCACTGAAAATGCACGCGTCTGTCATGAGAAAAGGCAAAAGGCGATCCCAAGAACAATGTGAGGAATAGGTTACCTGGCAAACCAGTGGGCTGCATGGCCACGCCCATGGCGTTCTTCTGAAGCAAGTTGCGATTGAACTGCGTGACAGAGTACTGATTGGTATTGACGGGCATCCTGTTCAGATAAAAGTATTTTGTCCCAACGACCTTGACATAGTACTGGAACATGTGCAAGCCCTCTGCTCCATCGACGCTCTGATCATCCAGAGGATTGTGGACGTTGGGAACCTTCTCGCCGAAGCTGAGGTGCTTGATGTGGTGCGAGAAATCCAGTCCGTGCTGGAGGTATTGTTGAATGTCGTGGACGTGCATGTTTCCGCTCTGGAAAGAACGACCGGGGGCAATGTGGAAGTTTCCTGCGACCTTGTTGACGGTGATCTGGCCGTGCATTCTACATCCTTGGTCCGCCTGCTCCTTCATTTTATCCATGTATCCCTCACGAACGCACTAGATTATTTAGAAAACAGTATGTACCGCGTGCGTTAGCAACATGAAGAGCAAAGTGATTGTCGTTTTTCAAGTGACGGCGAATAAGATTTCCAAAGTACATCCTGAAATTACCTGCTCAATGCCTTCAGGGCGGGTGAAGGCCCATCCAGAACGGACATAGGCCTGCCTGACGTCCTCGCAAGTATTGCAGCATCCACTTTCAGGCTTGATTGCGCCACCACAGTCTCCACAGTAGTCTGCTCCAACGTCCTTGGGATCTGGGCCAGTGTCACCCAGGTCTATTTTTGTCATAACAAAAAACGGAAATGATTAGGATAACGATCTGTTATGATTCCTATACCCATCAGGTCTTCAGTCCATGGTATAAGCTGAAAGCTCTTACTGGGTGCTCTTTCGCGCTTGATCTCGGAACCATCGGGCGACAACTGGACCTTGTAGACTGAGTGAGAAATATCGCTCTGGTGCTCTCCTGCAACATCCATAACGTCCAGCGTCAAAACTAATTGTGACAAAGAAGCGAGTTGGTTATTAGTATCCTCTGCACGTAGTTCGACGCACAGACATAATATCGGGTCCATGCCACATGTCTTCATTGCTCTTTGACAACAATGAAAAGCAAGAGACGGCAAATAAAAAGGCACAATTGCGCGAGAACGTACTGTAGCAAGGGATCTTGGGGAAGGAGATATCAAAGTCAATGGCCATCTTGGCCTTCCTGCCGCCATCAACAATAAGCGAGGACTCGGTGTGCACCGATCGGTAGTCAAAGAACTCGCCCAACAGCAGGACTGCAATAACAACTGCACTCACAAGCGTTACTATTGAGCACATAGTCCAAGAAATAAGAAAAGGTTGCGAGCAGGTGAGTAGGTTCGTTTCGAGATGGCGGCACCTTGGTCTCGCTTGTTCATCCAGGACACTTTGCGTCGAGCGTCCATTCTTTCAAGGGACAAACAACATCGCTGAGTTTGCAAAGCCGGAAAACCCAATGCAATTGGTTGAGATGAGGACGCGAGTATGTACCTACGGCGCCGGTGGAGGTCTTGACTCGAAAGTCATCTAGGGTTTTGGCGTAGGCATCAAAGTTCTTGAAACGGTTTAGGGTCGATTTCACCATTTTGAAAAACAGAGAGTAGGTCGAGGATCCTGGTGTTGTTGTTGACCCGTCTGAAAACTGGGTTTTTGTTGTCGTCGAAAACGGAGAGCGAAAGGTGGGTCTGAGGAAGGAGGAAGAAGGAAGGAGGGGTGAAGACGAGGCCGAAAGGGTCGAGATGAAAAAGAAGAAAAGTAAGGATGGGAACAAAAGTCCATACAACGGCAAGCAGGGCGGCGAGCGGACAAATGCAAGCCAATCAAAATCGAAGGACCCTCGCGCCCAAAAGGCTATCACGGAAGGCTCGATCGTCGCTTTTGCTGCAGGCAAAACTCTTATTTATCTTTTCTCTTACAGGTGATGCTGCTCTTGCTTTTTGTTGACACCAATACACGACCCTCAACCCACAGCAGACAGACAGACGAACAGAAAGACAAGCATGTTCAAAAAGTAATGTAGCAACACAACAAACCGCCAAGGGAGACAAGAGCACCAAGTCTTGCGCTCATTCGCTCTTGCAAAGGGAGCACCCGTAGAACAGACTCTACTTCAAACTGCAACCATGGAATCAGATTGGACGAGAGAGCAACCCAGGACATACAGCTGCAAAGAACTTGGACCTTGGGGACTGTGCGAAAACGACTACGGCACTTTGGCGCAGGACAAACCACATTCAATTGAAAAATCACGCCCCCTCTCTCAGCACAAAACCACTTACACCTACTCGACACCTCTTCAACCTGCAACTACATTGAAATAGGTTCAACATCAAGGAGGACGTCACAGGACACACCCAGGTCAAGTCCTCAGTCCAGCGCGCGATCCGCGCCAAGATCTTGGAGCAGTACAAGGAGGGTATCGAAGGCATCATTGACGATGTCATGCCCAAGAAGGCGCCCCTCATCCTCATGAAATGGTACGCTCCTTTCTTCGCACTTTTAACTCGTCCTCGTTCTTGTTAATGTGCTGCTTGATCTGGCATTGGCTAATATGTTGCAATTAAACCCGCTGTGACAATATCATTCATTATTTAGCCACGAGCACATCAACCTTATCGTCATGAACAACGAGGTTCTCTTCTTCAACCACTTTGACGGCCCTTACTTCCCCACCCTCAAGCTCCTCCACAAATGTAATCCTCTCATCCTGACATCATTATTGCACTGAGAACCAACCCCCTCCCAAAGATTCTCAACTAACAACGTCTGTCCCAAATCACAAACTAAACGATAGACCCCAACATGTTGCCAAGGTTGCAAGTGGACCGCGGCGCCATCAAGTTTGTCATGGCAGGAGCCAACATCATGTGCCCAGGATTGACTTCAAAAGGTGCCCGCATGGACGTCTCTGTTCCCGCAGACGCCGTCGTTGCTATCACTGCCGAGGGCAAGAACGAGATCTTGGCCGTCGGGACCACGAAAATGTCGACGGATGATATCAAGCGCATCAACAAGAACATCGGTGTGGAAACGGCGCATTATTTGAACGACTACTTGTGGAAGACTGTGGTCGACATCTGAACATCTGTATGAGCATGAGGACAAGCCATCGAAACACCGACATACCACACACACATACACTCTCGACTGACAACCACCACCTCCACCACAAAAATCCAATACACTGCCAAAAATAAAACAGCCAGCGAACCATTGTATCGGGACAACATCACCACCAAGAAAAGGACCTTGCAACAATCTGCGAGTTTTATTGTACAGTACAAGATATACTACAAGACGGGAAAGAAAATGAGGGAAGAAGAGGCAAGTGCTTGGGAGAAAGACAGTAATGACGTTAGGCTTAGGGGTCGATCCTCAATCGCTTGGTACTTCGTCCTCCTCTTCCTCCTGCCCTTCGAACATGCTCCTCGTCGTCGCCGTCATTGTCGGTTTCATACTCACTCGACCCCACATCCTCCATCTCTGATTGCTCCTGCCAAGGTGCTACAGGAGTACCATAAGCAGATGATGAAGCGTCGTCTTGACGCTGCAAGGGGCTCTCCATGGCTCCTACTCCTCCTCCTCCTCCTGTCGAAGAACCCACGCTCGCCGAGGGATCATGACCTTTCTGGCTAGACCTAAACCTGACTCGACTCTGTCTCTTTTCGACAGCAGCAGCAGCATCAGTCTGCACATGGTTCACCAAATTTCTCGCAGTCTCCATATGCAACATCCCCGCCAGCAACGGCCACGTAAACACAGCCTCAAACCGCTCCTCCAATTCCTTGTGCTCCGGGGTCATCTGCTCCTCCGCACTGAGAAGCTCAGCTGGCGCCGCCGAAGTCTTGCCGACCGAGATGGTATGGGCCAATTGAAATCGTCCACTCATGAGATCGCCTTGCTGGACGAGGTTCGAGAACGCCGTCAGAGTCGCATTGCAAGGAGGGACAGGACGGACCTTGCCAGGTCTGGCAACTGAAGCTGGATCAGGCATCACGGCATCAAAAACGGAGCCATATTGGTCTCCTCTACCCTGGGGAGGCTCCTTGTTGGCAGTAATGGGTGGCGGGATCCCAAGGTTAAAGACCTTCTCGACGGGGTCAATATGATCGCCCCACTGCTGCTGCCAGCAATCGTAGATGAACCGCTCCCTCTCGAGGAAGGACTTGTACAAAGGCTTGACCCTCTTATTCTTTCGGCCGTCGAAAAATCCCTTGGCTCTGAGAATCTTCATCTCTCGCTTGAGAATCCTTCTTTCCCACTTTTTTTTCAAGTGCATCGTCTTCTGGATAGCCTCCTTGTCTTTATGAACGGTCGGTAAGGCGGCCACGGTAGACGTTCCCTTCCGCCGACGGCTCGCAAGATATCGCCTGGATGGCCTTCCCTTGCGCTTCTGCTTGTCCTCTTCCTTGTTCATCCTCCACCGCCGGGCACACTGATTGTCGGTACGACCATTCATCAATGATGCGATAAGACCCCATTTCTCTCCATGCACTTTCACAAGTTCGTCTAGTCGTTCGACCTCTTGTTGCGTCCATGGTCCTGTTGCGAGGTTGGGTGTCAGAACGTTCATGTATCGCTCGCGACATTGGATATCCGTTCTGCCAAGGACATGCTGCTGAATCTTGGCCCATCGACCGCCACCGTAAACTTCATATGCCGCCCGGAGAGCTCCATCCTCCTCCTTCAGCCAGCGACCTCGCCGGATAGCTGGGTTCACGCTCTTGGACCAGCGTGTCATACACTGGACAGAGTTGCGGTTCCCCAAGCAGCTCGCAACCTGCAGCCAGTTCTTCTCGCCTAGCACCCGAACAGCCTCCTTCAAAATGTTGTCCTCCTCTGCTGTCCAATTGCTATGATGGTAAATCGCGAAGCGTGTTAGTATTCTAGCCTCTTTTTGGCCAGCCTCTCATTGTTTGGGACAACGTACCAAACAAAAAAGTACGCGACTTACTCTTTTGATGGAACACCGACCATTTTGCTCTGATACTTTTGGAAGCACTGAGCACTAGTCCTGTTTGTGTTGAGATCCAGCGCAATTTGAATCCAATTGCGTCCCTTGTGTTGCTTGACAAGGCTGTCGAGCTTCACAAGTTCAGCCTTGGACCAGTCGTTTTTGTTGATTCCTGGATGATCATGACTCGTCCATTGAATGAGGCACTCCGATGGTGTACGATTGTCAACCTATTCAATGTATAATGACAGTAATCGACCCTGTAAGTTTATATTGTTTCATCCAATGAATTCATGTACCATTTTCATGAATCGAGCTCTCCAACTTACGTATCGCTGAGAGATCCGCTTCCAGTCGAGTCCCTTTGTGTTGAGCATCATATCAACCTCGGGCGCGTTATTAAGGGATTCAATCGCCTGACTGTTGCCTTCGCGCAAGAACTTTTCAAACAACAGCCGCTTGTTTTCTGCAATAACGCCTTGTCTGAGGTTGGCACGGTCCAATGCACTCCAGTATTTTCGCTTCTGGGAGGCAATGAGGGGATGACTCTTTTTCCGAAGCGTATCCATGTTGCTCGGTGGCGTCTAAGAATGGAAGTGAACGCGAGTTAGGCGTGAGTATGTAAGAAAGACCCGATTATGATACGTCTCCAATTTGCAAATGTTTCCAGGCGCTTTACGTTTTCATCTTCGTCGACGAAGTAAGGCGGTCCTAGTCGGTCATTTGACGAGGGAAGTACAACGGGTGCTCGCTCTGTAACGTCACGTCTATCCAGCCATACTTGAAGCTCGTCCTAGTATATTATGTTATCAAATAGGAAGCATGGTCAGCGAAAAATACAGAACAGATAGTCAAAAAAAAAAAAAAAAAAAAAAAAACATGCACTAGTTAGAAACCACACCATCCAACTTACCCTAAGCTTCTTGTTCCTGCTATGCGCTTGTTCAATATCACGAAGCTTTTGCTCAAGTGCCAACTGATATTTCCTGTTGACCTCGAGAGCACTGGCTGTCTGCGATCGTATGACGCCCGTAAGGCGTTTGTTCTCCTCTGGATTCATCACAAACGGCTCTGGTGCAGGGGCTGCCTGGCCCGTCGAGGCATATGCGCGTGTCGCGCTCCTTCCATCTTGCTGGAGATCCGCATGAGCAGAATCCCGATTGTTGATCTGAATATCGCCCTCCATGCCAGTCTCCACATAAGCCCTTGTTGGAGAGGTTGTGGGAGCGATTGTACGTTTAGGCGTCACTGCCACCGGGATGGTTGGTGACGACGCGCTCGAATGTACCCTTGATTGACTCGTAGACCCATGGGTATGAATATAGACAAAGGACAGGCTCTGAGCCGGTTGTGCTGGAGAAGCTTGCTGCTGATGGAGCTCTTCCTCATATCGCTTCTCCATCGCAGCCATCCAGCTCTGAGCATCACTCGGGTCCTGGAATCGCGGTGCTGCTGCAGTGGCTGTCGAGGGACCAGGTCCTCCAGGCAGAAATGTGCTCTGACTTGCTCCTGGTGCCAACATAGTCGTTGCAAAATAGTTCGAACCCATTCCTCGTGAAACAGCAGGTGGTGGCGGTGGGTCGTCGAGGGTGATGCCGTGAGTACGGAGGAGCAAGGCCAAGTCTGCCTCGTTGTCGATCAGGTCGTCATTCTCACTCTCGTCGCTCAGAAGGTCGTCGACATCGACATCGTAACCGTCCGACATGGCACCCAAGTCGTCCAGTAGGCTCAAAGTGATTTCATTCCTGTTGTTGTTGGTACTACTGATGCTGGTCCTGCTCCCTTGCTTGCCCTTGCCCTTGCCGGACGTGTCTCCTGCGTATGCCGACATTCTTCATGGACCAGTAGGGCTTGGAAAACTGACAACGAAGGTTGAGAGAAAGAGAGAGAAATTGAGTGAAAATGCTCAAGAATGAGTGTGGCTTATCATACTGTGCTGGTTCATTTCTTGACTTTTGGTGGCACTGGACTGGTCCACCAAAGGGTCCCAGGAACAAAGAGGCAGCGAAGAGATGTACATTAGAGCGTTGAGCCGCAAGTGGCCTTTTAATAGATGTAAAGTAAACTTGAATGCGTAGTGGGTGGTTGTGTCTATGCTAGGAGTGTGTCGTTGTTGTTGTCGACAATTGTTGCTATTTTTTACATGTACTCGGCTGTACGGTCGTGCCAGTCCCTCTGCCGGAGTGCTCCCACACGAGAGAAGGTACTCATCTGGATGCCGACAAAGCCTTGAGCGTGCGCCATAAAGACTTGGTCCACCATCATCGGTCCAAAGACTCCGAGCTTCTCAACAGTGCCCATCTCGTCATGGTCCAGGTACCGCCATCCAAGGTCGGCAAACTTCTTCAGCTCCTCCGGCCGCCTCTCGTTGGTGGCAACGAAGACAGGCAGCACCAGGTCGGGGTTCATCTTGGGGTTCAACCGGGTCTGGACCGTGTCAATGCGGGTGGCAATCTGCTCGGTCGTAGGCAGGCAGTGGATCATCCTGGGTCCCTTGAAGTTAGATTCGCAGTAGGCTGCGAAATCGCCGCGGCGGGCATGGACAGCTAGGTACGAGTGTTTCTCGCTGCCCTCCTGCTTGGCCAAGTTCCGATCCAAAAACTCATTCACAAACGAGTCGAGTCCCTCGGTGAAATGAAGATGCTGACCAAACCGCTCCCACTCGGACTTGTCCTTGACAACGATCTTGTAGGTGTTTGAAATGCAGACATATTTGTCGTTATTGAGGGGTCGGAGTGCCGAGGTAATGGCTTCCAGCTTGGTGGGATCAGCACTCAGATTGTCCAGAGTGACGTTGAGCTTCCATTGCTTCAGGAATCCCTTGGCCGTAAAGTCGATTGTCCTCTTTGAGCCGAATCCGCAGGTGATGCCGCACTTCAGCTGGTTCATCTCAGCAGCCTCAACGTCCCTGAGCTGGTGGAACTCGATGACCTTGGTGCCAGTGAGCTGAGAGAACTTTTCTAGGTCGAAGAACGTCGACCAGGGCTGGTTCTGTTTGGACTTGTCGTGGCTGGAGGCGGTGATGGGTGGGATGATGAGGGTTCGGCCGAGAGCCTTGGCGACTTCCATACCACGGAGCATGCCGTAAAACTGGTTGGTGATGCCGGCGTAGGGAAGGTAGGTAAGATACTTTGTGCTGTCTTCCGAGTCCAGAGTGTCCTCGAAGGGGAGGACGACAGGTTCCTCGACAACTGTTTGTGCATCCTCTGTGAGCTCCTCGCCGTCGTCGTTGCTCGAGTCCTCGTCTTCCTGGCTATCCTGGGAACCATGTGTCCCCCGCTCGTCGTCATTGCTGTTTAATTGCGGGCTCTCGATTAAATTGCCAGACTCTATCGTGGTTCCAGTCTCCTCCTGATCTTGATCCCCCGTTACTACCACTGCTGCTCCAGCTTGTTGACTATCGAGCTGTTGCTGTTGTTGCTGCTGACTGATGTAGTTGTCCTGACCTTGGATTATTTGTGGTGGTTGTTCCTGGCCTTCGATCATGACGTTTTCTGCTGGACGAGGGAGGGCAAGACGGGGGCGGTCGTGGTTCCTGAAGGGACTGTTGCCTCTGTAGCGCTCCTCTGGGCTCTTGCCGTAGCTCGAACCTGAGGTTTCATCGTCCTCTTCCCGATCAGACCTCCAGCGGGTTCTACGGGAGGCAGCAGAGGCGATACACCCTGCCGAGTCTGATGAGGATGACGAGGAAGAAGCGGTACAGGAGAGGGAACTGGATCGGATGAAAGGGGTGCTTGTGATATGGAGGATGACCATGGACCCTGACGAGACCAGCAGGACCAGGGAGAAGAGGAAGAGGATGCGTTTCTGGGAATGGCACCTCCTACCAGAGGAGGGCCTGGCTGGGAGTCCCAGCATGTATTTTGGAGTGGTCTTTGGCGAGGATGGCATCCAGTCTTATGTGAAGGAGCGAGAGTATTAAGCGGCGGTGTTCAGGGAAAAGGGTGAAGTGCAAGCGAAGAAGGGGAGAGAGGGAGTGAGAAAATAGTAGAAAGAGGGGTATGGAAGTGTAGTTGATGAGAGAGTGACAAGGAAGAAGAAGAGAGATGAATGAAGTCGTAAACAAGAAGGAACTAGGCGAGTAGTGGAGTGGAGTGGTGGTGATAAGGACAGAGAAAAGAGAAGAAAGAAGGAAGGGAAGGGAAGGGAAGGGAAGGGAAGGGAAGGGAAAGGAAGGGAAAGGAAGAAGACGAAGAATGAGGATAAGAAAAAGAAAAAAAAGAAGGGCAGGAAGGGTCGCCTTAACCTAAGTGTTATTATTAAATTTGCTAAGATTGAATTGAAAAGGGGAGAGAGCAAAGAAGCAACTGATTCGGCATTGCGTCTGGTGTATGGTATGATTTGTGTACAGCTGTATACATGACCCTATGGAGTAGATGAGCTGGGGCGGGTGTACTGTCTTGCAGCATCACATCACAGACACGCAAGAGGACAGACAGTAAAAGAGAGAATTAGCTGAATAAAAAATAAAAAATAAAAAGCTACATGCAAGCGGGGATCCGATCGGAGACACAGGGGACAGGGAGAATAAAAAGGCAGCAAGGAAGAGAGGGCCATACACAGGGTCCTTGTGTCTCTTTGGGTCCCTTTTGTCGTGTCTTTCAATTCTACATCTTCGTCAAATATCACCGACACAGATGCAGTACAAGTACAAAAAAAGAAAAAGAAAAGTCATCTCTCTTTCTTTCTCTTTTCAGACCAAAAAAGAAAACTAAGCTAGTGAATGTGTACCCTCTAGCGCATGAATCAATAATTATGGTCCCTGAAGAAAAAGACATCGTTATCGCATCATTCCTAGTGGCACCCCACCTAGAAATAAACCACTCAACTTATCCAATTTCTGCTCAATCATTTGTTCTAATGCGCCTGGGTAAAAATAGGCGGGACCTGAAAAGAAAGATAAAAAAAAAAAAAAAGAGGCCGGTCGGAGACTACATCATTGGTCTCATTCTCATCCTTTTTACAGTGGCCCCTTTCACTCTCACCCTGACCCCATCAATATCCTCATGGCCCCTCTTTCTTTTATGATTTGCTCACAATCAGAGTCCGCTCTTTGAGAACCATACATTTATATGTAGCTCAATTGGCATTGATCAATGTTAACCTTCTTGGCCACTTGACTGGATGTGCAACTGCATGTTACCTGGAGTGACATCCCCTGACTGTCATTCATATCTTCATGTATCCAGTGTGTCTTCTTGTCTAGCGTCAGATCCAGATCTCCGATAGTTGGCTGTGTTTCCTAACTCCAAACTCTCGCCATGTAGCCCCCTTCCCTTCATCCCCTTCTCCTTTGGGCCCCCTTTCGCTTTTTATCCCCAAGCTCCCTTCTCCCCCCTTTCGGACTAGAACCATACCATTTCCTAGCCTTTCTTTTTGTCCGCATGGACTCCTTTTTCGCAAAAAATACGAACTCCTCACTTTTGCTTTATCTGTGTGTGCTGTTGCCCTACGTCTGAACATTGGCTTTCATCAACGCATTGCATGTCGCAAACTGAAAATCGCCCCTCTAGGACTGACTGAATGTCGGCATCTGTGCCAACCCTCTCGAAGATATCACAACGCAACACCATACCACCCCCTTTCGTAAAGTAAAAAACGGGAACTTTGAGTTTTCTCCTGGACTCACCTAACTACCTCCCAGCTCCACTCATTCTTCTCCGTCTTCATCTTCATTGCATTCTCACTCACTCCTTCCCCTTTCTACTCCCTTTTCGTCTTGTTTCGCTCTTTGTTACTTCTTTCAGGGCTAGGAAACTTATCGGGGGTTTTTGTTTGAAGGAGTAACAAAATGTGGTTCGATGTACCAGGACTGTGGTCAAAAACAACATCTAGGAGGACATCCGGACCCTCTCAACCCCAAACATTCAACTTACTCGTTGGCGAGATACACATGGAAAGGCTTTTTTTTTTTTTGACTCGGGCGTCGTTTCCTTGGACGCCGTTATAGTCACCGAGCGAGCCATGCAGCTGAACAGCCAAGAACTCCAACAGACACAACAGGCAAAACAGGCGCGCATGGACATTATGCAGACGCTATCTATCGGCTGCCAAGGTCGTCGCTCATTAACTCTCGGCCAACAAAAAACGCCGCCGCTATCCCTCTCAACGTCCATCCAGAATCGATTCGCAGATGCATATACAACAAACGCCCATCTCGTGCCATCACGCCGAACCCAATTGGAGACCCTTGCTTCCACTACCTCTCTCTTTTTCTTTCTTTGGCTCTCCTTGTACGACCCCAACTCCGCCAACAACAAAACTGCATTAACAAAGGCGCCCAACGCTAAAACGCCTATGCAAGGCTTTAAGTAAAATTGTGATTTATTGCAATTTGGGAAAGCACGACGTACCACGCGCTCGTTTACGCCATAAAAAGCAATTCTTTGGTTTGCTGGTTTGTAAGAACTCTCACCGGATCGGGTGAGAAAAAATATGTTGTATTACTGGCCGTATTATGAGCACTTTTTTTTTAGTAGCTGAGGGGACTAGCCTAGAAACGACCAAATCACTAGCGATGAGAGATATGATTATCGTGAGTTTTTTTTTTATTGATTGAAAAAGCCCTTTTCTTGGCGTAAAAGACGAAGAGGCAGGCTGTGAATGCTGAATGCTGAATGAAGAGAGAAAGAAAAGGTATGCAAGAAAATGGTGAATGAAAAATTAGGAGAGTGCCACCTTCCAATCAATAACCAGCTCAGTCAACATATTGGGCGTCTCCTCACAATTAGAAGGGACCGCCAATTCCACCACCCAGAGCGCCACCAAAGCCGCCAGCAAGAAGGCCTCCGCCAAGAGGGCCTCCGCCAAGAGGGCCTCCATAGGCACCACCGATTCCTCCTCCGTAGGCTCCTCCGTAGTAATCGTTGTAGTAAGGAGGCCACGAGAAGTCGTTGACGTTCACAGGGAGGACGTTGACAACAGGCTGGACGTTGTTGATGGGGATGAAATCGGTCTCGGGAGCAATGGTTACAGGCGAGACAGGAACTTGGGTAGGATAGCCGCTGAAGTCGGGTCCACCGGGACCTGCGAAAGCACCCATGTTAGCATCAGCGCCAAAGGCGTTGACACCACCACCAAGACCGAAATCCTGAGGAGCAGCAGAGGCAAACTGGAGGAGGATCAAGGCAGCAATCGTGGAGACCAAGAGAGCAGATTTGAAGATTGAAGACATGGTTGGTTGGTTAGCCTGGGTTGTTGTTGGTGGAGTGGTGGTGGTTGTTGTCTTTGGCTTTCTTAAGAAGGTTGGATGCCGTTCTCTGTCGGGCGATCTTCTATCCTTTTATACTCATTGGTGGTGAAGGTAAGGCCTTGGGAAGTTCACCGTTACCAGGGCGGACACGTCAATGGGTAATGCGAGTGGGCTGGAGCCAGGTATGGTGTTTGGTGCGATGATAGATGGATGTACAATGGCTGATACATAGCCTAGAAAGAGTATGTGTATTTGTGCTGGATAGAAATAGCGTGGCAAGAAGGTAGAGAAGGATAGCAGTCAATCAAGGCCCCAAGTCCACCCATCACCATTCTGACAGATACAGTGGATGTCTGCATGTTTATCACGTCTGCCAGCCCTTTCTTTAATCACTCGTGGCGAGGAAGGTAATCGCATTCTCATGATTGTATTGTACGCGACTACTGCCAGGATGACACCAAGATAGTGCAGTTGTATGTGTCTCGTATGCGTCTTTCTCTGCCCCTAGCTTATCGCTGTTTTGACGTGTCCTTGATTACTTAAGCGCCCAGCTACACTCAAAGGTAGGGTAATCCTCACTCCAAGGTGACAGAGCAAATAAAGCACGGGTACCGGACCCGTCTCAAATGGTTCAATCACCGATAATGCTAACTAAAGTGCCTGTGTGGTGCCATATCCATCCCCAGCATCGCCCGTACGCATTCATCCAACTCATGTTATCTTCACTATTTACTCTCGCACAGAAAGAAAGCGATTGTATCCAATTAACAACAACAACGACAACAACGACAACAACAACATACCATTACTAAACAAGGAGATCAGACAGGGAACAAGTTCCTGACCTGACAAGATGAATGAGAAACATAGATGAGAAACAAGTTGTTACACTCAATATTTTTCCTTTCGAAAGGAAACATTCCTTGTACGATAGTGAATCCATCGACCTCCCTTCTTTTTTGTGCTCCTCCTTCCTCTCTCATGTCTTTGCGTGTGCTGCTGTGTTTCCAACCCCCTACTCGGGAACTATTCTGCCCCCCTTCTTGCCTCCTTACTTCTTTTTCTTCGCTGCCCATGTTCCGTCTCTGATCTTGTTCTGTCAATGTGTGTGTATGTGTGTGTGTATGTGTAGGTGTATGTGTGTGTGTGTGTGTGTGTGTGTGTGTGTGCGGTACTTTCTCTCTCATACATTGGTCTTGCTTTCACCTTTACCGCGGCTGCTCCCTTTGTACTGACTATCCTTATCGCACGCTAAACAAAAACAATAACAACATGCAACGACAACATCAGCGACAACATCAGCGACAATTATCCTCACAACCATCTCCTTGTTTTCCTTCGTCTCCCCTTCCCTTCCTCTCTCTATCTCCTGTAGGAACATTCTTTCGCGTCTGTTTTTGAAAGTTCACAACCTCCTTTTTTATCCGTTAAAAAGACACGATTAACGAAGTGTCCGCATACGTCTTGTGCAACCTGTCTTTTTTCCATCTCTTCCTCTTTTTTCTTCCTCTCAAACTCTCTCTCTCTGTGTGTGTGTGTGTGTGTGTGTGTGTTTGTGTGTGACTCCCTAACCTTTTTTCCTTCCCTTCTCCTAAGTTTCCTTCCCACCGAGCGCCATGGCCCCCTTCCTTCTTTTTCTTGAAGAAAGGTCGGGATCGACGCGGCCCCTCGAACTTCATCTCTCGCTCGCGCCCTTATCATCAATTGCCTCTTTCTTCTTTTCCTCATTCGTCCTTCCCGCCCATTTTCTTTTTCCTTCAACGCGTCTCTTATTTTCCTACCCTTCGTCACGTCTCCCTTCTGCTTCCACAAGGTTTAGCTATAGGTTGACTTTCCCGCGGAAAGGGGTTTACTTCCCAGTTTGCCCCAAAATTGACGTTTTGCCTGCTTTTCTTTCTTCTCTTGCACCATTGCGCCATCATACTGAAATTGCCAAAAAAAAAAAAAAAAAAAAAAACACATCACTGATCTCATGCTAAATTGCACTTGTAGGGGCTGTATTTTTGGCTGACCCAATTTTATTACCCCCCTCTTGTTTGCTTGAATGTCTCGATGCCGTGACCATGGGGCTAATATCTAACTGCGTTGCGTGAATAGGTGGGTGCGGGAAAAAAGAGGATGGACCATCCAATTTACATAGCGCAGATGGTTATGCAAGACACTCTTTCATTATGATCATTGATAGAGATAAAGAGAGATAGAAGGTGAAGTAGATATTGCGCATATCTAAGAAAAAGACAGCAAATACCACAGTAATAAAGGGTGCGCCCACTGTTACCATTACTACTAATACTCACTCCCTGTTTGATAGCAAACATACACTTTTTTCATCAACTCATATCACACACCATCAATGGGTTGGAACCCATATCTGCTTCAAGTTATTTCGCATTGATGTTGCTGCCTGTGTTGGTGGGAGGAAGTGAAATTAGTTTCGCTTACTACTATCCACTATTTCCTCCGGTGTGCCTTTTTTTTCTTCCTTTGTACTCGCCTTTGCACTCAGTTCTTACATGCAAACATAGCCCGCTCTACCCCCACCATCCATCCATCTTACCACAAACAAACACGCCACTTCTGCGCTTCCATCTCCTTTGTCTCTCTGTCCTAACCTTCTCCTTCCCTGTGCCCTGCTGTCCATTTCGTCGTCGCTTTTCAATCCTCCTTTTGTTACAGGTATAGAACCCTACCGTCCCTACCGTTAACATCACCCATCTTGCTGCTTGTCCTTCCTTTCACTCCTACCGCATTTTTTCTTTTGGTTCATTTTTCTATTGGGATGCTTCCTTCTGCACTGCGCCCATCCTGCATCATGTCGAACAGCTCAAACCCGTGTCGTTACTGTCGTTTGATAATGGGCAAACGAAGAAGAAGGGGAAAAGAAAAGGATGAGATGGAAACAAAAGAACCACATACAAACAATGCGGAAAAGAAAAGTGAGGATGGGACAGTAACAGAGTCATTGCCAAACACGTTTTTGAGTGAAACGCCCAATGGTCAGGTTGTACTTCTATTGCATGATGTTTGTCCTCCCGTCCGGATGTATATATCCTGGCGTTGCTGTTGTTGATGTTGCTATAGTTGATATGCCTTGCCGCTCGAACTCTCGGGCTTATTATGCGGCAAAAAAAACCCCCCCTCCAGTATCGAAAAAGGGCGGGGTCTTAGCTTTGTTTGTCATGTTACTAGGCAAAAAAAAATGGCGGGAGCAGCGAAGGAGCTCGATCATTTCCGCGGTTTAACTATTTTTTTGGGGGGGGTGTTTTCCTAACGTGCGATGTGGATCGTGCCCCCCCCCTCCCCTTTCGCCGCGAGCGAAAGGGCCAGGTGGGGGGAGGAAAGGAAGTGGAGTTCGTTCAACCCCCGCCTCTGACTCCTTTCGGAGAAGGAGGGAGTCAGTGATCAGGATGGGAAGAAGTGAGGGAATGGTGCATTTTTTGTATTGGGGTCTGTGTTGAGTGGCTCAGGCACGGCACGGCACGGACAAAAGGGGATAGAAAGGGAGGTACTTTGTGGTTTTCGGTATCTAACGAATCTATAACGAATCTGAGGGAACAGGTTAGAAAAACAACAATGACAAAAAGAGGAGAGGATGAGGCGACCGCGCGGTATCTTCTCCATTGACACGAATAAGCAAACACACACGATAACGAATGAATAAAAGAAAAAAAAGGAATCATGCAAAGGACGGAGAGGGGAAACAACTCACAGAGTTTGTGAGAGTACGGAGAAGTTGAGGGCCAGTCGGTCAGTCGGCCAGTCAAGTGAATAGTGGACTTTTTTCCCGCCATTTTCACTTTGGCCCTTTTCGTTTAGGTCGCTTCTTGTATTTGTTGTTGTTTTCTTTGGACTTTTCCCGCCATTGTTGTGATGTGGATGATGTCTGTATTGTACCGTGTGACAAACAAACAAAACGACTGCCCTCCGCCCCTTTTTTACATACTCGCTTTTGTTTGTACTCACACAGCGCTCCTCAGAAGTCCCATTCCAGTCATAAAAAAATGGGTTGATTCAATGGATACCTCATTTTTTGTATTGTATCCAGCTGAGAAAAGAAAACTCAACCTTTCCTTCCTCTTCCTTTTCTTCCCTGTCATTTTCCTCCCTCTCACTTTCCTTTTCTTCCCGCGCCGCGCGTCCCCCCTCCAATTTTCGCCCCTTCCTTCCTTTCTTCGTTCCTTCCTCCCTCTCTTCCTTCCCTTTCATCCCTAGCCTTTCACTCTCTTGTTTTTATAGTGTTTTTTCTCGGGTTGTTGTTGAGGAGGAATTGGTGAACATGGGTCTGGGGAAAGGAGGAAAGAGGAAAGTGAGAATGTGTGTATGCCTGCGCCCACAAATGCTGGTATGTTTGTTGTTTTTGTGGTTGTTTGTGTACATAAACGTGCGTCGTTGAAACTGGTCTTTGTCTAACGACAGAGACTAAAACGGCGAAGAAATCAAACCAAAACCAAAACCAAAAAAAAAGGACGTTGTTGCGTTTGTTTTGAGGAAGGAAAATGCCGATAGAAAGACAAGAGAGATCGGGGAGTCAGGTACAATCGTTGTTGTTGCTATTGACGACATTTCTTTGTCTCTGGACGCGATTCGATCTTCAGATCAGGAACGATTTTAGCTCCATCAACCTCTCTTTCAAACAATATATCCTTTTTTCTTATTGTTTGGCTGTCTTGTTGCGGTTGTTGTTTGTTTATTTCATTCATCCCTTTTGTTGTTGAGCATCCTCATTGTTAACGCGTTTATCGCATTCATTTACATCAAGTCTTGTCTAGTGCTGAGAAGAGAATGTCTTCGGATTTCTTTCCCACAGAGAAGTGGGAGGATCGACGTTGCGATCTTTTTTCTCCTCCCGCAGATGTCCCTGCCGAAATGGATGAGGATGACCAAGACGAGCTTGCACTGCCGACGGGAGCAATTGTGGAAGAAATGGAAACCACCTCGTCGTCATCTCCTTCACTTTTTTCTTCTATCTCCTCCTCGAGCAA